CATCTCTTGCTCATGTGAGCTCCCTGCGGCGATGGCTGGATTTTTTTTTAAAGTTTCCTCCCCTTCTGAAAGTCTCAGCCTTCCTTTTTAGACAGTTAGCAGCTCACACACAACGTAAATTTACCAGAATCGGAGCCCGTACGAGGGAGGAAAACGTCGCAGCGGACCGGTTCATTCGAAAAGTTTGGGGAGCTGCGGGACTGCACGTAGTCCCGCGGTTACGGGTATAATCATATATATAAAATTTGTACTTTCAACCTTAATAGCGCGTTGTATATTACGTTTATATTACATATATAATAAATTGTACAAGACTGCGCTTTTAAAACTTATAATAACGTCGGATAAACGCTCACGAACGCCACCGTGCCACTTGACAAGAAACATGTTTTTCGCGTCGGTGCCAGAAATTTTCTCACGTAGTTGCACCATGGACTTCCTTCTCCGACATTGTGACGTACCACTCGGAGCGCTACGGCCTTCTCTTCTAGGAGGTGTTGCTGCGACAGACAAAGCGAGGCGCGGGCGCGGAGAACGCCCGTTCGCAGCGCCTTCGTAGCGGATGCGCCTGTCCCTACACGTGACCTGTGAGAGACCAGAGGGGAAGAGAGCGGGAGTTCCCCGCGAACCCCCCCCCCCTTTCCCCTCCTCCTCCTCCCGTCACGCATGTGCGCGCCCGCTGGCTGGGAGCAGACCCTACGGGAACGACTGGAACCAACGGGAACGGATCTGATCCACTCATCACCGTGCGGTTCCAGTGCGTTACGTCTCACTGGATCCGACTGGTTACACCCAGAACCGCGCCGTAGCAGATCGGATCCGCGCGGATCTTAACTTTTCACAACTTTGGAATCGGATCCGCGCGGATCCGAACTGGAACCGCTCCGATCTGACATTTTCGTACGGGTACCGATGAAGAATTGACGCCGTGGATGTGCTTTGCGAGTGCAGTGTGCGTGAAGGCGTATGTGCCTCTGGAGCACCGTTTTACTTGGTCCAGAAACGAGCTTGACCCATTGGTCTAGCGTCCCGTGGAGACGGAAGAGGGGGGGGGGGGGGGAACAACAGCTTCTCATCACTGATCAATGCTCACTATCAACCTACTTTATTGCACTTGACGTTTGAGCGCGTCAAAGATTTTCATTCCCGCCGTCTTGTACTTTTGTCTTAGAAAACCCTCCTTGCCACAACATTGCACTATTTGTGCTGCCATATGATTCATTAGAGTAGATTTTGGTTTGTTTTTCATGTTTACATTTAAGCATGGTTAATAGTGCATAAGAGCAACCATACAGATTGTTTCCCCCCCTTATTGATAGCAATTACGCGCCGGAACACCTGGATGATCCAGAACTCCGTGGTCGATATACAGAGTGAAACAAGGAGACGCCAGGCTCTTTAAATCGACCGGATAATTCGGTTTCTTAACCTATCGCGCTACGACTTTGTGCAGCGTTGCCCACAGATGGTGCTTTTTTTTTTTTTTTGTAAAATTTGACAAGAGCGAATTTAACTGAGGAAAAAGTAAAGAAAGAAAAAGGCTTAACTCCTATGGAAACGCAGCGACGCCACCGGTCTACAAACAACACGGCGCCGTTTCGCACGGGAGACAAGAAATGGCGCAACAAACGCCGCCAACGAACGAGCATACGGCGCCGAGAGCAGGCCTTTTAGCAGACGATCTTTTCGATTCAAAAGCGGCGCGCGTTCCGCAGGCGGCGACAGTCGCGGAAACAAAAAAGACAGGCGCGGTAACAGCAAGGAACTGCAGTTCTTTGTCTGCAAAAGGGCCGGCTCTCGGCGTCGTCTGCTCGTTCGTTGGCGGCAGTTGGCGTCGCGACCGCTTGCGCCATCTCTTGTCTCCCGTGCGAAACGGCGCCGTGTTGTTTGCAGACCGGTGGCGTCTCTGCGTTTCCATAGGAGCTAAGCCTTTTTCTTTCTTTATTTTTTCCTCAGGTAAGTTCGCTCTTCGCAAATTTTACAAAAAAAAATGCACCATCTGTGGGCAACGCTGCACAAAGTCGTAGCGCGATAGGTTAAGAAACCGAATTTTCCGGTCGATTTAAAGAGCCTGGCGTTTCCTTGTTTCACCCTGTATAATGCAAAGACATCTACGCGCGACACACCTTCAAAACTTTGCCGCGGCGCCGATTCTTGATCGGTATCCTAGCGTGCGGAGGCACAGAGACGCAGCGCTTCGGCATGCCAAGGAAGCTTTGATCATGCCGCGAGACCGGGCGAAACTTGCTTTAGACGAATTGTGCCTTTTTTCTGCGGCACTGCGCCTCCGTTAAAAAAGAAAAAAAAAATGTTTAACGTGATTTTATTGACAAGTCTCACGGCTCACACGGAGTTAAATGAAGACGAATTGAAAGTAAACATCTTCGACAGAAATCTGTCTGGTTTGTTTCAAGACGAATGAGTGAAAAACGTGCCTTCAGCAAGCTGCCCGCCAGACTCCGCAACGCACCAAAAACGCGATTTTTTGACATGCATGATGGCCGTCCGGCGGCTTCACACGCGGGAACGGGAAGCGGGCGCCAGTCCAAGAAATGGGAAACGATAGGAACTTTAAAGAGAGGGGGGGGGGGGGGGGGGGGGGGAATTTGTAATAGAACAAAATTTACAGAAATTAAAAAAAAGGGGTGACGCAATGTTAGGCTAGGTAGCGCAAGCTGCCGCCCTTTACAAAGGGTTTAACCACTACTATCTATCCATTTATCAATCCACCATCTTTATAAATCCACTCAAATTTACGGCTCTAAATCCACTCAGAGCCGTAAATGTAGAGAGTTTGGCCATTCGTTGGGAAGTATAGGAGACAAATGAGGAGGCGCCATTGGCCGAAAGCGGGCTGGGCGTGTTCAAGGGCGTCTTCAGAAATTCGAATGTGACCAACCAGAAGCCGGGAATAATACCCTGGCGGTGGTCGCGAGAAACAAACCTGATAACTGCATTGGAGTAACTCTCAATGGCTGAAAATATGGTAAACGTGATGTTTCAATCACGTTAATCCAAAATGATGGTGGAAGAGTGCGACTAGCGGAACGATCGACATGATCCGTACGCCAAGCGCCCAGGGCCGGGAATCTGCCGACCGAACGTCCGTGCAAAACAGAGTTGCGCGGTGCATTCGTTTCTTACATCTTTCTGCATGATCATGATCAAAACAACTAGTGAACCCTATTTTCAACCACGAAGAGTTACTACACTTCACTCTTACGCGTTTATTGAAACCATACACGAACATAGGCTTTTGATCAGAACTGTTTGCCGCTAGCACCGCTAGGGGATTCTTTTCGGCTTCTGGTGGGTCAAGAGAGCATGCCAAGCCCTCTTTCCGACTCTGCCGCACGCGCTGACTCTGCCCGCGCCTCCCATTGACCAAACCACTGATCTCTATGACAATTGCTGGATCGCGCTTCCCCGCTTGTTCGCTGCAGCGCAAGTGAAGCCACCGGGCTTCACTCGCTTGGGATACGATTTGCCGTTTTTGCTAGCCTTTGCTGCGGTTTTCCAGCGTGCTGACGACACGTTTTCTACTCGTTCGTCGTCATTCGCCGAAGAAGTTTTTTGAAGACTCTGTGTATTGTTGAGACTTTCCGTTGTGAACACGTGGAAAATTTTACGAAAGTGCAGTGTCGCAGGAAAAAGGCACAACGCGTCGAAAGGAAGGGCTGGCGGCGTGTTCAAAGCATCCTTGGCACGCCGAAGTGCCGTGTCTCTGTGCCTTCGCACGCTTGGATACCGACCAAGAACCGACGCCGTGTGTATGTGTTCAGCGAGTGCAATGTGCGTGAAGCTGTTCGTGCCTCTGGATCAGCGTCTTTTCCCCTCGCGGTTTAGGAACGAGCTTAATCCAGCGTCCACTAGCGACGGAGGATGGGGAGAAGGTACGTCTTTTTTTCGTCCTTAGACGATTTACACAATACCGTGCACAACAGCTCCTCATCACTGATCAGTGCTGGCTTATTATCAACCTACGCGACTCGCCTAATTGTAATTGGTCAACAGATTGCACACGACCATATCGGCCGCGCTTCAAAGATTTGCATTCTCGCCGTCTTGTACTTTTGCTTTCGAAAACCCCCCTGGCTCCACGTACAACGTTGCCCTATTCGTGCTCCCACGGAATCTATTAGAGTAGATTTGGGACATAGCCATGGTTAATATAGAACATAAGAATACGTACAGATCTCCCTCTTTTATTGATAGCAACTCACCGGAACAGCTGGACGATCCAGAACTCCGTGGCCGATATATATAAATGATCTAAAGGCATCTACGCGCGACACACGTTCAGAACTTTGGCGCGGCGTCAATTCTTGACCGGTATCCAAGCGTGCGAAGGCACAAAGATGCATCACTCAGCGTGCCAAGGAAGCTTTGATCACGCCGCGACACCGGCGACACGTTTTCGACGAGTTGTACCTTTTGATACGGCTTCACGCGCATTGCACTCGCTAAACACATTCACACGGCGTCGGTTCTTGGTCGGTATCCAAGCGCGCGAAGGCACAGAGACACGGCACTTCGGCGTGCCAAGGATGCTTTGAACACGCCGCCAGCCCTTCCTTTCGACGCGTTGTGCATTTTCCTGCGACACTGCACTTTCGTAAAATTTTCCACGTGTTCACAACGGAAAGTCTCAACAATACACAGAGTCTTCAAAAAACTTCTTCGGCGAATGACGACGAACGAGTAGAAAACGTGTCGTCAGCACGCTGGAAAACCGCAGCAAAGGCTAGCAAAAACGGCAAATCGTATCCCAAGCGAGTGACGCCCGGTGGCTTCACTTGCGGGAGCGGCAAGCGCGATCCAGCAATTGTCATTGGACCAAACTCTCTCAATACACGGCTCTGAATCCACGGCTCTGAATCCACTCATTGTATCCATTCGCGTCATGGGTGGTAGCTTGCGCCATCTAGCATAGAAACCAAGAACCACCGGTAGCTCTTGGTTATCTTGGTTGCGCGTTGCGCCGGTTGCGCTCGGTGCGCGTCCGCTTCCTGTCTCCTCCTGAAGTGTTTGTGTAGTTCGTGCGTGCGTGCGGCCCACCCGAGTTTTCGAGTGTCCGACTCCGGCTATCCGGCAAGTGTCTCGACTTGCGCGACCAGCAGCTGACCGAATGTGGCTTTAACCGGTCAGGGTCGACAGCGCCGTGTTTCCTTCCGAGCTCGAAGCCCTGAACATGCGGACTGCCCCATGGCGGCGTCCGCACTGGGTCTCGGCGCCGGTCAGAGCGCGGCGCAGCTAACGCGGACGCTCGAACGACTGCTGGAGGACGCCCAGCTCACCGGCGAGCTCAGGCTGAACGGACGCAAGCTCAGAGAACTGCCCAAGTGCACAGCCAAGTATGATCTTCGAGACACCGTGCACGCAGGTGAGTCGCTCGCTTCGTCGGCAGCGTCCAGATGCCAGCGGACCCGCTTTGAACTGGGCGCCGCTCGCGTAACGGCGCATTGTCTCGGCCGCGCGTCGTCCGTTGTCCCACTGCTGGCGGCCTTATCGCCCTGTCCAGCGATAGGGGAGCGCGGCGGACGTAATCCGAGACTCGCGTGGGGCTCGTTGGGCGGGGGCCCGCATCGCGCCGGATGTCCATCGAAAGGCCGTCAGCCGGGCATGGCCAACACCCGCGGGCCCCTTGGCCTCGTTCTATCGGGCGCGAGCTGATTCGAGCGTTTAATTCGAGCCGCTGGCAGCCTCTCTGGCGCGAGCTCCGCGGCCGGCCACAAATTGTTGACATGTGCGGCCATCGTCCCATTTAGCATCGGAGCCCCACTCGCGCTTTCGCCGAAACATGGGGCTACGCACGGGAAGCGGCTGCCGGCCGACCCCCGCACCGACGCTGGACAACCGCGACGCGAAGACGGGGTTCTCCCATAGAAAATTTTCTCAGGGAAATAACCTTTCCGAGCTTCGTTTGCAGCCTTCTGACAGGCGTTTCGAGTCGCCACGGCGTTTTTATGCCCAGTATATGACACCCCCTTTGCCGGTTTCGATGGGAGCGGGCATTCTAGCGCTGTCCGTGTCTGTCCTTGTCATCCAGTTGCGTCGGAAATGTGAGGAGATTGAGGGTGATTTTCCTCCTTTTCCCCGGATTTGTTTCCGGCGGGGGCAACACCTGGCTGGGGCAGCGAGGGGCGATCCGGACGCCAGTTGACAACTAATGACAACATTGAACGTGCGCTTGAACGGATTTTGTTGGATAGACTAGTGTAGGGTGACCACCTTCCTGCAGGCGAAATGCGGGACACGCTCAGACGCTCACCGAGAGGGGAGGGAGGAGGAAGGGGGAGTAAGAGGAGTACGGTATTTTTATGACTCAAGATATAAATATTTAAAAAGATTCAACATCATTGCACACCCTGATATCCTGTGCAGTCCGAAAGCATATTATACACCTGAAAATTCTGTGGCGGCAATTAAGCTCAAATAATTTTCACTCACAGTGATATATTTTTGTGTAATTGTAATGGTGGTCAATATTTTATTATGGTGCCTAAGTAAAAAACATAGAAATTGACTGCAGCAGACCCAAATGCATGAAATGGAAACAAGAAACAGTAAATCTTTTTCGACTTATTGTTTCCTGTCGATACTTACTCTTATCCTCACATGCTCTTGCACACAATTAGAACCATATGTTGTTGTTTTTACGACCCTTGTGAGTTGCAGGTTTTTTGCCTTGTGTGGCCGTCTTCACTAAAAAAAAGCTTTCCATAACAACTCTTTCGCATGACACAGTATGATTTGCAAACAAGTACAGTAGTTTATTTTTCAACTTTTGGCGAGCAATTTTTGCTTGCAATATTTTGCCGTCAAGGGTAGAGGCACAATAGAACATGCGCGTCCCACTCGTGCAACGACGACAGTCGCTTCCCACAGTGCTTGTATAGGAAATGGCATAACACCGAGATTCACACATTTATCAGCAACATCCGCACTACCCCGTGGCCCATTCTTTGGAAGCGCCATAGTTTGCGTAGTCGAATGCTACGACAATGTGAAATGCGGGACACTTTAAAGATTTTGGTATTTCTTGCGGGATGCAAGACACGAGCCCTCAATGCGGCACAGTCCTGCGAGTCGCTGGACGGGTGGTCACCTTAGACGAGTGGCAGTGGATGATGTAACAAATAATTTGCGAATCACTCGAGGCTTTGCCTATGCAATAGTGCACAACAGGCTTGGGTTTGAAAAGGCTTTGATTAAAATAAATTCTGCAGCCAGAGTGTGAATAATTTTTTAGTCGCCCTCGTATATCGATTGTAGTGTCAGTGCCATTTCACTTGCCTGTAGGTAAACACTCGATAACAGGGGGCAAACAGCCTGTTAAGTTCACTCCAGGGTGCAACCTTAGCTTTCTCAGTGCTGAGAAAGGCCAGTGCAGTCATCCTTAAATTCATTTTTTGTTTTCTTTACTGGGCCTTGTTGGTTGTCCACCAGTAATAAAATACCTTTGATGTGCCCGTAATGGGGGCAATGAAAATTGTTTTAATTTTCACTAAATACCATTCAGAATATGCTTCCACTATCCGGAATGTGCATTAGTTTTCTTATTCATGCGTTATCAGTTTCTGAAGACATTGGAGGAAAGCAAGCAGTATTCAACCCCTCAAGTCGTTGGCACTACAGAGGGCACATGCCGTGCCCCGAACGCTGTTGGAGTTTGCCAATTTCCATCCCAGCAGTGATTTGACACGACCTCCAACCCCAAAGTTTGTTAAGGCATTGCTCGTAGCCGAGTCTGAGCCAAACGTGGATATAGCTTATGTGGTGCTCGTGTCCGATCCAGAAATTTTATCTGGTGTTGTTACCCTTGGATGATTCTCACATCTACGCCGACAAGCTTTGCGAAAGTGGAAGGGTAAGAGATCCTTCCACCGACTGATACGAGTACTGCAATGCTCTCACTCACTTCTTAACTTTAAAGGGACACTGACACTCCCCCAAAGGCTTTGTTCTATTTTTTTCCAGGAGGTTCATTATGGTGTCGGAAGACTACCCAATTAATATTTTGCTACAGTGTCACATGTATTTCTAATAGAGTCAAAAAGTGCAAATGCTCATGTGGCTGTGCAACTTTCAACATATTTGCGGCTTTTTACAAGTACGAAAAATTGGTATCATATTTCATTTCTATTTTTAATATATAGTGTGGGTCTTCGATGACCCACGGCTTTGATTATATTTGGTGGTTGTGTCTAACCCATAGAAAACGGCACGCGACAACGGAAAAGAGAGTGAGCGCGACTCAAATCAGCCAGTTCTCGGTCGGCGGTTTTCAGGCGGAAAGAAAACTAATTTTGAACCACTAATTGTGTTTTGGATAGTTGGGCTCTCATATGTCATGTACAAATATAATAACCTTGGCAAGCATAAATACCCTGTCAGTGTCCCTTTAAGTCATACATCCGAATGGCTGCTAAAATCTAAATTACTATTCTACCTCAATACTCAACATTACACAAGAAAAATCTTGTGGCTCAGTAGTGTTAGGTGTTAGCTGTCTCGTGTGACACTTGTGCCAGTATGCTTGCCTAAAATGTGGCAAATTCAAAGTTAATATCATTCACCGACAACTCCTTCAAGGTTCAATCACAGCATGAGTAAGGCCTTGCTTCAGGGACGTCGCCAGGGGGGGGGGGGGGGGGGGGCATGGGGCCCGGGCTTCCCCCAAAATCTTCCATTTTGCTGGGGCCTCCTCTCCCCGCTCCCCCCTGAATCAAAATCCTGGCTACAAGCCTGCCTTGCTTCATTTGCCCGTCCACAAAATGTGTAGGCGTGAGCTCCCCTGGTGGAGGGCTTCAGTGTATGGGTGATTGTGTACCAGGAGCAGCTCAAGAGCTTCTTAGTCACTGCAGAGCACAGGTTTGTGGACAATCCAGGATCACCTGCGGCACCTAGGGTGCAGGCCGCGGCCGATGACTGTTCTCTTGCTTTAAAGTCCGTACGCCATTGTCCGTGTTGTCGGCATCCCTCGGACTGTACTTGTGTCACCTTTGTGGCGTCGTTGCAATTGTGCCATTATGCCTGCCAGTTACACCTGGCCTGGTGCAGTGGTATCAAGGAGCCAGAGCCATTGGCCGCTTTTCTTGCGGGGCCCTCCTAACTGAGCCCCTGTAGTGTGCTGGCCCCAACCGTCTGCCCGGCTACTTTTCACAACCCCCAGACCTGTCCAAGAACCGTCTGTACGAGCTTCCCCCGGAGGTGTGCCAGCTGTCGCTGCTGGAGCGCCTCGACTGCCACAATAACCTGCTGCGGACGGTGCCCTCTTCTGTGATCTCCATGCAGTCCCTCACCTACCTCGACCTCAGGTGGGGCGACTCTTGGCACCACGCTCCCTGACCCTTTGTCCACCCAAGGGCAGTGGCAGAAGTAGCCTCGTAAGGAAGACTGCGAATCAGTTGGACAGGTTTAAAAACATTACAAAGACACAGTCAAGAGCGAGAAGGTAGACGAACAACAGCTCGTTCTTGTCCATGTCTTTGCACTGTTTTTAACCTTTAACCATGAAATATGAACTAGTCCAAACTTCAATATTAGTTTTCTCGTAGCAAACAGCTTACTATCCATTCTGTGTGTGCTTACTGTTATCATTGTTTTATAGATACAAAAATCCCTTCTACCACCATATTAATAGTTTTTAAGAGTGACTTAAAGGGGCACTGACACCCCAAAGGTCGTATTTATTTTTATTGTCTAAAACGATGTAAGTTGCAGTCATAGACACGCAAAAAAAACCGCACCGCGAAAAAAAATTTTCCCGGGCCCGCGCGCGCCTTTTTATTTTTGGCGTTTGATTTTCCCGCCTCTCGCCTCCTCGCTTCTTTTGATCGGTGACGTCAAGAATCAGGAAATTTAGAAGCTTTGTAGGCGACATCTCTATAACATTTAATTACGGCAATCCTAAAACATGTTTTTTAACGCAATTGCGAACGCACTACGGTCCTTCTTTTTGAAATACCAAAAATCGGGAGTTCGTTGTGGTGCCGTCTCCTGGATTGGTATCCTCCAACGGAAAACAGGCGACACCGCTCAAAACCGGTCCGCCGCAACGAGCCGGCGCTCGCTCCTTTCCTCCTCGCTTTGGGTCGCCATGGCAACAGCAGGGAGTGGAGAAAAAAAAGTGGACTCTCAGGTCTCACCAATTTTTGACGTCAAGGCACCGGCGCCGATCGCGCGGGAACTTCGAATTCGGCATTTGGAAATTGTTTTTTTACTTCACGAATACTGAATTCCCAAATTTCAAATTTTGAGGGTAATGTCCCGGCATCGTTTTCGATCGTTTCGGATAATAAAAAAAAATATGATTTTGATGTGTCAGTGCCCCTTTAAAACCAGCCTCAGTCATATAGTGACTGAGATGCATATGTGACTGAAGTGATTTGTGCTAGTATGAAAATTATGTGGGAATTTACGCAAATTTATCTTCTCAGCACTCTATAATTCCCAGGCTGTAGTGGCCATTTCGCAGAAGAGATCAGTTAGAGAGACAGATATGACTGAACTTTTGAGTTGGGTGGCATTTTGCGTCCTCTCTTCAACTTCCACAGCTCATACATGCCACCGCGATGCACCTTGGGAGATGACAGAGGAAGCCCTCGTCATTCTCCGAGGCAAAGGGAATCGGACAACAATGGCAACAGCTAGTGTGCGCCTTGTGTGGCAGCTGTTGTTCCAGTTAGCAGTTGCTCGGTGTGACCTTTTGAAAACTGTGGATAGAGAAAGACAAGGGGGAGTTGTTTTCATTGAGCCCCGCCTGACCCATTGGCTCCTCCAGTGAAATATGTGGCTGGTTCTTGCACAAGGGTTGCGATGATGTCAGAATGCCGAGCTCTTATTGGCTGATTAAAAAAATATAGTGGGTATACCTCAAGCCATCTAGCATTGCGGTCTACCCACTATCCTTTCAATCAAAGCCAGTTGGAGTTCGGCATCGTTCTGACCTCACCACAACTCCTGCCCACAAAGCAGACGACTTGCTCTCCACATAAGAATGGCACGCTCTCGGCAACTGCCTATGGGAATCGTCAGGGCCCTCGGGTATGCGGCCTAACGCCTTTCCCGTGTGCAGCCGCAACCAGCTGAGCACGGTCCCGGCGGCCCTGTGCCAGCTGCCCATCCAGGTGCTGATCCTGTCCAACAACCGGCTGGTCTCCCTGCCCCAGGAGATCGGGCTCATGAAGTGCCTTATGGATCTGGTGAGCGAAACACTCGAGGAAGAGGCCAGTTGCGCCCACCCTCACTAAGGGTTGGCAGGCGGCTGAAACCTAGACTAAAAAGATTGCATGCTGCCAGAGCAGGTACAAAATAGACGATATGCAAAACTGCTTGGTGGTCTGGCAGTGCTGTGTGCGTGGCCATCTTGGTAGCGGAAAGTTTCCTGAGTTTCGGTTTCGATTTTCCGGGGCAGAGACGCTCTGCCACTGATTGTGATTCAGCAACTTTATTGTTTTCTGACTTCTGATCACCCAACGTGGACAAAGGACTTTGAATTAATTTTCAACGTGAAGACACATGGCGTCTTACTGTTTAGTGGTAGTCTTTTGTTAGCTGTTACTGGTGAAAGTTTTAATTTGTGGAAAGCTCCGAGTAAAAAAAACTGTGCCCTGGGAAATATTTTTCAGGCATTAAAAAGAGCTAAAATTAATTTCAAATAGCATCAACAAGCACAGTTGATGGATGTTGCACCGGTGAAAGATTTGTTTAAACCTGGCAGAATGATAGCATTGAATTTCCCAAAACTACCCCCGAGTTACTTTGTACTAAACAAAATTTTGACCTCGGCTGCAACAAAAAACAAAGGAGAGCAAAAGGAGGCCGTGAAATGAAGCTGGCCTCGCCGATGTTGCTCCACCCGACGTCTGCAGCGTAGCTCTTTGCTGCTGCTGACACCGAAGCTTTAGCCACTGCAATGAGCCTAAGCAAGTGATATAATCGAACGTGGTGTTCGACGAAAAAGAAAGCGAAATCTCACTCTGAGATTTGAGAGCAAAGGGACATGTCGTATCTTCAAGAATATTTGATCGACAAACTATCCAGTTTAGTTTTAGAGGCGTTTTACAAACCTCGTCGACCGACACCAGATCAAGTGTATGACCAAAGAAACTGAGGAAGAGGAAGAGACGAAAGGAGTTGTCAGAACGCCGAGCTTTGGTTGGAACGATTGGTGGGTAGCTTCCTTCGTCTACACTGCACTCGTCGAACGCATTCAAATGCGAGAGCCAAACACTGGACGCCGGCGTTCCGTGTTGTAACGTGTTTGGCGAGTGAAGGTTGAGATAAAGGTCCACCCAATAATTCCAACCAGTGCTCGGCGTTCTGACGTTTCCGTTTCTGACTCCTCTACCTCAGTTTCTCGGCGCATAGAAATTGCTGCTAAGCAATAAGATTGTTTTCTGTGGTGTTTTCAGCTTTTGTTGCTCACTGTTAACCACACGCATCCGCAATGATAATTGGTGGCTTGAACTATTAAATCCGTTTTTCCCCTTCCTTGCTTCACAGCCTCGGTCTCGTCTGCATACATTGAGCTGCTTTTGCATCAAGAAAAACAGGGGCCAACACTAGTGCATGCATCAGAAAAAAACAAAAAAAAACTCACAAATTCAGAAACAATTCCGGTAAAACTTTGTGAAAAGATTAGGGCACGGTTCAATAGCTATAAATTGGTTCATGCTGTGCAATAACGTCAGCATGTTTTTTCACGCTGTCGCCGATTATTGTCAAAAGCTGTGTGTATAGCAACGACAAAAAAAAGGAGAATAAAATGTGAACCCTGTTCACACTTGTGTTCACATCACGCACGAATCAAAGGTACATATCACCACTTCCGCAGCAAAACGCAGCAACGTGTTAGCATTGCAACTTTTGTACGAAGCGTGGTAGCTTGTTTACATTGGTTCTCTGCAAGTTGGGTCACTGGTTTCGGTTTCTCGCTGCTAGCAGATGTAGTTCAGGCGCGCTACTAGATGCCGCTCTACATTTCGTATATCGCCTATGGCGTCCGCATAATAATAAAAAGAAATTTAGTGGCACAGCCGTCTGTTTTGTTTATCGGTGGAAATGCTTTGTGAAGAATAGGGTATGAATCGGCACCCGAAATCGGTGGACTTGGAAATCTCCTCGCGCATTGCTTCAAATTTGGTTGTGTTCCTGCGAGGGTAGTTACTAGAGCCACTAAATAAGTTTGGAGCATCGACACACTCTTCCCAGATTGTCTCGTGGCCAGTTTCTTGCCTAGCGCAGAACAACTGGCTCAGTTACGATTTACAACTTCCCGAGTTTTAGGCATGGTTTTAGAAAGCTCGGGCGATTGCTTTGTTGCGGACTATTCAAACGTTTCTAGAAGAAGTGTTTTCTACGATTTCAGTTAAAGTTTTGGATAACTGGCCACAATGATTTGAAGCGACTAGATGGCAGAAGCGTCGTCACCCCGAAGTGTCGCCTATTTGGTGGCTCCGGCGGTTCCGAAAGCTTTTCGGCCGCCTCCTCGGGCAGACGTCGGTCCTCTCCGTCGGGGCTCGTTGCCCGAGCCATTTGTTGCCAAAGCCCGCGTTGCCCAGTCATTAACGAACGGGCGGGCGTGCAGGACGCGTCGTGCAACGAGCTGTGCCTGCTGCCCCCCGGCATTGGGGAGCTGTCCGGGCTGCGGTGCCTGCGGGTGCGCCGCAACCGGCTGGTCGAGCTGCCCGTGGAGCTGTGCGGCCTGCGCCTGTGGCGCCTGGACCTGGGCGCCAACCGGCTGGCTCGCCTGCCGCCCGCCCTGCGCCTCATGACCTCCCTCCAAGAGCTGCTGCTCGACTGCAACCCCATCGTGTCTCCCCCCGCCTTCGTACGTACGGCCGGCGGGGGAGGGGTCTGCTTGTTGCGGAACTTGCATTTTATCGCGACAAAATAGCAGCTGCAAAGAACAAAGACCACGAAAGAAACACTCACAACGGGAGAACAGTTGTACTCGCTACTGAACTCTATTACTTGAATAGGAAAAAGAATGCATAACACATAACCGTCAGATTTGGTGGTATGCATGTAGATTTCGTGGTGTTATGTGTTTTCTTCCTTTTCGAGTGATAAAGTTGAGTTGCGAGCGATGGTCCTGTCGCAAGTGTTCTCTTGGTAGTCCTTGGGTTGTGCCCCCCATTTGGGCATCTTGTGAGCTTGGTGTGTGCACATGCAGCCAAAGCAGGATGGAAAGCCACGAGGCATGTGAAAGACGCTCCTTGTCCTGTGAGGGACTGTAAAGCTGTGCCCATTGGGTCATGACATGCTCTGGATTCGGGAAATTTGTACATTTAAATCCTAAAGCCCCCGGATGTTTGGCCAGAAAAATGAGACGGGCAATATTTTGGGGGCAGGTGTTTGTTCGGAATTTTTAGGTTCTACACTACAAAAATAGTGTGGCAGTTTTTGTGCTGGGGTTCGTTACCTTGTGCCTGCATAGCTCTAGTTGCACTCACAAGCAACCTGAGCTCCCGAGCCTGTACTCGCTCGGCAGTGGGAGCATTACGACCATTCAGGAGGATGCACTGTAGGCAGTTGTAGGTTAAAAGGCTGTATGCATCAAGAATCATCCTAACATCTATCCGTTCTAAGTGCTAGAAACGCTGACAAAGTGAGCAGAACCGACGGAGCTTTTACAGCCGCCAAGAGAGGTTTTTTCTATACTTTGTTTCAGCTTGGGTCCGAGCGCGGCCGATGTTATGAGCCGAAGGGCCAATCAAAGAGCGCAAAAAGCACAGCGTCATGGCGTGCTCTCTGCAGTTGATAGGACCAGCCGGTATTCGCCGTGTCTCTGTGCGCGCTTCTCCGCCGGCTAGTCCTATCAGGCACAGAGAGCACACCTTGACACTGCGCTTTTTGCGCTCTTTGATTGGCCCTTCGGCTCATAACATCAGCCGCGCTCGGACCGAAGCTGAAACGAAGTATAGCGAAGCCTGAAACTTCAAGAATGTGTCAGACTGCATCACTTTTGCAAGGAGTTACTACTCCTGTGACCAAATGTTTGTGGAACAGTCGGGCCACACGGACCTGCTGCAAGTTCTAGGTTACAGCGTGCTCCCTCTGTCTTACGCAGCTGTGTACGCGGGGCAAGGTGCATGTTTTCAAGTTCCTGGAGATGGAGGCCATCAAAGAAGACCGCAAGCGGGGAGCCTTACTCGACTCGGAGTTCCGCAAGGGGCCCAGGAGCAACCCCGGAATGCTGTACGTGGGGCCGCACACGTTTTGCAAAAAATGGCATTTGGCTAATTTTGGCGTAGCAACAAAGATCTTCGGTGTACAGGGAAGTCTCATATTGGTGCCTGCTGTCACGGCACACTCTTGATTGTAGGCAGCTTTTGAAGCTTGCCAAAAGCTCTTTGCTTTTTCAAATGCACCCTCAGTGCCACAGTTGCTAGCTCTTAAGGTTTGATTTTGGTCCCAGCTGAGAGCGAAAGCTTTCTCGGCTGCCGGTTGAATGTGGCGTCGCAGCTTTCTGCTGGGCGAGTGTTATCGACCAATGAGGATTTCCGTTCGAGAGCCCACGACCGTGCAGTATTTTGGTGAGAAAGTCTCACCAACACACAAATGGCAAAAAGGCTCTTGCAGCCTCTGATGTGCTTATTCAGAATGCTCCTTCATCCATTGGAGGATTTCAGTTCGTGTGCAGCAGTAAAACAACTTGAAATTTGCAAAAACAGCAGGTGTTGCAAATCGTTTCTAACGTAAAATAGCAGATAATTGCAATTTCAGCCCGCAACCGATACTACTCTCACTTGGTTGTTGCACTTGGTTCATAGCAGATTATTTACTTTTTTTTTAGTTGGTTAGGAGACGACGTACGGTATTTTCTCGTTTTATTTTAGTCCGCTAATGACGTTTTTTTGTAGCCATACCCCGTTCTTCGCTCCCGTTAGCAGACAAACCATCCGGGAACAATATCTTAACTCGCTCCGCTAGAGGCAGATTAGATGTTACTCTTACAGTGAGCAAAATCTGTCCCCCAAGGATCTGTGAGCCGGACAACCCGACAGTCGACTCAGGTGCGGACGAGGATAGTCTGCGGCCGACCGCCTAAGCCTGGCCATAAGCCCCGTGCCGCAGAACGTTAATGTAATAATCGAGACAGAAATGTCCCGTGCATTTCAGCCTCCTGGAAACAGCAGAGCATAGATGCAGACGTCGGTGGTCTCCACGGGACCGTATTGCTGGCAACGCCTGTAAGGGCTGTATCTATAGCTTCCTTGCTTTACCCAGAAACACCGGCAAACACCGTTGTACAAAAATAAATAAAGTTGACGAGAAGTCGTGTCAAAATGAACATGGCTAACCTATCGTTTGGGGACCAGCAATGTGTGCACTTGCAGTTTGCCCGTTCTGCTCCCGTATTTATCCACTGTGGCCCGCGTGTGCGCAGTGGGGAGCTTCGCCACCTGAATGGGCAGCTGCCGGAGGCCAAGCGGTCCACCCTCGACTCTGGCTACAGCACGTCCGATGGAGACCGGCGCTGGTCCCAGGACACGCCAGAGGTGAGAGGCGCGCCCCGCTCTGTTCGTGCAAGCTGACGGCGTCGTGGCGCGCACGGACCCGCGAGGCAGCTTTTTGGGCGGCGTCCTCGCAGCCACCTCGGGTCTCACCAAAACGAGAGCCCGTCGGGCGCAGACCCCACCCTTGCCGAGTCGGAGGCGGTTTACGCGGCTGCAGTGGTTGCTGCACGTCTTGTGGGTCTGGCAGCAAGCCTGTAGGCCGAGGAAGAGCTTAGTCTTCTCGCTTTTCTGCCTCAACCTTCCACTCTAACGACGCTTTTTTGCGAGCAACGCAGTTCAGTATTTTTGATACCGGGCAAAGCGTGCCTTTAATAGACCCTTCTACTTCAATGTAAAAGTGGCTGGTTGCGAGTGAGCGACGGTAGCACCCGCAACTTCGTCGAGCTTGACTCGTACGTCCAAAGAATCCGACCGAATCTGCCTTCCGAGAAGACCCACTGGAGGCGCACTTCATCGCGGCATGGTCGAAAACTCTCTGGCTATTTTGATCATCTTTCTTTTCGGTGCCTGAAATTGACCAGGGTCGGGAAATGCCGTAGAAACACGAGCCGGAAGAGACTCCAGCAAATTCCTTGTCCCGACACGCGTCGGGAGCTTTCTGGGCGCCGTCTTTGTCGAACGAGCAGCGTTTTCTTTCCAGTCGAGATTTTGGACGGGTGTATTTAGCGCCCTCGTCTCACGGTCGATGGCTTCCGGGGAATAAGTTTCGAGCGCAATGCTCTTGGACAGGCACGGTAGCTTGGGCCAGCAGCCCTTTCGACGGTGCTTCGGTCAAATGCCCATTTCGACAATCTTTGTGGACACCCGACGGCGCGTCGCTTCCCCACCCACTCAATGAAGGGCCTAAAGCGGTGCCTTTCGCTTTGCAGTCGGGTTGCGAGCCCGAGGAGGGGGGTCGGCTGGCGTTGCGTGCGGCCGAGGCGACCAAGGAACGGCGTCAGGAGCGGGAGCTGCAGCTGCACCGGCACCTCTCGGAATCCTCCCCAGGGCGGCCCCGCACCCCGAGCACCCTGAGCCCCGGCTCGGAGGTAGACGCGGAGGAGGCCTTTGCCGGGGTGAGTCCTCCGAGCATGCTTCTACGGCCGTGCAGGGTGCCCCTTCTGGCGCGGCACTTTGTGTTTTTGGTTTCGAGGGGTGGACAGTGAGGTTGGGAGAAGTCTTTTTGAAGAGAAAGGCGAGGAAGCTTAGTTTCCTCGCCATCTTTTTATATACATTCAGCTGCTTCTATACACAAGCATGACCCAACCAACTCTGCTTCAACGCGTCATAAGGCCTTTTAAGCTCTTTGCGCAACTTTTTACAACTTATAGCCGTTATCGGCAAGGTTTCACGACAGGTCCTGTCTGTGTACGTACATTGCGGCGAGCTAATTGAGGGAGAAAAGATTTTCGCTAGATTTAGTGGGGAAATTCGTTCACCATATTGCGTGACACCGCGACACCTGCGTGTCGCAAGGGTGACACGACGTTGCACGGCAATGTCACAACGACACGTAATGTCACGCGACACTGACGTCACGGTGTCGCGCTATGAAATATGACGTAGTGGTGTCACATTTTTTTTTACTGTTTCTTTGAGTAATTATGTTTTCTAAAAAAGAATTCCAGCTGTGATTTCCCTGGGTGCCAGCTTCCGCACGGTGCTCCCGCCCTGTGCTCTGTCGGGGACAGAGTTATGAATGCTGGAGGTCTGTTGGCAGGAACTGGCCCTGGAAGAAATGGACGACACGAACCAGAAGAACGGCGACAGGGACGCTGCCGACACCGGCGGGGTTGGCCATGTGCAGGGGATCAGGTGGGCATGACTGAATCTCGGGTCAAGGCTGCCTGCTGCGCGCTTAGTTCATGGGCCGGTCGAGGGAGATGTTGCTAGAGGACGCCCAATACAGTCAAACCTCGTTATAGCAATTGTCGATATGGCGAAGTAAATACAAAACTTGGTCGGAGGTTCGTTTGCACCATTTTTTCTATCCGCAGAATTGCCCTCCAGAAAATGTACAGCACTTTTCCCCACAAAAATAAATTATGTATATTCTCGGCCCAAATGAGGCGCTAGTGGTCTGAACCACACGCCAAAGTTTCAGAACTAAACGTTATCTTAATCAAAAGTTATAGGTGATTTTCTGAAATTTTAAATGGCGAAATAGTGTCCGACAGATCTTTACAATACATGGAGCTCCATGGCTTAGTCATCGAAGACTGGTAAAAACGGCCCCCATTTTTCTCTAAAAATTTTCAGAAAATCACGCACAACTTTTGGATGGTATAAGAGTTGGTTCTGAAACACTGGTATCTGGTTCGAACTAATACCGCTACATTTGGGCGCAGAATGAGCGTTCAGCTATGCATAGTTTATTTTTGCAGTGAAAAAAATATTTTTTGGGAACATGCTGTATTTGGGAACATTGAATATCGGATATAGCACACTAATTTTTACAACCAACGCTACTTCGTTATAAAGAGGTTCGACCACATCTCATTCGCAAGTGCCATAGAGGACAGGATAATTCTGCCAAGGGCTATTCTAAATTAGGCGGAGGCATTGAGGAATATCTTAGAAACATCCTCACAGTTATTGGAGGTGTTTAGATATTACTGTTAGCGCCGTCACAAAAGAAGACGACCAACCCCAAGCACGTGCCATTGCTCGCATGGCGTGCTATTATTTTTGCTGGGCAGGCGTACCCGCCAGACGTATATTAAATGCCCCTTTTAAACCTTTGTCGATTTTCGTTCTCTATATCGAAGCTCTAACATTACTGTAAGACATGGTTCGTTTCCTTCGTGAGCATTAATCACACCTCTAATTTTTTTTTGCTCGAAGGTCTTCCTTGCAGACGTTCTCCGGACATCCTAATGTTTTGAGGATGCCTTGCGTAACGTCTGTAGGACGTCCGTGCCACCCGTGTTCGTGTGAGAAAATGAATGCGAGCTTAACATTCCATTAGTTGCAGTAGAATGGAACGGTCACTTTCAGTTACACCGACAAAGACGAGCTCCGCCGTGTTTGATAGCTGCGATGTGCATGCCCAGTCCCAGGCCACGAAACCTAGGAGCCTCCAGTAACCGCACGGCTGGGGCCGGGCGGTGCAGCGAGGGACTTGGGGCGCTCAGGGTCGCCCCGTACAATCAGTTACAGGTGGCCACCAGCACCGCCGGAGAGCGGAGAGGGCCCCGGGGTTGCCCGCAAGGCATACCCCCACATCCAGACGTACAGGGAGTTCAAGGAGGCCCTTCGGCAACAGCGGTTGGGAGGTGGTCTGGGGCCAAGAAGGGGCTCGGAGGGGAGCGGCAACGGCAGCCTGCCTTCCTCCACCTGCTCCAGCCCCCCCGTGCCTGGCAACAACCACGTCACCCCTGTGAGTGGTGCTTGGGCTAGGGCCTGCTGCCCGGTGCCTGGCAGCTTTTGAATGCCCAGTTCTGGCTTGTAGCTCGGCGTCTCAAATGGCAAAGAGACCGCTTCGCAGTGATAAAAGTGTTACGCCATTTGTGCCATTTTGCGCCATCAACACAAGTCTGCTACATCTTGCGCCAAAGCGCCATTTTTGCTAAGAATTGTGCCACCTCTGCACCGAGCTGAGCTTGAACGAAGTAAAAATATTTTATTACTGGTCGATTCTAATATTCGAAGAGTAGAAGGAAACGAAAATGGTACAAATATGTATTTCACAGCATCTCTACCCACCATATAGTTTGTTTCGTTTTATGTCAAAGCACAGTCAAAGGCCTAAAAAAAAAACATGTTGACAGTTTTTTCATTTTTTTTAAAAGGGTGTTCTTTTTACTCTCTAGGAACCTGGTAATATGCTCAATCTTTTTATACAGTTCTATGAAGCTTATCATTTCGAGTAAAATAAATCGGAACCGAAACTCGCAGTCGGCCTTCCCGCCATACAGCCTCTCCTATAAGGGAGGTGTCGTGAACAGCGAACTATCGGTTTTGGTAGAATTTAGTGGTTGTGAGCGCAGCTGGCGTGATGAGCTGTTGCGTGGTTTGAGAGCTTTGTACCGCATTACAACTGCAGGTAACCAGGATATTCGTGCTTCGTATGCCGCTTGCCAAGCTACTCCTTCATTTGGTTGCCACACTTCATGCAAAGCAAGGGTGACTTGGTCACTTGCAGCAGTTTTTCGATGCAGCCACCTATGATGTTGCCAATCATGTTGCGAGCGGCACTATTGCATAACGAGGAACAATTAGTTGTTAGTTATTGTGTGTTGCTGTTACGTACCAAGCGAGACAGAAGACCGTGATAGGCTCAACACGGACGCAATCAATACCCCAAGACTTAACACAAGTATGGACTTGCTCGAAGAAGCTCGGCATAAAAGTGACAAAAGTCTCGGGTTTGCGCAGGGGCGTGTACCGATGTCCTCGTTCCCACATATTTTAGCGCAACACTTCGGTGCACCACAGACGCAGAAAGGTCTCGTTAAATGAAAGGCTGGATGGATGTGCAGAAAAGATGACAACTCACAATCGAAAACGAAGATGAGCGGTGTCCGTTCACTTTTACCAATCGCCCGACAAGCCTCAAATGTCGCGGACTATGTGGCTCAAAAGCTGGATTTTTTTTGTGGTCTGTGTCATCGGTTCCGGCGTGATTATTGCTGGATTTGTTACATTCATTCGTGCGGCACGCAAGTGCATATTTGGGCAAAACTTTGTCAGCATTACCTGGAAGACGCCTGACATCTCTATTTCAATCGTTAAACTGAACTTCCAAATTGTCTTCATTGTCTCTTTAAACACATGTAGTCACGAACAGGCATACTAAAAGCAGAAGTTATGGGACATTCGCAGTGCTTGATTGGTTCAGCCATTGAAAGAGCACACACAGATAGATGACGAATGCCACGATGCACACTTTTGATGCTATTTGGTTGGTCCTATTGACTCGTAGCATCGCCTGCACAGTGTCCCCTAAATTTAGTATCTGCTAATATCATTTTGAAGTAAAATTAAAAAAAAAGCGAGAGGGTTGTCTTTACAGTAACAGTGTTGCAGAGTGTACATAGACCGTTTCGCGGTTGCGCGTTATGAAAATCATCTTGAAATTAAAAAAAAGGAAGCAAAAACACTAAGTGGTTGAAGTAGGCATAATTAATATTACTTCGAAGCTTGCTTGAACAAAGTGCATATTTTTATAATACATTGGCATGCAATAGTATTTTAGAACATATAATCTTAAGCAGAAAAGGTGCGTGGACGAGGGTTAGAACGATGAGACTTTTCGCGAAGAGGCTGTGATGCCCGGGATCTTATACCAATGGGTTGAAAATGGACGGGTTCAAACGCAAAGGGTCTTTCGAGTATCGGTTGAAGCGGGGCGGGTTCAAACGAAAAGGGTGTTTCGGGAATGGGACGAAACGGGAAGGGCGTTTTGAGAATGGGTCGAAACGGGACGGGTTCAAACGGGAAAGTCGATTCGGGAATGGGTCGAAATGGGACGGGTTCAAACGGGAATGGGTTGTTTCGGGCTACACCCTTCTAAGAAGGAGGATGGAGTGTGTTTTTTTTGCAACCAATCTGTTCTTACCACAAAGTATAAGTAATATATGCTCAGGTAGCAAAGAAGAACCCTGAATCAAAGTCGGGTATGACCTCACTTAGCGACGCAATCACCTTTTCATGCGACATGGTAACAGACGTTGGCATCTGCTCCAAAAGCTTCAGTGGCTGCTTCGAACCAATATTTTGCCCGCTACAAAAGCTGCAACAAAAGGTCCAATGCCGCTTCCAACGCCATCATCGGTTAATTGAGTGGGCAGCTAGCAAGGGTGCCCCGTCTTCAACTGGTGTATCTTTCCCGCATGCCAGGAGTGGTGCTGAAGGGGCTACAAAGGACCTCCCAAAAGTGTCGCGATCCTAGTGTTTGGCCCTAGAAGTCTCGGCAAAAAGTGAGAGTGAACGCAAGTGTCACTGTTGTCGCAGAGTCCCATCTCTCGCCTGCTGGAGCTTGTGTAGATTTTCACAGTGCCAAAATCGCGACCGGCAACTACGTGGCGCTTTCACGACGTCGTCAAGGAGAAATTGGGGGATGCGGTAAAAGTTGAAAAGGCAGTCGAGACACCGCAGCGAGGGGCCGGCTCCGGTTCCTCGGCCGACGAATGCTTCCTTGCCGGTGCGGATTGGGCGGACATTGGGACGAGTTTTGCCCCCTCTGCGCAGGAGGAGGAGTTCCGGGCGAGGCACGAGGCCATTGTGCACCAGCAGCGGTTAGAGGCAGCCCTGGCCCAGCAGCGGCTGGAGCAGGACCGGCCAGCCTGGAGGCAGCCCCCGTGTCAGGTAAGACCGCTTTCCCGCCTACACGTCTTAATCTCGTCAGCTGCTGGCCGAGGGTGAGGGGGGGGTACTCGAGTGTGGACGGTTGCTCGTCGTTGCAGCTCGTTGGGTTTCTCTTGCTGCCGTCTGCCAGGCTTTACGTGCCGGCCGGTCGGAATGTAGTCATGTGTCGACTGCCGTCGTCGTGGCCCGCAACCCAATACTCCGGCGCATGCTTCAGGCCTGCCTTTTATCGTCGCTGGGAACGTCTCCGGCGTTACCAACTACGTTCAGCCACCTCGCGGGGGAGACGGTCCGGGGCGACCGACGTGCCATCCGCTCAACCGACAGTTTCGTGTCACTAGATTCCCCAGAAACATTGCTCGAAGCAATCTCCTGACAAAGTGCGGGGAAGAAGCGGCCTGACCGGGGTGACGTGCGGACTTTACAGAGCGCCCCCAAGGTGGAGAGGGGTGCCGTGCGGGAGGCCCCGTCCCCTGGGAGGCCCAACGGGCTGACACCTCCAGCCGAGCGGGGGAAAGGCAGCCCCCGCACCCCTCCCCGCAGGGCTCTGGCCGTGGGGCCAGACCCCCACTTCACCATCCGCAGGGGTCTGGAAAAGGCCCGGGAGGAGCAGGAGCTGTTGGACCAGCTGCGATGGGTGCGCCCTAAGCCCTTTCCTCCGGCAATGCCACCCTCGCTGGTATGGTGCGCGGAACGCGTCTCGAACCGATGTGTTTACCACGTCCTAAATGGTGGTCTTTTGATTTCCACCGAATGACGTCGCAGAAGTGTCGTGCTGTCGCCGGTCGTGACCCTGGCGGGGTTGTGGCAGCAACGGCGGATATTCTGCCGCAGGTTGTTTTGTATACAGAAGCTCTGGCAGCCAGGAGTTGGAATGTTGCGAAGACAGCGACACTTGCATCAACTCCTAGTTTTTACCTCAACTTGTACGTTCAGTCGTTAAGACATTGGACGGAATGACACCCTGGCTGACGTCTTTTGTTGTGGGACCGAAGTAGGGTCGGAATAACACACCAGTTAGAAATGTGTTCCAGGCACCATAGTCTTACACATTTGGATTTTACTGTTTATTACACTCTACTGACAGTCGCAGGCTTTTGTAGAATTGCAATGACCATAGAGAAACAAATTTCTGCACAGCTCTCCACGATACACGGGGGTCACAAATGGAACACCAAATGCACCTCAAATTTTGTGCTACGTTTTGAAGGTGCTGGTGATAAAAATGTAGCAAAGTCTAGGATACACCATGAGCATATACTACCTCTGGAGCACGGCCTGGGGTGTGTGGCCTTTAACTCGCGTGGGAGTGAACGGTGACGCTCTGACGGGGGATGGGTTGGAGCACGTCCGAGCCGGGATGGCCTCCCCGCAGGTGATTGAAAGCCGGCTGAAGGTGAGCTTGCCCCCGGAGCTGGGGCCCTCGCTGATGGACGGTGTGGTGCTCTGCCACCTGGCCAACCAGGTGCGGCCACGCTCGGTTGCCAGCATCCATGTGCCGTCCCCCGCCGTGGTCAGTGCTTTTCTTTCTCTGCTTGTTCGGGGGTGGTAACACAGTCTGAGGTACACGTAGGTGTGGACGCGGCAAACACTGCAATTAATCAACCAACTGAAGTCCTATTGGCACACGCGTGCCCCAGTGAAATATTCTGACAGCATCTCCACCAACCAGACAACGGAACTGAAAAAAGAAGTGTTTTGTTGGCATGACACTTCTGCTTCCACGCATTCGTAAAAACTGTTCTTGCTGCCATTGAGGCATGAAACTAGGGCCAATGAGGACGCAGTGTCTGAGCAACACGTGTAGCGTAAGTGCCAAGCTCTGTGTGACAATACGCACCCAAAAAATTACTTTAAAATTGAGCGTGTCTGCTATAGAAAAGCTTGGTAAACCGAGGCTGCAACAGGCAACCACTAGTCTGTCGTCGAAGAGTCGTCTGGTGTCACCGGTTGCAACTAATGGAGGAGAGGATTGAGGATTTTATCTGGCAGGCTGTGACGCGGACAATGTGCACTCCTACCGTAAAATCTTGAGAGATGCCCCACCCCTGAAATATAGCCCACCCATATTTTTGGCTGATCAATGATGGCCTCGGCGTAAATGCGGCTAGTTCACTACGGCGGGATGTAAGTGAACATGCTAGCTGGGATGTACAGTCATCTTTGCTTCATTGCCCCTCGCCACCATAACAAGCTTGGAAGGGACACAAGCTAAAATGAGCAATTATTTAAAACTTTTCTTGATTGCACACGGAGAGTTAGCCCACTGCGTGTTTTCAGCCGATTTGCTCTTGATGTTAGGTGGTGTTCGAGGCGGGGTTTGAGCCGCACGTCCGGAAGCTTCCTGGCTCGAGACGACGTCCATTCCCCGAAGTGAAGAACCCAGGGGTTCAGTGGAGGTGGGAGACTTGGTAACGTAACGAACGGTTTAATTACATGGTAGCGATACAGTCGTCAAATCCGAGAGAACAACGGAGCAGCCTCGCGCTCCGCCTTATATAGGGTCCGTTTCTCCCTCACTCTCCGCCAGGGCAGCCAGTACGATGCAGCAACCCGCCGTCAAGTGCGACGCAGCAAAGTCCGCCGTCCAGTGCGACGTAGCCAAAGTTCTCCGCAGTTAGGCCATGCCTCTCTCCCTTTCCCGAGCGCACCAACCACCACGCACACACACACGTCCCGCTAACGTCACGGGCGCGTTGAGACTTGTTGCCGCAGGCCCCGTCACGCAGGCGACGGTCCCGGACTCGTCGGGACTCGTTTCGCGCAGGCCCCGACAAGCGGGCGACGGTCCCGGACTCGTCTTGACTCGTTTCCGCAGCGTTGAAACTCGGAAGAAGGTCGCCGAAGGTTCCGTTCTTAACAGTGGGCTCTCTCTCGTGGTTTTACGGTATATATATCTTGCACGGTGGGTTTTGCGACGTTTTTGGAGGATGTGTTGCTCATTCTGCTAGAGAAGTTGGGGAACTGTCAGGGGAGAGCTAAGGGACGCCTGACGACGGTCAAGAAATTTGACTCCAGCCTACCCAAGGCCGACCACATTTCTAGGGTCCGCTTTCGGCTCTCCCTTGGTTCGGAGGTGCGGTCGGCCGATTGGGAGCCCAGCTGCCGAGTTTGGCGCGTCTTCTTCATGACAATCACTCTCTACTCAGTTTCATATTTTGTGTTCAACACCATCAAAGCTGCTAGTGAAAGCATGTGTCCCGATTTAGTGTTGGATTTGCACGCACTCTCGTGGATAGGGGATGCCAGATAAAGCCGCGCACTCGAGTTGCTGTACCTTCGACAGCATCGTACACTGAATATGAAACATAGTTTAGGCATCCTCATTTTAACAAATTGTTTAGGAATTTTAGCGTAAGAACCAAAAGCTGGGAATTTGAGGAATTTGACGACGGCCGTAGGTGGGCCGTTCGGCGGGCCATTGACTGCGCTCATCTTGTCTCTGGCAGCCCAAGCTGACCATGGCCAAGTGCAGACGCAACGTGGAGAACTTCCTCGGTGCCTGCCGTCAGCTGGGAGTACCCGAGGTCAGTGTTGCGAGGTGCAAGAACGCCCTTTGGGATCGGCCCTGTCGGCGCCCTGACGGTTGCCCCATGTCATACTTTTCTAACCTTTCCTCTTTGGCTCAGTTTGGGCCAGCATGTCCCAAATTAGTCTGTCGAGGGTTTACCCGTTCGAGCGGGCACCATTTTATTCCGGACGTCTGCCAGCGTCAGGAGCCCAGAGTGGCATAGCTGCAGGGGTAGCTCGCGTTTAGCCACATCTGTGACTCATCAAAACATTCTTCTCTCTTTGAGTGCTGCCAGCTGGCCTTTGAAAGCCTCCCTTGTGAAACAGAGGCAATGAGGAATTTCAGTTTAGAAGCAAAGTGCTTTATGGAAGAACCCATGTCTCTATTACTTTAGGGTTACAAGGTAGTAGTAGGAGCCTTAAAATTGAAGCTGCAAAGAATACTTTCTAATAAACTGTGAGCTAGGAGCAAATTTCAATTGTTGCACTGCTAAAACGAAAGAATGGTGCTTGGTCTTGTTAGCTTACTTTTCATTCTAGGCTAAAATGCATGTTCACTGTACGATTTGTGATTGCCCTGTACAACAGCTGGCTCGACACTAAATCTTCCTTGGATATTGCACTCTTACCTTAAAATCCCGAGCAAGCGCCTACTCAAAATTTGGATCATGTAAAACTGGAAGATGGGTGCTCCTTAGGTCAACGTAAAGAAGTGTCCTTTGTGCAGTTTCCAAATGTTACAACATTGAGGGGTGGGAACTCGTTGTGGAACGGGCGGATGCTCGGAATATTTGCGGTTTGTGGTCTCGCTCTACACTTCCTTAATGCTATCTGGGACATATTTTTAAGTTCTACACAATGTGGGAAAAATAAAAACCGTGGGTCAGGCTGCATTGAAGCTAGATATGTCCAGGGTTGACAACGGTCTTCCCAGAACAATTTCTTATGGATGCTGCGCTTTTGCTAGCGAGAAACCTATAATTAGTCGAGTATTTTTTATTGAAAGAGGGTGAAGTCGAAGAAAGAGAAACGGTGGCAACTGCAGCACCGAGCTAAGCCACCGCGTTCAGTGTCTTTCTTGGGATGAATCGAGGCAGCTGATTTCCCTTTTCTCGGTCGTCGCCTTTGAGTAGCTGTAAAATTGGTTCGTTGGGAGTCCAGTATAGAGGATGCCGAGTTGCGAGGCTGTAGGAGGCTCCCATGGACGAAAAGGAAAGCTAATTTGTTCATATATCCAACCACGAAGGGAATTTACCTACTCTGAACAAATGCTCGACCATGTCGGTGCGTTCATACGTGCGTCTTTGTGTACTTGGCAATGTGAGAATGTCCAAATTTAACTTCGAGAAAGGGACGATTCGAGCCTGGGACTTAGTGAATGACCTTGGCGACATCCTTGTACCCCTTGCTGTGTAATGCCCTTTGTTACATTTTAATGCTCTTTTTGTTTGCTGCAACTACACGCTGCTTTCTTCACGAAAACCTTGGTACATAACGCACCTGTCCAATAACACCCGCAACCCATCCTTGTTTGTGTCCTGCACGGCGAGAAGGCCGTCTCTTGTTATTCCCCGCCTTCCGCTCGGGCTTTCGGGCTCGCAGACTCGGGAGGGCCGAGAGGCCGAGCAGGGGCGAGCGTCCCGCAGTGCCGGTAGGCCCCCCCGGGGCCGTGTCCGTAATTCGTTTGAAGCCGAGCCGATGGGACGCTGCAAACTAACTGCTCGTCAGTTAACCCCGGCCTTGCGCCACGCTCTCTGTGCGCACTTGGGTGCAGAGATCGGGCATTGAAAGGCAGGCTATTGATTGGTCCAGCCTTCTCCACTCTGTCACTTTTGAGGTGAATGGGGTGTAGTCGACGTGATTCGTTGTCGTATGGTGCCAAGTGGTTCGACACCCCGGAGGTTGGTCCTACAAGAGCCGCATTGTTCATCTACGGCTCGCAGAACCTTAGACTGGAACACCGGGAGCCGCTCAAATCCCGAGCTGTTGGGTGTGGACACGAGAGATGAGCTGGCCTCATATTTTAGCGTTTGTGCCCCACTGCTACGGGGGAAGGCCCCGACAATTCTGTCCACTTTTATTTGTACAAGATGCCTACGTTTGCTTTGGGTCGAGGTCGTACCTGCTCAAGGTGTGGGACCTTCTTACTTTGCACCGAAAGATATTTGTTGCTCTGGGTGTACTTGGTTGCAAAGGATGAACACTAGGTGTACAAGTGTATTTGTGGCATTGAAGTTCATCCAATATCCTTTCAAAGACACCTCATATTGCCTATTGCTGCAAGAGTAAACAGACGGAGTGGTGAAATACATTGTCGCCGCGATATAGCTTTACTATCCAGCAATACGACATTGCTGATTAAAAATTTTTTAAATTGAGTTGGATGCCTTTGGACGTGCCAAGCTGAACCGGGGGACCAGGACAACGCCATTTGCTGCGATTGGTCAGCGCCGTGCCGCTAGCCAATCAGCACTTGCCGCTAGCCAATCAGCCGTGCCGCTAGCCAATCAGGCTTTATCCCAATTTCGCTTGGTCCTGCTTGGTCCCGCTTGGTCCCGCTTGGTCCCTCCGCGTAGCATAGGGTCCCAGGTGCGAGTAGACATGTACATAAGTACAAGCCTGTTCCCTCCTGCAGACGAACACAGACCGGGAAACCACCTAGCAATGGATCACTGGTATATCTCTGTCCCAAAGTCTCCGACATTGCGGCAGTGGGTCAAGCTTGCCTGTAGAGGCATGGTTTTTCAAGAGACTTTCATATTTATTGTAGCTTTCTTTAAGGTTTGTTTTTCAAACTGCCTGCCACAGAGAAGCCTAAGTATAGATAAATTTTCTTTGTGTCATGAGAGTTCACTGAACCCAGGAGCGTATTCCCTCGTGGCACCACGTGCACATTACTCTTTTTCTATCACGTTTGAGAGACTCCAACGCGATAGAAAAAGAGCTGTTTAGGGCTCATCTGATTGGATAATAGTGCCACCAGTATTGAGGCACATTTTTCATTCCGCTTTTGAGCATAATTTTAAAGGTTGGCAAGTTGACTGAAACGAATATTCCAAAATACAGTCGACAGCAAAAGTTTGCAGGTTGAGGCTTCTAAAGGTGCACGACTGCTCTCAAGACTCGTGCTTTAAGAGTTTGCTCTCTTTGCGTGCTCGCAGTCATGACTTTTTTACTCGCTTTTGTTCAATGCGCACGAGATAACTGGAACCTGCGCAAGGTGCCGCTTTATCAGCCGTCATGCCGCTCGTCTGCCTCGGCCACCATGATGGGTGATGGAGCTCGCATGCTACAGATGACATTTCACGGCACCTTGCGCCAGTCCCTGTTAGGTCGGGGGCGTCGTCAGAAGGCGCAGCCAGTCTTTTCGGCTGGTGCTCCCGTGCCCTGCAAACTTTTGCTGTCGATTGTACACTCTCTTGAGTGCAGTGGCTGGGCTTCTCCCAGGCTCTGAGCTCAGACTGGAAGGGCCCACTGAGAGGGAATTCATTTGCCACCAGCCACTGTGGTTGGCAGATCTGACTGTTTCCAGAACCTGCCTGCTAGCGTGAGCCATTGGTTAACTTGTGGCGTGTTGCTGATGCCGGTTCCCCTCGGCTGCTGGGGCAGCTCTGTCATGCGAGCCACTTGGAACGAACCACTGTTGCCAGCTTTTGTAAATGTCTCAAATTTTCTGCAAGTGGTAGTAACCATAACGAATTGCAGGAAGCTTTTTTCTTTACACTGTAATTTGTTTGACTGGCACTTGCTTTTCTTTTTGTCAAGTTCTGGGATTGCTGGATGTTCCAAGAGTTTTGAAATGGCTCGCAGGTCTTGATGTCCTCGAGGCAGGGGAAGGCCGTGGATTCGGCACTAGCCAATTTTGTTTAGTACAATAGGAACATTCGGTTTTGCCTTCAATTTGCTCTTTATTGTTCTTGTTAATTATCAAATTATTGGAACCGCTAGTGTTCCTTTTTTGGAAGTCTCAGAGTCTGAGTGATGGAATTTTGCATATAAGGCACTAAATCCTATTTATTAGAAATGGGGCCAGGTCAGCTTGACGTGGTGGCGTGACATCCTGCGTTTGCTGCACTTGGTTTGGCGATTTCCTGCTTTTGCTTCTTTTTCTTTTCTCGCAATATCCCTCTTGATGTATGTGTACTTGGTTGCGCTGGAGAAAATCATGTTGTGCTTCTTGAGACTCAAAAATGCTACTATTTTGTGCAATGCTGTCGTCTCCCCGAGGCATTCCTTGTCGCGAGTAAGCAGTTAACCAACGACTAGACGCAACAACCAGGCAGTGGCACTTGCCTGGTTGTTACTGCCTGTTGATATGGTGCGGTGAAACCCGTCTGCGATACTTGGAAAACTTTGCCCGGTAAGTGTCTAGACTACTGTAGCAGAATCTCATTGATACGTTTTCAGTTTATATGTTTTTCTGTCCGTTACCCTCTCAAATGCCGGTCCCATCGAACTCCCGTAGTGATATGCATATTTCTCACTAATTGCGTTTGCGTACCCAGCTGTTACATCCGAAAACTGTCGCGCAATGAGTTGGGCTGCCCGGTTGCAAACGCCTGCTTCTTTTCGTTCCGTTCCCCCCTTTTCCACCTCTTTGTCTCAGCCTTCCTCTCTCCCGGACCAGCAGGACCCCCGGCCTGCCCTATTTGGGAGAGACAGGCAGGCCCAGGGTCTTGCCCGTCTGGGAAATATTTTTGCTGCGAAAGTACAAAGCAGTGACATCCTACGTCGGGAGGTGTTTCGGGACATGCTGCCCGCAAGTTTTACCGTGATTTTACATTTCTTGATGTATGTTTTTTGGTTTCCAAACTTGGCGTAGACCACAACTTATCACAAGTGCATGATTCTGTTTTCTCTATGCTGTATATACAGCTGCAATGGAAAACGAGTGGCACAAGTGACCGATGACCCAAGCGGCAAAATGGCGACACAGGGCGCTTTTGTTCCCGAGCGCGCCGATAGTGAGAGTGCCAGTCACGTTCAATGTCTAAACACGGGGGTGGCCGGCAGAAAATTGAGGGATAAGATAGCTTTCGAGATACGGGCTTTAAGATGGGCTGCTTTCTGTCAACCATCCCCCGCGTTGAGTTATGGAACGTGACTGGCTTTCTTGCTATCGGCGCGCTCGGGAACAATAGTTCCACGTGTCGCAATTTCGCCGCTCTGCGCGTCGTTCGCTTGTGCTACTCTTTTTCCTTTGCAGGTGTACTTAGTAGTTACGCTGAACTAGGCTCCAATATCGCCTTGTGGCTTAAGGATGTTTGAGGGTGCTACTCTGCATTTAGTGAGCTCCCAGTCTGCTTGCTACCAGCATGTGCATGATTCATTGTTCAGTTTCCCTTTCCCTCGCTGCATCCCAAGCTTCATTCTCGTCCCTTTTTAAGAGTGATGCAACTATCTGCTCCATATGGGCCATATTGTGTTTCTGTTTTGACTCGATGTGAGGATCAATATGATTATGCTGCATAAAAGATGCGCTTGTGTCATCTCTGGTTACACACATTTATTCTTCTTCTTTTTCTGCAACGATTTCGAGCAACTTTTTCTTCAGCTAATATAATGTAGGGTATGAGATTGTGAGCTGTAGGCCGGCCCTATGCTCTTATTTCCCGATCCCACCTGCAGTGGAGCGCGGGAAAGCAGCGCTGCCAGAAGCAAAATGTTTTTGAGCTTCCCTATTTCAGTGGTGGTAGCATTGCACCGCTCAACTGAGATGCAGCGGCAACACTGGTTACGGAGCCTGGGGAGAGTCACAGACGAGGGGAAAACGTCCGGGAGGAGCTTGAATTGTCCCGCCTCCAGCTTCTTACCTTCCACAACGTTTGGGCATTTTGAGCACACATGTGCAATCAAAGCCTGTGCTGGAGGATGGGCGCTTCAAAGACGCCGTTCTCACTTTGTCAATGGCTATAGACCATTCCATTTAGCACTCCCAGGGCGGCGCCATCTTGTTCGATCGCAGCGCCCCCTCCACACATCCGGGAAGGTGAACATCGAACTCTCGCTCGTGGCTGCCGTTGTAAAGGGGTCCGCATTCTTAAAATATTTATAGCCATTCCAAAATCAGCCTATATTGCTTTGTTGTTTTATTTTAAGATCAATTAGCGTATCTTTGTTTTGTTACTTCAATAGCAATGGAGTCAGCCGGCAGTATTACCTTCAACCACTGCACGTTTTTATTTATTATTCCAGACTTCCACTTATTATTACTGAAGGCTTACACCAGTACAAACTTTGTATAGTAAAAAAGCTACAGCAACCGGATTTACTTTTCGCCGGAGGACCGGCCACTCTGACACAATATTTCCATTTCTTTTTTTATTTGCACCCAGGTAACACCGCAATTGGACCCGGTTAGTCTTTTTATCGAGCAAAGCATTATACGATAACTTGCATATTTATTAAAATCCGCGCATCTGCGTGTGAAATTACCAAAATGACGCGATTTTATCCCGAATTTGAACGCCAGCCGGATGTTAGGTACAGCTCGCTCGGCGGAGCAGACGACGCACGGGGCGAGAGGGGGAGGGCATTTTTTTCTCTCTCCTCTCTTCCTAGTGGAACAGTCTATAGTCGTGCATTGCCACTTTCACAATGAGCTTCGTCACTCAGACAGGAGGCATAACATTTTCGAGTTTCAGGTGGAAGGAATCTTTCATCAACAAACATTTATGGACAATGTTTTCTTAATTTAAATTTCAGTAACAGTTTGTTTATAGGGCTTTTGTGCACAACTTGCAACTCAATGGCAGTCCCCCCCTCCAGCACTGAAGGGCAGTGAAAAAAAAAAATTTACTTTAGGGTTTATGAGTAAACATTGTTTTTACAGTTGTCGTAAAAAGAAACAATAAGTTGCATTTTATGGACTCTGGTGTCAAAGCTTTTCCCTGATGCCCAGAGATGGGAATTCAAGTGGAACAGCAAACGGCGTCGCGTTGCTTGATGTTGCACTTGACTGCGCTTTGTCATGTTCGCTAATGCTGCTACACACATGGACAAAGTTGAGATTGGAAAGGAAAAAGCTATCGTGAAACAAGTGCAGAATGGCCCGATATTTGGGTAAAGCAGTAGAGCAGATGCAACTGCTAACAAGCCGAGCATTTCTGATAGCTCGACTGTTCTGGCTTTTCCATCGGCCTACAATCGTGTAAATCTGGTATACTTCATAAAGTTTGTCGAGGAGCCAGTCATTGCAGAAACAACTGGGAGGCGGATACTCGTCTTTAGATGCCCCTGTTACAAACGCGACATTAACGATCTGGTGCCCATGCACGATGCTGGTCAAAGCCAATGGAGCCTCTGGAACACGGCATGAGGAACTGCTAACACCAGGTGCCGTTGGGAGGTTTGCGGCTATCGGTGTATCCGGCCTTGCTGTTCTTAATGGTGCTGTCCTGCTGGACTGTGAGCCATTCTCTACCCGGCTTGGCTATATTCAGTCAGCCGTGCACACACCCCTCGAAGCATCGCTAAAAGACTTGGTGCAGCACTGTCAAGAATGGCAAGGGTCGGAGGCTAATCTTGCAACCTTTAGGTGCACGATACGAGGGGTTCCTCCTGAGGCTGCACATTTCCGCTTTGTCCAGCACCAGGCACGATTGAAGCATGGTTTGATTCTCAGCCAAACTAGTGTCGTTGAATGTTGACTGGCTAAACAATGAAACCGGTTTGAGCCATTCGGGTTTTGTTTGAGCCATTTCGACGATGACTGCCGGCAAAACATTGCGGTTTCGGTAGAACGTTTTGTGGTTGTGACATCATTCAACAAAACGGTTGCCGCCGTAGTTTCTTTCGAGACGAGCCGGCCAATGTCCTTGCAAAGCATGGAACACGCGCTGCGCCTGATGGAAGTTGAGGTCACTGGATCGAGGAAAGTGGCGCTGTGATGCGCCGCTTGTTGCGACCGATTGGCCGAGGTGCGTGGCCGCCTTTGTTATTACGTTCCCTTTTGGCAGTGGAGCGTGGTAAAGCGATCGAACCGCGTCTTAAGCCCACGAGTGTCAAGCAGAGGACCGGTGCACCGCCATTGTTGCTCTTGAGGATTGTAGGCGCCACCGTAGCAGCGGGGACCGCAGTGGCAGCGGGGTGCTCTTAGCAGCGGGGTGCCGAGCACTGAGGGGTCCCGTCCCCATTTCAGGGAGACCTCTTCTTTTGGGAGGACTTGGTGCTTCGCTTAGACGCGGTGCGGGCGGCGCGGGCGACGGCCTCTCTGCTGCGGGGCTTTGGCCCGCCCGTGACCAGGGCCGACCGGCTGCTCGCGCCCGTGCTGCTGGGAGTCTTCGTGGCCACCTGCGTGACGCTGGCCATCTGGTCTCCCTCCAGCCACGAGTCGGCCTCCTCCTTCTGCCTCGGCCTCAGCTTGGCCTTCTTCGTCTATCTGTACGCCGGCCTTGCGGGAATGCTGTAGCTCCTCTCGCCGTCTCCCGGGACTTTGGGAATCTCTGTCGCCACTTGAGTGCCGTTCCTACTTGACGAGTACTGAGAGAATGTTTTTTTTTATATGTATCTTTGGGCACTACGAGAGCTGCATCTCCTCGTGATAGAGCCATTTTTGTCTTCTTCCAAGAGCGCGTGCCTTAAGGTCTGCTCTCCGTGTTATTGGGTTTGTTGTTGCTCAAGTGCCCCGCCGCCGAGCTACTTCCTTGAATGGCTTTTGTCGAATCGGCAAGCGGGACCGGGGGCAGCTTGTACTTCTCATCGGACATGCCGCCATAGTATCTCGATACATACATGTGTCTTGGGCACCGTCGATGCCAAAGAGAACAAATATTTTTGGTCAACGCGCACTGGCCGATAGCGTTAATCCGCAACTGGGAGTGATTGATTGACTGCTGTACCCTCGTGCAGCCTGTGATACGAGAGAGGCTACGTGCTCGACAGATTTAATGGGGTAGATAGATAAGGCAGCCCATCTGCCACCGTGCTAAGCAGCGCCGGATAATTAATCAATATTTTACGAGAAGACACTTTTGCCCTTCGAGTCTTCGGCTGCAAGGCTGTCGTCGTTTTGATGGCTCGAATGAAAGACGAGGGGAGGCTTCCCGTAACACCGACTTTTCAGACCGGTTTTGGCTGTGCACCTTTTTGGCCTGCCCTATCTTTTTTAATATTATTTCTGGAAACTCTAGAAACTGCCCTTGACATCTGATGGAGAAGCTTTCAAGATGAAACCATATTCCTAATTTACCCTCTCTCTTTTAAAGGAATGCTGCACTCCCAAAAACAGTTTTGTTAAACTTCCTGGCTAGGACATGTGTATGTAAATAAGTGACAACTTCCCTGAAACAAAATCTAATTAATGCAGTATTCGTGCCGTAAGGCTCAGTTTGACGGAGCCATACAAGTTGGCCCCCCACTCCACTTTTCTGACTTTCAACGTTTTTCAATGTGCGGAGGAAACCCTTTGCAGTACGTGCAAACGGTTGCACCTGTCCCCTGTGCACCTTAACGCCAATGGGAGGCCTTACAAAGTGGCTCCTGTTCCGACGTCACCCTGACGTCTATATACGAGCCACTTTCGAGCCAGCTTCGATACAAACATAAATGTCGATACAAACATAAATCTGTCTCATGAGATAAATATTGCGTTAATATCTGGACAGTTTTTACAACAATGTTATTTTGAGGGAGTTCAGTGTCCCTTTAAGAGTTTTTTTTTTCTTCAATACTACGAAGTTTAATTAGACAGGTCCTTATTATTAGGAACCAACTGTACTGCATGAAAGAATACGCATTTTGAATTTAATGTGTCTATTTTCCCCCTGAAAGGACTTTCAGCAAAGATATTTTTGTACATGTTTCTATATCTTCTTTTAAGAGGCAGCATGCAAATAGTCTTTGTATGCATTTTGTGCTTGTATTGGCTTGGCCAAGTTTCTTTTAGACAAGGTTCCTATCGAGAAGTAGCTCATTCTCTCGACCACCGAAGTCTCTTGCATGGCAAGATCCCACCGTGTTAGAATTGTCTGTCAAGAATACGTAGGACTGACTCAACGGTAGGACGACTGAAAATCAAAATGTCCTTTGCGCTCATTCCCATTTTTTAACTCTACAGCTGATGCTCGATCACCCGTTGTCAGACTGCTGGCAGAAACAGCAGGCTTTTGTCCAACTGTTGCAAACGGGAGGCTGGCTTTCCGTGATGACAACGCATGAATGTCTCGCTCAGTAGTTATACTACGGTAGCGTGTTGCTACAGTACTCGAATACGGGGTAGTGCTGGGACTGACGTGGCAATGGGAGCTCGTGAGACTGCATGTGTGGACAACTATCGCGGCGCTGCAGTCGTCACGATAGTAGAAAGTTGCTGCAGCCCGCCGGCGAATATTGCATCAAGCGTTCACCATGCGCCTGTCGTGGCGCACGCGCACAACCATACCACCCTACTAGCGATGTACCGGCGTCAGCCCCTGTTGCGATCTACACCACTGGCCTCACGTGAACCACTCGGGTCCCAACACTACCCCGTATCCTAGTACACTGTAGTGTTGCTTCAACAAAAAGCTTGTGTTCATTTAGTCTTACTGCTCTAGTCTTCTTTTACGCGTCGGAACAAGTATGCTCGCAGAGCTTTGATGGACGTTCTCTGGGTGTGCAGAAGCGCAGTAGCTCTGCATTAGCAATTAGGCTGCTCTCCGCAGTCAGGTTTGCACAAACATGATCTTAGCGTCCTTGCAGATGAATAGCAAAGTGGCTCAAATGAGTTTACTCGTCTTTGCTTTGAATTGCTCGATGATCTCTGCATATTGCCACCTCCTTAGTCATGCTCATTTTGAACTCATCATGTACAAGAGCTCTTGTTCCTCGAAAATGTATCAAAGAAGCATTTGTAGATGCAGCGCTAACTGAGAACAGGGATTTTTATTATCCTAGACAAAAATTAGCGAGAAAATATGTATTGCAAACTGCCACTCACCTTTCTACAGTAAGATTGTGGCAAACTACTTGGCATCATCTTTAGCCTTAATAGATTTTTGAGGAGTACTGCAGGGCATTACTTAATTTGTTGCACTAAGTATATTTTGAAGGGGCACAGATTTTTTCAAATGCATTTAGTCTCTAAAAGCTTTTCTTCTGGTCAAGCTTGGTGCATCTTCCCTAGTGGATTTATGCAGCTGCAGATGCACGCACAACTATACTCTGTTTCACCTTATGATGTACCGCAGGAAAGGCTACAAGCACGAGCTCCTTGCTCTGAAACACATTTTGGTGTCACAAGCTCTCGTGACTTAAAAGCGGCTGCCAACGCTATGAGCTCGCGCTTCTAGCCTTCGCTGTGGTACAACATAAGGTGAAACGAAGTATAGCTCCAGATCTCGTGTTTTTCTGGGTTGGGAAGTGGCAAAGGAATTATGTTTGTGACACCTTCCAGAACCTTTTCTGAAAAACCGGCATTCCAGGCTATCATTTAACCCAGAGACAACAGCTGAAGTGGGCTTCCCATTTTGAAAAAAAATTATGCTGCACTTGTCTAAAAGGGCACAGAAAGGAATCCCAAATTATTCCTGTATTTTCAGCTTTCATTCTACCTTTTATTTTATATTGCTCCAGACTACGGAAGCATTCCCCAAACAATCTGGATACTGGCGACATTGTCCGACGAAGCGGCAAAATTCTCTCCAAGGATCCAACAAACTGCATTCCTTTGTCAGAGTGATGGGAAGCTTGAAAACTTTGAGTGCCACTTGTGATATTGTTTGTTTACTTTCTCCTCTCTACCTTTCTTTCTTAGTCTGTCATTGAAGATTATATACTTTAGTGAATCATGTTGCATTTCAAGTCTAGCCTCTTATTTTTCAATGAAGCCCCGTGATTTCTTTTTTTTCTGCAATGAGAGTTTCGGATGTGTTTCCTCGAGAGGGTGCAAACACAGATCATTGTGCATCTCCTGGGCCACTGTGAAACCCCAGAGGCTGCGTGGCTTCTTGACTCGGGCATTTTCTTATCGGAGTCGCGAGAGAAGTCTCCTATTTTGTCACAAACATCGAAGGAGTTACTGTTACAAGAAGTGTGGCGTGAAATATGCGACCCCCGCAAGGTGAGGGGCTGTGGAGGGCGATGGACGTGCCTAGTCAGGGCACGCTGGGGACGAGCAACTGAGCACCAGTGCGGGTTTTGAGGGAGTGTCTCTTTCAGCGCCCTAGATGAATTGCCATATCTAACCCACTCTGTGGAGTATTTGGCACGTAATATATTTAACTCGGAGAAGATGGCTTCCCGAAATATTGATCTATTTTGCCCGCGTCGACTCGCTCTAACTACTTCGAAATTTACTTTATCTCTCTGGCCGCCTTAGATTTCCACATATATTAGAGTCGTTCGAGAGCAATGCAGAGCTGTACTTGCGGCATCCGAGGTAAAACATATCTGGTTACAAAGTAAGCTCTGTTTTGTCTACACTAACCTTTCGATGTCCAGAATTTTTCTAGTCATTTCCGTGCAGAACTGACCAAACAAACGAAGCTTGCACAACTTATCTGACTCGCAAACTCCAGTTGGTCTTCTCTACGCTTCGGTGCTCTTGGTTGTGCTGGATCAATTCCCTTCTCATTCTTTGTTTTGGCCCGATGCATCTCAAAGATCAATGCTGCAATACTAATATAAAGACTTCACCCGCCAGTTCTGTTACGTCGCCACCGCCAGCAGGCATCCTGGAAACTGTAGTCTTCCTGTCTGTGCAACAACTTTGCTGCGGGTCTGCGCGAGCAAAGTGCGAGACTGCACAAACTTTCTTCTCCACACGCACTCTCCTCCTGGCGACTACAATTATGGTGGCTTCGACCCAATTTTTTAGCGAGATCGATCTATTGGAGGACGGGTCATTTTTCTTTTGCGAGCTGGTAATGCATTGCCATTATTGTCCAAAAGTATTTTTGCCCCTTATGCATTGCACACAGGGGTGTTTGCTTATGTTTTCTTACGCTACATTATAAGTCGCCGAGACACCCGTGCTTCGTATGTTGTGTGCAAAGCTACTTCTCAATTGGTTACCATGTTTCATGTGAAGCAGGGATGTCCTGGTGACCCTCAATGAGAGCAGATGTAAGCTCTCGTAACGTAAGAAAATGGGGCTGTGTGAACGGGCCCCTAGTGTCAGTATAGGCTCTCGACATTACCAAATATTTGTGGAAACGCCTGTAGTGCATCTTGTCAAGGTATTCAGTATTGTCGCAGTCTTTCATGCTGCCTGTCCAGGTATTCTTAATTTATATTTCTCTGTCAAATGTGATTTTGCTTTCGTTGCGGACCTTTTGTCTTTATCGCAGCCTCTGTTCCCAGCCAGACATTGTTTGACCCGTGCTAACCACGACGGCCGTCCACGTGCGCGGGTGCAGATTGTTACGCAAAATGTTAGCCACCGTAACGCTGCTCGCCGCTCTGTCGCTTTCCTGTATGTGTGCTGTTGGCAGTTACTGTTGCATCATTCGCTTCTAGGGTTTCCTTGGAAATATTTCACATATGTCTTTGTGGGATGTGGACAGCGAGTTTGCAAATGTTACAGTCTGCCTTCGAGAAGAAGAAAAGATATGCGCGGAGGTTTTTGAGAAAGTTTATTTTTTTTGGGAGGGGACAGTAGGTGACAATGAGGTGATTGTGTCTTTCCAGTACCTTTGCTTGTAGTTTTCTATGTCATGTTTTATGAGGTGCGCACAAGACCATGCACATTCAGCGTTGGCAAGTTTCCAGTTTATAGTTTGCATTTATTGAATGATAAAGCGATATATACAGCAAGGGCCAAAGGGATCTAACCCACCACTAAAATAAATCTCGTAATCAGTTTGGAATGTTTCGACACTAATTTGCCACAGAAGTCTGGCTAGGTGGTGCATTTGTCTGGGGGAAAATATTGTAGTAAAACTTGTCGTGTGGTTCGTAGAAAAATTATATTTTTATTTGTAACTTTTAATAGAGGCAAGTTTGCTCTTTGATGGGGCAAGCAAAGCAGGTTTTTGAGATTTTTTTTGGAGCGGGTTAAATCCATTTGGCCCCTCGCTGTAGATAAATGGCCAATTTCTCTGGCATTTATCTTTCTCCGGACATGTCGATGTGGATGCAGTGATATTGTCGTTACTGTTAAAAACAAAGGCTTGTCTAGGAACCAATTACTTATTGTGATCTCAATGCTAATGCCCTTGTAGACAAAGTGCTGCTAAATAAAGTACATTACAATGAAACCCAATTTTCTGTGATTTCCACAGTGTGGGAATATGGGCGTGGTTTAGTGACCTACCCTGCAACAAGCTTCGAAGGTGGCAACAAACCACTCTATAAAAAGAGGAAGACATCCCGGATGCTTGTAAATCGAGGGTAATAATCTGCAGATTCACTGGCACTTATAGTGGTCACATTGTGTTGTTTTACCAGAGAAAGTGTCAAAATACAAATAAATCGAGACTTAAAATAAATGTTTGGAATAAATAAGGGATCATAGAACTTGTGCTTTCTGGTGCGAGGCATTTGCGTGGGAAATTGTGGTTTTCCAAGTGTTCTCAATTAATGAAGAGGTACTAAACGATGAAAACCTTCATTCTTTTCTGCTGATCACAGATAGTACATTCCACGAAACACAATGCCGCATATATATTTCCGGAGAATTCCACGTACAGGGGGTGGAAATTGACCTTCCCCCCCAAAAAAAAGCTGCGACGCATGGCCGAAACGATACTAGCGCCCCCATCGAGGCTGCGAGGAAGCAGGCACACGGCCGTTCTTAGGCCTATATTAGTGTGGGCTGGAGAGGGAGGTGTGCTCGTTGCCTGGTTTGGCCCAGCAGGCAGGAAGTGATGGTGTGGGTGTGGGCACCAATATAAGGACCATCTCAATCCTGTTGCATTAGGCCCGCCACATTGGGGAAAGCTCCGGCTTACGGTGAATCGACCGATAAACCCTCGCCCAGCTATGACCGCACGTTTCCACCTAGCCTGCACATTCGCGGCTTTGGGACAACCGTGGGGGCACCGGAATCGAATCTTGTGCAAACGTCATACATCTCGTCCAGTCGTCTACACTATTGTGTTGATGTGGACGGGCGTGCCGTCATGTGATCGCAGCAGCGTGGAGCACGTTGCAAACCTCGGGTTAACGGTCCCAGACCGCACTCGACACGCTACGCATGCCACCGAATCTCGGAAGCAGATTGACCCATTGCTATATAAACGTTCACAAAGCCCCATTTGTTTTCCTTCACTCAATACCAAAGGGAAAGACGAAGAAAATGATGAAAGGCTCTGTAGTAGATGTGTCGATGAGAATTACGACATACTTCTGCCGATGGAGAACTTTGGAAAGGGGCAAATTTTATTGAACCGCTCTGCGCCAGAGTGAAAGTCTAGCCGCGTAACCTTCCAGGTAAATTTCTCCGCACCAAAAGATGAGATCCGTCTCCAAATTTGGAAAACAAATATCCTTCGATAGTGATTTGGACAGCAGGTCAGTATTGCGTAAACTTCATTTTGAAAGCCGTTTTAGTCAAGGGCGGGGCGAGGCGGGCGGGCAGGCGCCGGTACGTTTGTGTTGTTAGCTCAGATGCTGCAAAATTGTACAAAGGCATCGTGCTTTCTTAAGGACGGCACCTTGTAATGGGTCGTCTCATAGTCTAATCGCTTAGTTTTAGAGCGCAGCTCTTAGGCGCCCGTTTCCGGCTTGAGCGGCGTAGGCGCCCATAATGCACTGCGCGAGTTCCCCCTGGGGTCACGTGACCTCGGGGTGGCACGTGGTCCCCCGAGGTCACGTGACCCCCCCCCCCCCCCCCCCCCCCCCGAGGTCGCGTGACCCCCCGAAGTCACGTTACTCCCCTGAGGTCACGTGACCCCACAGAGATCACCTGACCCCCCCGATGACGTCATCGTCACTGATGACGTAACCGGCATCCACATCGTCATCAGTGACGTCACTGGTGACGTCACCCGCATCCACATTGTCATCATCGCTGATGACGTCATCAGTGATGTCACTGATGACGTCACCGGCATCCGCATCATCATCGTCATCATCACTGATGACATCACCGACATCCGCATCGTCATCATCACTGATGACGTCATCAGTGACGTCACTGATGTCGTCACCGGCATCTGCATCGTCATCATCACTGATGACGTCATCGGTATCCGCATCGTCATTGTCACTGATGACGTCATCAGTGACGTCACTGATGACACCATCGGCATTGTCATCGACACGTGATCCCCAGGTCACGTGACCCCCCCCAGTACCCTTCCCTCCTCCTCCTCAAGAGCTGCGCTCTAATTCGGCGTTACAGGGAGTTGAAAACGGCTTTCACTTTTTGTGTTTATTGTCCCTGAGCTATAGTTCTCGTGAAGGCCCGAGTATATTCTCGTACCGGGAGACCATTACAGGAAATAAGATAAAGTTCTATGGGTGAAAAAGCAGTCAGCAGCAACATGCACTGCTGACCGCTACAACACCAGATGACCCCAGCATGTGCGGTGACGCGGCAAAAGGCGCTCGGTTCTTGGCTGATAGTCTGATCAGATTCAATGACTGCCGTCCACTTCCGTCCTGAATCATTGGATAGAATCGACGCAGACGATGAACATACCTCCCCCTTCCTGTTTTGTATTAGGCTGATGCGGAGACACAATCTGCGTCGTGGGTTGCCTCACTTCTCATGCCGATGTACTGCATCACCAAATGCCAGAAAAATTAATTTTACAGGAAAGAGATTGCCTAGTAGTTTAGATTTCAATGAAATAAGCGTACATCTAGCGAAAAACAAAAACCTTGGATAGCTGTCGTGAAGAGAAGGAAGTCGGACGGCTCGCCATGGCAGCCGAAAGACCGGACCTGCTAATCCTTTTATCCCGAGTATGTTGACTTCGTAAGCTTCTGAGAAGTCCTCTATGCACTGCCTCGTTTTGCATCCTTTCTGCACCCTCTAACCCAAGTTGTTTTTTTTTGGCACTGTACAATAAGTGGCGTGCTGCAGTTTACAAATTGTTAATTCGAGCAGGAATGACTGCATTCGGGTCAGAATGGAAAAAATATTGTGCGGGGAGTGCCGGTTGTGTTTAGCCATTAACCGAAATGAACCGCTGCACCCCTATCGTCGTGTCATGGCGGTAGGTTTCATGGCTTAGCGTGACAGAGGCACCCCGCGCGACATTTTATCCCCTTTGGCCGGCAGACGGCATCAATCATCGCAAGAACCTCCCCAAGTGCTCCCGGCCTCTCTTCATTCTTTCGCACTATGCCGGAACGAAATCTAGGATGTTGCGCTATGTTCGGCGGAGCTGTCCGGCGGGATGGGTGAGCGGGGGCTGACCTTGGCACGCCGGTCTCTTGTCGCCAGGAGGCGACGTGCTCGTCCCAGGATGTCCTCGAGGAGAAGGGCCTGGTGCGGGTGGCGGTCACGGTCCAGGAGCTCTTCAAGCTGGCCGGCGGTGCCAGGCACTGAGCGCCCTCGGCACTGCCCCATTCTAGTCCTTCCGCGTGGAGCCCGCCTCGGGAGGGGGGGGCTCTGCGAAAGCGGGGTCACCCCGCTCTTTCCCCGTGACCCGTGTGCTTCGCCGCGGTGCTCGGAGCGACCGCTCCGAAACGGCCCAGTCCCGTTCGACCGACGCTCGTGCAGGGCCATTCGCGGATATGCCAAATGCGTTCCGTCGGCGGCCTCTGTCACGCTCGAGCATCGCACGTTTGCATGTTGCAACATATCACGCCTCATTGCCATCTGTAAGCTTTGTTGTGCCGTCTTCCCGGAAACGTTGGTGGAAATGTGTTCGAATCCGGATCTCAAAACCAACCAACGTAGACGGCAGGTGCCGTATTGGACAGCGATTGCAGACCGATCTCCTAGTGACCAGAACGCTGGTCGAGGCAATGGCAAGAAGTACTTAATGAATGTTTATTTTACAAATTTCCTTCGCGAGTGTACCTTGGTCCAGTATTTATTACCTTTGTGCAAACTGGCACTACTATGGAACGACAAAACCCTAAGGCTGTAGTTAATACTCGTTGAACCCTCAACTTAAACTTCTTTCGCGACTGCGTCAATGGGGAAGACGTTTCGACTGTGGTGGAAACGCGACCGACACTTGGGTCCGGTCGCGTAGGCCCATGGTGCAACAACCTGTTTAAGGTTTTTATAGTTTGTTTGACAATCGCCGATCCTTTCACGGGAGCTTTCCTTTTCACATGTGCGCATATGAAGCAACAGGCTACTTTTTTAACCCCTTTTTGCACCTTTGGAGTGCAGTTTTGCTGACACAGCTTTGTAAATCTTCCCATTTGTATATCACCTTTCTACTTTCAGCCGTTTCTGAAACTTTGTAGTTATATTTTCCGCAGAAAGAACAGTTGTGAATAGTTTACAGAAATAATTTATGTGTACATACATGTCGAATTATTTTCATTGAGTGTTTGGCAGACCGGCCTCTTGAAGTCTGCCAAGTGTGTGCGTTTGTAGTATGTTCAACCGCACTTGCATCACTTTTTATGCATAGTATTATATCCTCAAAAGCATGAACAAGGCCTCAGATATACCTGCATGGCATTGATCCATGTGGGCCCAGATTTCCTTATTATGGCCATTTTACTATACTCACTGGAGCCAGTGAAGATACTTTTTTCGCATCTTTGCAAATCATGAGGCTCCTCAAACACATTATACTTCCAAAAAGATCCTATTTTTTTCTGAGTCAGTTTGTGCGAGTCACCCATAAGAGATGCAAACCATTATGCCTAGAGAGAGCCAAGGACCAAAGTGCTTACCCAAACAAGACGTTCCGATTGTGTGGCCCGTATGAATTGCTGCGAGTTTGCATGTGGACTGTGGCCTCCGACTAAGGGCTGCCCTCACTGACAGTGTCAATTTTGCATTCCAGTGTGCATCTGGTATCCGTTTGCCATTTTGATCTGAAAAGATTGCATTTTTTTTATATATTTTCATTTGTTTCTCAAGTCCTAGCGACAGCTAGTCAAAAACACCGTAGTGCTGTGTCTCAGTAGCTGTGCTAAAAATTTCTGGGTGGCAACCGCTTGTGAGATTTTGAGTGAGAATTTTGCGAGAGGATTTGCACCGAACAAAATACACCGTCATATGATGATTATGTAGCCTTGGGGGTTCCCAAAACACAGATGGGACATGCATAAAAGCAGTTTTTCTCAAAATGTCAGTCGGCATGCGTTTCACACACCGTGTGTAAAATGCACACAGTCTTTGAGGGCAGTCCATTGTCTTGCGTTTGGCAGCGAACAATCTGGAATATGCAAGCTGGTAACCCTGGGTGCTGAAAGAGGGTTGTGCTTGTAGATGGTTTGACAGCCGTTCATTCCAGAGATCAAATGCTTGGAATACTGGGTGCCACTCTTCTAGCGTGTTGTCAGCTGGCTAGTCTGCTCCGTGCTTCCGAATGCCTGTAACCTATGCATAGGTATTCTTTAGATTGTCATCGAGTGCACAACACGTGGAGGTGGCCACTGTCTGGCCTTTCACGCGAGCCGTGCTTGGCAAGCTTTCGAAGCGACTCCCATTTTTGGCTTTGTAGGAAGTCTCGATTTTGCGGTTGGCCCGGCTATGTACTTAAATTGTCTAGCCGACCGTCCGACGCCGTATTGGCTGTTCTATCCGAAGCAGCATTTTGTTTCACACAATGCGACATTTTGGTGCATGCGAGCCAGACGGTTATGGGAAATCAAATATGTGTACTGCCAGTGGCACTCGAATAAACGCCACTTAGACGCACGTAGATATGCTTGCCAGCCGCAGATCGATCAACGTCGTAACAATGGCTTTGCTCAGAGGTGCTAACAGAGACCGACCCACAAGAAGGAACCCTTGCAACAAGAAAGGAGTAAATCTTACCTCAGTTTACACTTTGACACACTCACGCGAGACTCGTAAAAAGGAGGAAGAACAGGGAATTTCCGCCAGGCATCAAATTTTTTCGTGAGTTTAATGTGGGGACATTGTTGGGGGGAGGCAATGTAGCAAAACGACAGAGGAAGAAAAATGTCCAGCAAGTTTTGCGAGCCTACTGTGGGGCTTGCTACCCAGGGACGTTATAGTCTAGCCGTATTTGAGCTGCCGCATTCTCAAGACCATCTGGTCGTTTCCCGAGGCTAGCCTACAGTAGGCTGGTTCCCCAAGAGCACCGACTGAAGCGGGCAAACTCAGAAAACTTTTTGTGCACCTTTTTTTTAAACAATTTTGGAAATAATTGTTTTGAGAATATACCAGATACGCGTGTTAAAGATGCTGGGGCTTCCTGCACTGATTTGACCCTTTGTTTCGAACAAAGGCAACAGATTTTAAGGGTCACTGCCGTAGACATCCTATATGATGTAGCTTATCTTCTGCCTAGAAAAAATGAAATATATCCCCATTTATATCAGAGTTACTGCATCAGAATTCACACTTAGGTAGTTGATGCAACTCTGCCACGTGGTTGCGCGTCGCTTGGAGGGGGGGGGGGGGGGGGTCTTTTTCTTGCGAGAAAGCTCGGGCAACAAACTCTCCCACTTAGTAGTATTGTAACCAGTGTCTACCCCCTGCGCGGAAGCTCTGTAGAGAGCCGGGGCTGCTGTCCCTCCTTCGGTCCACTTGACGGAGAATCCTGCACCAAATCTGCGCAGAAATAGCTTCGTCGTAACTTAGGCCACTCGCCTGAAAGCCAAACAAACCAGCAAGAGTCTGGGCTAAATTTAGTGTTGGACGCATTAATAAAAACTCTTTGGCATCGTTGGGGGAGGGGGGGAGAGGAGGGGAGTAGGCTGGGTTTTACAGGAACAAAAAATACTTCCAAAGCACATGGCCATCAACTTTAAGTGGTGTGTTTGGTTGTGTAAGATACTTTACATGCTTTACGTAGGAGTACTGGGGGCAAACGGCGGGAAGAGAACTTGCGCAATGAGTCGGTCTGCCCACATCCTTAGTGTTCTCTACGTCAAGAATAAAAGTTGTCTCAAATGTGCGTTGTGTCATTCTTGGCGCCAATCGTTCTGTCTCTTTGCGGGCTGCCACAGCACATGGTTCACCTCGAGTGGGAGCAAGAGTTCTGCTCATAGTGGGCTGGAGAGGACGGGAAAGGGTACTTTCTCCCTTTTCTTGCAGCTGAGCAGGACGACGTCGGAACAGAAAACTGATGCAGAGCTTGTGTCCAATCTTGCCAAGAGCTCTTGTACCTCTTATGCGGAAAAGAGATGTACAAAAATTGAGGCCATGTCCAGGAATCCGAGCAAGGTTCAACTTCCAGTGAATGTTTCCCAAAAAGTCCATTCTTAAGACTTTGTTATACTCTGACGTTGAGTGCAGCGAACATAGTGCAGAACGTTGATTGGCCGGCTACCAGGAACTTGATACCTGCGACCAATCAGTATCTGTGTGCACTATGCCGTGTTTGCTACGCTTGACGTCCGAGTGTAGCAGAGCCTTTACGAGATCCTGCCTGGCAGTAGCCTGCCTTGCAAGAGGAAGGTAGACTGACCTTCAGACAGCATTTTTATTGCTGGACATTCAAACCTGAGGAGACAGTCATTCCTTGAACGTTTGGTACAGCTGGAACCGACAAAATGCGACGGAAGAACATATGGCAAATGAAGTTGTTCTTTGGTTAAATCGTAGTTCGAGCTACTCAACACATTGTGTAAACGCTGCATCAAAAGTGTGAAAACAGATTTCTTGGTCATCGACGGAAGGTATTCCTAGCAAATAATGAGCACCACGAGGGTCACAATAAATAAAGCACTTTGTGATTTAAAAGGCCAACTGTGTACGGTTGGTGGCATGCTCAGCCATGGAACCTAGTGCCGATAAAGAATGCAGCGGTTCATTTTAACTTAAAACGTTCCACCTCGCATTGCCATTTCCCTTCGTCTGGTCTCCTGGAAGGGGAAACCCTCGACACCACAAGGGCACTTGGGACACTATGGTGCACGGTCGGCAACAGTCCGAGGATCTCCCTTTGATCGGACTACCATTGACTGTAGCCGAGACAAACCAGAAAGCAGCTTCTTGGCAGGAGAAGCTTCAGATAAGCTGAGAACCGGCATCAATTAAATTACTACCAGTAACATTCAAAACCAAGATCGTCCAAAGGGACATGCTAGCTTCACTTGTGACACATTCAAATGCAAACAAGTTTACCGTTCAACACAAATTGTACACACGTAAAAGATGCAAAGAAATGCAGTGAATCTGAATGCTTCAACTCTAGACTCGAAACAAATATATACTCCGTGTCAACTTTTTTGTGTTCACCGGTGCTACAACGCCGCCAAAACTATTTGTGCGAGCGCATGAATTTGTTTGGCATCTTCTTTACACAAGCACGCGTGCGAATGAGGCGCGAGACAAAGCCAGACGCTCTCACAGCTGTGCGGGCTGCGGCAATGTCGAACCTACGCTAGCCTCAACAACGTAGTACAAGAAAGTTGGCACAGAGCGTAGTCTTCTCGAGTCGACGGGTAATGTCCCCGAGATTCTGGGGTCTATTGACAAGATCCTCCTCGATTAAAAATATGACTCGAAAAACAAAAATCTGAATGGCACCGCATCCTTCGTCAAAAACTGGGAAGCGATCCTGATTAATCAATAAATACTATGCTAAAAAAACAAGGAGGCAGCTCACTCTTGCCATGACAGGTGCCCAGCAAGTGGGAGCCTTAGCGAGCATTCCCCCTGGCATTCAAGGCACTGCTTCGCTCCCACGGGGAGCTAAGGCGAGAAATCAAAGAATATGTGTAAATGATGACGTTTGAAGGCCAATCGGCCCCGAGGGACTCTGGCGACCTCATCGTCCGATCGGGAACCCAAAAGCAGAATGGCACAGCCGCTCCAAAAACATTTCGGCTCAAAACAAAATTTTTTACCCTACGCTATCGTTAGAGCCTCAAACCGTAACTTCGGGCGCCGATGTTCCGCAGAGCCTCGAATATCCGGCGGCTGGAGATGGTCCTTCGGTGACCGAGAGGGATGTTGGGAGAAAGTCGCGACGACGCAACGACTTTCGGGACTCGTAAAAGCCCCAGACAACATCCAGAAATGCGGCCCCCACGGCAGACCCGAAGGTGGGGCCGTCAGACGGCCAGCAGGTCGTCGGTGGTGGTGAGCTCGAGGGTGATGGTGCCCAGCCGGGCCCCGTCGTCCGTCCGCTTCTTGTGGCCTACCAGGGGCACTTCTCGCAGCACGTGGTCCGTGTGGGGAGGGGCCTCCACGTACGCCTTGGCCATGTACGTGTCCATCATCACGTTGCTGCTCCACACCTGCGGCCACATCCCATCCACCTATTTGGCGCGCACAAGCATGGCACTGGGCCACAAAGCGGACAAATTACCGCAACTCTGAAAGATGTGGTGCGGCCTACTCGAGCGACAGCTCCTGCACACGCCAGACCAAAGAGAGGGCGCAAACCTGTATCTTGATAACCGAGGAGCTGTCCTTGCGGTAGAAGATGGCGCTCAGGTTCCAGACGGGGTCCAGGGTCTCGTGGCAGATGGCCGACCGCACCGACTGGCCCTCGCACATCACTACGCAGTACGGGTCGGCCGCTAAAGTAGAGAGCCCGGGTCGGTTATGAAGTGGGGAGGGGGATAGCAGCCACACAACTCGCAACGACTGACTGGCGCATAACTGCAGAGCGAATCGCAGCCCCCCGTTCCTTTCTTTTCCTCCTTGAGTGTGAAACTACTCGAGGACGGCAAATGAAGCACCGGGCTTCCGCAGTCGCCTTGGGAATGTCACGCCTTGGGATCGGGAGGAAGAACTACTGGAAAAGCGTGTATGATAATGGGAAGACTTATCAAAGTCTTAACAAGTCTCTTTGGTGCCTAGAAAGTAGTCAAAGACTCCCGATTTGTTAGGGACAGTAAAAAAAGCCTTCGTGGCCTTCATGAATTTGTCGGCTGTGTGCCAGGCAGCAAGCACTTTCAAAGAGCTGAAAGACCACGAGTCCAACGTCATTAATGTCTGGTGTGGTGCTTGTCTCGTCTCGTGGAATTCTTCGCCCCACACGGCGCAGTATTCTGCACAGCCGCACATGAGCCACCACATAAAGCTTATCGTTGTTGGTTCCGAGAAAGAGCGCTGACAATAATAGCAGCTACGCGGTGTCGCACAAATGTTTCCTCCAAAACATAGCACCGTGCAAAGTTGCCCCAAGGCAAAACTACACTGCCACTTAATATGATTCTGAACGAAAGAATGGTGTTTGCGTAGCCATCCAGACCTCGTGCAGCCTTGGGTCTGTTGTTCTAATTTTCCTGATTCGCTCGCACCCGATCGTTGGATGCCCGAACATCAGGTGCTGCTTGTTCTTCATATGGTGTTTCAAGCAGTAAATGACAACAAGTATTTTTCAACACATGTCGCCATCTACATTTAAAAGCTGTGACCTGCCAGAACTTGATGGGAAAAGTTTGGTGTCTAATACCAAACTAGTATATGTGTAACCTACCAATACACAGTTTTTGCCAAAATGCTGCTGTGTTTTATCAGCCGATTTCTAAGAAGTTCTGCAACGTTCAGCTGTAATGGTGGACAGCAATAGGTGGCTGTAACAACGCCAAAAAGTGTTACGCCCATAGGACACCATAAAAAAAGGTAAAATTAAAGTGCAGCTCTTGAGGAGGGTATGCCCCTCCTCCTCTCCTGCCCTCCTATTTAGTGAGAAATTTTCGCTATATTTCCCACTAAACTTAATGGGGAAATTTTCCCGCTAAATTTAGCGGGTAATTTAGCAAAAATTTTCCCGCAAAATGTAGCGGGAAATTTAGCAACTATTTTCCCGCTAAATTTAGCGGGGAAATTTTCCCGGTCAATTTAGCGGGGGAATTTTCCTCGTAATTTTAGGGGGGGAATTTTCCCGGTAAATTTAGCAGGGAAATTTAGCAAACATTTTCCTGCAAAATTTAGTGGAAAATTTAGCGAAAATTTCCCCGCTAAATTTAGCGGGAAAATTTTCCCGATAGATTTAGCGGGTTAAGTTTCCTGAAATGGTGTTGAGGTCACGTGACGGAAAAATTGACGTCATGTGACCTCAACACCAATTTAGTTTCCCCGCTAAATTTAGCGAAAAAACTGTGACATCCCATAATGCAACGCACGCAGTTAAGCTGCCGGCGCCGGCAAAGGCGACGCTGCTCAACCCGGAAACGGGCGCCCAAGAGCTGCGCTCTAAAAGACTCTTCCGGCAGGCATCGAACTCAACACCCTGAGATTGTGAGCCAAGTGCTTTGCCGACTGAGCTATCCAGGCTCAGGGGCCCAAGCATTCAAATGCGCAGATGCCCTTCCCTTTTTCCCTGGAAGAATTATCCCACCTAACGTGCAATTTTTGTCAGCATGATCAAAATTGTATTTTCAATTTTGAGGACCCAGCGATGTCCTCACAGTGCTGCTTTCCTTTGCGAGACACAAGACGTGCTTGGAATAGACCGGCCTCACGAAGCACTCCACGGATGCCTGACACTGCCATAACCGTAGTCCACAGGAGGCAGGTGCACAAGAAAGCTCGTGCTCCGCGACTGCTCTTCTGGCTCTCTGCTTGTGCAGACCCGCAGCAAGATTGCTGCGCGGGCAGAAAGACTACAGTTTCCATGACGCATGGCGACAGCGGTGGGCTAACGACACCGGCCGATGAGGTCAGTTTGTTGCGTAACTGGCAATGCCCTCGAGCTGGACGTCTTATCGACTGTCGGGGGCTCCGTGACAAGTTTTGACCGGAGACAAAACCCGAAGTATCATTCCTGGGCTATCTACAAAACTTTTTCTAGTAAACTGCTGGGTGTTACCCACATGAAACGTTCCGATACTACTCCGGAACGTTACCGAGCCCAGCGCCTACGCTCACGGCGCTATTTATCAGATGACTTGTATACACTTGATAATAGTTCCTAGAATGACAAAACCCTAGGTTTTGTCATTCTAGTTCCAGAATTCCAGAATAGTTCGGTGAGTATAGGTTTTCCAAAACCTATACTCACCGAAATCAGCCAATCATTGTTGATCACATGACCTTTCCAGCAGCCAATCAGCGTTCAGCTTTGCAGTCAATTTTTGGGCTTCACTAAATCTGGCGATCCCTTGTAATGAGCCAAAGGACGTGTCACGATTAAAATGTGCTAAAAGTCTGAAAGTGCAGGTGAAGGTTGCTCGCAACACATGTCCGAGAGGGCGTAGCGAAGAAAGCAACCACCCCCCTCCCAAGACGGCAAGACGGAAAAAAAGGGAAAGTGCGCTCACTTCCAAACAGGTCCTGCTTCTCGAGATTCTTGGCTCCGATGATGCGGACAATGGTGGCCAGGCAAGGGGTGCTCTGGCAGGGCAGCAGCTTGGCACTGGGCACGTCCTTCAGCAGCTCCCTGCAGCCAGGGACGCCCCTTTTGTTGCAACACGCCCGAACACAACGGCTACACGCAGATTAGACGTACGACCTCCGCATGCCGATCATCGCTGCAGGTTCATAGCTTGCAGCTTCTACTATAAATGGGTTATCCTCGATTAGAAGTAGCAGCGACTCTCTGCACGAAAAGAAAGCTGCAACTCGTTTCAGGTGCATGCGCGAGGGCCCATCTGGAAAAAGGGCTTTGTTTCCCGCGCACTGTCGCAGCGCGAAAAAGCGACAACCATGGTGCTGCAGCCACGGTGGCATGGGAAGGGTGCACGCAATGAAGGCAGAACAATCCGTCGCAATTGCGACAGAATACACTCCACATTTCCCCAAGTCGCCGACGTTTGAATACGGCGACACTCCGTTTCAAGAGCTACGGACATCCGCGCACACGTCCGGCTGAGGCTCACTTAGCGTCGAGGGACCTCTCGGAGAACAGGCGCAAGAGGAACCTCCCAGGGAGGCCCGGCTCGAAGGTGGTGGGCAGGAGCACGTAGCGGCCTCTCTTGAGCGAGCACTCGAGGAACACGCCCCGGGAGCGCACATACTCCGAACTGCACGCCTTGGGCTTCAGCACGTGCACCCGGAACAGCCGGTTCACCTCCACCTGCCGCACGAGGGCTCAGAATCATGCATGCGTCACACAACCGGCGACGACAGCCCCGCGGGGTCCGAGCGAGCAGAGAGAGGAACTAGCGCCATCTATGGACTACGGTAAAAATTAATGGCATCTGGAAGCTCAAAACAAAAACCATGAGAGAGTACATTGAGCGTGGTTTGAGTAGAATCAACCGACACAATCAAATTGAAATGCACGGCAATCCACTGGAGGGCAGTGGGACGGCCCGGCAGGAACCAGGGCATTCGCGTAGACAACTTATTTTTCTTTTTGTGCGTGAGCCAAGCCGAAGTTACAAGCACGGCGCACCGAACGACGCTTGCATCGCACGAGCCTGCAAGCTCGGCAGAGACGTGGAGCTCTCGTCGCCTCTGCTACGCTTGTGCCCGAAGTGAGTATATATACTGCCCTGGGGTGGTCAATGCTGCCCCTTGTGGGCCCCGTGTGCACCCCCCTCCGCCCACCTGCATGATGTGGAAGCCAATGACCATGTTCTCCCCGAGGCCCTCCTGCTCCGTCAGGTTGCTCTGCAGCAGGTACACCAGGAGCATTCCCTCGTCCCCCGTCACGTCCAGCCGGTACTGCGGGGAAGCCTGCCCGTCAGGCACAACTTTGCTCCCTACCCAGTAAGAAAGCCTGTTTCGATTCTGACATACACTTTCAACAAAACAGGTGGAACTAGGCGCCCTACAACTGCTGACGCAATTTTTGCATCAGCACGCTTGTTAGCTTTTTATTATCTTTGCTAGATTGAAGACTTTAAGACGTGACATTACGGCATCACTTCGGATGATCGGGGGGTACACCTCAATTTGTGCCGATTGATGTAAGGCGTCCGGGAAAAATGGCACAAAAGAGAACGAAATGATTGCTCCATTTTGGATCCCCGAGTTCAAACTGGCAAGTTGTTCTCAGAGTGTCGGCTGTGCCGTGAAATGCCGCACGAGTTGAATGTCGTGTCGCGGGGCGCCGGACCAGCTGGGAGGTTTGGCCCACCTGCGGGTTCCGCAAGAAACTGTCCCGGTGGTTGATGCAGCCACCCGCGCGGTCGAGAGGCGTGCCCCGCTCGCCCACGGTCCACTCCCCGAAGAAGCTCTGCTCAACCAGGGTCCGGCCCAGCTGGAACCAGCCGCTCCGCACCAGGTGGCAGATGGACATATCCGTGAAGCTCCCCACAAAGTCCTCCAGGGTCATCCTGGGACCAGGGGCGTCTCAGCATCACGCAAGTGGCTCGCCATCCTCAATTCAACGCCTGTCCAGTGTCACAAAGTGAATTCCTCTTTTTGGACAGGTAACTTAAAGAGAAGCTGAAGCACTTTTCGAGAAATCTAAGTTAGGAGTGGACTTCTGTAGCTTTTTGTCCCGTGAATTCAGTTAGACACATCTAACTTGGGCAGAAGTAAACATAAACCTCATTTATTTTAAAAAAAATGTGAAGCGATTACTGCAGGGCGTGCGGAGAGCCTTTCTGCTGTCTGCAATCTGTTCGAAGCATCGCAACGTCATCGTTGGCATCCCCGAGCCAGCTTATTGGCGAGCAAGGGTCATCTGGCCCTGCCAATGACGTCACTTTTGCTGGTTTTTCTCTCCGCTCTCGCACTTTCCCGCACCCGACGTGCCGCAACGGGTGTCGAAATTTTAATTGGCAATTATGGCACTCCTATTAATAAGATTGAGAGAAAAGCTAAAACACATAATTTTAAGGTGCTACATTAAAACTTTTGCATTTCTTTCGAATTCAAGGACATCTTCAGCTTCCCTCTAAAGGGCAACTCTGATCAATATTTTTTTAAATTTGAGATTACGACTGTTTTCAGCTAAAGCAGTGTTCCTGAATCACAAGGTACACTTTTTTTCTTTATGTTGTGTGTAGTTTTATAAATATCACAGCTCAAAGTTTGGTTTCGGGCGTCTATGGCAAAACCGAAACTCTCTGCTAGAGGGATGGCAACACTGATCATCAGTGTAACAGTCACGACGCAACGTCACAAGGGTGCTGCAGTACAACCAATCGACCACAGCTCCACCGCAATGTGGCGTCACAAGGGTGCTGCACCAGTGCTCCTCAACTAAAAGCTTACCCGCTTGCCGCTCACTATAGAGCAGCTGGTCGCGTCTTTAAAATCTGTTTTAGTGGAGTATGTGGCTTCATTTTGACGTAATATTTCGGCTGTGATCATATTTCGTGCCACTAAAGCAATGCCACAGTTGCCCCTTAAAAGCCCAATAGTGTGGTGCAAAACAAATGGTGAAGTGGAAAGCAAACATACTGGTAGTTTTTTTATGAACGGGCAGTGTTCTTTGTGCTGGATACACACGTTACTCTTCGCAAAAAGCTCCGCTCGAGGGTAATGCTAGCAGCGATGATAAGAGGCAAATGTTTCGGCTCTAGGTTTACTTCATTAGACCTTTCCGGAAAATCCCACAAGGCCTCTCATCAATCCCACATTGCACTGCACGGAGAATTGTGGGGTAATTCTGACGTACGGCCGGGACGCCTTGTACGTCCTGCACATCCTGAAAGTGGTTTAGTTCTTTCTCCCTTACTTCAGCAAGGTCAGTACACAAAGAAAACAGAGTGGACACATCACAACGCCGATACGCACCCTGTTTTGCTATTGTTCTGTTTTCTCTGCATTCTGAAATTGCAAAATGCTAAACAAACATAATCCACTCTTACTATTTCAGTGTCAGATGTATTGAGCTTGTACTGGGCGAGCCTCGTATCACGGAAAACGAACAGAGCATGCCAGCGCTAGTTGTAGTTGGCTTTGGAGACGGGAGAGGGTGCCACCTGCTCTTTCTCGCTTTCGGTCGCCCATTTGCTTGCTGCTTGTTCTCACCCTGGCGGTTGGGATGGAATGCATCGGCTGCTCCGTGTGTGATCAATTGTGGTTTACGCAAGACCTGGTGTCTTTGCCGGCGGCTTGCCACAAAGTTCTTCTGTTGCACACAGGCAGCGAGCCGACTGCCTTCAGGCTGCGCGCCACGTGCTTACGAGTGTTTGTGCTGGCAGTATCTTGACTCTTGCCAGATGCTACGGGTATGCACACCTGCCCATGCCAGAGGGTCTGCCTCAATTGGATCTCTTGGGCGAGCGTTTACTATCCACTCGGCACTCTAAACCTTTCGTGCGAGGATGGGGCGGCCAAAGCCTCCGCCAGAGCAAGCAGAGGCTGCTCTGCATCGTGAACGTGACCGTGAGAAAGAATGTCATCAATGTGGAGGCACTGGCCGATGCTGTCCATTTGCATCGCGTCACATGATAGTCCGCACAATTTTTTTGGGGTACTTCTTTACGCGGCGTACAATGAATTGCCGTAGCGCGCCAAAAAGACGATGGGAGGCGCTGCATATTTCCGAAATAGTCTACTGGTCTATTGGAAGCCTTGGTGCGTACATAGTTAACGTTTAATTTAAGCGTTTGTAATTTACGTATTGTAGCATGTAATTAATGAAGCAGAAGTCCGCTTCCTTGAACGAATCAGCGTCTGTGCTTTTTTTCCATGTCGGTTGACAAACGCACGATCCGCGGCGGCATGCAAATTCCCACACTGTACCAGACAAGGCGAAACACGCTCGTTAGGCCTGGCGCGACGTGCCAGCAGCTTTACTGGTGCACAGCTCTGCATCGAGTGCTGGATTCCAGGGTCGAGAGCAAGCGAAAGGGTGTCTTGCAGCTCCCTCTAGTGTGCCCCATGCACACTTACGCTTCGAATTATGGAGAGTGCACATGCACAGTTCACCACGCAACAATTCCCGCTAGCCTTAGCCTCGAGTGCGGTTGGTTTTTGCAATTGATGGCTAGGCATCTGAGGCGACGCAAAGGCCCTGCTTGCCGTTTCCCCGAAGCAGTAAGAGGAGGCTGACCAGAAGTCGCCGTCTTCCTTGAGCACGAGCCCCAGCTTGTCCCGGTCGGCGCTGGACGTGCGAGACCACTCAGCCGAACTGGAAAACATTTGGGTGAGTTGGGACTCGCCGTAACACCACTGGCCATGCCTGGGACAAAAAAAAGGGGGCACGGAAAGTCATGCAGCCTTCACTTCGCTGCGGCGGGGTCTGCGTCGGGCTACTGGCCCAACGACTTTTGTTCGCACGATTGGCACGGGCAAGAGATGCCCAAGTGTTCTAGGTTCTAGTCATTCCCTAACAACTTTTTTAATTAACAGATCACACATTTAAATTCTAGAGCCGCTGTTGTCATCGTTGCCGATCAACGGGCACCAGTCATTGTTTGTTTCCCGTTGAGGTTCCAAATTCAATGCAACCACATTGACATTCGTGTTAAAGGTTACTTTAAAACAAACCAATGGTTGCACTTGCTGCCTAGCACTAAGATCTCTAGCGGGACATCACCACAAGTCCGTGACTGCCAAAGATGAGCCTCGATCGTTCAGCAACGTCCGAGCTATGACGGTTCTGAGAATGATTTTGAGTCCGAAGACACACTTGATGTTGCCCTAGAGTGGCGGGGAAGCAAAGCGCAAATGTGTGCTCTGAAATGCATCCTAGCTCCGCAAACAAAAGGATCTGTCAGAGTTACGACTGCATGCCTGTAACATTCCATCAACTATTGAATTTATTTAATTAGGTGATACGGTGCACAAGGTCAAGTTCAGACTGCAAAATCCTCTTGGAGTAAGCCCTCGAAGCTTTCGCTAACATGTTGCACAAAATAAGGGCAAACCAGGGCACTTACAGTAGTTGCTAGTACTTTGTACTTCCTAGTGGCCACTGGTGAGCAAGTTTCTTTGACGAGAACCTTTAGTCGTGGCACTTTGTGGCAGCGTGGTCGAAGCAATACGAGTATAACTCGTTCGCATCAAATAAGACACCCTGCTTTTGCGGCAGCTGACGATCCACGGGGATGCACCAATGTGACCTGTTCTCACCTCCAATAAGTGCTGGATGTATTTGGTACTACCAAAGAGCTCGGTGTAAATACGCTTACAAAGTCAGCACCGAGCCACCAGTGAAAGCATTCTCTTTGCTGAAAAAAATGTTGCCTCTCCGAGGACCTATCTAGAATGGATCCAAACAAGATTCCTATTTACTATCTAGTACAAAAACGAAAGCAACTCTCTCTTGCAAGTTACCTTCAGTGCCGGCAAAGGCAAGCGTCGTACGCTTGAGCACACGTGTGTAGAAAGCGCCTTCAAAAACACTGCACTTGTGCCTTTGCCGATGCCAAAGACGACCCGTGAGATATACAGAGGACAATACAGCTATTCCGACAAGGGCCATCTTGATACAGAAAGGTGTCACCGCGAACGAGCGATCGGAGTGCCGGCGGGCACCCACCCCTGGCCGAAGGGCCCGGTCCAGGCGCCGCTCAGCCAGGGACTCCTTAGCCGCACCATGGACAGCCTCTGCCCGGAGCCTCCGAGCAGCGTGGCCAGACCACCACGACCCAGCTCAACCGACCTAGCCCCCGTCACGGCGTAGGCGTGGCCCTTGAGCAGGCCCCGCTCCGTGCGCTCACCCATCTCTTCCAGCTGATCCACCTGCAACGGAGGGAGGCCGTGAGTGGGGCAGGTGGCGGTTCTTCCTAGGAGCCTCACCGAGATGGCACAGCAGAGCAGCGAGTGAGCCTCTCCCGCGGCCACCATCTTGGCGAACAGGGCATCCCGCAGCACGGGGTCCCTGGCGTAGCCAGACAGCTCAAGGATCTCGGCCGCTCCCCCCGTCAGGTCCACCAGGGCGTCCGACAGGCTGCACGCCTCCAGCTGCTCGTAGCAGCCCAGGTACCTGCAAGGCCGCGCCCGCTCGTGGGACCCTCTCGGAAGGCGGCCCACGCCGCAGACCTCTCATCGGTGGTAGAAAGACGGGACGGCTGGACGGCACCCATACCCTACGGTGTTCTCGAGCGAGCGATCCAGACGAGCCAACGTCCCCACATCCGTGGCACGTAAGGCAGACTCCTCCTCGTCGTCGAAAACTTGCGCGGGCCATTTTCCAAGAGGCTGCCTCTTGCCTTTGTCACCGGCATGCTCCGAGACAGAGCCTCGGTGCTTTTGCTGTGGCGTCTGTAATGCGCCTCCAACCGGCGTGTCTACCGCGTCTTCATTTTGGGTTCATTCTCGCCTTCATTGGCATCTTGTCGGCCGCAATCTAGGCGGTGATGCTGCAGCGGAAGCAATTCTGGCAGACCCTCTTTTGCCGGAGGTCGCCCTGCGGCCGGCCGGTCGGCGGGAGTTTAAGCGGTGATGACAGCAACGCTTGCGCCCTCCTCTGCTGGCGCTTCTACGACTAACCATAGGGCGAGCGACCAAATGTGCCTGAAGCCTCCGTAGCATAAGTGGTTGATGCTCCGGGTGCTACAAGGTGGTAAACTCACCAGTAGAAGACCGAGATCATACTTTTACTAGCGGTTCTCGTCACTTGACATTGGCCCTTCCCACTTTGAGCCTCTCTCCTTATGCAGACAACAACACTTCCCTGTACCACGTAGAGTAATTGAGGTGTTTTTTACATTATCGCCCAGCTTTCTAAATGTGTCTGCATTACTGCGGGGCAAGCCGACACCTACTGGAAGCAGTATCCTTTGGTCAACACACAACGGGCTTAGCACTCAGGTTTGAACGCAAGCACACTGCACACGCCATTCTTAGTTCCTAAGCTTAACTGGGATTGTATTCGACTAAAGATCATACTCCAAAGGCAACTGGATGAATGGAAGATCTCTAAACCACTTTCCTAGAGTAAATCGGCCTGAGAGTGCCAATCACGGTGACACCTTGGTCGATTGACTGTGTGCCATTCTGGCAACAAGTGGTCATTGATTTATTCATTTCACATTTGGCACATATGACCGGATGAAACATTAAGATCACACCATTAAAATGGGAGCAGTTTCTATAGCCCTTATGAGTAGGCTGTAGACTCTGTGGTTTTAACTGAAAACCTCCGATAAGCATCCACCAGTGTTAAAAAGTACCAAATCGATTCAAACAAAAAAAAACATTTCTGGACATTTTTGTTTTGAACAAGAACTGTTTCTCGCCGAAATCCTTCCCTCTTAGACATTGGCCAGGCGTTTACCCTTACCCAGATTCAAGTATTCCAGCTGCCAGTCCCAAATCAGTTGAATGGCTGACCTTAGAGGACAGTGGTATGAGACTGTGAATGACATTCAGTTCTATTCAGTTGAGCTGGACGACAGTGACTGAACCTACACTGGCGATCGTTATCGGCTGCACCTTGCAAAAGAAGCAAAAGCAACTTGCCTTCCCTATTGCAGAAAAATTTTGCATGTGTACAATTAAATTTTTGTCATCACAACAAACAGAAGGGTAGCAGCATTCAAGGAAACCAGAAAGCTCCGGATGATAATGTTAGAGTATATTCGGATTCTGGCCCGGGTTCATACTCGTATGTGGTTTGCAAGTACAGTGTGCTCAACTGTTAAACGTAACGCGGGAGTGGTGGCTGAAGCTAATACCAGAGCTGTCTAGCGATTAAATCAATGATGCGGCAGAGAATAAGCCGGCTCTTCTTGGGATTCTCGCCACTCCCCGATACAATTATCGCACGATCTCCTCGTTCCTTTCTTTATCACCCACGCTTTAAATTTTTACTTGTTTGTTTTGTTGTTTTCTCCAGTCTGTTTAGTCACATCCACGCATTTACCATGCCGGGCTACCATATCTCGGTGATCTTGCAGTTTCTCTAATAAAAAACACCTTCTTTAAACAACAACAAAAAAAATAATTCAAAGGGCGGTCTTTTTATTGCCGAGTCACGCTTCGGTAATTGTTTCGGAGCTGGGAGTGTAACTCCAGAAAACAGCAGCTGCATAAGCTTCCAGAGTGAGCTGGTAGATGGCGCATGCAGTCTCTCCGGCCACCGCTCCCGCGTTATGTTTAACAGTTGAGTACACTGTATGTACTGTACATACTGTGCATTACGATGAGTAGGAAGCATCATAATTTACAAGGGTGTATATGAATTGTAAATTAAATTTCAACTCCTAGTTTTCGCCAGCTTTTTTTTTTTTTTTTTCAGCGATTATCAGTTTTTAGAGTCTAAACAAAACATTCAAATACGGTGATTTTTGAAAAAATTCCTAGACACTAAAAAATATTCACAGATTTTCCTAATAGATAAACACCGGAAAATCTACGCCCTGCTTACGAGCCACTTCCCCAAACCAAAACTTTACTGCTGGGGTGGCCTGCAAGCGAAGCCTGCGCCGCGTCCGACAGATGTTTGTTATGGCTCAAACGCGTCTTTGAGCGGTCGGCCCCCACGCAGAGCGCTCGCCTCGTGACGTGGATCCCAACAGCGTACTGCAGAGAGGCAGAGGGGCACCCACTTGGCGTAAGCCTTCTCGAGCAGGGGCCCCCAGAATTCGCCCTTGGCCCGGGAGCGGCAGCCGAGCAGGCGCCCGTCGCGGGTGGGAAGCCGGTCGTCCACCACCACGTCCGTCCAGTGGCCAAAGGCCCAGAAGCAAAAGCGGAAGATGCCCGCGTATGGCCTCTTCTGGGACCACTCCTGCTCCTTGTGGTCCGGCACCACCTGCATAGTGTCGGCTCTCTAGGGCGGCCCACTCCGGCCACAATGCTGCCGTCGGGCTCCCACTGCCAGGCTGCCCCTTCTACCGTTGGCCCCTTGTCCGATATCCCAAAATTGCTCAAGTTTTCGTTTTTTGTTTGTTTGTTTTTTTTTGTTCGTTGCCACCTTACCAGACATATTCTGCCAACTCAGGGTGTATACCGAAGATGCGCGAATATTCGAGACTCGAAATAATTGCTGGCGAAGAGTGTTTGTTATACAATTCGACTCATGGTACATTTTTACTTATCAAATTATTAAAGTTTTTCGAATATTCAAAAACTATGAATAATGTCTCCAAAATTATTCGGTTTCTCGCCCCAAGCTCTACTGCTTCGCACCAGCGCTTTGACACCAAGCTTCACCACGTCGCACCGGAGCACGTGAGCCAAGCCTTGCTGATACACACGGGTGGGCCGGGCTCACGTTTCAGAGCACCACGGTTGGCTCGAAGGTCTCGAAATACTGGCTATTGTGGGTCATCCTTCTTTGGTTATATTATACTTCGAAACCCGAAAGGAGAGTCCCAGCAAATAAAAGGTCCCAGTTCAACACCGAGCCAACTTGTGGCAAAGGTGAAGCAAGCTTCGAGCAATATGCCACATTCCAAAAATAAATTTATTATCTCGGGTCCAAGTAGAAGCCGCATCAAATAAATAATTACGATAATGAGATTTGAACTATAATAAAAAAAGGTTGGCACTTTGCTTGCTATATCAAATTACGTTTTAAAAAATTTCTTCTCTTGCCCCGCAGGCTCCGGGGCTCTTTGTAATATCGATAATTATCAATATTATAATACTGATTACAATATCGATAATTATCGATATTAGCCACGCACGCTCGGGGTTATTTGCAGTAGCATAGACGCTCGGAGGCATTTGTACTCGATTAATTAAAATGTGCCGCCAGGCTCATTCGACTGATCTGCACCAGCTTGCACCAGTGCAGAAAAGTGCAAAGCAATGTACTACTACCGGCCGTGTTTCGAGGTGGACTGTGCATAGAATACGGCTGTGTGTACCGAATGCAGCCGGTGCAGGTAAATCGAACGAGCCCATTATTAAGTTGTCTTATAATACCAATGCTTGGAAAGTAGCTCCCAAATAAGAACTGTTCCATGGGTCAGCGCCACAGGTGCGGTGCATGGCGGGCATCTCCTTACTGCCTCGCAGCCGATAAGGTTGCAGCAGCTGCTCCTAAGAATGAATCCCAATAGAGCAGTCACAGCCCGCATTGCTGCCACTGACTCCGCAAAAGATTTCCAGCCATTATTTCTCTAAGCATCCACAGTAAATCTAAAATATTCATATTGAAAGGGTTTTGAATTTGATTTGCAGTAAAATTAAAAAATTTGTATTCGATTTGCAATTAAAAAATTTGTATTACCCGCACCTGTATATGTTATGGAACAAAATAAATCTGCGTACACAGCTGACAAACAATTTTTGCACTCTGCCACCACCGAAATAGGTCAGCATTTTCATTCATGAGCCTCGATGGGCAGTGAAAACAGAGAGCCATGCTTGAGAGTCTGACCAGGACAGGCAAGAGCAACTTGGTGAGCGAATTTTAGTGCATGGCGTCTCGCGTCGCCGTAGGCTAATATTGTTGGGGCAACAAGGATTGGCCGGAAGGTCCTACCTTCGCCCAGAGCGACCTTTCACTGGCCAGTGCAGTGCAGGCCGTGACAAACCAGGCGTTGGTCGGCTTGTCGTGCGACACGTCGCTCCCCAAAGCACCCTCCACAAAGAGGCGCGGGTCTGAGGTTATCTCCTGGAAGGAACAAAGGGCACGCTTCAATGTCGTGCGGTGTTTGCTAACGGGAAATTTCCTCGACACCGAACAACAACAACAAAGGATGCAGCATTCGAGGCAGTGCAACCATGCGGGCAACCCAGTTTGGTCTTTGAGAAAGGGGTGGAAAAAATAAAGACATGCCATGCTGCCCGTTTTGCCATAATAAGTTTGACTTCGTGGTCAGGTACACTTTGTGGCATACGGCATTTCCAGTGTATCTTACCAGTCTCGTGCAGTGTTGAAAGTGTACGAAAGCTTCCCCGAGCTGTTCCCCTGCATGAGAAGTAGCACAAAGAAGGCATTTTCCAAAGTTGCACTCATGTATGTGTAGCCCGGCCAGTACTGCACCAGACTAGTAAAATACAACTGTACAGCACAACAGACACCAACTTGTATCAGTTTCCAAATGCAACACGTTTGCTTCAATTAGCGCTTCCTCGTGGGTACTCGAGTGTTCTTAAAACTGCCTCAAGGCCAGAAACGACAAAGTGCTTGTTTGTTTTTTTCTTTTTATGTCAAGCATCAACTGTCCCAAGCATCAACTGTCTGTAGCGGCGAAACGAGTTACATTTCCATCGCTCAAAAGCACAGCAATGCAGATGCTTTGTCATGGAAACCAGCGAGACACTCAAGGTCAAAGCGGACACGCCTCGGAAATAAAACACAAAGAAAAGCACAGCAACGCAGATGTTTCGTCGCGGAAGCCGTGGAGCCGGCGGGGTTTGCTGTGCCTGCGCAGTGGGGGAGCGCGATGTCACCGCTGGAGCGCCGTGTGAAAAAGAAAGACGTGGGGCGCTGCTTGTAAGAATGCACTGCGTGTAGGAATGCTTTCGCATTCCTACTCGTAAGCCGTCTTAAGTGTCTCGCTGTAGTTTTTATTCTCTCGGAGCATTCTCCTGCAACGCTGCAAGAGCAGACCAACAGAAAGAGCAGCAGCCACAGGAGGTCACCTTTGCCACAGGCACACAGTGAACGCAGTGAAGCCAACCTTACGGGAGAAAGAATTCTGCTGTTTATAAAGTGTATTCTTTAACAACCATGTCTGTTATGGGCTCTTCCCACCACTGGAAATGACGCGTCCGTTGTTGGTGTCGTAGTAGTCGTCGTTGTTGTTGGTGTAGTTGGCGATGTAGGGCATCCGTCGTCGATGTCGCAAAATGCTCGAAACATATCGCCCGCAGCACACGGGAATCGATAGTGGGTGGCATAGCTCAGTGGCAAGCGGAGGCGTTGCCACTGAGCTATGCCACAGCTTTAATAGCCTGCTTTTTACATAGGGTTTTTGTAGTACCCAATGCCCACTGCACAAGCTCCTGCAAAACAAATATAGCCAATAACAAAATGGCGTTGTAGCGCTGTCAATGCCTAGAGCTACTGCTGGGATATGTGCTTTCACGCCCTCCGGAACAAGAAAGAAACAAAAGCATTCAGAATAAAATGGAACATACCAAAAGCATTCGGAACAAAACAGATGTCCCTTTTGTTTCAAACACTTTTGTTCGCATGGACCCGACGCCGATGCCCAATGACCTCTGCGTGGCGTGTCGCAATTATCGCTAAAACTGCATTTCTTCTTCCTGCTTCCTTGGTCTGGGATTTTATTAAATGAATAGCATTTCTGGGGCGAGCTCTTTTAAAATTTGTGTCTGTGGATGTAGCCTCGACGATGTCACAGTGTCACACTTGATCCCAAAGGCGCGCTAAATGTATTTAAAGGTCTTCCGTGAGGTAATGTGACACCACAATGTCACATGCTGTCGTGTAACACTGTGGCATCACAGTGCCACCCGACGTCAGTGTCACGTGGCGCCGTCACCTGATATCACAGGCGATGGCTTTATGTATTCGCAAAACCCTCGCAATGTACCTTTCAGTGGCCTTTTACTGTGCCCGCAAGGGAGGAGCTCTACAATGCTAAAGGGACAGCCAATATTTATATTTGAAATTCACCATCTTGCCTGTGTTCTTTCGAATAAAGTTCTTATTGGGAGTTAAGATTCGGGTAGATTCCTTATTCCCCACTTTGCTTTAGCAACTATGCATTGCATGAAGACATGTCAGCATTCATTTCATACAGCACCTGCTAACTCGCAGACGACACTTGCGGGTCCCCCAGTGATGCCACCACGTGGGTTAACAGACAGCATAGGCGACAATAGGGTACCAGTGCCACAAAGAGCGTCATGGGTGACAACAGCATTCTATTCTAGTTTCAATGCTGCACTTCTTGGCAAGAGAGAGAAGCAAGCAGCCACAGCATCTAGGGAGCATCATCTTTGTAAGTAACAAATTTCTCGCATCGTGCATAGATGTGCGCATGTATCGAAGATATGTTCTGCATGTGGGAATTTCCCGCACTGCCAGATTCTGAAGAGTCCGGCTACCCCCTCTGGGAATAAGATGAATTGGCTCCAAGAGCCCAGTTCCCATAAAATGGCGAGGCGCCCCGTCCGAAACACTCCCTGCTCTGGTCTATGCTTTACCGTGATACCACGAAAGTGCCATGGATGATTTAGTCTATAAACTGCCCCACCCTCTTTCGGCACATCTCCATGAGGTGAGGCAGTGGTGCCAAGAGAGATTTTTCTCCCCTCCCCCGTTTCTTCCCACCAACTCAACCTTTTTACGTCACGCCTGCGGTGGCATTGCTGCAGGCAACGCGCGTGCGCAGACTTTTTATCTTGCGTGAATCTAGTTTCTGTGCATGTGCAGTAAACACACCTGGTGTATGGTGTGGGCAAACGTGGGCTTGTTGGTAGGCAGCGTGTTAGCATGTAGAAATGTCTGAAATGCCTGGAGAGGAAAGGGGGGGGGGGGGGAGGGGGGGGGGTGACTGCACTACCATGTTTTGCTACCACTGAGCTAAGGGATAAGATCATCCCATCTGTGCAGTCCGTGAACCACTCGGTGCCGGGAGGCTTTGGTCTTCCTCCAGGGTTTGTACACATGGCCGAATCCCATGTGCTTGGCCTTGGCGTCCTTAAAAGCTGGTTCGGACATTTGCGTTTGAGTGTGACAGACAATGTTACGACCGCTCGGGACTGCTCATGACGAGACAGTAGTCATGGCAAGCGAGGTCTGCATTGGAAGAAAATGCAAGTCACTCACAAACATATGTAACTGTCTTAACCAGCCTTAACATGTCAGCCAACAAGCTAGGAGAATGTTTGAAAGTCGCGTGGTCTGAACGCCGAGTGGCGACCAAACCACGCACAAGGGCCGCTCGCGAGACTGGTGCTCACCCCCGGCCGCTTCCAGACCACACCACTGGCTTCTGCCGGTGGGTCCAGGAAGAGCGAGCTGTCGTCTGCCGGGAAGCTGGGGTCCGTGAACAGTTGGCCCTTGGCCACGGCCTGGCTCCTCAGACTCTGGAAACTGGCCGAGCACCGGCCGGCCGTTTTCTTGCCCATCTGTCCGACAGCCAGGATGGTGCTGCAGTGGCAAAGGCCCGCTCGACAGCCCCGACGAGCTGTCGTCGGCCGTACACAAGTCTCACAAAACTTGCACACTACATTCCTCGCAGTTGCTGCGCAAATCTATCTACAGCGTGTCCCTCCAAAAAATTTTACGGGGCCCATTCTCGGTAAGTAGCGCCATTGAGCTCCCTAAATTCGAAGGCACCATCAGCCGCCATTTTTCCATTGAAATTTTCAGAAAATCACTTAGAGCTTTTGACTAAGATAATGCCTAGTTTTAAAACTTTGGCACCTGGTTCGGACCACTAGCTCTACATTTTGTCAAAGAATGAGCGCTCGGTGATGCATAGTTTAAATTTCTGGGGAAAAGAACCTCTAAATTTTTTGGAGGGGACACATACATTGGTCACTGTTTCCTGTCACGTTCTAAACATTTTGGCATTAACCTTTCAATCAACTGTTTTCACCTTTCACACGACGAATACAGATAGCGGTGGATGCACTGTCCTTTCTTGCATCAGAGTACGACAGAATCTCGCCAAATTCGTGCACCGTCAATGCGGACAAGATGGCCCATACACGTTGACAAGATAATCAAAACTGAGCCCCTTCTTCCAGAAGCAAGCTTTCGCTTGGCTAGTGCCGGTCAAAGCCAGGGCATATTTCATTCAAGCTTGTACCCAGGACCGGCCCTAGGGGTGGGCGATCTGGGCAGTCGCCCAGGGCACCATCAAAAGAGAAGCACCACCGAGCTCCCCTTTTGAATTTTAATGCGAAAGCATTAACTGTCTGATGGAGCGAACTGACATCATCAGTTTAAAGCGCGAAAACGGCTCCTGGTTTACGCGATCCCAATATCAGCAATTCGCCTTCGGTTCCATTGGCTGGCGCGCGTCGACGGGGCTCCCATTGGCTGCTGCGCCATGCCCTCCAAGATTCTGAAGCGCGCGCGCGCTAGTACGCAACAGACGACAACAGGAGCGGACAAGCAGACGACAAAGAGTGCAGACGAGCAGCTTGCATGCTTTCGCATTCACGACTCATAAGAAATGCTTAGGTGTACCTCAAGCTTTTTTTTTAGGTTTTTGATTTGACACGGTGCCCAATACGCTTTATGCTCAATTGCTGTTAGTTTTTGAAATGCGGTTCTCGTCTGACAAAACGCTCATGTTAGGCCACTACTCGCATGTTTACTAACAATGTCATGCCCTAACTAGTAGATAGGGACGTATAAAAAGGGAAGGGGGGAGGGGCGGCATCTTAGCCAGAGTTCACCCAGGGCACTTGATCGTGTAGGTTTGGCCCTGCCTGTACCAGTAAAACTAGAAATTTATATGTGTCGTGTTTAAATAATACATTGATTTTCGCGCAACTTTCTTGCTGGACCAATTATATATTTCAGAAATTAAAATTATTAGGAGGCTCTAAACCAGCATTAAATTGCCATATCTGTCAAAAACAATAAAGTGCAAACGGAAAATGCCTGGTGCAATTGGTACTGTGCCAGTTTGATGGGTGGCACTCATTTGGTCGAAGAACGTTTTAGTGAACGCCGACTTTTCATCGAAAGACACTTTAGCAAATGGTAGGCCACCGTGAAGCAGCAATTACGGGTGGGCCAGGTGGGTTAACATCTTTGTAATGAGCCGCTGCAGACCGTCACTGCAAAGCAGCGTGAACGCAGGGTGGGTTAATGGTCTATTCACAAGATGCATCTTGTTGGCAAAACTGGGTCTAAGGAAACGAATGCCCTGTGTGAACGTGACTGAAAAAGTAGCGCGCCTCCAAAAAAGGTTGCGCACGCACCTCGCGTCTGGAACGATATTTTGCTGAAACCTCACCGAGGACCGTCGATCACCTGAAGGAGAAACGCGGATGCTGCCAATGGGTGCTTGATATCATACGACGTCTGATCTTCGAGGCGGAGCGAGCCTTAGGAGGAATCTGATTTTTGGTTGATCCCATATTCGAGCTGAACCCGAAAAGGGAAGACAAGCATGGCGGCGAGCGATAAGTGGAGAAGCAGTGCGTACGGGTTGCGTATGGGCGATATGGTTTAGCGGTACGGGTTGGTGGAGCGGTGCAGATTCATCGACAGTCGCAACCAGTGCAAGCACCGCATATAAACGCAATGACTGGAGACTTATGTTTTAGCGGTGCAAAAATGTAAAAAATAGATCATTTGCTTGTACTGTGATACAAATTCACGCGAGTCAATACGTCACGGGTTTTGTGCGTCAGACTCCAGGTTGTGGAGTTGTGTGTTGAAAAAATGTATCGTGGCAATAAGCCTTAACACGCGCCCCAGTCGTCCGTTAAAACACCGATGCGCCCAACTGACTGCTGTTCGCTAAAGCATCATTTGCTCATGCGATATATGGATCCCGCTTGGATGGACAGAGTCGAGCTGGAAATATGACGGTTGCTGTACAGGTTCCAAGCAGGCTTCACCTCGAGTGGTACAGGTCACGAGGTGAATGGGTTTAAAGAGCAACTTTCCCAGCTGCCGCACCACCATTGGTCGCCAGATGACCCTCAATGGTGGATCCGAGCTTGGGGGCTCAGAGGGAGTCATTCCCGTCTGCAATGCTATCCGGATCCCGCCGTGTTGATTTGGTCTGGCAGTACTACAGCAACAAAATAAGGCGAGCAAGTGGCTCACTAGCGCTATGAGATGACGTCACGGAACTAGATCCTCGGACAGACAGCGCGAACCGAAGCGCTCCGGACCCTTGGGGGATGGAATCGCCCTGCGTAGGGGAGATTGAAACGGAACCCCAGGCGCTACGCATTGGTTCGACGAGTGATTTATAAGCACGGAACACACGGCAGCGTGGCAGGCAAAGCAGATAGGTAACAACCCCGAGCGCCTGCTAGCCTCCGCCGAGTACGCTGCCAGTCCTCACGCCACGGACGCAGATAGCTCAGTCGTGAACGGTCTTTATCATTTCAGGCAGTATATTTTCTATCAGGCTCCGATCGTCCCTGATTGCTCCTTCAGCAACAGAAGGCTCCGGACACTACAGCGCAGCACGAGCGTCTTTGTGCGCCGGCACCAATGGTCGCGGTCCAGCGGAGTCTGGAGCGGCTTACCGTTCAGAAAAAAAACGCCTGTTAGAAGTGGACCCAGAGAACGGCGTCGCTGGCGTGACTCAGCACGTGCAAGACACACCGGCTTGCGCCGGCGCATGCTTTTCCATTGATGGAAACGATTTGGTCCGTTTCGTCGGTCCCGTTCGGAGCGTTCGTTGCCTAGGCGACGGAGAGGCGTCTGGTGTCGGTTGGCTTTTGGCAACGGCTTTTGGCTAGCTGACTGCTTTGTTGCCACTGATCAGTGTTTGTTGCCTCCACTGTGGTTGCCTCCTTGTTGTTTTTATCCGTAGTGTTCCAAGGTAAACGCAAGGCAGTAAACAAGCACGGTGATGTACCATTATGTTAAAACACCTGAGACTGGGCGTAAAAAAAAAACTGAAACAACGAAAAGTGGAAGAGGCAGGGAAAGAAGTCAGCCAGACGTCTCGAATTCGGCTAATAAGTTTATTCCGTAAACCTCTTATTTAATACACCTTTGAAATCTTTCATATCGAATATGTGCATCTTTGAGTTCGAAATTAAGCAATCCTAGTGTTGAGCGTGAAATCGACGCACGCGTGACCGAGGCCACCGAGGCAGCCGAGGCTCACGAGAGAGAGATCTGCCACAGCAAAGTTTGCAAACAAAACCCGAACCAGAAGTGTTCTCGGACTCCTGTCATGGCGACCGGAAGTGACCTTTTGGACACAATTCTTTACAAAAGCATTAAACATAAAGGACAAAACAGGAACAGCAGGTCTTTCGTATGTCTTTTATCTCCTGTCCTTTATGTGTAACAACTTCTTAAAAAAGAATTCGGTTTTTGGACGACTACACTAGCGCCACCAAAGTCACTCCCCAGCTTCTAGCGCGGTTCAAGCATCGTCAACGCCATCACGCTTTCGCCTCAAATGTTTTTTTGAACACGTGTTTACCATGCAGGAGATAGAAGAAACACAAGGTAACCGCTTTAATCCCAATTCAATTTCTATCACGAATGCACCGAAGTAGACCCCAAAAATCTCAAATTCAGCTCGCGGTTTCAGAGTGCCGTCGGGCCTTTTAGCACGTTGGCGACGCTGTTTGTTTGCTTCGCTGTGACGGGCCTCGCTCAGATCGTGGCCCGCCTTTCGCGGATGCGAGCTTAAAAAGAATTGTCGCCCAACTTTGATTAGCACTGTGACCAGTTGCTTCGACCTTGTGCAGTACTGAATCTGTTGCGAGCGTCGCTTGCGCAGCTTAAGCGAGTGTTGCTTGATTCGGCTTGTCGCGCTTTGGACATGGCTTCCTCCGCGTCGCGGAAAGCCTCTTTGGCCACTTTGGCCGCATGACGTTCCCCGTGTCGCCTCTGCCGCGTCGGTAGGTCGGTCCCGCCGAAAAGCGCGTGGCGATGTGCGCGGCGGCGCCTTGCCACACGGAGCTGCTCGCCGTTATCCCCGCCATCGCAGATGCCCCAAACTCGTTTTCTCTCTTCCAGTTCTGTCGTCCTCGAAAAAAGAGAAGAAAAAGAGGAAAACCCTAGGGGTAAGTCCGACGTGCCTGCCGCTATCGGATCTTCTCACTGCGCAGAACACAAGGGCCTCGCGTGGATTTGGCCGGCTGCTATTCGAACCACGGGACGTACGCGGCGCCCTTGCTCGTCAAACGTAAAAAATCCGGCTTAAATAATAATAATAATAAAATACAGGCACGACATATTTGCTTGTTGCTCTTGCTTATATTGGGTGTCAAGAAAAACATTTACACGGTTCTTTTTACCGCAAAGATAAACTTTACATCGCGGAACGCTCATTCTCCCCCCAAATGTAACGGTCCGAAACAGATGGCAAAGTTTCACCACTAACCATTATTTTATTCAAAAGTTGTAACTGCTTTTCTGAAATTTTATATGTGAACCAGGCAGCCGACGGAGCTCTCGAATACATGGAGAGCTATACAGAGTGTGCGGATGTAAATGGTGACAAATAATGGTCAAACTTCCCGGGGGAAGTATGTTACTTTGATTGGCTATTCCTTTTGAGAACCTTCGGTAAGTAGCACATACTTTAAAAGTCTCACTGCCGAAGACTAAGTGCCTCCTGAAATTTACTTATATGGGTTCGGCATCCCTTCCTGTTCCCTTATGGGAAAAGAAAGGGCACTTAATTGTTCCTCAAGGGAACGACAAATCTGCAGAAGGTATCATGGGCGCATCTTTAGGATTACAAATTTGACTGACCTGGTCCATATGCCTGAAAACTTAAAACCTCCAAGTCACTAAACACATTTAGCTACTTTGTGAATGGCGAGGCATCGGTGGTAGGCACCTACCTCCCCAGGCGCTGAAAAATACATGCCGAGCTTCCCTGCGGGGGTCATGGAGCTGGGTATTGGTTTTAGCAGACAATGTGCTAAAAGTATTTTATCATACTTTTTTAGCGCACCATGAGTGTCTGTAATCCACAATTTTCTAGTGTTTTGACCTGCTGGCTTTTGTATTTAAGGTTTCTCAGATCCCCGTGCTCATTGCATTTTTGCATGTCCGTAAGGGTTCATCGTTGTACGGAATTAGTCGGTCGAGGCGCCGCATTCTCGCGTTTGCGCCATCTGTCAACAGCACATCGAAGTAGGCTAGCATTGTCTGCCGGTGCCGTCGTCCTGCGGTCACCCAGGCTCAGCACCATCGGTAGCGTCTCGAGATGATCAAAATAATTCGTGACATTTTGTTCGTGCCGGTACGCATCGGCAACTTAAAAGCATGACACTGGGGCATTTGTAGAGTGTAGCTCTCACGAAATAGTTCGCCAGTGAACCGAAAGTCATCGCACACTCACCCAAATATAAGGAGAACTAGATGTATTTCTCTCCCCTTGTCATGGCGGCCGAAAATGGCACGCATGCCCTGTATGGTGTCAGTTACCGAAAATGGGCACCATTTTTTCATTGAAAATTTAAGAAAATCACTTGGCTCAGAAAATATAACCAATCTCCGGCCCGAGCTTGCACCAAGCCGCGTCGAAACCGCAGACTGCTCTCGGCATGCTGGTGCCTGAAACGACCGTTCCCCGCTCAGCGTCAACTGCTGCCCTCTCAGCACACCGCCGTTTCATTGAGGGAGCTCCACAAGCCGCGGAGGAGGCTTCACCCTATTGTGGGCCAGCGACATCAATACTCACTACATTGACAGTGCCAATGGGCTGCTATTAATATTTGGTGTTCGTATTGTAATCTTGAACTTTGGCTTATATCTTGATTCAGCCTCCCTTTATAGGGAGAGGGAAAGCATTTTGAATGCACCAAGACCGGTGCTGCCTCCCTCCATTTGGAGTAAGTGCTGGGCGGGCATTGTCCTACCTGGACTGTGGTGAGGAAAGAATAAGGAATTCATGTTTCAGAAAAAAGACAGGAGCAGATTCTCCTCTTCATGTGGCTCTTTGACTTGAAAGTTGCTTACTCTTTCCTCGCCATCATCTCGGGTGTTACTTAAATATGATTGTTCCCTCAGTGTTCTTCGGTGTTAGAGATGCTAGCGTGGTGATCGCGTCCTATGTGGACGATTGCAGTGCACTCGTCCCTATGTGTCGACTAGCGTCTAGAGCTTGCAGACTGGGTGCTTTTACAGGACATCCAGGCAGAGGGCGACTTTGTGATCCAGCCGTCAGAAAAGGCGGGCAGCCTCAACACCTCACAGTGGCCACTTTTGCTCAAGGCAAGTCCCTCCTGATTACAAAGAACCCCGAGGCTGAAGCGAGAGAAACTAGGCGTGGTCCTTTTTAAGACTTTGCATTTGTGCTGTTCTTTTGCCTCGATCTTGGGGATTTTTTGTAATGAAGCTCAATTTACATCAGTTCGTTTGTGCTGTTACGTTTGTTTGCAAGTCCCTTCCTTAAAGCCTGATGCGCAAAAATTAGGGAGTTTTAGTATAACGTACGGAATTTTAGCGCACACTGGTGGTAAATTTAGCGCTTGCATTAGCGCATACTACACAAAAAGGTTTTAGAATAGCGTTTCTTCACCGCGACACAAAAACCCAAGCATGCTACGCTAAAACTTTCTATTATTTCTTCCCAGCAGAGGATTTCTCTCCTTTCCTTCGTTTTCCCCTCCAATTTTCTTCTCACTTCTTTACGTCTGGCAGGAGATGAGCACCGAAAGGTGCTGTTGCTATCGCTTGACTGGGACTTGTGGATCGCTTTTTAGGCTATTCTGCGACAAGCTCACGAGTTTCTTTTTGGGGAGGCCCATACTCCTTTCATTCTTCAGCTGACAGTATGCCGTAAGCCCTGTGCTCGTCGTGGCAATCCTATGTCTATCTTTAGGCATAGGACTGGCACCTTTGCATCTTCAGCCACGTGATTATGCTTCTGTCCGTACACATGCGCAGAGAAAAGGTCAGGTGATGAAAGGGAGGCGATCGATCGATTTGGCGAGCGCATAACTCCGACGGCACTGTCAGCTCAGGGGTCAACGGAAACTCACTGGCCGCTAGACTCGTTTTTTTTAATGCGAAAGCATTAACTGGTCTCGTAGAGCGAGCTGACGTCATCAGTTTGAAGCGCGAAAACGGTTCCTGGTTTTCACAATCTCAATAGGAGCGATTCGCCTTCGGTTCTATTGGCTGGCACATGTCGACGGGGCTCCCATTGGCTGCTGCACCATGGCCTCCGAGATCCCGAAGCACGCGCGTACTAGTACGCAGCAGATGACAAAGAGAGCAGACGAGCGGCTTACATGCTTTCGCATTCACAACTCATAAGAAATTGTTAGGTGTACCTCGAGCTTTTTAATCCTAAACGGCGACATAAAAAGGTGGGCTTCTTTCCTTCTTTTCTGACGTGGGAAAAACGGCAAGGAGAACATTGAGGAGAGTAAGCTCACTACAATTGAAAACGAGCGTGTTGGTTAATAGATACAAAGCTTGAAAGCATAAAACAGAGAGGACGAGGACCATTCTATGTTGTTGCTAAATGAAAGATGTCCTGTTCCCGTCCTCGTCCTCTCTGTTTTATACTCTCAAGTTTTGGAAGCTTACTACTTTCTGTTTGTTGTTTGGGCTCTAATACTGGTTCACACACGCGTTTGCTTAGGACCGAGTCCTCGCGACGAGGGAACACGCTGGCATACCGTCTACCAGGTAGCCCTGGAACTGTATTTTAGTAGAGTTTTGCAGTATTTGTGAGACCAAATGTGCATACTCTCTACGAGAAATGGTTGTTTATAAGATTGTCAAAAGTTTTTGGAGCCAGTCAAAAAAGAATGATACACAATAGGGAAGCGTGGCCACCGGTGCCGGCGTGCTTTCTGGTCGCAAGTGATCCCAAACACTCGGCGGTTGGCAAGGGTGTTACTTTAGTCCTTGCGTGGGATGTAGGAAGGGCCAGCTGCGTGGAGAGGCCCTCGGTTAAACCTGCCTATGCCAAAAAGCTGGCCAGACGCAGCATTCCCGGTGTCCAGTGCTGGCAAGGCAGCCGTGCACCAAGTGCTTTGAGGGGGTCTCTGGGCGCCGCTGCCGCGCTCCACCGCGCACGGGGGTCAAGAAGACGTTGTGGCCAACCCCTGCGTTCCTCTACCCCTGGCAGAACTTTGACAAGCTGAATGTGCGGACGAACCACTATGTGCCCATGCCACACGGCAGCTCGCCGCTCAAGCGGGAGCTGCGCGAGTACATCCGCTCGGGTTTCATCAACCTGGACAAGCCGTGCAACCCTTCCTCCCACGAGGTCGTCGCCTGGGTCAAGCGCATCCTCAAGGTCAGTACCGCTCTTTTCTGGGGCGTGCCAAGGAGGCGGGCTAGTAAGAGCTTCTCATGCCCACCATCTGTGGTGCGTGGGAGTGGGACGGCACGTTTTAGGCGGAAATAATGCCTCTCTGGAGACAAACAAAAGCTGCTCATGTCATTGTCAACATTTCTTTTTGGCACATGTTTTCTGCTACAAGCTCGGTGTTGAGATGCTTCATGAAAATGTGTGTGTGTGTCTATAGGTGACCAGCTTGTGTTCATCTCTTTGGAGATGAACACATTCTGGTCAGGTCATTGTCAACATTCCTTGTCGTCACATGTTTTCTGCTACAAGCTCGGTGTTGAGATGCTTCATGAAAATATGTGGTGCCCCGTAACATGTGCCCCCCCCCCATAAAAAAAGAATGTACTTGGAATGTGGGAACAACAATTGCTTTTGGAGACAATGAACTTCTGTCATTCCCCAAGCCAAGTTCTCACTGTCACTGTCAGTGAGATATTTGCGACTCCAACAGTCTATAGGTGGCACCACTAGTTTTCCAAGATGGCGGTTATAGTGAGGGTCGGAGATGCGTACCGGGTATACCAGTTGCTGGGCCTGTCTAGTGTGCTGGCATCATTGAGCAACACCCATTATTAAAGTGAAAGCTTTACTTGCCCCATTGGGCGAAAAATCGGAGTAAATTGTCATAAAGACGCGATTGCACGGCGTGCACTAGTCAGTCATTTGCTCAAAGACGGCGGCATTGTCCTTGGCGTCGTCCTAGACGACGTCTACCCAATATTTTGCCGCCGCCTTTATGCTTGCATTGTAGGGTTGTCGGAGGTATCGGAACAATCTTCTAAACCACTGCTGTTTTCAGACATAACTTTGGCAACTCGGAATCTCTGACTTTGTAGTCACAGACACCATATTTTAGACGGTCCTCCTAGACCTCTAGGATGACCTTCGTTGTCACAGTACATGAAAAATAAGCGGCGTAGTCGGCATTGTGATGGCCATAAAAATATATTATCAAGCGTCATCAGTGCGATGTCACCGCCGGAGTGCCGTGGGCAAAAGCTGCGTTTCGGACTTCGTCTCGGCTTGTTGTGTGCTTCGTGCGATGGACTGTGAGGCGACCACAATCAAAGATTTATGGCCTCGTCAACACCACGACCTCCTTACGTGTCCTCTTCTAGGCATCGTTCTCAACTTCGTCCTAAAAGTTGTCCTAGGCGTCTTTCTTGACGTCGCCCTTAACTGGCTTTCGCCTTCCTACACGCAAGCAGTCTTAAGTGCAGTCTTGTAATTTTTCCCGCTTATACGCGGAAGCTAGGGTGTTATGCGCGCAGGTCACCTCTTTATCCTGAAAAGAAAAACAGTGGTTAGCGCAATATTTATGCCGGGAAGCCCATTTTAATTCAGGAATGAAACCGAAACTAACATTTATATTGGATTTAATTTCTCGATCGGTTTTTCTCCTATATGCCTCACAGCGTTAGTGAGCTACAGAAATTGTTTGTGGAAAGTTTATTTTGTGGCATACACGGCCAACCCAGGAACAATGACAAGGTCTTCCATACACCTCAGATGTTACGGAATACAGTATTCGTTGAAAAAATCTATGCTGTTATTTTTGTGTTCTTGCTGCCTTTTTTCAATCAGATAATTGCCATGTGAAATAATGACCTGTGGGTCCTTTAGTGAGTTTTGGGGAATTTAGATTAATAGTTGCTTTAGCATTATTCCCAGCACAAGAATAATAAAACCAATCCAAATTTTACAAAATAACATCACGGGTGATGAGTTTAACAATTTGTTTGCAAAACATAAATTAAGAGATGCTGTTCTCACTGTAAAAACCCACAAAAACAATTTGAGTCAGACAACAAAAGTCTGTGTGTTTTTTTAGGCAACACATGATGGGCATAGGACTTAATATTACATGCAGTGTTTATGTCTACCTTGAAAACAATGTCAGAGTTGTTCATATGCTAAAAAGACAACAAGATGAGATCTTTCTGTAAATACTATAATGGTTAAATGGCATAATTTTTTTTTATTGTGGTGTTCATTGGGGGCATACATTACGGTACTTTGTAAAAATAATACAATCAAGATATTTTAATAAATAGTGTTTCCAACTCTAATATAATTTATTGCTTATGACCTAATTTCAAATAAACAACAACTATGGGAATTCAAAGTTGGCGAATTGTCATCACTAGTGGCAATTACAGCATTCTTAATTAATGAATTATAAAATAAAAGTAGTCTAAACATTCTTAGTCTGAGCAATCCAGGTAAAATGACATTATTTGTGGGCAAAGCATGTGGTGATATACCAAAGTTGCGACTTTTGACAATCAACGAAACTTCCGCACCAAATGCTCTGAAATACGAAAAAACAGATTCCGTTGTTTTTTTTATTACAAAACTACCCACAACATTTACTTTTTTCACTTTTGCATGCCGCAGCTTTGCAAATTTCAGCCTTTCCAGTTCAAAGGAACGCCTACCCGCTTGCATGTCTGCTCACTGCCGCACGTTTCGGTGGCCTCAGAAACTGGTGAAACAGTAGTGAGTTTTAGTATTGCGTATACAGACGAACGCATGCACTGTGTCTTTGCGTTAGCATTGAGGATTGCGTGTTCCACACTGCGCGTGCGGGGAGCCCAAAATTGTGGTCTTGGATTCGAGCATGGCAGCGATGCACATGCACAGCGTGGAGCATGCAACTCTAACAGAAATGCACAGCACTTGCGTTTGCTTCTACGCGCAATACTAAAACTCTCTAGGAAGGTACAATCACATGCCGGCTGCAGTACTACATTGGGACAGTAGAGAGTGCTGTTTGCATTCAGAAATGAGTGTTCGCAAGCCATGATCGCGAGCAATTACGGCGTACCCGCTGAGCAGGAGAACCGGGGGACTCTCACTAGAGCGCTTTCCGTTTTTGCCGCGAGAGGGCGAGCAACGAGCTGGAGACGCGAATAGCTGTATGGGTTTGTGCATTCCATGCTGCATCTTTCGTATTGCACATATATCTGCTTGAGTTTCTGCATTTTTCTAGTAGTAGTTACAAAAAAGAGACACTATGTTTCAAATGGTCCTTATTCAAGCACTAGGCAGAAATATATATATATATATTTTTTTTATGTTTGCTATTTGTGCAAGGTTCTCTGCTTTCACCATTTCCTTCCTGTGATTTTGCTGAGCACCGCCGGAGCGCTTGCCATGCCCTGCCGACCAACTTTTTGGCTTCGCCTTTAAAACAGCTGTACCAAATTCCTCGGGGGTTAGAAGGACTTGCACTCATGACACGGTTGGACACAATGTGCTTGAATGGGACGGGGGTGTGACCCAATGCCTCGCCCCTCCCAACGGTGGTTCTGGAAAGGGTGCGCCGTGGGTTTAGAGGCGCTTTGGGGCACTGGCCCGGGCCTCAAAGGGCGACCCCCTGCACCCAGGTGGAGAAGACGGGACACAGTGGCACCCTGGACCCTAAGGTGTCCGGCTGCCTCATCGTGTGCATAGAGCGGTCCACCCGGCTGGTCAAGTCCCAGCAGAGCGCGGGCAAGGAATACGTGGCCATCTTTAAGCTGCACGAGGACCCCAAGTCAGAGCGGGAGGTGCTCCAGGTAGACCTTTTACCCTTGCTCTCTTCGGGGGAAAGGATCCCTTGCCGCGGGGGCCACCTCCTTGTTCTTGAGTCTCGGCAGGCGACGTACGACCTTTGCGAACATGTAATCTTTTTCTTTGTCTCTTCACACGCTGAAGCATAGCCTCCTATATACTGACACAGCCTGGCAGATCGCCACGAGAAGCGGAAGCGAAATGGAAAAGGTGGAGTGGCAGACAACGGATGAGAGGAGAGCCACGTGACTGGCGCCCCGCTGCGGCGGGACACCGAAACACATTTCTCCTGAGCGAACAAGTGTGTTTCGGGACCTCGCCACTGCAAAAGCTGTGCACTGTCATACAGGTCCCCCGAGAAATGGCTCCTTGATGCTCTGTGCTACCAGAGCCTCGCGCTCCAAATCTGCAACCGGGCACTTTATGGCTCCGTCGTCAAACTGCCAGGCTTTGTGAGTATAGAGAAGGCTAAGGCTGAAGAGACCGATCTGTTTCCTAGAGTGTGGCAAAATTGTGACACTTATTCGGCCAGTCCCATAGGGGCCGGCTGGAGAGATTGGGTTGCATTGTGGTCTTCTCGGTAAGTTACGAACATGAGGCCGTCTTTCATACACTTTGTTTTGGCAAGACTTGGCAAGCGGCGACGGGTTGATCGAATCTTTCAAATGAGGCACGGGACGGTGTCGGAGCCCACACTTCCTGTGAAGAGCAGTTGCGAGCTTCAATTGTCGCTCCAATTGGCTCACAAAGGATTTTCACTCTTTGCCAGGTTATGCTGAAAAGGAGTATAGTGCATGCTCATTGGAGCCCATTTTCAGAGGCAGCAGCTCGCATGTGACACTTTTGTAGGATAATGGATAGAGGTGCGTGGAACTTTGCAGTACTCTTTCTCCTCCACCCTTACGAGGGGTCTGCACCACTCTGAAGAAAAGCCTTGTGATTTGGCAGAAATGTGCCGACCTCTTCTAGGATGGCACTGGTATGGCACGCACGTCAAAACCAAGTGCTCTAGTGTCTCACTCTCATCATGGCAGGTGGCACATAATGTCTGTCTCCTGAAATTTAGCCCTGTATGTCCTCTTCTTCAAAACTCTCATTGTTAGAGCTGATTTTTCCTACAATCTTACCTCCCACATTTTTCTTTCTGCCTCTTTCACTGCCTTTTCCACTGAAGTAGTCTGCTGAGCCCCACCGCTAGTGTGTAGGTATTTAAATGTAAGCTTTCAAGTTCGGTTTGTCAATTTTGTGTTTAAGCTTTTCATGTAATAATACTTGAGTACCTTCTGTGCCCACTCATTTCAGTCAACTTTTGTTCAAGTTTCAACTTGGGTAATTGCCTCCCTGCTCTCAAAAGACGACCGGCCCATGTCTCCCTGTGCTCCCTCGTTTGGTGTCTTTCCATGTGCTTCGAGTGCCAATCTGCGTGCGCTTCGTTGAATTACTAATCCTGCTTGAACCTCTGATTTCATGCATAGTACCCCATTGCCAAAAGACTGTCCTGGTACCATTACTCCTTTCCATATGCCCCTGTCCACTTCATATCTATCATAGTTCCATAGTGCCTGAGCTTCATAATAGATGAATTTCTTTTCCTTTTTCTAATTATATTCTCCTCATGTTTCTCTAGATATTTGTGTTTTCCTACATGGTCTATTACAATCTCCTGTATCCTCAGGGGTTCCCTTTCTTTGTCGTTAGAGACTCCATGAGCCCAGACCATAACAATTCAGTAATGTTGCCACGCAGAGGACAGAAATCAATCTAAATATGTTTTGTATTGCGTTCAATGGATGGCAGCCCCTGTAACCTTCGTTTTAAGGTGCATTCAAAGGTAAAAGATGATGAACGTCTAAAACAGTTAAAGGGATGCTGAACCAAAATTTGTGTTTCACAAAATGAGGTAGCCAGGAGTGTTAAAGGGGCGCCACAAACCCCAAAACCCCACTCATAAAGAGATATCGTGAACGGATGGCCATATTTTTGTAAAATAAGGATGCGATTGAGTGAGAATCGCAATGTCGCGTTTCCTGCAGAACATTTGAGGAGAGGAAACGGCCTTGCTTCTTTCCATCTTCGCGTTTTTGCGGAGTCAAAGTGAGAAGAGGAGTAAACGAGACTTGTGTTACGGGCTTTTTTGGCTTTGTTCAAGTGCGCTCTTCCTTCACAAAAATACGACCATCCAGTGGAGATATCGCTTTATGAGTGATGCTTTCTGGTTTCTAGCACCCCGCCTAGGGCTTCCACATTGTTTTCTGAAATCAAAATTTCGGTTCAGCATCCCTTTAAGGGGTTGCCTAAGAACACCCCTTGGAGCGCTTGGCCAACGAGCTGCGAGGGTGAGGGCATCTCTGTAGTCGGGGCTTCCCTTGCAGGCATGCGAGAAGTTGAAGGGGGCCCTGTTCCAGCGGCCGCCCCTCATCTCGGCCGTCAAGCGCCAGCTGCGCATCCGCACTATCTACGAGAGCAAGCTGCTTGAGTTCAACAAGAACAACAACATGGGTGAGGGGAATGCCCGGGAGGGCACTGAGGCAACTTTCAGCTCTGCACGTTCGACCCATTTTGACGTTAAGAGTTCCTCGCGGAGAAAGGATGTAACTTGCAGCCCCGAGTAAACTGCCATACCTAACTCGGAACACAACCGCCTCGAAGGCTCCTTTCCTTGGAAGCCAAAATTTCAGGTGCAGAGGAAGCGACAAAGTGAGGTCGTTTTCACTTGCACTGCGGGAATCGGTACAGACTTTAGCCAGAAGGGAGCTGTTTCTCTGCCCTTGAGAATTCGCCTTCAGTCTTGGGGCAGGTAACCAACCCTCGCTTATGTACAGCCTGTATAGCTCGCTTGCCACTCTAGCTTTGTTTGAAGGTAGGGGACCTAGTTCCTACCAATACATTTTGGAGAAACTGTTTAGCTAAGGATATCCATCCTCTTAGATGAGGAGACTCTCCTAATGCAGAGCACTCGTGTTGCTGGGTCAGGGTTCACTGTTGCTTTGCTGCCAAAGTGGACAATGGGCGTGCGCAAGACACAGCCCTTCATGTGCTCTCTGCATTTGAGACAGATCTTCGGCAAGGACGGCTCGGGGCATCTCGCACCTCGATGCAGTTGCCGCTGTCGTCGTACACCGTGTGACGGTACTAGTGTAATAGTGACATTGTTGGTTTTTGCATGACCGAATTTTAGCTCTCGGGTTAGGGCGGCCACGGTGCGGGTATTTTTGATGACAGCTTATCGATTCGAGAAAAACACTGAAAAACCGGCCCTTGCTGCTTCATGATAAGGGTGTTTCTCAGCAAAGTTTCATTGTGCGAATGAGAAAAGGGAACGCAAACTGCCACTTCCCTCCGTAAAAATGTAGAGGGTATGCCGAGATGGAAAGAATCATTGGCAACACTTTGGTGCAATTCAAAGCAGTGTCCTTTTCCTGCGGGATAGAAAGGAATGCTCAACGTGGGGGCCGTGTGCAGGGGTGCTGTGGGTGAGCTGCGAGGCGGGCACGTACGTGCGCACGCTGTGCGTCCACCTGGGCCTGGTGCTGGGCACGGGAGGAGTGATGCAGGAGCTGCGCAGGGTGCGCTCGGGCATCCAGGACGAGAAGGTGAGTGTGTGCGGGAAGGCGCCTGGAACTCGTCTCCTGCGGGTGCACTCGTGTTTTCGTTTACAGCGCGTCTGTTTCCACCCGACGACGCCACGGCCGGCACAGTGAGGCGCTTGCCACTTTCTCAGCATTGGCACGTTGGCGGCAGATGTCTGTTCCGCTCCCTGTCGCCTTGCGGCTGACCAGTTGACAGACGCTGAGATGAGTTGGGGGGTTGCGGCGACCTCCTTCGGGCCGCCACTTGTACAGTTGAGGGTGACCGTAAATTTGTTTGAATAAAGCAAAGTTTGAATTACCGGGAGTTTCCTCCCATAGAGACGTATAGGATGGGACCTGCATGTTAGTATGAATTATCAACAAGTTTGAATTAAGAGGGTTTGAATTAACGAGATTCAACCGTAGGACCAACCGCCGTGGCATGCAACCTATTGTGCTGCGGGCTCACGTAACATACTCTGTTGCCACTTTGGGGCCACTTCCAATGCAGGGGTGGTAGAGATGCCAAGCGTCCAAGATGCATTCCAGGCGCTTAGTCAGTGCAGCTTTTTTTCTTTTAGAGCGCAGCTCTTAGGCGCCTGTTTCCGGCTTGAGCGGCATTGCCGTCGCCGTCGGCGTAACCGCAACACCCCCCCCCCCCCCGAGGACCTCGGGAGGACGTCGGGTTCATTTGGGAGGACCTCGGGTTCCTTCGGGAGGACCTCGGGTTCCTTCGGGAGGACCTCGGGTTCCTTCGGGAGGACCTCAGGCTCCTTCGGGAGGACCTCAGGTACCTTCGATGACCTCAGGGAGGGAGGGGGGTTACGTGACCCCCCCCCCCCCCCCTTGGTACCCTTCCCTACTCCTCCTCAAGAGCTGCACTCTAATTCGACGTTACATGGAGTTGTAAACAATTTTTTTTTTTTGCGGTTGTTTTTATTAGGCATTTTTGAGCGTGGGTCACACTTGTGTGTCCGGAGGAGTTACGGGGCCGTGTGCATGTCTCGTCTAATCTCGACTGTCCTGCACGGCGCAGGACAGTCAGGGGAAGCGAGGCTCTTCGAGGCAATGAGTGGTGCTGATTGTTGGGCAAGTTGGTGCTGAATTCAAGAATGCACGTTAGTGCTTCGAGACAAGGACAAAAGGAAAAGTGGCATCCAGTTCTTCTTTTGTCCTTGTCGTTGAACGCTATCATGTACTGCAGGGTTCATACAGCTCCTTAAAATCCTCGAATACCTGGTATTTCAATAAAAGCCTTTGAATGGCCTTTATATCTCCTTTAAATTTGCAATGCTCCTTGTATTCCTCGAAATTTCTAAACATTTTTTTACAAATCGCGGTGGTTTGAGAAGTTTACTCACGGGAGGCTTACGTAGAAGGTCTGACTCCGGAGTGCAGGTAATCAAATAACAGTACCAAAAAAAAGAGCAGGACGCTTTTTTGGAATTGTTGATTTACATGAAAGGGGATACACTTCAACTCTCTCGACTCATTCGAGCCGTGGCGATGCGTGTAGGGGCGCCGACGTTGCTGCCTACTTTTTTTGCCGCTGGATGCATTGCCGTCAGACTCTAACCACCAAAAAGTGCATTGTTTATTTCTCCTACATGTAGCCTGTTTCGTGCACGAAAAACAGTTTTTGTTGCTAAGCTGCCAACAATCACGTAATTCATCGTCATGATTGCGTCATGTGACATGCGCCTGTTTTAAAGGAGCTTCAATCTATAATCTAAGACATTCCATGTCATCGCCACTTTTGCTCTGTGTTGCTTTGAATTTTGTCTTCTGATGCCTTTAAAATCCTTGAAAAGTCCTTGAATTTTGCATTAAAATATTCTATACGAACCCTTGTATTGTCAAGAAACGACGTGGCCCAGACGGGAGAGCGTGTTTCGAAACGACGTTTGAAGGCTACCAGTAAGGAACAGCCAGGGTGTGGCCATTACCGGGATCCCTGCAGATCCTCGTGAATTTCCGAAACAACGCCGGGGGCCAAATGCAAGGTTTTGAATAGAGGAGCCACGACCGAATGCACTAAAATTGCCGTTTTTATACGTCCTCGATTCATGTGTGTCGTGGCACATGCTTTGCAACAAGTGCCGAGCAAGTTAGGAATGCAGTGGAGGGGCTGGCCCTAAGGGGTGTGGGAGGATCGTTTTACAGAGAACAGTCTGGCATCTAAAGCAGCCCTGCTGAGAGCAGGATATTGTCATTTCTGAGTGACTCGGAACAGGCGTGCCATTCGAAATCCTGGATTTTTTAGTCTGGGAAGCCGGATGTGACGGGTCAAGGGCCCACCCGCCTGGCCACGGTGGCCGGTGCCTTGAGTGAGCGTGCTTTGCAGACGGGCATGGCGACCCTTCACGACGTGCTGGACGCCCAGTGGCTGTACGAGAACCACAAGGATGAGACGTACCTGCGCCGAGTCATCAATCCGCTTGAGCGTCTGCTCGTCTCGCACAAGCGCATCGTCATGAAGGACAGCGCCGTGAGTTGGACCCTCTTGCTGCCGTGGCATACAAAATCATCCTTTGCCATCTGAGGCAACAAAGAAAAATATTTATGCTTCAACCTGATATTAGGAAAAATAATAGAAAAAAAAAGACAGACACATGTACGCTCTTAAACAATGCATGTTTGTCAGTTTTGTTTATTTTTCCCAGTCTTGGATTGAAGCAGGGGTACCATTCACCAACTCGTCTGTAATCTTACTCTTAAAAGCTTTTTTTTTTTTTTTGGTGGGGTTGATGAGATCAGAACTGGTTTTTACGCAATGCTGACGGGCTCATTTGAGTCTGTTAAACATCCGCGCGAATTCACATTCATAAGGTCTGTGCAGATGAATGGAGCTTGGCTGTATTTCTTAAAATGGGGAACCCACCCATAATAGCAACCAAAGAAGGCCACTATATAATCGTGAGCAAAACTTCCGAGCCCATTGAAATAACTCGGACGCTCCGCTGTGTCAGCTGCTCCTATTAGTGCAAGTGCCGTGGCGTGAAATGACCCGGATGACACGATAATGTCTCGTCAGGAGAGCTGGTATTCCACCATTACCAAAATCAAACGCAACGAAAGATTGTATTGTGAAGGTGTTGCACACGTCTGCCGCGCAGGTGAACGCTGTCTGCTACGGTGCCAAAGTGATGCTGCCCGGTGTCCTCCGCTACGAGGACAACATTGATCTCAACGACGAGATCGTCATCATCACCACCAAGGGCGAGGCCATCTGTCTCGGTAGGGCCCCGTTCTTCCTCGCATGTTTCGCTCTCGTGTTTGGAAGTAACGGCACGCGTAGGAAGCAATGGCAGCTGTAGTATAGCGCCTGGAACGCATCTCCGACTGGTGTGTTTGGCGTCCCGTTTCGCCGTCGAAAGTGGTCCCGGAACGCTAACGATTGATCTTGCAAAAGCTGCCGTGTCATGCGGATGTCTCAATGCTGGAGGTCGGTCGTAAAAATACTAAAGAAAAGTATGAGCGAATTTAAGTGTTGCAATGTCCCCTGGCTGCCGGGGATTGTTGAGCTGGAGGGCGACCTGCAGCTGAATGGGCGTCTTCCGCATCTACGACTGCTGCCGCGATACCGCCAAGATCGCAGCCGGCTACGACACCATTATGCAGAAATGGAGGGACTACCGTATTTTCTGGGCTATAGTCCGCGGACTATGCATGTTTAAAAGTTGAAGGCTTAGGCTGTGCGGATTATCTATGCGTGCAAAGTATACTGGAATTCTGTTTTTCGAGATCGTTCATTATGACTTGACGTGACTGATCTTGCGAATAAAAGAGTATGCTAATGATGATTTATGTACAATACAAGCTTCTTTGTGAGCTAAGAAAGCAGACATTTGTCAAGGTCTGCCGTGGATGAGAAGATTTTTGTGTCGTCTAAGCACCAAATGCAGGCTATGCTCCGTGTGCAGACTATCTAAGCAAAATCTTTTATTTTTGACCCCAAATTTGCTTTTGTAGACTGTAGCCTGGAGAATATGGTACCTTTTAGGATGCGGCAAATGCACCGCTCGGGGAAGTGTTCCAGGCACCATACCTGTATCTTGCCGAGGGTGCCCGGAGGGCGTGAAGTCGCACAACCCCTCGCCTTGAGCAGGGCAGAGGGGGTGTGTGGGACGCCCCGTGGACCCCATCGGGGGCGCGAAACTGCTCCCCTCGTCGGGCGGCCCCTGAGTTGTCCGTGGGCTTGTGCGTAGGCATAGCCCTGATGACGACGTCGACCATCACGACATGCGACCACGGCATCGTGGCCAAGATCAAGCGGGTGGTGATGGAGCGGGACACCTACCCCCGCAAGTGGGGCCTTGGACCAAACGTGAGTTCTTTGCCTGCTTCGGCTGCCCGGCCACTCTCGGAACCGAGACTGCGGGACGCGAGCCGCACGAACAATGAGGTCATTACTCTGAGACAGACTTGGAGTGGGGATCTTGCGACGGTAGACTTTGTGAACCCTACAATGCACGCAAAGTGCGCATTTGTTCGACGACCGCTTTACTATCAAACGGCGGGGCCAATGCTTGCAAAGTGGCGACTCTCCGAGAGTTCTCGAGTTGCGTGCGGAAGGATCGCGTTGCGGCTCGTCGGCCCCTGTCCGGGACGCCCACCAACCTCCCGGGGACTGCCTCGCTGCGCAGGCCATCCGCAAGAAGCAGATGATCAAGGAGGGCAAGTTGGACAAGCACGGGCGCCCCAACGACAACACCCCCGAGGGCTATGAGGAAGGGGCGGGGTGAGTGACCCTGTCGACGGATGTCTGGCACTGTGACCGCTCGTCCGGGAAATCCGAGCTGTGCTTACCGTCCACCTTGTGCGGTGCTTGGGAAATTGTTGAAAGTGTGTACGGAGAGGCAGGCTCGGCACTAATGGAGAGAAGCCTAAATGTCTTTGGGATCAAACGTCCATGAAACAAGTAAAGTGTGCAGTTTTATTTTTCCCTCATATTCTAGGGTTCTGGAACGTAAACATCTTAAACAGGAATCTGTCTTGCTGGGTTATGAAGTATGAAAGAAAAAAAACAGTAAAACTGTATCCGCCAGAATTACTAGCAAAAAGGTTAACATCCTCCCCTACACATATAAAGTTGGGAACGATCCCATAGTTCTAGTTGATCACTAAGTATTTAGGAGTTAAAATATCAGCACGCCTCAGATAAAATCGCCGCCACCTTATTAAATTGTGCAGTACGACTCGAAAAAAGTTATTTTTAAAGCAAAACCTAGGCAATACCACAAGCCGTGAAATTGACTGTCTACACAACACTTGTATGGCCCACCCTAGAATATGCCTGCGCAGTGTGGTTCCGTACTGACAGATTCGCATCGGAAAGAAAAAGATGGCTCGTTGCCTTCTCCGCATTCCACCGCGGGATGAGACGCAGTGTAGGCTCGAGGGAAATGTCTCGCAAACGAAAGCTTGCCGATGGTGGCGTCGCAAGTGGCACCCATCAACGAGTCATTGAGCTGACTAAAAATACATAGCAAATTGCTGGGCGTGAATACACGTGAAATGTGTGGCGTCTACACTCTCGGCGCTCTTCATTGGTTAGTTTAGCGACTGGTTTAACGCTCGATAGCAATTCCTGGAATGGAGATGCCGGCGCACACCCGGGTTTTAGAAATCTGTGACAGGGTGTCAAATTGCTATATGCTGGAGGCAGGGCAGATGCCCTGCAAGGCTTTCCCGCCAAATGGCACCTGAGCTCGTGGCAATGTGTCGCGACATGCTGGAAAGACACTCGCTTAATCATCTAAATGGTCTGGGTTCGATTCCCGCCTGGCACGAACGCTTTTTTATTGAGGATGTCCTCTTTCCCCCGCTCAAAATGGTGGCGGTGTCCAAAATAAGGCGTGTGATATCATCACCTGGCTCAGCAAATCAGGATAGAGGTAATCGGCGGCTCCATTTTTCGGCTTCACAAATTTCTAGACCCCCCCCCCCCCCCTTCTTCCTGAAGAGACTAAGCACGTTTCACGTGAAAACAGTGACTTGCATTGCAGCAGTGTAAACACTTCTGTAGGATGTCATAAGGTTGAGAGCTGGCACAAAGGGAGCGTCAGACCGGACAGGACCGAGCGCTGTGTTGTCCGGTTTGTCGCTTCCTTTTGTACCTTTTTGCACTGTTTTATCTCATTATCTTCTAGAGGATGATTTGCCCACCCATTGTGGGTATGGAGAGGCTTCTTGAAGGACGTGTATTTATAGACTTTTCTCTCCCCCAGGGAAGTTCCCGGAGGCAGCACAAAGAAGGTACGTGCACAGGACTGTTCTTGGTTAAAGGGCTCGGAAGCGCAATCTCCATCGGTCTCAAGGGAACCCTTTGCTAACCGCCGTTAAGCGGCACATCCGTATGGCCCACATTTTTCGTTTCCCAATGAAAGATGTAGTTGGACGGAAGGAATAAGGGGATTGTAATAATCTGACTTATTGGGCTAGTTGGTTTGAAGTGAATACCTTGCAAAAAAAAAAAAACTTGGACAAAGGTAAAGAAACACACACAACAGGACATACAGACAGAGTGACAAGGGAAATCATATAGGCTTCTTTTATCTCTGGACTTGGCAAGAGATCTGTCAGCGAGCCGTCGGTGGCTTCATCTGAAAAAAGATCCGGGTACCTTTGATCAACTACGAAAGGCCTACGTAGCCACTGATATGGCCAATCTTGACAAAAAATATGCTGCTTGGTTGGTGCGTGTGTGGTGTCTATCTTGTCTGATTAATATGCTTCTTGTTTTCTTTTTTCCTTTTTTGTGTATTAAAAAAAAAACAGTTAGTTCAGCACCGTCCTGTCGTGTGTGTTTCTTTACCCTTGTCCAAGTTTTTTTGCTGCTGTTCCTTCCCAAGATGTTCAATAAAGGGGACAAACTGTGAAGGGCATTGAAAATAATTTGGATCTACTGTAAAGACCCGCGTATGATATGAACCCGCATAAAATACAAAACATAATTTGAGGACCATGAAAAGAAAAGGTTTTATTTGCATATAATTCGAAACAATCTAAGGACCGCAAAATCTTTCCACGTAAAATACGGCCCAGGAAGTCTTAAGAAGAATGTTTATTTGCGTCGTAATTGAGCCTTAATCACTGCCATCACTCCCATCAGGCTCCTTGTCCGACGCCTCCTCCCAAAGGCAGTCTGTCGTCTTCGATGCCGTCGAGCGCATTTGAAATCCCGCACTTCTTGAAAGAGCGTGCGCAGACGCTGTGAAAACCTGGCACGGCGCATAAAGCGAGCAACCCAATGTCAGCTCGCCAAAGTTCTCTCGCCTTCTCTTGCAGCAGCTTGATATTTATTGCAAGGTGCCGTTCATGTTGCTCTTTTACAAAGTCGCTGAGACTTGCCTCGATGTCGGTGAACACGTCATTCTTTGGGCTTCTAAAGCTTCTTCTCATTCCGTTGCTCGCAAACAGAGCTTGCTTTTGTCGTCTCCATCCGCGGATGCTGCCTTCATTTACGGCGAATTGCCGTCCGGCAGCACTGCTGTCGATGTGTTCCGCAACCAAAGTGACTTTTCTTTTGAAGACGGCCGAGTAGTGTTTTCGCGCCGATGCCATTGCCTAGACTGACTGTGGACGGATGGTGGCGCCTCGGACATTGTGATTTTAATGATGATGGTAGGTGTTTTGAACGCTAATTGCTTCGAAACCGAAACTATGTCAAACTGCGTTAGACCGCGCCTCATCGAAGCCGAAAATTGTTGGGACCCGCATATAATACGAGCCGCAAATTTTACATAGCAAAATTAAAAAAAAAAATAAATAAAAAACTTTGTATGCAGGTTTTTATGGTATATAAGGGTGAAAAAAATAATTTGTGGCGGCGCTTTTGTGGTGTGGCTGGAGGCCAGCTTGGGTGACCGGTGACCTTGTGTACAACCCCGCAGAGGAAGCACAGCGCAACCTCCGATGCACCGGCTCCCGAGGCCAGCGAGGAGGAAGGCGCTTCCGTGGCCAAGGAGAAGAAGAAGAAGAAAAAGAAGAAGAAAGACTCCCAGGACTCGGACCAGGAGGTGAGTGCAGCTCGTCTCTTCACCTGGGCTTCGATTTTGGTCACCGCGAGAGCATCGGCGAGATATAATTTGCCTTTTATAGACTGTTTATCTGCTAATGCGAGCAAAGAACAAGGTTTGTCTGCTACAAAGCATCATTTGCAGATGGAAATAAAACAGGAAAACACACTGCATTGTCTGCTAACAGAGCGGGAAAAAAAAGTTTATCGTCTGCTACGATCCAAGTTTGAGATCGGAAGCAAGCTGAAATTGTGATTGTCTGCTATTTGACGTTGGAAGCCATTGACAGCCCGTGCTTCTTCACAAGTTCTTCTGCTGCCGTACACAAGCAGACAGCAACCGGTGGACGAAGGAGTACCAAGGACAAGCAGATCAGAGGCACCTCCCTCACTATTTGTATCTTGGTGAGACGTTCTCACCAAAATATTGCTCAATGGTGGGCTCGCAAACATGTCAAAAATGCCTTGGTTGAAAGCTGTAAAGAGCAGCCAAGAATGCTCTCGCCTCGACCAAAATCCGACCCCTGGTTGCGCCCCAACAGCTCGAACCTGCCAAGTCGGTTTCTGCCTGGCAGAAAACAGCAGGTCTGGGAACTGATCCCGCAGAAGGAGAGGGTGTCGTCTCCGGCTGTGCGTCGAGTGCCAACTGCCCTAGCTAAATAGGACATCTCTGGGAAAAGTTCATAGTGCTCATCAGGACATCGTGCAAGCTCTTGGAGCATCTTGCCTTCTAACAACATGACCAAAATCATGATATGCTATAGCCGTTTCTATGAAACTTTCAATGAGTCCTGTCTACTAGATAGTGCAGAACTTATTTATACAACTTATTGTTCAGCTACTGTCATTGATTAAATTTACGATTAGCATATGCAGAAAAAAACTATGTTCTTGCACACACGTAGGGCATACACACTTGAGAGTCTAGTAAAATAAGCTAATTCTCCTTTGAAACCGCCATGTTCAATCAACAAAAGAAATAATGTGTGCGAGACCTATTATTTAAGAAGAATTGAAAATCGCAATGACACCATTTTTGATGGGCTAACAAAAGTTTACTACACTTTTCATAAATATAAAAAAAAAACATAGATTCTAACCAAACTTTGACAGCTGCATTCTACATACCTATTCTAAGAGTGGACAATTGGAGAGGGAGTGCTGGGGGCTTCAAAGAGAGAACCAACCCGGCACTCCGAGTGACGTCACTGCACACCTCAGTCGAAGGTCGTTGTGACCCTACCTTTGATTTGTTTTATGTTTCTTTCCCTTACAAAAACTATGGTTTTCTACTTTTCATTCTATGGGAGACGGTGCAAATTCTCGCAATTAATTGCCCAAAGTCCGAAAACGTTTGCACCGCCCCTCTCTTGCTACAGTGCCTGAAATGTGTCTCCATCCGGTGCGTTTGACATCCTATGCCGCTCGGGCTTCGGAAGGGGTCTTCGAGTATTAACAATCGTGCCGACGGATGTCGCGATCCTGGTGGTTGGTCGTAGAAGTTCCGGCAAAAAGCAAGAGCGAGCGTTGCCGTCATTTCAACTCCCGGCCGCAGAACGGGCGTCCGCCACATCAACCGCCGCTGGGTCTTCGAGGCAGCAGAACGACGCGAGCGACCTCGTCGGGGCAAAATTTAAAGGACCACAAATGAGGACATGCATTCCAGGCACCGTAGCCAACACTGCCAGGTTTCAAATGCTCGTCTGATTGTGTGCTCGCATGTCTTGCAGACGCCCTCCAAAGGAGAGAAGAAGAAGAAACACAGGACGGAGGAGTCCGACTGAAGAGCTGCGCCGGGACCCATTCCACCCTGTATCTATCCTCCCCAGTAAATGGCTCTCGCCTGTTTTTAGACGTGGCCCGTGTCCCTCTCCGAGTGCAGCATTCGTGCGCCTTGAATTGATGGATAAGCTGCCACTGGCTCGCACGCTGCATAGTTCCAAGGAACACCACCCCACACTCCATGGCACTGCGGCCGAGGCGCCAAGAGTATCAGAAGCGGCCACGGTGCGAAGAATGACATTCATGCTTTCGCATTCACAACTCATAAAAAGTGCTTAGGTGTCCTTGGAAATTTTTTTTTTTTTTTTAACTTACAGGGAACCATAAGTGTGTAGTTGATGGGTAGTTATATGCACGAGGCGCGTAAATAGCAGACGTTCCACATTCCTCCATGCGCGTGTGCATACTTGCAGGTAATATTCAACATTATTAAAATGTGTAGTACAAAGTAAACCAAGCTACTGGGCAAAATGATTGGTAATGCTAAAAATTACCGAAAAGCCCTAGTTTTGCACGCGTTGTGGTGTCTTATTTACCTAACTCGAATCATGCCAAGTCTGCAAATGCACTTCATTCAAGATTAGGGTGACCACCCGTCCCGCGACTCTCGGGACTGTCCCGGATTGAGGGCTTGTGTCCCGCGTCCTGCAAGATACACCAAAAATGTTCAAAATGTCCCGCATTTCACGCTGTCGTAAAATTCACAATTTATCTCATGGCAGTGCCGAACAACGGGGTGCGGGCAATCGTGGAGGCCGCTGGGTATCGTGTGAATTACGATGGTACGCTATCCTAGCGTCGCGGGAAGCGATTGTCGTTCTTACAGGAGAATGACGCGCATGTGCCGTTGTGCCCCTCCCCCTGTTTGAAATGTACTGCAAGAAAAAATTGCTATCCGAAATATGAAATATAAATTATTCTAATTATTTTCAAATCAGTCTGTGCCAATGCGAAAGGATTGATGTGAAATTTTTTTAGGGAAGGAGTTAGCACCTGTCAGGTGTCGTCTTTGTGTCTTTATTGACCTCGTTTTGTTCGCGCCTTTAACCTTTTAATTCAATATGAACCCAACTTGCCCAAATCCAAGTTTTAATTAAAACATGGGGCTCTAAATTTCGGTAAGGGTATGTTGGTAAAAGTATATCGGCAGGAAACAATAAGCCGAAAAAAGGTTTACTGTTTATTCTTTACTTTTGGTGCATTCATCTCTGTTAGAGTCAATTCGGGTGTTTTCAACTTAGACACATTTAATAACTTACTTGTCATTAAAACAAAAATATACATCACTGGGTGTGAAAAGTATTTGAGCTTAATGGCCGCAATACAGTGTGCAGGTGTATAATATGCTTTCAGCTAGATTTCATGGTGTGCGTGGTAATACATTTCCTCTCAAGTATCGATGCCGCAGTTGTAATGACACTACCCCCTCCCGGTCAGCGTGTCCCGCATTTCACAAGCAGGAAGGTGGTCACCCTATTCAAGATACTAAAACGCTATAGAACGTAGAACATATGCTAAGGATTGCTACAATAAACTGGTAAATGCGATATATTTTTGCAGTGCATACTGGTGTCCCAAAATATTCAAGACTACATTGGCATTTCTTTTAATCGTCTGCATTCAGTGTAATCGGAAAAAGCTTGTCTTCACACCCGAGCGATTCAAACTCTGCTCACATTATTGTGTTTGCCAATTGAGCTCACATTATTGTGTTTGCCGATTGAGACGGCTTCCCTTGCTTTACAACTCCAATAAAAGTGCACAAATGCTAGTTTCTTCATGTTAAAAAAACCCAAAAAACTTCATATTTAAAAAAAAAAAAAAAGAATCTAGTTTGTTGTTTGCAATAGCAAGCAAGTATGGCCCCGCACGCAGCCGCGTGCGCCTTGTGAGCCTTGCACAAACATGGTGGCAAGGCACGTGGTGCGGGACGAGGATTGCCCTTGATGGAAAGGAGCAGAATGTGGGGAGAGGGGGAATTGCACTACCTTTCAGTATATAGGGATTTTACAGCAAATGGCAGCCTGTTGCGGGTCCGTCTTATGCTTCTCTATGGGAGTCGCACTTGTTTTAAAGTCGTTTTGTGGGTGCACCACGTCATGTAGAACTCTGCACTTGCAGTTTGCGTTGCTTAAACACTGCTTCATAACTGACCCTAGTTTCGTGCCTCAGTGGCGGCAACAACAGCTTCATGATCGCATTGAAGCAAAGAGAACTCTGGCACGGTGTTCAAGCTAGCGTCTGCCAAGGTCAGAGCACCCGGGCGCACACTCTTTTTGCTCCAAGCAGAAAGAGTGTGCACCCGGTAGCAGTGGGAACACCTCGTTTCTCTTTTCCTCAGTTGTGCCGCCTGGACGGCGGAAATGCTGTCGGCCGAGGCTGCTCGGTCATGTGCTAATATATCTGGTCAATCACGTCGCAGCATTTGCCGTGCTGTGCCTTCAGCCACATGTACTATCTTACACCATGACCCGAGTGCACACCAGGATGTGAGGGTCCAACCCGACCAGTTCTTTGTGGAAGAACAGAGGTGTTGGAAGAAGGCCAGAAAGTGGGCCGAAATTCCACTCGGAATTTTGGCAGGAGCACTATTGAGTTCAAGTGCAGCCTTGTGGCCTTGAAAATGTGTGCACGAGCAAGGGTGGTTGGTTGCCTGAGGTCCCGTTACACTGCACGATCTGTCAGAAATGAGAGCGAACCTCCGACACACTTCCTCCGTGGCGAGACGCCACCATTCAGACCACCTCCCTTCTCTTTGAGTGGGTCTCACTATATCATCCCCGACAGCTGAAAAAAGCGCAATCATGATTGGGGAATCGGCGGACAAGAATGCCTAAGAACATGTCACGAAGCAAAAAGCAATCAGGCCTATTGACACACTTGCGACCTCTTAAGGCCCGTTCACACTCTTGCGACCGAGTACGACAGAGAGAGACGAGATCTCTTACAACTTCTTAAATGTTTCTAGAATGAGGGAACACACTGACATTGTGGCGCCATCTATGCGGTGACCCTAGAACTGCATTTCACAAAAGCGAAGGTTTTGCGCGATTTCCGAGGTCAAATGGGCGTAATACCCATAGAAAGGCTCGTTTATAACATTAACAAAAGTTTTTCGAGCCAAAAAAGAAAGGATATTGCGCGAGAAATAAAAAAAAAATATGCCGGGCCGCCGAGTTTACACTGCTTCCCAATAGATGGCGCCAGTGTGTTTTCTGGTTTAAGAAGTTTTAAGGAACCCAGGTTTAAGAGGTCGCAAGCAGTCGCAAGAGTGTGAACGGGCCTTTAGAACCAAGTGCCTTGAGACCTCTTAATATTTCTTACCACAAGAGGACACACTGGCGCCATCTTTTGGGTAGCAGTGTAAACTTGGCGGTCCAGCATATTTTCTATTTCTCTCGCGCATTATCCTTTCTTTCTTGGCTCGAGAAACTTTTGTCAACGTTATAAACAAGCCTTTCTCATAAGTATTATGCACATTTGATCTCGGAAATTCCGCAAAACCTTCGCTCTTGTGAAATGCAGTTCCAGGGTAACCACATAGATGGCACCAGTATGTTCTCTCATCCTAAGAAATTTTAAGAGGTTTGAACAAGTCTCGTCTCTCTCGGTGTCAAGTGTGTGAACGGGCCTTTAGCAACGTCCGCGACCAAGAGCGTAGCTGTGGTCGTAATTGGCGATTGCCCAAACCCCTCTCTTCTCTCTCTCTCGCAGCTAGCCCACTACCTTGCCTTTGGGGGTATTGCAACTCTGTGCAATGAAGGCAGCTTTGGCAACCAGCTCACAATTCCTTTCGTGTTGTTCAGAGTGTGTAGGTGCCTAGAAAACATGCCCTTCACTCGGCACTCTATACTTGGTTTCAATTTCAGAGCACAGTCAGAGGCTAGAAGGTATGCAACACATTCACACACGGACCCAGAAAGCACTTTTTATGTCTGGTTGGATTTGGAGCCTCGCAGAAAATGACGGTGACCTTGTGCTTTCAGCTGTATGATATATAGTAGCCGGTTTTGGTCAGCTGAAAAGACTCTGTTGCCACTCGCACTGCTCAGCTTTTCAAACAGCAGTTTAACATGACGGAACGGAGAAGCTGTAGCTCAGTCATTTTCTGCTCCAGGGAGAATATGACACTGCAGAAAACCACTTGTACTCTGGATTGCGTGCCAAATCTCTTGGCTGTGCTTTATTTTCTGCATGTACAGCGCCCTGGGAATGAGATGGGAGTTTGCTACTTTGAGTGGGTTTCTGAATCTCTCCCCAATCCCCCCCCCCCCCTCCCCTTCGAGATCACTCTCTTCATTGGCACGTCTCAAGCACGCTAAACTCCCCTGCGCAAAAGAACCTCCAACGAGACTGCCGTTGAATGCAAGTTTCCGCCCCTCATTGTAAGGGAACGTTTATTTTGTCGCTTTTTGCGTCATCTAGGTATGCTATATTTTCACATATCTTTTAATCATGGCGCTTGCTCGGTACTCTGCAGTGGCTTCATAAGTCATTGTTGGCATTCCCTTTTTAACAGGAAAAATCTGGTGCTAGTCAATAAATATAGCCTTTTTGTACAAACTGAACCTTAGAAATAAGTGACCATGCTTTCTTGTGGTTCTTAATACTCGCACTGGCCTCCAAAATTCTCAAACTGCCGTGGGAAAAAGTGCAACTCAAGATACTCGTTTCAAGTAGAAATGTCCTCCGCTCGAGTTGGGGCCACTGCATACTCTCCAAGTTGCTCTCCGGATCACGCTGCGATGCTTCCTTACAACACTGATATTAGATACCTCTCGGAAGAAAGCACGCACGGACCATGCTCGCACTTGTTTCCCACCACTAGCATGGTTGCCTCGCAGTCTCCAGAGTTTGGTAATTCAACCCGGCCATGCTAGAAAGCACGGCCCGGAGAATATGCAGTGACCTTGCCCATTTTTCAACCTTGAATTGTAAAATAAAAAGGAAGCTGACTCGAGGAGAAGTGCCCGTACACTGTCCAAAAGGCACAAAGTAAATGTAACGCAATTTCTGGGGTGGCACGATTTAAAAAGTAACTGCGGTGCCAGCCTCGTTCAAAGCAACAGCTACAAAGATAATTTACAACAAAGGTGCGAGTATTTTAGACAGAGATTTCGACGAGAAACGAAGACTTGGCGAATTCTAAAGAGGAAAAAAAGTCCACCGAGAATTGCCCATTTGTTTGGGGTTCGGAAAATTGTGCCCTCGACGGAGATAGTCTTGGCACGCCCCGCCACGCTGGTGGACAACAGCCACCTGGGCCATCGGATATGTCTGCATCGACGACGAAGGAAAGGCACCTTGGCTCCAGCTGCGCACAGCCGAAAGAGCGTATCACAAGGTTGGTTTAAACCCCAACAGCGACTCCCCTCGTGGTGTACGCAGTTTCAACCAGTGGCAGGAGGCATTCGATGCTCGAGAGAGCGTACGAGATTTTGCTTCGACGACAGTTGCCCTCGCCCAAAATGTCACTCCACAGTTTCAAAGAGCGTCGCACGTGGGCACAAAGAGTCCCGCACCATTCTTAATGGAGCGTCTGCACGACCGCGGCTGCAGTAGCCGTGGACGAACTGCCGTCTCTTGCCACGGGACCGCCGAGCTGGCCCGGTGTCTGGGTCGGTGGGGTGTCGCACCGGCCACCCCTGGGTGCGGCCCCCGGCAGCGTGGTCACGTTGTGTTGGAGTTGTCGCTGCCCGTGGCGGCTCCGCTGCCCGGGGCCGCGTCGCTGCCGCTGCTGTCGCCCACCCTTAGCTTCTTCATGTAGGTCTTGAAGGCCTGCCTCTTGTTGCAGAACCACACGCGCACCACCTCGCGGTCGTAGTTGAGCTCCTCCGCGAGCTCCGTCATCTCCGTGCCTGCGAGGAGAGAGCATCGAGACCCGGCCGTCTTGGGTCGAGCTCTACGCACCAACGTATGAGACCAAAAACTGCGTCCAAGTGGTGTCTGTCAACCAAAACATTCATGGAACTGTACTCGGCGTCAACTCTTCCGCGCGTTGTTGTCGAGGTGAGCGAGGTTCTGCACTCCTGCGCCGTCGAAGCTACTTGCGCGAGCGTGTGGCTTCGTTGGAAGTCTCCTTTGTGCACGTGAGTGAGGTGCAAGACAAAGCCACGTGTTCTCGTAGCAGAGTGGGCTGTAACGCCGTGGAAACTACGCTGGTCTTGACAACCTAGAGCAAAGAAGTTGACGCCGAGTACAAACGCATTGGAAACTAGGGTGCCCTAACTTGCTGCATTAATTGGTCGGTGCTCGACCGACTTTTTAGAATTTTATGGACTGTTACCCAATTTAACTTACCCGTAGGATGGTGCTCATTAGACATCTATCAAATGTGCCTGGTAAAGTAAACAGTAGCAAGCTTCCAATAGTCGGTGGATGCAAAGGTTGTATCTCGCAAGGGCAACGTCGTGCGCAAAGAGTACCCAGGAGTCGAATCCCTATTTTTCTCGACCGAGAACCAAGCAATGGCCTTGATGCAATAAAGCAGCTCAAAAGAATAATGAAGAGACCAGGGAGTGGCTCATAGTTACACATCAATGGGATCAATGGGTGGCTTAGAGAGTAGTCCTTAGGACTTTACTCGGGCAGGAACAGTTGAGAAAATCTGGGAACCCCAAGGTGCTCTGGGAAAACTGTGTTCCTAGGAATTCAGTTTTGAGAGCCCAAGGTTATCGGCACTCAATTCTGCTATTTTCTCCTAGGCCGGTGCTTGGTGGAAAGCTTGCACAACCGGCTATAGTTACGACGAGAAAATGCAGTGTCGTTTCTCTCCGTCGGGGACGCTTTTGTAGGACGGCAAAGCAATTTGAAACGAAGCTTGGAACAACTGGAGTAGGTGTTTACCCGAGGGGTGCCTGCTGGTCTCGAAGAAGCGGTTAAGCACCTCCAGGGCGGCCGGAGTGAAGGAGGTGCGCTGCTTGCGCTTCTTGCTTGGCTCGATGCCCACCAGGTCAGAGGCGCAGCGCTCGCCGTTGCGATAGCGCTCCTCGGCCTCCCGCATCCAGCGCTCCAGCACAGGCTTGATCTTCTGGGCGCTCTTGGGCGTGATGTCTAGCTTCTCGAACCTGCCAAAGAGGGCATTGTCTAAGGACCTCTAGCACACCAGACGTCGGGCGGGGGCCAGCACGACTTTTTTAGTTAGTGAAAACTGGCAGCATGCACGAACCACAGGGGGCATGAGGATGATGCGCGAGCTACAGGAAGTGCCCTGTAGCTCACGCTTCATCCTCATTGTTTGCGAAGTCACTGGTAGGACACACTGCGCAGGTCTTGGATCCCTTGGCTCGTCAGCTCGCTTCATGGACCGTTTGGGTAATGCACAGTAATGCCTGTTTCACACTTGTTCATTTGGTGAAGTAATATTTGTAGTAGGACATTTCACCAAAGCTTGAAAACGCGGCATGCATAGTCGTGCTAACAAACGCTTTTGGCACTGGTGTCGAAGCGCTAGGATGGTGGTGTGCTGTTCTCTACCCCAGTACAAAAAGCTGGATAATAGAAGAGGAATACCCAGCACTTTACCTCACTACAACATCTACCATGGCGAATAAGGCGTATATTTTATTATGACTCTGAGAAAGGAATATCTCATTAAACTGAAAAAAGGAAAGCGAAATTCGAGAACCTCACGCACGTGTAGTAACACTTCAGTGAAAGCGACTTTGTGTATCCTGTTGGTTCCAATGTGTTCTGCGAGTGCTGGTCTCTTATTAGTTCCAAGTTCATTCCAAAGAATCATGAATTTGTAAACAAATCTTGGTAAAAATTGGGTAGAACAAATGAATCAATTGCCTGTATTTTCCAGGCCATGGCTGACAATTTAAGAAGTTACGAAAATTTCTGCTTTTCTTTTGAGCAGAAGTTGCGATGTGACAGCCTTCTTTGCCACATATTCAAGGTGAAAGGAGCTAAGTGTCGCTTGTTGACGAGCATTTGTTCGTCAGCAACTGTAGAGTCATGCTTGGATAGAAGCGTCGGTATCGGCAAGCTCAATGTAACTAAAACAAGTATGTGGCGCTTTGCAACACCACTGTGCGTGCGTGCACAGTTAAGATGACAGCACGTCATATACTCTCATGAATGCAAAAACCTTTTTCTACAGGATCCCCCACAGATCAGGAAAAACGAAAATCAGAGAGACTGTGAATACCCCTGATGTGTGCTGCGCAAGCTGTAATGTGAAGCTCCTGGCTTGTCTTTGAACATACTGTATTAAAGTTTTTTAATGTTAAAAGCGAGCTGCTGTAATTTATTAGAAAGATCTCTCACAGGAACGTTTTACACATTCTTTAATAAATAAACCGCTTTTAATTGGCATAAATTCAAACTAACATAGCAACTCTGTGCTGCCACAGAGCACATCGTCTGTTCGCATCCTACCTGCTCCATCACAGGAGAGCGCCCGCAAGGTGGCGCCACAAAAAGAACTCGTCGCCAATAGGCGTACCATATCAATTTGAAACTTTATGAGAGCTACATTCTTGAAGTGAAATGCCTGAAGACAGGAGAAAGTAGGTGCTAACAGGACACGGCATACTTTCAACGGAATTTTTATTTTGAGAACACGAGTGAAACTGTCGCCTAACGCACGACTTGCTCATTGCGGATATACGGAAACTCCTTGTCGGAGTGACATCCTTGCCATGCAATTTGGTAATTTCATAAATTTCACAAGCGATTTTTGTTTTGAATTTGCTCACCACTTTAGTTCCTTTAAAAGCTGGTTTGCATTCACAGCGGCCACAGTGTATTGCCAAGTGACCAGATGGGGACTGTCTAGTAGCTGCAAAGTGCTCTCTTATTCTGTCATTGATGCACCTGTTTGTCCCAGTCTTTAAGCGTTTCACATAAAAAATGTACAACCAACTGCTCCAACTTGCCATCCTATACCGAGAGCTATGTTGCAAACCACTAAATCTGAACTGCAGACCGATTTTGTGCACATGCTTTATTTTTCTGGGTCCCGAAAAGGCACTCAACTTCAATGTGCTCACGCAATTTTTTGTTTTATATATCTGCATTTCTTTCTTGTTTTTGAAAAGCTACCATCTGCGCCTGTAGCAGAAGTGGTAACTTTAATGCACCACTGCACTTCCCATGAACTCCCGAGTTTTTCTAAAAGTGACCTATTTAGTAGTTTTTGACGATGCTCAGCAAGTTTGTAATTGGAACCAGGTGTTTATTTTCACTAATTTAAAAGTGACTTGAAAACTTCTAGTTAAATAACAGACTTATCCTGATGATTAGTCCCATATATTATGTAGCCCTGGCCGTGTAATTCTCCTGCATAAAACACGTGTAGCTTTTGCAACTTTTTTAGAAAAATCTGTAAAGCCTATAAAACAGCTTGTATATATCCATTGGTTGCTACGTTGCACGGTACTAGTATTATTCTCCACCTATAGGCAGAAAATTAATGACAGCCTCGTTTGGGAGCTCCGCTTTGAACTTGCGCATAGCCCCTCGACCGGTAAAAAGTTAATCTGCCCCAAAATAAGAGTTTCTCCACCCCAGGGGGGCCAGCCGGCCAGCTCTTTCAACAAGTGGCGGCGACCGGAAGGCGGCAAGTCGCAGCGTGTCGGGTGCTCACCGGCAGATGGCGCTCTGGCTGTAGGAGGGCCCTTCGCTGGAGCTGAGGGCCAGCCCCACCTGGGTCTGGGTGAGCCCCAGGGAAAGGCGGCGCAGCTTGAAGGCTTTGGCAAAGTTCTTGATCTCCTCCAGGTTGATGCCGTCCACTATGTTGGCATCCGTGTGGCTGATGGTCACTGCGTGCAGGCAGGGGCCCGCTCACAGCTGTGCCACGCACGCCTCGGCCATGCCACTTTGGCGCACTCGTCTAATTCTATGGCCTAACATAAAATACTGAGTGTGCACCCACGTCACAATCCAACCCACTACTCTTGAAACGCTTGAAAGTGTTAGCGAATGAGACATCAAGTGCCCACCCCAGACTTCCGAGCCCACCTAAGCTAACCGAGATGCTCTTCCGCGTGAGGCACCTCTCCGACAAGCGTGCTGGCAGTTGCACCGGTGCAAAGCAGCCAAGACTAGCCTATTGTGCGCCTCTTCTTTAATATTGCTTTCGGGCCTATTGAGCACCCATCCTCCAGATTTTCAAAATTATCTCCAAATTTTAGATGGGCACTTGCTCAGTGTTCAACGCTGGCTGCTTGGCAGCTACAAAATCACTTACAATAGATCAAGCTAAATTTCCAATTCATAATGTTTGCTTGATTTTGATCTTGATCAGAGTAACCCAGATTTCAAGATAGAAGTTCAGGTACGCTTCACATATCTGCAAAAATTTTAGTGACTCCAACTGTAAAATAAGCTAACGGAGCCACAAGAATTCCTGGCAAATTGATGTCACTACAGATGGATTTGCTGTCTTGCATGCAGAATTGTCCGAATCCCCGTGGGACCTTTGTGCTCCCGGGCGGGGGGGGGCCGCCTTACCGGGTGACGTGGGACCGCTCGTCTGCGCACCAGGCTCCGCCGCCATCACCAGATCTGCAAGAGGGCAGCAGCATTCTGCTCGTTACACAATGGCACAAACCGGCGCCTCCAAGAAGCTCCTCGCAAAGCACCCGCTCCTAGCTTCCCTCCGATGTTTTGCAACTGCCACCGAGAAATCGTGTCCCCATTCACTCCCCTGTCCACAGCAAAATGTAAAATATATATCACATTACAGACATGGCAAAGACTCCAAGCGTAAAGCTGGACGCACGCTCGAGTCGTCCCAATATCGAATCGAAAGTCAACACTGCCTTTGGCAGTAAAGGTGCGAGACGGAGACCGCACGAGCAGATTAACAGGGGACATCCTGCCAGAATGAGGGACCCCCGCAAGGAGATGTTGCTGCCTAGAGTTGCCCTCGCGCGATATCCACACTCTGCTCAAATGCACGCGTCAAGGTGCAAGGCATCCTGGAACCTGCGCTTGCCAACATGTTGCACCAGGTCGGGCTCTAGCTGCTTTCTCCCAAAAAGAGACTGGGAGACAAACCGACAATTCCTTCCCCTCTGCCTCTGATGCAATCCGAGCCCATTTGCCGAAGAAACTCCCGCAGATGGAACAAAAAGGAATGGGCAAAACGAATGGCCAAATACCAAAGTGCCAGTATTTCTTGAGAAATAAAATGCGTTTGCTGTTGGAGAAGGCACACGCTACTCGGCTCTATGAGTTCTGCCGTATCGCATCACACATTGCGGGTTCAGCCTCCCTGCATCTTGGGACTAACGTGGAACGATTGAGACGGGGAGACCACCTGTAGAGGGGGAGGGACTCGCTCTACCTAGTCAGCCTCTCCGGTGGCTGGATTGCCGCTCAGTCCGGCGGCCCGGCAAGGGGCCACGTGGGGCTGAATCCACCTAGAAGACCAGCAGATCCCGACCCACCCCGATCACCCTGAAGCTAGCAAGAATCAAAATGACACGTCCTTCTTGGCGTAGCACTCGTGAGACGCTGCAAAACACGCTGGCAGTGATGCTGACACGAGCCACGCAGCACTGTGGGGATCCACTAGTAAGGACTTTTGGGAGGGCCTCGTCTCGTAGGTGGCCAGACTGGCCGCGTGCTCACCTTTGGGAGGTCTGGGGGGAGAGGGCGCCAACAGCCCCCTGACCGCCAGCTGCCCCGTCTGGGTCGGGGCCGACACGGTGTCCACCTTGCACTGGGACAGCGACAGCTGCGCCACACGCGCGGCACGCTGTAGCACATGTTTACGTTCTCGAGTGATTTGTATCAAACGTACATAGTGCACTTGGGCTGTCTGTGTTCGGTGCCCAAATGTGGGTACAAGCCAAATATGTAAGGCGCGGAAATTATTTTATGCGCATTTCGTAGAGAGGGAGCGTCATTCCTGGAATACCTGATAAATGATTGCCTTAGCAGAATTGCAGACTTTGTGCCCTAGAACTGCAATTCCTGTTCAATCCCGAGGCAGACGCTTCAACCGCTCGTTGTCTTCCAGCTCTTCCAACAGGTCCAGGTCTAAAGTAGCAACAAAAAAAAAGCACGGTACTTTCCAATTTTAGAATGAAAATCAGTGCTGGAAGGTCTCATAATTATTAAAAAAATTTTGCTCTTTAAAGTATCCGTTGCCCACGGCACAGGTCCAGTGCAGAATGGCGCACCCTTGCATTCTGCCGCACTGGCACTAAGCACCGTCGGTCTTGCTCACATGAGTTGCCGTATCCTATGGGGCTGTGCTCTCTCTCACGATGCCACTTGCTCCGGCAATGCCGAGCAACCACTGCCTTTGCCCTCTGCCTTCACTTTTTTGTCCCGTCTCTAGCATTAAAAAAAAAAAAGGCTCTCGTTCGCTAGATGCATTGAAATTGAAGAACATGTAAAGATATATGGAAAGAATGCTTATCCGAAAACAGGGACTGTGAAAAGTTTGCAGGAGAGGTATCTGTAACAGACGACCCATGTGTAGCGAGAACGGAGCTCTCGCATACTTTTTGAGCGCCCTCGAGCACATCCAGATGCGACGGCATTCACTGCTTGCCAGCACAATTTCTGCTGCTCAAGTCACTGTTTGTTCGAGATTTCAAAACTGTTTTAAGCTTAAAAACTAATCGGCATGTTTTTATAAAGCATACCGTATTTTCCGCCGCACCCGGTGTATGGTCCGCAGGGGGAAATTTGGGGTCAAAAATAAAAGATTTTGCTTAGATAGCTTGCACCCGGTGCATAGCCCACACCCGGTGCATAGTCCGCACCTGGTGCTTAGTCGACACGAAAATCTTCTCATAGACGGCACACGTTTACAAATGTCTGCTTTTTAGCTCACAATAAAGCCTATAATGTGCATTAATCATCATTAACATACACTTTCGTGCACAAAATTCGCCACGTCTCGTCATAATAAACAATCTTGAAAAACAAAATTCCTGTATAGTCCGCACGCATAGATAGTCCGCACAGCCAGAAATTTCAACTTTTAAACATGTATAGTCCGCGGACTATAGCCCGGAAAATACGGTACATACAATGTTAAAAGCAGTTTTTATACCATACATTTCCCAGTAAGCAAGCTGGTTTTCTTCCATTCTCCATGGACTTGTGAATGGGGTTAAAACTGCAGTGGCATTTGTGACTAGCTACCAAGAGATAGTGCTCAGGTTAGAGCTACTGCAGCTGGCTACTGCTCTCTGTGAGAGCACATACAGTGGCTCTAATGACGTCGCTTTGACTCTGTCCTTTGGAGCAGACCACTACTGATGCACATATGCCTCGAGGATTGAAAAAAACAACCTTGTTTAAAAAAACATTGCAATTTTATTACACTCCCTATTGTGTAAAATGGAAGGAAATACTTTGCCACCCTAATGAACTACACCTGTCAAGAGTCCTCATTCCTTCGTAAAAATTGCACGCAATGAAACCCAAGCACAGCATATTTATCTCACACTTTGTCAAGTTTTGTGATAGCTGCACAACATTATGTTTCTCAAGTTTTACGTGTAATATCTTCCACAGCCTCTATGTGCCGAATAAATGAGGATGCAGTAAGTAAAATTGAATTGACACAACCGCCAAACCCATACAATTTACTGCGCATGATTTTCTCAATCAAAAATAGTCTTGGAGATTTTAGCGGTATACTTTGTTACGTTTCCCGGTCATACTCCAAACAAGTCATAGGCTTCGCTCCACTCTTTATTCTCCCAGCCCAAACAAACTCCTCCGTGCACGCCCTGCCATTCACACACTCTCCCACCCCGCTCTCCCTCTGGTGCTTGCCTTTCCCCCATTCCTTGTTTTCTCGGGGAACCTGGTATTCAGCGCACAGCTTTTGCAGCTGCGAGGGTTCGAAACATGGTTTTCAAACCTGACAAGAAAAGAAGCGGTAGCACTAGGAACACGTGCGGACATTCTATCACTTGGGAGAAGTGTGCTTCGGCGTCTCGCCACAGCGGGGTGCCCGTTACATGACTCTCCCTCATCTGTTGTCTGCCACCCTACCTTTTCACTTTCGGCGGCCGCATCTCATGGCGATCTGCCAGGCTATGGCACTGCCTATGTCCTGGCCGCCGAGAGACTGGCGGACGGTGGCTCTCGGGTAGGAGGGTGGAGTTACCTGTGCAGCCTGCAACTGGTGCAGGGGTTCCTTGCAGGCGATCGGCATGGCCATGAGGAAGTGGGGGGGCAGCTGCTCCTCTTCCTCGTCCAGGGGCTGCAGCTCTTCCGCACCCCCGAGGCCCAAGATGTTCGAGTCCTGCGAGCAATCGTTGTGGGTCAGACGCCTTCCCAAGCCTTCGGTGCCACGGCCACTAACAAGCTGAAAACTTCGAGCTTGGGTCCTCCCGCCTACAGCACCTTCGACGACGCTCCTCGAGCGCGTGCTGGAGGATGGGCGTTCTAAAGACCTCAGTGACTAGAATGCCTTCACTGCATCTGGTCAACCTTCGACGTGTCTGCGTCTTACGAGTGGCGTCAAATGTACCAATACACGAGGCCCGTGCCTCATGCAGCCGTCGGAAGCAAACGGTAGCACAGCACTCGCTCATGGCACGTGTTTCAAGTGACAATGGGCACGTTAAGTCCGTGCTCCGGAGCCCGAGAGTTTGGTGCTCCATTCACGAAACGGCCAGGAGCGCCACCAGAGACCGACATTTAAGTGCGCTCTTTGTGCACAGAGTTTTTCTCGGAGCGCAAGTGACGTTCACAACAAGATGGTTGAACTGAAAGAAACGTCGTCGAGACGAAGGGTTGGACCGCTACTCTCTTCCAGTTAAATAGTGCTTAATCCTGTGGGTAAAATCTATTTGATTTGAAAGCCAAGACAGCAATTAGCGTTCAGGACAAGGTTTGTTCGTGCATCTTGCACGGAAACCAATCAACGTGCTATCGACTGAATGGTGGTAAGCCAGTAGCATATTGCTGGATTCCGTCTCGCGCTGCAAGACGGAACCACGGAACACCTCTGACAAGTTTGAGTTTCCTGCGTCGAAAACCAAGTTCAAGAATGTTGTCTTTCCTTTAAATTGGAGTAGGATGCATGTTCAATAAACAGATTGGTCAAGCTAACTTTCCACATATCTGCTCGAAGCGAGTCTACCATACTCTTCGGGAATATAAAACATTCGAAGAAACTTCGTAACTTACCTTCGAAATAATTTTGGCTTCTGCCACCTGTATCTACGATATGCCGGGTTTGTATCATATTTGCATAGCTGTACGGTCAGAAGTGATTCTTGCGGTTCGTCGACGGTTTCGGTGTGTCGCGTTCCTGTACGCTATGCTCCGTTTAATTGCTGTACTCGGAGTATGAAACTCGCGAGCGTCGGAGTAGGAGTACAGGACTGCGATTTTAACGCGCTTTTAAGGAATGTAAAGCGTGGATTTTGTCGAGGCACTTTAGGTGAACCGCTCGACTCGGGGGCTGCGAGAGCCTACGACAACCGTCCGGGCACACCCGAGGGGCACATTGCCTGTCTGCCAGGCCACAAGATGCCGGGAGAGAGACGGGGCCTCACCTCATCCCTGGGTGACTGCACGGTGTAGGGGGGCAACGACCCTTCGTCCACGGCCTCTGGGGCATACTCTTCGTCCTCCTCTTGCCCCTCTTCCTCCTCCTCTTCTGCCTCCTTTGGAGCCTCCTCCTGCCCCTCCTCGTGTTGTTCCTGCTGCTCGTGTTGCTCCTGCTGCTCTTGCTCTTCTTGTTCGTCCTCGTGTTGTTCACGCTGCTGCTCTAGCTGCTGCTGTTGTTGCTGCTGTTGTTGCTGCTGCTGCTGTTGCTGCTGCTGGTGCTGCTGTTGCTGCTGCTGGTGCTGCTGCTGCTGCTGCTGCTGTTGCTGTTGTTGTTGTTGTTGCTGTTGTTGCTGCTGCTGCTGCTGTTGTTGTTGTTGTTGTTGTTGCTGGTGCTGCTGCTGTTGTCGCTGCAACTGCTGTTGAAGTTGCTGCTGCTGGAGCTGCTGCAGTTGTTGAAACTGCTGCAGTTGCTGCAGGTGTTGAAGGTGAGACTGAGTCTGTGGTTGGCTCAGCATGGAGACAGATGCCAAATTGGACTGCAGCTGCAATTGCTGCTGCTGTTGAACCTGGCTGTGTGGCTGCATCTGATGCTGGAGCTGAGGGTGCTGACTGTGATGCTGGACCACCTGGACCATACCTGCTGTTGGCTGGGCTCCTGCCTGTATCAGGGGTTGGGCTATGATCTGCATACAAGTCATCCACAACTTGGTTAGGGGCTTTAGTTAAACTAGTTGGTACATATTGGTGATGGGTCAGCTGAACTTACAAAAACAGACATAGAAAGAACGGGAAAAAACGACTGTTTTGTCTTTTCCTTTCTACATCTGTTTCTGCAAGTTCAAGCTGAACCCATCACATATCCACAACTTGTTTTTGTGCAGATATGATAACACTAAAGAGCCAACCCAAATTAAAGTCTGAATCATCCGGTGAAAGAGTAAAAAAAACTTGGGACACAGTAGCTTGTCATTGTTATTGGAAGAAGGTAGGAATTCAAGCTATTCAGGGCCGTAACCAGGGGGGGGGGGTTAGGGGGTTCTGACCCCCCCCGAAATTTTTTTCTGGGTACGGCCCTGGTCAGTGCACTTGCAGCCAGCCGATTTTAATCTCCACCTCTGCGCACGCGCAGTGGCACCGGTCGGCTACCGGGTACCAAACCGGGACCGGTTCTTCGGTTTGCTATAACTCTCCATTATATGCCACCGATGCACATGATTCATAGGCGAAAATAAGACAAAATGGCCGCCGTTGTCCTCGAAAACCCCCCCCCGAAATTTTTTTCTGGGTACGGCCCTGAAGCTATTATTGAGGTGCCAACCTTCCATGGTCGCCACGGTGGCCTGGCCAAAATTTATGCACTCTGTGCATTGTAATCTATGATCAGCAACACAAAAACTCGACTGGTGAGAAAAAAGTGAAAGCCGTTTACAACTCCCTGTAACGCCGAATTAGAGCGCAGCTCTTGAGGAGGAGGAGGGAAGGGTACTGGGGGGGTCAAGTGACCTTGGGTGGGTGTCACGTGACCCGAGTCACGTTACCTTGGGGTGACCTTGGAAAGTCTCGTGACCCTTGGGGTGACCTTGGGGGTCAAGTGACCTTAATTACGCCGACGCCGCTCAAGCCGGGAACGGGCCCCTAAGAGCTGCGCTCTAAAGCTCGCACAGATGTTTGTTCCCATTTGGGCTCAGCTGAGTAAATGGGTTTGGTTTTGAAATGAAACGCCCTCCCCTGAGATATCGCCTATCCCATTCTTTTGGCTAAATATTATGTAACATAAAAATTCTGAAACATCCCCTCCCCCCGATTCCCGTCGAACATCAAGCAATGTCCGACAGGAACCGCATGAACCGCGCTATCTGCAGTAGTACGCATGACAAGCGAGTTTGCAGTGGGTTCTTGCGTTTTTGTTTGCAATTTGTGCACACTATATCGGTTCCCGTGGCATCCGTTCCTGTGACCCGCGGGTTTGTAGTGGGTTCCGCATTTTTTGTCTGCAATTTGCATGCGCAATATGGCAATATATATGCAAATTTGTACTAGTTTCCCGCATGTTTATCGCACCGCGAATCTGCCGTGTCCCCAAGCTGCAGTATCCTTTCCCATGACACGGGAGTTCATAGCAAATTCCCGTTTATCGTGGCGTACCCGCAATCTGTGGTATCACTGCTCGTGGTTCGTAGCAGATGTCCCGGTGTTCATCAAAAGTTTTTTTATAAAGTTTTGCTGTCTCATTGCCAAAGATAGCCCACCTCACGTTTCTACGGTTTCTTAACAAAGCCAAATATTTTTTAGCTATATTACTGATAAAGCTCGACTGCGCGTAAACTTCACAACTGTCCTCTGGATCAGTTAGGCTACTCAATCGTCTAAGGTGGGGGTTCTTAAAATCTATCATCTCGGGGAACACAGCCATCAGTCTCAAGGACGGAGGAACCACTCTCCACCTCTTGACCTCGTTGCAGAGAAGCGATTGAGAACAAGCCTGCAGACTTTGTCCACAATAACGTGCACATTGTAGAACATATCTCGGCTGAAAGTAGCGCTTAAATTGGAAGCAGTATAAATGGGGAGAACTTGGGCATTCGAAGCATCGCCTTAGTGCGATGCTTCCAGGGCCTAAGGCGACACGACTACAATCGGTTAGCTAGGCTGGTACATAGAAACACCTTATTTTCGTCCAACTAGTGCTTGTAAAAATACTCATTACAGCGGATGGTGTGGATTGTGGATTAATTAATATAAGTGGATTAATCCACTTATAACGATAATGAGAAAACCCGAAAATTCAATCGTTATAACCGATTATCGGTGGATCTGGACTAGACTGAGCGTTTCTAGTCTAAAATGTCTCGTTATATGTGGTATCGTTATAAGTGGATTACACTGTAATGGGCATAACTGCTGGCATTCCGAAGACCGTGGCTCCAAAGAGAGGTAGCCGAGGCACTGGCCAACCGCGGACCCCGACACACCTGTGAGGACACAGCGACCAGCTGCCCGTTGATGTTGGCGTACAGCTGGGGCATGGACGCCAGCTGGTTGCCTGCCAGGGTGGCGTAGTTGCCCGCAAACAGCTGCTGCGCCGTCAGGGCCGTGCTCACTGCAACCCAGAGAATTCACCTTGGCAGACATTCTGCATTGCCAGCACGGTATAGCCAGTGGTCTGAATGGCTGAGGAATGTCCCGGTCTTGGCAGTGATGCACTAATGCAGTAAATGAGCCTACAACGATGTAAATGATAACGAGCATACTGAGGGAGCTTTTGTATCTGCTAAAATAGCGCTTTAGTAAAACACACCCTGCTTAGGAGCAGGGATGGCCAAGAAAATTTGGGAGCTTAAGAGGGGGATCCCTGTGTTTTTAAGAAGTTAGTCTGAGAATCTAGGACTTAGTAAAGAGGACAATGTCATGTATTTTTACTCCCATCACTTATTGCCTACACTGGGCCAAAACAGCCTCCTTGCTTCCTGAGGGCAAATTGTGCAGGGACAACGACCTGTTGTTGCGCTCATTACATCTTGGCACACCATTTGCTGCTGCAAGTTCGTTCTACAGTGCCGAGTGTAATGATACCGTTTATGTCCTCTACCATCAAACAGACGTCTTTTGCAAACCGGTTGCAAACCGGCCAAACACAATCTCCTCCAACCGGTCGTGACCGTCGACAGTCAATGCTCCCCGTGTAATTGCATGTGCACACAGAGATTTGGTGACGAGAACACAGGCTGTAAGCGGGCATCTGAAACAGCCCCTTACCGTGACCATTGTGTTGATGCTGCAGCTGCAACTGCGGCTGGAACTGGGCCTGTAGCAACTGCTGCTGCTGCTGCTGATGATGCTGTTGTTGCTGCTGCTGATGTTGGTGTTGCTGCTGATGTTGGTGTTGCTGTGGCTGATGTTGCTGTTGCTGTTGAGAGGCAGGAGCAAGTGCCGCGGCCAGAGAGAGCTGCTGCGAGAGTGCAGGCAAATTGGCCAGGGTGGTGGTGAGGATAGCGCCGTTGGCTGCCACCACCTGCACCACCTGGTTGGTGCTGCCCGCCGCCAGGGGAAGCCCTAACACCTGGCCACCACCACCTGCGATGCACCCCGTGCGGAACACAGGTCGGGTGAGCCAGAGCTTGTGGCATAGTTTATGACAAGGGCCGCTTGCCATTATGTAGAGCGGTAACACGAAGCCGCCCGCCAGCCATTGCTGCTCTTTGGGCACCTTGCTTAGCATCAAGGGCAGCCACAAACAATGCCCGAACATTCAACAACTGGCCCTCACTGAGGCACACACTGAATTCATAAATGAGCATTTGCTCCAAGCACAGAGGTACAGAATTTTAGAATTAAAAAAGGGGGCTAAAAGTCAGAGTGTCTGCACTAATTTGCCATGCCCTGTCACATGCTTTATGGAAGCCCAAAACAATAATGTTGACTGGCCCTGCCCAATAAATTTCTTGAATTCTGTGATAATGTTACGGTCTTTCAAAACATTGTTGAGATGACTGGCAAGAATGAGCTCAGTCAGCTTATACTGCTACGCGCGTCGGCGAGCAAGTGCATGCGTGCGTGGCCGAGTGGTTACCGTGCTTGACCTTTGCGCGGAAACCAGAGGTCGATTCCCGGGAGTTACGTGTCTTTTATTTATTCTTTCAGTTTAATGTTCTAAAATTCGAGAACCCTGTTGCTTGTTCGAGGTCCGAATGTTCTAGTCGCCGAACCTTCTACGCCGATTGTTTGAGAAGCCAACGCGTGTACATAAGGGGCTCCGCATGGCAAGCCACAGTCAGTCTTGCCTCAGCGTTCGATCCTGCTGTTACGCCGACTTAGACGCCCGCGACGCTCAGTTGTTATCGTCTGTTCACTTTTTGTTTTGGGCACAAGTTTGCTCCATTAAATGTTTCAATTTCCTTAGTTATTCTTTGTTTTGTCAGCTCGTCATTTGTGACAAAATGGGACAGATATGAGAGATATAGGAATGTAGTCTATAACACACAAACGATCGACAGCAGTACAATGGGTGCTGAAAGCCAATCTAAAGAAAGGAAGCTGGTAGAAAGTGAAGCTCAAAAGCTTCACTTTCTATAAACTTTGATAACTCTACATGACGCAGGAAGAGGACCTTTGGTATCTTATCATGACCACTAAATGACATTGGTTATAGGATGAGTATCATGATACTCAACCTAAACTTTCAAGGACATGAAATGAAATTCTTATCTAAACAAGAATTTGTGAAAACAGATTGTGGAGCTGAATGAAAATATTTGTCAAAATATTGTGCAGTAGACCCTTTTTGAAATTATGAAATGATGCATAGATTATGCGCAGCCGCCATTAGTTGGTCTCATCGCTTCTGGCATGAAGCCTGTGACTGGTTCAGAGTTTGCACCGCAACGCAGCACTCGTGTGGAATGCGTTCCGATCCAAGTACACTCTGAATGCTGACGAAGCGCTCGTGTTCAATACATGATCACAGTGCATGACCAACTAATGGTGGCCGCACATAATCTATGCATCATTTAGAAATGAGTCTATTCCACTACCATACACAATTATGAAACCATCCATTTAAAGGGCAACTCCGCTTCATTTTTGATATTTAGAAAACTATGTAGCCCTCTTCAGTATCATGTAGGAAGACCCCATGTCAAATATTACGATCTAATTCCGTTTATATATTTAATAAACTGGCCAGCAAACCTTCAAGCGAGCCAAGTCGCCGAAATCTGCCAACTCTATACTCTGTTTCATACTTAGTGTGCAACGCTGTGAAAGCTACTGGCGCGAGCGTGGTGCTTCATCTCGTGGATCATTTGCACGCGTCCTCGCGCAAACAAAACCATAGATGAAGCCACGCGCTCGCGCCAGTAGCTTTGACAGCGTTGCACACTAAGTATGAAACAGAGTATAGCGTGCGGCGCGAGGCGCAATCATCAGCGCAGTCAATGCCACGGAGTTGGAGCGGCCAACGTTGAGCCACTACGTCAGAGGCATGTCTACGTCATTCTCACGTTTTGTTTGTTTTTACTTCTCAGAGCGAAATTGAACGATGACGTCATGAGTTTCTCCTCCCGGTGTTGGCTGAACGGCGTCCACGTGATCACACACGGATGCGCTAGTTTGCGCTGCCCTGCGCGCTTATCGGTCTGTTTCTCCGCTCCCCTTCTCCTCTTTCGTCTTCTCCCCTTCTTCCTCTCCCCCGGGCCATCACCGTCCACGCCATGCAAAGCAACCTGCCCGGGTCCAAAAAAAGAAAAAAAAAAAAGACCTGCTTGCGTTGCGTGTCCTGTTTCTCGCTTCCTCCAGAACGTCACAAGAGCACGTGGTTCGACGTGACGTGGCCATGACTCTGACGACCCGAGACCAATGTTGCCTGATGCAACCGAAGTTTCGGTATCTGCCAATGTTTAAATTAGGATTACACAAATAATATTCCACATTTCGCGAATCCGAAGACATAGAGCTGTTTAGTAGTGCTTTGTGAATTTGAATCACATGGAAGCCTAAATTTTTCGGAATTGGGCGGAGTTGCCCTTTAACAGATCTTTTATGGTCAGCAAGATACTAAAGAAACTTAGAGGTTTGTTTCCTATACAGCTGGATAGTGTATTAGATAAGGTAAATTCCCTGCCTGCACACATCCAAGCTGTAAGCTCCTGCTATGCTTCTTTTAGACTGGCATCATCACAAGGCTACCTTCTCTTCAATCTATTGAGCCTGCATTGATCTGTCAGTTTACCCATGGATTTGGCCTTTCAGTGAGTATGATTGTCAGCAACAAATTAATTTGCGAAGTAATAAACAATATATTTAAACCTAATTCAAAGATCATTAACACCGGATTCTGCAAAATAGTCAAGCTGAACATCTAAGTAATCAAGGGTGCTTTCAACCTTGGTCACTTGCTTTGCGAATATCCCACTAAACCCACTCAGTGTCTTTCTAAAAACGAGCAGAGGGCTTTTGTACTAATTGGAGACTGAAATAGAAATTCCCACGAAAAATAAGTCTGACCGGTGGATGATGAAAACAACAGAGTACACTCAGCTTGCCCAAAGTGCCCTTTCTCGCTTTATCGTGCAACTTTTGCGCAGCTACATCTCGCGAAAACCGCCTTAGTCCCCATTACAATGGCACGGCAGTTCCGCTGCGACTAAACATGGACACTCATTAAACAAGTTTTTCTCCTCGCCACCAAGAATCACTAAGTTTCGGTCCACCTAGCCTGTCGATCAGACCAAACGAGTCAGATTGCCCGGGGACTGTAACCAAAGTTTGAAATGCTGCGGAAAGTTGCTCCAAGTACAGACGAGGCTGCCCGCTCGCTTACCTAGCAAGAGCAGAATGTCGCTCCCTGCTGTTCCTTGGAGCCAATAGACCATTGTTTTCCGACACCCATTAGTGCGACAGATTTCAAGTGGCGGAGGTACTCTTCTTCATTTCACCTTACGATGGACGGTAGCGGACACTACGAGCCATCCGAGCTAATCCAGTCCCGCGTGCGTGTTACGTGACCCTTAAGAGTGGCGTGTTGTTGCACAATGCTTTGGCAGCGCTGGATTGGCTGGGATGGCGTGCGGTGTCGGTTCGTCATAAAGTGAAATGGAGGTGCTAGGAGAAATGGGCACTCGGACTAAAGCGTGAGCCTCGCTCCCGAGACATACCAGTAGGCATAGGCACCTAAGCAGAAGTTCGCATTGCCGCATTTCTTGCGTCAGCAGACTGGGCAGAAGCACCAACGTTTGGCACCGTGTCCTCGCCGCTTCAACGCAAGTTTCATTCGAAAACCGACGCAGCTATCAACCTGTGCCCTACTCTGGCCCGTGGTTTTTAAGAGGAGATGGAGGTGAAAAGGGGGGCGGGGGGTGAGGCTGAAAAGGGGCTACCTGCGGCAGAGTTGAGGAGGATGGGTGTCCCCTGCTGCTGGGCCTGTCCCGAGGTGGCAAGGAAGATCTGCTGCGAGGCAGAGTTCACCTGGGCCGTGGCTCCCAGCCCATGGGGCGCGTTCACCAGCTGCTGCAGGATGACAAGGGGGCGGGTTTTCTTGCACCACTACTTTGCCACTATCCGAGCTCTTTGTTCGGGCCGGTCTGAGAGCTAGATATTCTGTAGGTGCCACAAATACAGTAAACTTTTGTGAATTCGACCTCGACGGGACCTTAAATTCGGTCGAATTATCCGAATGACTGAATTAAAAAAAGCACAGAAAAACGGTTAAAATTAAACTTCCTGTTATTGTCCAAAGTACTCACGGATGGTCTGCTGCCGTCTGCGCTTAAAACTCGTGCCCAAAAGCACGCTCTAGAGCAGCATAACTAAACGTCATGTCCCCGAAAATCGCGCAAGATAAACCGCACACAATGCTACAGAAAAGCGCTTTGAGAGCGCAGCACGCACCGCGCGCTGTCTCCGCGCAGCTCCACTTCAGATTGGTTGGACTGGCTCGAGTCATTTGCTACGGTCCATCTCAACGTCGTAGAGGAGCAGGCGCATATTTGCGCACGTTCGGCTTTGCAGCAAAGGGCCCGTATTTCGCCGTACATTGGTGGTTTTTCAGCCATTGTGCCGTGCAATGTGAGTCCGCACGCATTCGCTCGGGACGAATTATCTGATGAGGAGTCTTCCCGAGTTCGAACTATCAAACTTTTCCTCTCATAGAAATGTATGGGCACTCGCCGGGTCTTTTGAACACGAATCGAATTAAACGAAAAGTCGAATTAACCGAGGGCGGACTAATGAAAGTTTACTGTATAGAGTTTTTCAAGCTTTCTTAACTCTATCCCGGGAAAAGAAAAAGGGTTGTCCCGAGATGTGCCAATAGTGCCAGTGGTGTAGCAGGTAAGCTTTTTTAGAGCGCAGCTCTTAGGGGCCCGTTCCCAACTTGAGCGCCGTCGGCGTAACCAAGGTCATCCCAAGGTCACGTGGCCCCCCAAAGGTCATCTCAAGGTCACGTGACCCCCAGAGGTCACGTGACCCCTCCCCCAGGGTCACGTGACACCCAAAGTCACGTGACCCCCCTGAAGTCACGTGACCCCCCGAGGTCACGTGACCCCCCCCCCCCCGAAGTCACGTGACACCCCCAGGTCACGTGACCCCTGCCGAGGTCACGTGACCTCCCCGATGACGTCACCGGCATCGTCATCGTCATCATCACTGATGACGTCATCAGTGACGTCACTGATGACGTCATAAGTGATGATGACGATGACGATGCGGATGCCGGTGAGGTCATCAGTGACGTCACTGATGACGTCATCAGTGATAATGACGATGACGATGCGGATGCCGGTGACGTCATCAGTGATGATGGCGATGACGATGCGGATGCCGGTGAGGTCATCAGTGACGTCACTGATGACGTCATCAGTGATGATGACGATGACGATGCGGATGCCGGTGACGTCATCAGTGACGTTGACGTCATCGGGGAGGTCACGTGACCCTGAGGGTGGTCACGTGACCTGGGGGTGTCACGTGACTTCGGGGGGGGGCATCCGCATCGTCATCGGCATCATCACAGATGACGTCATCAGTGACGTCACTGATGACGTCACCGACATCCGCATCGTCATCATCGCTGATGACGTCATCGGAGTCCGCATCGTCATCGTCACTGATGACGTCATCAGTGATGTCACTGATGACATCATGGGCATCGTCACGTGACCCCCCAAGGTCACGCCACCCCCCCCCCCCCCCCAGGTCACTTCACCCCACCAGTACCCTTCCCTCCTCCTCCTCAAGAGCTGCGCTCTAATTCGGTGTTACAGGGAGTTGTAAACGGCTTTCACTTTTTTAAAGGGCAGCTCCGGCAAAATATCTATAATCATCATCATAAATTTCTTTTAGAGCGCAGCTCTTAGGCGCCCGTTTCCGGCTTGAGCGGCGTCGCCGTTGGCGTAACCGCGCGGTGCATTATGGGTAAATTTCCCCGCTAAATCTAGCGGAAAATTTTCCCGCTAAATCTAGCGGAAAATTTCCCCGCTAAATCTAGCAGAAAAATTTCCCCGCTAAATCTAGCGGAAAAATTTCCCCGCTAAATCTAGCGGAAAAAATTTCCCCGCTAAATCTAGCGGAAAAAATTTCTCCGCTAAATCTAGCGGAAAAATTTCCCCGCTAAATCTAGCGGAAAAAATTTCCCCGCTAAATCTAGCGGAAAAAATTTCCCCGCTAAATCTAGCGGAAAACTTTCCCCGCTAAATCTAGCAGAAAACATTTCCCCGCTAAATCTAGCGGAAAAAATTTCCCCGCTAAATCTAGCGGAAAAAATTTCTCCGCTAAATTATATTTTATTTTGGTCACGTGACCCGGGGGGTCACGTGACCTGGGGAGTCACGTGACACGCCGAGGTCACGTGACCCCCTCCCGAGGTCACGTGACCTCCGAGGGGGCACGTGTTTGCCCCCACGTGACCCCACCAAGGTCACGTGCCCTCAGGGGGGGGGGGGGGGGGGGGGTCACGTGACCCCCCCCCGAGAACACGTCGCCCTCAGTACCCTCCCCTCCTCCTCCTCAAGAGCTGCGCTCCAGTTCGGCGTTACAGGGAGTTGTAAACGGCTTTCACTTTTTTATAAAACTTTCATCCCTGGATATGTCTACAAAATATCTCATCAAAATATTCAGTTCCAAATCCACGGCTGCAGCTCTACCGGCAACACTGAGCAGCGGTGGCGTTGCGATAGATCATGACGTCAAATGTTGTATCCAAGAGCAGACACTCCCCCTCTACGGCGTTTTGCGCTCTAGTGAGCGTCTGGTTTTGCAGGTTTACTTTAAGCTATCAGTGGCTTGTGATGGTGGGTGGGCAGAACTGGTGCTGTGCTGTGGGGTGCAATAACACCACGAAGAGATGCAGACATCTCACTGGTTTCCGAACGAGATATCTCTGCAATGGAACTTGATTCGAGCAGTTCGACGCCAACACTGACAGCCTGCATTCGTGTCGTGCTAGCACACAAAATTACCCAAACAAAACTGCTTCTGAAGCGGCACCTGGATCCATAAGTCAGAAGATCGCAAATGTAGCCGTTACGGATGGTCCCCTAGATCGGAGGCGATGGCGGCGGATCAAATGCAAGCGGCAAACCCCCTGAAGCCTCTCACTGAAAATCTTCAAACTTGACCTGGTCATTGCTTGTTAAACAAGCTCAATGAATCATAGTCCATTTTTTTTCCCATGGACAATTGCGACGGCTTTCAGATGGTTCCCAACACTGGGCAAAACAGGCTGAAGCTGCCGATATGTTGATATGTATACATCTGACGTCATGGCAAGATGGCAGACTAGTAAAGCTGCGAGTTAGTTTCGAATTTGGTTCCAACATATTTCTGCACTTAAACATTATTTGAAGAGTTTAAGTGAAATTTATTTGCTGCTCTAGACTCAGTTTTTTGTTATCTTTTGGGAAATATGTTTATTTGAAAACATACAAATTGATGCTGGAGCTCCTCTGCGACTTGGGAACACGTAGGCGGGGGTTGATGCAAGGTCAGAAAGGTCGTAAGAAAAATGGCGGTGGCTTAGCTCGGCTATGCCAGGATATACGTAGCGTGAGCTTATACGCACAAAGTGAGAGGCGCTATCAAACGGCTCCGGTGCAGCATTAGACTTGGCTACTGTGCAACGGAGGCGCACAGCTGGGCATGCGGCGGCACCAGTGTGTCTGCCGCGGCTATGACGTCACTCCTCTGGAATGCGCAGACCGGCGAGGCGGGTGCGACGGCGGCAGAGCTTGCGGCTTCGCGTGGCTCTCATAATGAGCCGTGCTCATTATGCGGAAAGCGCAGCGCCGTGCTCATTATTCGAAGCTCCGCTGCCACGCGCTCCGCATAATGGACATGGCTCGCATAATGAGCACAGCTCATTATGAGGGCCACGCGAAACTGCTCAATCTCGGCCAGTGTAGCTAACGCTATAAAATCTGTTGCCCAATGCCACTACGTGTGACAGTCTGCATACCATTTATTCCCTCTTCTGCCTAGAGGTGCACCAATATAAATCTTGTTGCTGCAAATCGAATGTCGTAAATATTAAATTTAAGAAGAGACCCAAAACTGTCGCACCAATTGCCTCTTTACAGCGATAATCCCCACGAGTCACAGCGCAGTCTTACTGGTTTCAAGTTGCGAGTATGTTTTTACTACAGACTTTCAGATATGTGCTGGCATTTTAGCTTCGCACAGCAAGACTGCTTTGTCTGAGCTTGTACGCAAACGTCAGCCAATAAACGTGATTTATATTCGACCAGATCAACGACTTCCACTTCCTCTGATTCGTGGCTACGTAATTAAGTTACTCAATGTATGTGACACTTTGTCGTCGCATAAACATATTCGAAGGAAGTCTGCCCATGACCCCTATGCATATGAGGGGATTTGCATTCTGCGTTGGAGCAAGGATGGAGCACCGTGGGCGGTGAGCGACGATGACTCTCGCCACGGCGGTGCTGGGGCGTTCCGCTCACCGCGTGAGTTCCTCTGGAGGTGACCAGCAGTCCCAGGGGCCCCCCCTGGTTCTGGACAAAGGAGGGGCCCTGCCCGGCCTGCACCAGCTGCGTGCCCGGCCCCAACTGACCCAGCAAGTTGAGGGCTGCCATGGGCTGCAGCCCCGCAAAGCCCACCAAGCCGGCCTGCTGCAGGGGGCCCAGGGACTGGCCGGGGCTCACCAGGGTGGCCATGCCGCCGCCAGCCCCGGCCTTCATCAGCTGCACCCCGTTGGCCGCTGCTGCACGAGACACCCAGCCGTGAGCGAGCAGGGGACCGACGCACTGGGCGAGGACTGACCGGACGGCAGCCCAAGTATGCTGGAGACGCTGGCACTAAACTTCACCATTTACGTTAGTGCCCCGAAAGAGGACTTTCTGCCACACCGGCAGTTTTTATGGCAACCGTTGAATTCTAGGAAAAACGAAGGAAATTGCTCGTTCATGCTAATTGTGCCGCACTCTAGGCAGCCTCCCACTGGCAGAAAGACTACGCTTCCAAAGTGTCTCGTCCAAGGCCTGGCATATTTTGGCCCGGTGGAATCGGGACTATTTCGACCTTTGATCACCCAGCTCATACGCGAGCCTATTATTTGTATGGTGCGTCCGCCATCTTTTTATTTTATTCAGCAGTTGGCTAAAGGCTGTAGAAACCAGAAGAACTATCCAGAGACCTTGAGGACATAGTGCTAAGAGAACACTGCAGTTGTAATTTCATTGCTGGTTATGTCTGTGAGCATTTCGTTGCCGTTAAATACGTTCGGCACAGACTGGCGCCACCCAGACTGGCTAGTTCCCTTGCAGTGATGCAAACCTTGAATCTTGGCGCCTAGTAGAAACCTCTACAACGGCAATCTATTTCACACTTCTGCTTGACATGCCAGCGTGTACCGAGCGCGAGATCCATTTGCACCTGGACCAACTGGTCCGCAGCGTTTTATAAATAAGAAGTGGAAGACAACCTCCATCTATAGCCGGAGTTTTGAGAGAACGCAGCTTTCTACGAAAGCATCCACAGCCTTGCCACCACCTGATTCTGAGCCAAAATGAGGCCACTCGACACAACCGATGCGGTGGCAGCCGATTACGAATTGACAAAGGGTAATCGAAGAACACGGCAAGTCAAACGAGGAGCGTGGCTAGTCTGCTGCACGCCGGGGACTGTCACTGCTGGCCTAAAAGCGTAAGATGCGAGTGGTGCCAGACCACCAAGAGAGGGGCTACCTCAATTGTTCCCACTGTTGGAAGTATAACTATTAAAAGGCTTAACCCCAATGTTTTGCATGTTGGGTTAACTGTCAAAAATAAAAAAAAAACACCGGCTAGGTGGCGCAAGTTGCAGCCCAATCAAAAAGCTTCAGCCGAGCGCATTCATCCGCCTAGTCCGGATGCAGACCCACCAGTGCTGGCGGCAGCCTTGGCGTCGTCCTGCAGTGGGGGGGGCGCCGCCTGCACCGCCATGAGCACGTGGGGCGGTCCGGCGGCCATGCCGCTCACGGGGGCGGCAGCGGGGGCCGCCCGGGGCACCCCGCAGGGGGCGCCCGGCTGCTCCTCGGCCATGGGCACGCCCTCACGCCTGCCGCCCACGGGCACCCATGGCCAAGCATCCTGCACGCACGCCGCCACACTTGGTTATAGGTAGGATTCAGAGTTTTCGGAGTTTATTTTTCGCCAAAAATTCATAGTTTGTTGGAGATTATTTTTGTTTGATTCCCAATTCTCCAAAATTCTGAGTTTAATTTTGCAGTATTTCTTATTAAAAATAAATAAATAAATAATATCTGTGTCTAAACATATGCTAGGTAAAAAAATAAAATGCTTTTGTATCAATTAATATTTCTTCATCTGGATTTGGCATTGGTGCCATTGCCATATTGGCAATACTAATTTTTCCCAGGACAAAAGTTGCACACAAGTGTTTCTTCGATAAATGTTGATACCTTAAAATCAATAAACTCATAGTCGCTGGAAAGCTTGTATTCATCCCATCCTATTCCCTCAACATACCCCGCAGTGGAGTGGTAAACGATGTAATAGAAAAGTTACAACTGCCCCTCTTCCCCTTTTCATGCAATCTATATGGTCCATAGCTTTCACTGTTACAAAAACACAACCTCAATTTCATCTTAAAAAAACATCGAAAAAAATTTTTTTTTTTTTTGCAATGCAAAATTTTTTTTAGAGCAATATTGACGGCGCGAGACGCAATTTAGTTGGTAGTCACATCCCTTTCTACTTGTTTTCTTTCTCGGCATTTCGGGCACGTGAAGGAGAAGTGGATCGGCTTCGCCTTCACGTTGAGGTGGAGAGAGTGTATCAGCATCTTGTTGAGGTGGAAAGAGGTTATGACCATTATGGTGACGTCACGGACGTCGTGCACCAGAATTTCAAATAAATCTTGCGCCGTCAATGTTGCTCTAAAAAGATTTTTTTTTTTTTTTTTCGCGTAAGATTTTGATTTTTGATGCCCGTGTCCCAACCAGACTGTTTAAAAAAAACTTTGGTTGGGGCTAGTAGGTTTATATCGATTAAAAGGTGCAAACAAACAGGACGAAAAAAGAGACACGTACGACACGGACAGGCGCCTGTCCGTGTCGTACGTGTTTCTTTTTTCGTCCTGTTTGAACCTTTTAATCAATGTTTAAAAAAAAAATTTTTTTCAGTGTTTTTAATTAAAGCACAAATAGCATGGCCCAAACTGGAAACCAAAACAGTAGCTTTGGTCATGACCCAGGAGTGCAATGACCTGTTGTCCTGAATGAACCTTGACCAGATAAGCGGTAAGACCCCTTTTGATAATGCTCCAAGATTCGAACGATAAAGGGGTGTCCAAACAGGACACTACAAAACGCACGACTCCGACAAATCGCGAAAATTGAAGCGGACGTGAAAATTGAAGCAGATAGCGTCCGCTTCAATTTTCACGATTTGTCGGAGTCGTGCGTTTTGTAGTGTCCTGTTTGGACACCCCTTGACTGTGGTGGCATTTCCCCAGGACCATCGACCCTGTAAGCTGATCAAACTTAATTGAAAAATAGTTTTCTTCGTGTGTGTTTGTGCATGTGTGTGGTGGGGGGAGGGGGCATTAGCACACCACAATTCACAGAGTTTATCGCATAAATCCGAATTGACCAAAATTTTAGCGGCAGGTGATCTGTACGCAAACACGGAACCCTGGTTACAGGCGGAGCGGGGGGGGGGGCACCTCCCGTTTTCCAGGTGGATGGCCCCCCATTCCCCCAACTCCCGTCTTTCCTCCTCCACGCTGGCGTTCTTGTGCAACAAACCCCTCGCCAATTCTTGTTGCCAAGAATTTTACTGTTGGCAGGCGCGTTTGCGGTGCAGTGGTGTTAAGACACGGAGGAAGGGCCACCCTCCTGGAAATGGGAAGCCCATTCACACCAACAGCATGGTCATGCTGAAAGGCTCAATGTGAAGTGTCTCAGCACCAATGTGCACAACTTAGTGCTTGCACATTGATGCTCCAAGGAACACTGCAGAGAAGTTGTATCTGGGAAAAGGGGGAAACTGATGACTGAGGTAAAGCTAACTTTGGAGATGAACCTTACGAGCACCAATGAGCATGTAGCACTAAGGGCAATCATGGGCAGAGTGCTCATTAGTGCCCTTAGAAACATTGCAGAGAACCTGAAATTCCAGGAAAGGTGTCTCTTTTACTGCAGGTGAAGGCAATTTCGGCGAGATCTCAGACTTTGAAATGATGACACTTTGTACCAATAATGTGCAGATTGAGTGGACTTCCTGGAGATTTGGTGTAGATCACTTTAATCCTGATACAAAATTACCGAAGAATTTGGTTTAAACCTTTGATGCCCACTGTGTATGAAAGGGGAAGTTTTAAATGGGGTAAAATTATTTTTGTTAACGGTCAACACATGCCTCACTGACGGACGTGCGAAGTATGGGAGCCTTTTTTTTACGCAGCGTCCCCTTTTCGATAAATGTCATTTGTCTAAACTGAGGCTCCACTTTCTCTATACCGAGCTTTAATAAAATGGGCCTGTTCTCTAAAACATGTTTTAATGGAATTTACTACGGTAATCGAATGCCATTTCACCGAAACACGTTTTAGAACAAGCACTTTTTATATCAAAACTCGGTTTAGAGAAAAAAGAGCCTCAGTTTAGAGAAATGCCATTTATCGAAAAGGGGATGCTGTTTAAAAAAGGCTTTCCTACTTCGCGCGTGCATCACTGGGGCACATGTTAATCCACCCACCTACAGCCATGTTTACGCCGCTTCGCAGCGGCAGTATGTGGCAGCTGATTACAGAAATGTTAACCCACCGAACCCATCCATACATGCTGATTTTGCTAAAAGGAGGCTGATCACCATTTTCTCTAAACTGGGTTTCTCTATAAAGGGATACAATAAACTGGGGTCGGTAAGATGGCATTTGCTAAAGCGAGCTTCTCTTAAACCGCATGCCTTTGGTTTCTATGAAATGGTGTTCAACCAACCATAGTAAACCCATTGTGAATGGCACATATCGTTATATTGTGAAGCGATTTCTTGATGCTTAAGCTTAAACAGAAGTGGGGCGAGGCTCTTCATACAAGAACCACATGCCCAATGACACTGTCACGAGTGCCACTTGCATCGACATCACATCTCTGCCATTGTGCTGGCAGCGCTATTGAACGCATGCTCCCTTCTGAATGCGTTTTTCACCAGATTTTTAAAATTTTCTTGGCAGGAGCAAGCCATTGGCATGGTACGACCACATGAATTCAGCAAGAGCATCAGGTTTGGATAGGGACGCACCAGTGGTAGCATTCTGAAAAGGCTGGTGCCCATGCCCACAACACCAAATAAATTGACAAGTTGTAAAAACAATGCGAAACAATGAGGGTAAAGAAGGTTTGACGAGTTGTGGAAGCTCCTCTCAAACAAGTAAGAGGGCAAACCCTTGCCATTTTCGCTCTTCACGCGAGCAATGTGTGGAAGGTAGTGCAGTGGCTAGCGAAATGAGCAATGAGTCGTTCTAGCTCATATTACTAGCAACTGTAGGAACGTCGGGGGAACACCAACGGGCCTCGGCGTGTGGGCGTCCTATCGTACTGACTCGGAGCATCCGCTGTCATCCCAGTCAAATCGTTTCGATACCCGATGGAGTCATCGGAACGATCTACTAAAAATCTAGCTGTCACCCAGTTTTGACAGCGCTACTTTTCCCGACCCAGTTCCGGGTATTTGGAACAATGACGTCCGAGTCTCCGAGCGCGAAACGCACGGGGGTTCGGCCCAGTTTCGCGGCGAAACGTTTTAAGCGACACAAGTCCTCGGCCACCGCTGCAACCAACGGCAAGCGCAACAGGCCAGCAGCGGGCCAGCTCGCTCCCGCCAACAGAACAAAGCGCCTGCGGGCAGACCTCCCGCCCGGACGTCGGCAGAAGCGCCGCGGGCGATGCAAACCGCGCTCTCATTACGTGCCGTCGGGAGCCTCGGCGCCCACGATAAATTATGCAAATAGTGCACGCGACGACTGTTGACAGCGTCAACAGTGTCGCGTGTTCTCCGAGCGCGAGGAGCGTCTAGCGTCGGTCGCAGCGTCCCTCGCTTTCCGCTACGGGACGTTTTGGCCACGGAGGATCGACCACAGTGTGGGATCGACGGCGGCGGCGCCCGATAAATTATGATAACCGAGGCGGCACGCGCGCGCGGGCACTCGAGCCTCAGTTTTGAGGGGATCGTGGTCGCAATCGATGCAATCGGACTACTCACCTTGGATGTTAATTGCCGCTGATGAGGCGCCTGCCAAAACGAACGTTGCGCTAGCCGCCCAATTGAAAAGTAGTGCCTCGGTGGCGCATGCCAACCCCCGCCTTATAAATTATGATAATAAACGGATATCAACTATTCGGGCGCTTTTCTACGCGCCACCTTAGTGCGCGCGCGCACTGACGCGTTGCAGTTGACGCAACTGTCTCCACACACTCGGGATTTGCCGAAGAAGCGAACGTCTGGGTGCCGAGAGCCTCAGCCTGCCGCCGAACGCTACCTAAACTGCCCTGCTCGAGGAGCGACGAGGCCTGACACCGCCGAGTCCGCGGCCGCTTTCTGATAGGAGGGCGGAGGGCGGCGGAGCTGCGCGGGCTGCGCTGGTGCACCACAGGCCCCCTAACTTTTATTCGAAATGCACGCGGCGCAGGGAACCTGCGCAAACTTGACAGAGTGATGAGGGCAAGATGTAGTGTGCCCATGTATTAAAATTTCGCTCCTTCGCGCATTCCTTAACTTTGTAACGCCTATTAATAATATGCCCTAATTAGTATACGGCCCCCTTACGACAAATTCACGCGCCTGCGCAAGAAGAAAGAGTTCCGCGCATAAACAAATACATTTGGAATACCACAATGCCAGATGGTTATAAATTTATGGTGACACGCCGCCAAGCTAACGCTCGCAAAAATAACAGGGTTAATCCTGAAAAGGCAAAGTGCTGCTCGTTCTGTAGTTCTATAGTTTATTCGCCAGCGTGAACAATGGTGCCTGCCTTGGCTGTGTTGTTGTGATTATCATACCCATCATACCAGCTGCGGCTGAAAGCGTTGGCTGAAAGCAACCATGAGAACAACATGACACAAAAGTAGGATTTTGATGTGCACTAATCAAACAAATAAAAAATAATAATACCTGCATAAATAAACAAAAATGTAGGCGAATCAACAAAAATATAGGTGGGTTAAATTTATTTATCTATCTCGTGGCGCCTCGCGGGAAAGTTCTTAAAAGTTTGTTTTGTTTTCATGAGCAAAGCGGGGGCCAAAAATGAGATGTTTGCTTCTGCTCGACGATGGGTGTGTGTTTCGTGATAATGAGTCGCTGTCCCAGTTCCCCCGAAGGCCCGAAGTGCCAATGACTGGGCCGTTGAGCGATCGTGCCGCATTTTAGGAAGCATTGCCGACGGTTACGCGGTTTGTGAGCGCCGGAGGGACGATGGAGAGCGACGCCAACCTGAACGACGAGGTGAGGCGAGGGGAACCGAGTGCTGGCGTGCCCGCTCCCTTCGTCGCTCACGTCTTGGTTTCTTTTCGCAGGAGCTGTCCGAAGATGAAGAGGTGGGTAGCTTCTTCCCCCGGTTGTGGACACCGGCAGCTCGCACTTGAAATGCCTGGGAGCATGCCCTGTTGCGAGGAACAGCTTGCACGCTGACAGCTTTATGACGGAGAACCGAGACTGGAGGAACTAACGGACAACACACGAGCCTCGCACACTGCTTCATCGCAGTCTTCCCGTCACGGTTTTCCCCGCGCCGTCACATTGAGCTTCAGTATACGGTTATAACTCGGTACAAGAGAAAAGCCTGTTGCGCGACTAGTTGAACGACAAGGATCGCTCAATTCAGACAAAAGTATTTTTTGGCACTACGGCCGAAACATCCCAGCCACATTCAGGCGTGTCCAGACCGAAAGGGCAAAACGACATTCCTGTCACCGAGCTCACTCGTTCATATTGCATGCCTTTGAGGTTAAATCAGTTACTCTTTGTTTTCTCGAGAGACAGAATCTGTATGCGACTGTCAGAAAACTAGCACTGGAGTGCCTGCGAGCCAACCTTCTGTGGACACAGAAGTGTCACCAAAATCGCTGAAACTGACATGACCATAGGACACAGACACAAAAGATGACACAGAGACCAGAGATCGCAAAGACTGCAAGTTATTCTCCGACCACGGAGCTTGTCGCAGGCCGCTGGCAGAGGTGGCTGCATTTAGACGTTCACGGCATTCGTGTTTGGGGTGAAGATACTTTGTCCTGCGGCCCTTTCCTAAGGAGAGCGAGCTAAACTGCATTGCAAAACACAAAGGTTCTTTGCTTTTCATTCCTCGGCAGATTATTCGGTCCTCATGGGGTACCGAGAGAAATATTTGACAGGAACAGATGGGGTAAGCTAGCTGCATAGGAGTGTCGCACATTCAGAGTGCAAAGAGGAGAGCTTCTGGAGTGGGAATAGGGTGGACGCTTTGGGCAAGGCGAGCGGATGGGTGAAATTGACGGGTCTCGCCGACAAAGGTTAATCAGCTAGCTCGAGTCGGAGAGGGCAGTACGCCTGGGCTCGAAGGGAGATAATTTGTTCATATTTATGACTCCTTAGAGTTCGTTCTGGAGTGATAAACGAGACAAGAGGAGTATGGAATAGGGCATTTTTGCGACACTGGCAACGTTCCAAATCTTACCCGAGTAACCTGTCTCCTACGTCAACGGGTAATACCACGTGACATCGCGAGTAAACGATCCACCACTCGATTTCGGAATGGCTGGGATGATCACCTGGATACTACGCGGATTGACTTTCTCTTGAGCTGCGGCAAAAAGAAAGCACAGCAGCGATGGTGGAAAAGAGCAGACAGTCGCTTTTGATCATGTAGGAACTTTCTGAAGAGATAATAACATTACCCGCTGCAATGTTTTCCTTTGAAGTGACAATGCGGAGTTCACCTCCTTTTTAGGCTGAATATTGATATCAAAATAACTCACTCCTTTCAGTTACACATCAAAAGTGATTTTTGTTAATCAGTGCAATCGCTGTAAGTCTTGTCCAGGTGCCTTAAAGGTATACGCCTCCTGCATTGTGATTTGCACCGATTACGTTTTGCGGGAAATTATACTCTGCTTCCACACGGTGTAGCGGGTACTGCTCGGGGGGCTTTCTCAGCACTGATGTGTAACTAATTCCGTTCACCTTGATGCAAATATGATTGGGGTTGGGGTTGGCGACTGATCATATACATAAAATCTTAAGAAGCTTTCACTGCTTTACAAATTGTAATCTTCACATCATGCACACTTCAGGAAAAAAAAACAAAAAAAACTTTTACATCATCTATTGCATTTGAACATCTCAGTCTTGAATGTAAGAATAGGGAATGCACTCCAACGCCGAAGACAAGGATGTTTGAAAACTGCTGTCTACGCTCGCACTAATAATAACTGTTATACCTTCTTGTAGAAGGTGCACAGTCTGCATGAGATGCACAGTCAATTCGTGCCTTGAAAAGAGAAAATTGCAATAACCACACATCAACGGCTACACCTCATTCTCTACCATTTCGAACGTCTGCCACCAAAGCGAACGAAGCAGACGAGCTTCGACGGCTGTGAGAGCAGAAAGCAGACGACAAGCGCACGGTGAACAGATCGTATGACATCTTTACTCACTTTACCCATCCGATGGGAAGAGGGTAGCGTGAGTGAGTAAACAACCTGCTTCTGGAACGCCAGTTCCGTCGTCACTGAGTAAGCGCGGAAAAGTTCTGAAATGTCACGATATGAAACCTTTACTCCGGAGTCAGATCGAGCAAATTTTGGAACACAGCCTGTACGATGTCGCATTTCAACTCGACAGTGCCAGGTATGCAGTGAGCAATCCTAAAGGTTAGAGATGGTCAGCATGCGAGGAAATCAGTCCTTGTCTCGTTCGTTCCGAACCGAAAAACGGAGAACACAAAAGCATGTTTTTTTCTGACGGTGAAAGAGGGTAGCTTGTAGGTGCTTCGTTATTTGCACCAAATTGTCGAGAGTTTATCGTCGCACGGGGATTTACGCATCTCTACGTCGTAAACGGCGACGACCAAAGGTGGCAGTTCCCTGTGGGCACTTGCACCTCCCGTGCTGCGGGTGCCTTTTGGCTCCGGGCAGACGGCCGTGCGACGGACACACTCTCGTGCGCAGGAGATGGAGCCCAAGCTGCGCTACGAGCGCATCCTCAACGACATGCCGGAGATCTTGCGTACGGATGCGGCCAGCTGCATTGCCGTGCACCCCAAGGTGAGGGTCGGCTCCGCGCATCGACGCATCCCGGGCTCTCTTTATTTTTTTTTCTTTTCAGATTGCGTGCAATGAGTTGAGGGTTAAGCACAAGGCAGTTACCTTGTGGTGCCTGGACACGGCTCTGACTCAGCTCGGCGACTGCAACTTGCAGTCGGGAGTCGTTCTAGATCGACTGCAATTGAATCTGGGGCCAGACAAATTTTAGGGGACCACATCCTTAAAGGCTTATGCATCTGTCTTGGAGCAGATTGTGGCCACGATCTGCGGCCAGTGGTGGCAGTCGACGAAAGGATTTTGGTCGATAGCTGGTCGTAGAAGGTTGTTCTTTCTAAAAAATGAAAGACGTTTACAATCCTCTGCAATGCCGAATCAGAGCGCAGCTCTTGTGGAAGAGGAGGGGAGGGTATGCCCGTGTGACATCACGAGGTTGACTTCGCTCGTGACGTTACATAAAACGTCATTATGGGAAACATCCCATAATGCAACACGCGGTTACGCCGACGGCGACGCCGCTCAACCCGGAAACGGGCGCCTAAGAGCTGCGCTCTAAAGTGAAACCTAGTGTGCAGAGTGTCTTTGACAGTATGATGTGCCAGGAGTGATTTTGGAGCGAGTCGTGCTCGGTCGTAACCAGAGTGCATGTGCAGTTCCTGGCTCTGGGCATGCATTCTGGGGCCATCCACATCCTGGACCATCAGGGGAACGTGAGCAAGGAACTACGCCTGGTAAGCGGACTTGGGGTCGTCGTTTCCTCTATTTGTTGACTCTCAACGCTGCTAGAGGGGCCCCACGGTGCCCACCGGCTTTCGGGGTATTCTAGAAAGATATTGCTTCCATTATTTCCACGTAGCTGTTGAGAAGCAGACGCGATTGTCCACTGCTTGGCGGCATTTTAACGGCTCCGAATGAGGGACCTACTGTAATATCCAGAGAGATGTCCCACCCCTGAAAGATAACTCACCCCCTAATTCTGGTTAGATTTGCAATTTTTTTCTAAACATTAAAAGATAGCACACTCTTAATAATCCTAGTGTTTGAATCAATGATGGCTTTGATATTGTTCACAATTGTTCCCACAGTCTATGGTGTCAAGATCGGTGGGACAAAAGGGGTCACTCGTTGCGTCGGTCAGCAACAGCTCAATGCTCTTGCTTCGACTATTTCATTCGGATGCCGTCTGTTGATACAAAATGAAAAACTGTGTCCCGATGGGCGTTTCTAACGTACGGCACATGGAGCCAAAGGCACCGTTACGTAATATGGAGTGTAAAATGGGTGCATTATAAGTTGGATGCAGATACCACCAGCAGGTTTCAGGTGCAGTTTCGGATGGAGGCACATAGTCTGCGGATGTTTCGGTGCTTGCACTTGCGTTTAGCCAGTCCAGAGGTCGCCAGCTGTCGATTCTGGCAGTGGGACCCATGCGGAGTACCGCTGGGTTCGGAGGAAGGCGCTTCAGAAATACATTGGATTCTGGGCAAATCGTGGCTCTGTTAGTTCTGACGTGGCTCATGACTCTGAGGGTGTCCTTGAGGCACTGTTGAACTGTGGCAAATGACGTCTGCGTTTTCCTGCAGCACAGCCTGACGGTGCACCAGATCAGCATCGACGAGAAGGGGGACCACTTCGCCAGCTGTTCGAGCGACGGCAAGGTGGGCGGTCAACAGCCACTTTGAGTCTGACGAATTTCACGAATACTTGGGTGTTGGAGAGCACTGGGGCTCTTTGTTTGAAACTTTTCTTTGAGCTCATTTGTACGCTTCTCTCAAGAGTGGTGACAAATTTGCCGTTTAGTCGAACCTCAGTTCAATCAAATTTTCAGTTAACAATTTCTCGGGTATCTATTCTACTTCCATCAAAGATTACATCTTTTTTTTTTTTTTTTTGTGAGACTGCGAAATAGTTTTAAGTCACTCTTTAGCTTTAACAAAGTTTTCACCCATCACGCACGCTTCAATAAACAAAAAGGGAAAAGACTGCTCAAGCAGGTTCTAACAGGTTTGTCACCCTGTTGCAACTGGGATCCACCTGATCCCAGTTCAACTGGTTTATTTTCCACATTCCCAGTTGTAACTGGGATCCAACTGGTCCCCAGTTCAACTGGTTTATAATAAATACTTGTGCGATTTTTAACTGAGATTCAACTGGTCCCAGGTCAGCTGGTTTATGGAACACATTCCCAGTTGCGGCTGGGAATGTGTTCCATAGACCAGCTGAATTGGGACCAGTTGAATCCCAGTTAAAAATCACATAAGTATTTATTATTATAGCTTCTCATATTGTGGGTCTGCCCCTGGCCATGTTTTTTAATGCTTATATCGAAAAGCCTTTCAGAAGGAACTCTTTTCACCTTAAAATGCCATGCTAACGCTATAGATAAGTATGGAGCACAAATGGTTCTTCAAAAGCTGAAAATTTTGGGTTTTATATTTTTAGACAATTGGTGAGATAAAAATCCAGAGCTTTGTTCCAAGGGGGTAATTGAGGAGAAATAGAGTTTATCGAAAAATTACTCTGGATTCGGGTTTTTTGGGTTCTATTTAGTAAGACGTAAAAGTGTAATTAACAATAAATAGCATCAGTTATTTTAATTATATAATTTTTTTATTTTTCACAGGTTTTTGGGTTTTTCGATTTTTCATAACCATCGTTGCTTACAATATCTTCTGCATGGGCACCATATCTAAATTGAGAAAACATTCTCTCCACATCAAAGCTTATGCATACATTTTAATGCACAACAACAGAAACAGGATGTCAGCTTGTCTTTTCGAAATAAAGTTTTAAAGGTGTCGTTTCTCATCCTTCTTTTTTTGCAACATTTTGGGGCTCGATATTATTGCAGTTAACTCAAGCCAACAGAATCTAGCTTTGTTTTCAAGGTCTGGAGCTAGCGCACGTGCCTACCAATCTTTTGCTTGCTAGAAAAGGTTTTCGGAGCAGAGTAATTGTAAAAATGGTAGTACTCAATTTCCGAATTAGGAGAAAAATTGTGCTTCATTAATTTTCAAGAAACATGTTCGAGGTGTAAATATCTGCAAATATTGGGTTTTACTGGAAAACAACCCTACCTACAATTACGTTCTGGGTGTAACGGAGAGTGTGCGATGAGAGAAAGAATCGAGCTGTTAAAGGAGCGCTGACCCGGGCAATGCTGGAACTGGAACTGCTCGAACTCTCTTGGGGCTGGGCTGGAGGCCTTTGTTTTCATGTAGGGGGAAACAGAATGAAGGGCCTAGGAGCCCAGGGGTTAGTTGTGATCCCAGACGATCGAATGTTTGCTGTAGCAGAGTTTACACTACAACTGTCCTAGACTCTTTCGAGTGACTTCGTTGTGTCACAACTGAACCATCTTTTCAAAGTAGCGAATATATAAGAGCCAGCTAAAGTAGAGTTAAAAAAAAAACATAAACCTAAATTTTTTTTTTTTTTAATTTGAGGTTTTTGGTTTTAGAAACTAATTTACACCCTTACACTAAATTTGATAACCCTATGCCAAATAGTTACATTTATATAAAATATTTTCTACACATTGTGAGGCCGTAACAAAGTAAAGGAGATCAATGTTTGAATGCATTTTTTTTCAGTTCCACTTTTTGCTGAAAATTTCATGCGAAGGAATTTTTTGTTTGAAGGTAAAAGTTTTCTGATACAAAAATCAAGATGTTTCTGAACTGAAATTTTACTGGGAAATTGGGCTATCTACTTTATTTCGTTTTAAGTTGAGGTCCTCTTTGAGAAAAAACTATATTTTCAAAAATTGACATAAGAAGATATGTAGCTCATATTTTGAGGTAATAACTCTTTTTGAAATATTTACATTTGAGCGATAAAAACTAGATAGTTCGAAGTTTCATGTCCCCCACTTTATATTCAAGCAGTCAAAATGGTGCTTAATGATAGCTTCATTTGAATATCATAGCTTTCTTAACAAAGAGTGACACATCTTCTTATGCTGAAATGGTGCTTAATAGCTTTATTTGCATATCATAGCTTTCTTAACAAAGAGTGACACATCTTTTTATGCAGGTACGTAAAATAGTCCAAGAGAGGTGAAAATTACCACAATACACTTTCATCTAATGCTAAGTCTCCCCGGCAGATTTAGTTCTTATCACTTGAGTAGTTCAGAAGTGAAGACTCCTGCCAGTGTTCCCCCTTAAAGGGGCGGTGCAATGATTTTAACACTGAACGAATGTGCAGCTTGTGTTTTTTATATTGTTTACTTCAGCATAAGTAAGAGAAAAAGTGCCACCATACCCCAAAATACCTCTATTTCGCTGCGTAATCGTAAAATGAAAAACACTTTTTTTCCCAACCTGCGGCCACATGGTGGCCGCAAATGGAACCTGTGGTGTGACGTCATTCGGAGTGGTTTTTGTAAGTGATAGTGTTAGGCAATTGTAAGCTTGATTTAAGGTTAAGTTTAAAAAATCTTGTTGTTTAGGCATGCAGAAACGCTTCAAAAGCCTAATATTGCCGCTAAAAAGGTATGAATTATTTGTGGCGCCATCTACCGCAAGTCAACAAAACCTGCCGTCGCCGTCATCCGTCGACGCCCGAGGCGCCTACGGCGGCTACACGAGCAACCCGGACGTTTTGTCTTTCCCTCGCTCGACGGAGTGCGTTGGTCGTGGTCCGTAGTATTGTGGTATCGTTATTGTTCCTGGTGTCTCGACCTCGACTTCGACTTCGACTGCCCGCCGCGTCGCAAGCATCTTACGCTCGACGTCGCTCAGGCCGTCCGCCCATGACGCCATGTTGGTCGGGAATCGGCGGGAGGGCGGGAGAGCGGCGAGCCTGGCGAGCCGGCGAGCGCTGGGGAAACGGAAGCCAGAAGCACCCAACCGGAAACCAACGCCACTCCGAATGACGTCACAGGCGAAGCTGGTGCCGCTTCAATGTTGAGTTGAGGGGTGCCAGAGATACCAATTTCTTTTATTTTTTTAATGAAAACTAGGGCAAGCAGGAAAGAATAGTTTTCGGTCCTTCGTTTTATATGTGGCCGGGATCAATTCCCGCAATTAATTAGCCAAAGTCCGCAAATTGTTGCACCGCCCCTTTAACAATTCAGGTTGGGCGTATCACCATTTCAGAAATATGCACTGGTACCCCACCGTCTTCTCGGTACATTAGAGAAATTTTATGCATGCTACTTGAAAGAACTCCTCTCCTGCTTGCCTCCCATTTAGCGGAAATTTACCCATAGTGTAACGCGCGGTGACGTCGCGGTGACCCTCGTGACGTCATCATGGGAAACGTGCCATAATGCACTGCGCAGTTACGCTAACGGCGACGCCGACGCCGCTTAATCCGGAAATGGGCACCTAAGAGCTGCGCTCTAAAATATGTGTTCCGTCTATGCCTTTCAAGAAAGAAAAACAATTTTTCCTCGCAGTGTTTTTTAAAGGTGAAATGAAGTAAAGGGTGGACACTGTTGAAGCTTCCAGACCGGTAAACAGTTCATCTAGAGACTATGCCGTCGGCTGTCCTGCAGACGGGGAACTCGAGGGGCACTGCTCTAGACCCGACGGCCCGAACAGTCCCCCTCGGGATAGGAGGCCCCGCTCAGGGCGACCATTCCCTCGCAGGTGGTGCTGCACGGTCTGTACTCGCGCGACAACAACCAGCAGCTCACGTTCGACCGTGCTGTCGGAGCCGTGGCCATTGACCCCAACTTCTACCGGTCAGGCACCGGGCGCCGCTTCATCACCGGCAACGACAAGGTCTCTTCGCTCTCTAGATCTCTCCGTCGCGTGCCGCCCACCCCTCTCCGAGGACCGCCGCCGCAACGTGACGTTTCGGGTACTCGGGCAGAGATTGGAAGGCTGCTTTGCGCATTTGCGTTTGACCACGAGCAAGCGCGTCTCTCGCGATCGCTTACGACGAGAGAGGGGGTCGGTGGAACACACCGGCACCATCTGTCGGGCAGCCCTGGGAAGAACTAGATGGAAGGTTGCAAGACCATGTCCACGAAAAATGGTCGCTTATAACATTGTTCGAAAATAGTTCGAGCCCACGACGAAGGAATGATGCGCACAAAATTGGGGCAGAAACGCAGATGTGTTTCGGGGCTACCTGGTAGATTGCTCCGGCGTGTTGTCCCCTCGTAAGCAGTCACGAGAGATCACAACGTGCTCGGTCATGGCCAAATACAAATGTGTGGCTTTTAGATTCTCGGACGGGAGCGTGGGCGCCGTCCCTGCATGCTTGGAAGGAGTCGCGAAAAACGGTGGCGGGCTTCAGATTGTAGATGAAGGAGGGGCATTGTCGTCCGTCTTCCCCTTCTTTCCTTTGAGCTTCCGACGTGTTACAGAAGGCTACCGAGTAAATCTGCCAAGTGCTAAAAAATCCAAACTAAAACCGAGGTTAAAGCAAGAAAAAATGGGGCAAAAACCTTGGAGTTCTAGGAGGCGGTGATTACGAGTGCAATGCAATGATTCTGGTGCTGTTGCTCCAAATCTGGTTTGCCCAGTTTAAGCCTGCGCTTCTGGTTTTTTAAGCAACGGCGAAGTGGGACAAACATACTCAAAGTTGGGAGCGGTGTGTCTACAACAGTACATATGTTAGGTTCTGATTGGGTGTTTGCATCGATGAACTTGGGGCATATGAATGCCCACTCAGTTCAGTTCATTCACTTCCCAAAATGAGACGGGGGTTGCAAATGGGGGGCGAGAAAGCTGCCACAATATAATGTGTCAAACAGTTAACAGGCAATGGATAACTGAAAACAAAACATTGTGTGCAGTGCTGTCTTCTTGGAGGAAATAAAAATAATGGCAAGTACAGCGTCAAGGAAATTGGAGGTGCCTCTCTTTCATATAGCAATAACAGTACATCACCCTGAAATATGTCCCCGTAGACATGCTTTACTTTTTCAGTTTTATCGTAACATTTGTTGTTGTAACCATAGAAGAAGTTACTATAGCTAAATTGGTATTTTTTCTTGAGTACTTATTCTTTGACTAGTACTATTGTATTTATCCAATTCAAGGAATATACCAAGCCATTTAACGTGAAATACTGCCCCCTGCAAAAACGACGAAAAGAAACACCCACCTCATTTAGTGAGCTTGTCCTAAGCTTCCTGTATTCTCCAGGGCCTCTAGGATTCCACACGTGCGTCCACAGACCAAGAATGTATGGACTGCAAACTACAAATGAAGGGCAGCCCAACACTCATCTGGCTGTCGAAACACATTGGCATTGTGCCATTGTATCGGTTGTCATCGCTTTATATGCTTCATACTACGACACTTAAATAAAATGGTCGACAAAGACGAAATGCCGACGCGCAAAGATGAGTGCAGAAAATGTTGGCCGTGTGGGACGATGTCCTCTGAAAATGTTGACAGCGGGAAGCGGGGGGTCAGGGTGCGCAGCTGTGCGGAGGCTTACAGGGAAAGGCTAATTCTGCGTACTATGGGATTTTGGTACAACCGAACTGGTATTAAGGCGCCATGCTTTTTCGTACGAGCCATTCAACTTGTGACGTCCAAGACGTCGCAGGTTGCGCAGCTGCCATCATTCCGACAAAGTGAAAGTGCAAGTTGTACGAGGGTGAGAGTGCATTTTCTTCCCGGCAGGTGTCGCTGTACGAGAAGTCGTTCCTGTCTCGCTACAAGGTCACCATCCTGCACCAGGGGGAGGGTCTGACCCGAAACATCACCTGGAAGGGACGCTTTGCCGCCTGGGCCACAGACCTGGTACGCATTTCTTTGGCTGGCGTGCCTTTCACCTAACCGGTCCGTCCCGGCCCTTCGAGTCGGCTTACTCGGTCACATTCTTTTTGCAGACGATCATTGTGTACGACATGCACGTGCTGGACATCATCTCCATGATACGCAGAGACCACGACCCCCTGTGAGTGATGGCCTCCTGGGGCCCCTTTTTCCGGGTACCTCGGCGCTCTGCCACTGTTGTTCTCCGACTTCTCGAGGAACGCCCCTCGAACGACGGACGGGTAGTTTCCACCCCCTTGGGCATCGTTAGATCTGCACGCAGACCTGCGGGCTTCGTTGGGCGCGATGCGCATACCAGGGTGTTTGGCTCGTAGCTGCACATCATTGGGGGGCTCAGACTCGCAAAGACATTGCTTAAACTGAAAGAAACATTTACTCGGGGCAGGAATGATAGAGAGGGTTTGGGGGAATGCCCGTGTTCCTGGGAACCCGGCTTCTACCAGAACGTCAAGTACTAGTCCGCTGCCTAGCCCCAGCTTTCGGGGGGCCCGTCTCTAGTGCTGTTCAAGCTGCCGCGACTGGGTTTAAGGCAAGCGAGCCAGTTCATCCGAGTCGCTCGAAGGCTGCCCCGCCAATTGGAGCGACGGCCTTCTCCGGCAGGATGAAGAGTGAGCTGCACCGGTGCTGTCTGAGCTGGCAGGAGGAGCGCACGCTGCTGCTGGGCTGGGCAGATCGGGTCAAGGTGTGCCTCATTAAAGAGCGGGACCCCAAGCTGGTGCAGCAGGACCCCCGCCAGAGGGACCTGCCGGACAACTACGTCGAGATCGGTGAGGGGGCCCGCAATCCTCGTGGGTGGCTCTCCTCTTCCTTGTCTGTGGCATCCCGAGCTCCGTGGGCCATCCGTTGGCCGTGCGTCAGCGGTTTTTGCGTTGGCTACGGTGCTGCGTAGCCCCGTTCGTCTGTGCATCATTATACTCACCTTTGCTCGAGACACATTGTTCCCGCTTCGACACTTGTCTCAACCCCTTAACTGGGGAGTGCTTTTTTAGGTGCGCCGCTCTTCGGTTGGTCTTGGGGAGCGCATTTTTAAACGCTCATTTTATTGCGCGAGAGGAAGTGCCATTTATCCCCAAACATTGGAAAAATTTTGCTTTAGAAACCAGTTCAAAGATGGCAGTGCAAAAAAGTATTGGCAAAACTGGAACGAAAAAAAGTCAATTTTTCCATTATTTTTTGGTCACGGAAGTCCACAGGGGAAGCGTAAAGTGCGATCGCTTCAGCGCCGCTGAATGTCTGGACACGCCATGTTTTACCTCCACCGGGAGTAACATGGAGGCATTCGAGGAAGAGGTTTGGCTGGCACCGGCCTCCAATCGGCGAGCAGACGAGCGCTGCATCAGTTTTCGGCTGGCAGTTGGCCCGTCTACTATCGTCACTGGTTGGAAACCGGACATGGTTGGGTGGCAGCCATGTAACACAGCCTGTGTTCAAAACTTAGCTATTGCGCTTTTAAATCATACTCAAATAATATTGCGACCTCGTTTTATCCCAACACTGTCCCCGATGGCACGAACGGAACCCCTTTTAACGGAGAGCTCCCAGAGACTCGCGAGGGAGGGGAGAGGGCTGCCGAGCCTTGCGCGCAGGTCGCGTAGGCTTATGTAGGGATTTATATTTGTACGTCGAGCCCGCGACTAGATGAGATCGATCGATCGATTTTTTTCGTCGCAGTGTCCATGTTCAAGACGGACTTCTACGTGTGCGGCCTGGCCGCCCTCTGCTCGGGCAGCATCGTGGCGCTGACCGTGCTCAAGAGCAGCGAGGATGTCACGGTGAGTTGCTCTCTCCCGACTGGACACGTCGGGCTTGGGCACCATTCCAACTCTCCAGCTCTGGTGGCCATTGCATCATCGCGGGGCTTCCTGGCGGCTGGAGCCTCGCTCCCATTGGCCGGGCTGTAAGCGATGCGACCGTGGAAACAGCTAATGGCATTTGATCGGAACTCGCCGCAGCACATATACCGGTGCATAAACAATCACACTGAGATTTAACGACCCAACGACGTTGTAAATTGTTTTGGGCGTAATGATCACCTACTTTCATCTAGCAGTAATTGACTACAATTCATAGTTAAGCAATCATAGAAGCAATTTCTAAGATGACTAGTTCCTATTATTCTGGCTGTAAGCAAGCTCGGTAGCTGAGGGCTGCTACAAGCACTTTTGAGATCCCCAGATGCCTCCAAGAGCCACCATTGCCCAATGCAGTTGGAGTGAACTTGTCTCTTAAAAGCTTGGTATGCCGTGCGGTTTCCTAGAAGATGTGAAAGGCACTCATTTCCGGATGCGGGGTCTCACATTTTTTTAACGGTTATTTGGAAAAGATTTGAGGACATTATAAGCTGCTATTCCTAGTGCGTAGATGTAATCTTGAAAAGTCTGCAAAACCCTTTGGTCTAGTTATAGTGGGTTGGAGGGGTTTTACCCAATAGAGGGCGCCACGTGCCAGCAGTTGCGAGAGGCCTGCACCGCTCCCGCGAGCGGCTCTCCGCACTTCTCTTCTCGCAGGAAGGGAGCCGTCCCCAGTTCCGGCTGATAGAGCCCCACATGGATGACTACGTGGAGCAGTCCAGCGACATCCTCTCCATCCGGGGCTTCCGGGCATACCGCTGCAGCGACTACCGCCTGGGTGAGCCTGGCCACCCTTCGGGGTGGAGGGAGGTGGCATTTGGAAGTCTGCGTGTCAATTGATTCATAATTTTATTTGCATCTGTACAAGTGCCATTTGGCAAGCCACTCCTTTAGGAACAGCCTGCCGAACCATCCCGTGAACAAAAGAGTGTTTGCGAGGCGGAGAAGTTCTTCCGTCTGCCGCGATAGATAGGGTGGGTGCTGGGTATGGGCGAAACTGCGAAAACTAAAGCCACTGTGAAAGTGCCGAACGCGGTCAAAACCGAAATGTTTTTGCCGCTCCATGGCGTTTATCTGTACTCGTGCGAGTGGCCTAATTTCTTGGTCTTTTTATAAAGTCATTTTAACAATAGTTAGGTTTGAGTGAATTACGGGGCATGCTATGCCTAAAAATTGTAGCGTGCTGTGTTACAAATCAAGTATGGCTAGAGACACTGATCTTTACTACCACAAGCTGCTGTCCAAAGAAAATCTTTGGGCTGCCTGGTAGCGGCACATTTCGTGACAAGACGCCGACAAAGCGAGCCGGTTGCTGCCAACATCCAGGGCCATTGTGTGCTCACTGCCAATGACTCGGTAAACATTGACAACAAGGCAATTGCTTGATATGTTTTGCGAATGACAGCAACATCATTTTTTAGGATACAACATTTCTGAAATTCTAATGACGAGCAGTCTATTTCTAAAAACTCTTAATGTGTGCATGGGTTTGAATTCGTTAGTAAAAACTGTTTTGTTTAGGTCGAAGAGAATAAACTTTACAATAATTAAGCTTTTTCAATAGACTCGTGTTGTTTAGACATGGTAAAATGAAGCAGTTCAAATCGTGGATAGAAAGCTATTAAAAATTATGGGTATAATTTTCAAGCATAAGAATACATTACTCTTGTGTGCTATATTTACTTTTTGTTTGTACGGAGAAACATCACTGTTTCATATATTCAATTTTTTCATGTATCGCAGAAAAACATAATTTGTCTAATATGCAATCGGAGGCACTGCCGGCTGGCAAGAGTGTTTTCTCGTGGAAACTCAAGGTTCCTTGTGAAGGTTCTATCCCGGGAAGTGCCTGTGCCGTGCGTGTTGCTGGGGAAGCGCTGAGGTGTGCTTCTTACGTGCAGAGAGCCTCCCCGAGGAGGGTCTGTTCTTCGTGGTCAGCCCCAAGGACGTGATCCTGGCCAAGCCCCGGGACGAGGACGACCACCTGGCCTGGCTGCTGGACCACCGATGCTTCGAGGTGGGGCTCGCTCACTCCTTGGCTCCCCTCGGGGAACACGCTCGCAAATGCAAGCGCACATCCACAAGTTTGCGTTCGCCAGAAGCTCTTCGCGTCTTGCTAGCATCTGTCATTTTTCGGCGAGACCTTGCATCTTAAGCATAAGATGTGTGCACGTCCAAACTGTCTGATCCGACTAAACGATGCAGTAGAAAGATGGCTGCTCCGACTCGCCACGCACGCCATTTTGAAACACCTGCTTTGCCATGTGTCATTTTGTTCGGCTCAACCCAGTTCCGGTGTCGCTGCCCGGAGGCAGCCCCCTGCGTCTGCCTCAATTATTTTGACTGCCATGTCGTTATGTAACAAATATCTGGCTTGTGTAAGCACCGATCCGACATTTCGCAACAACCAAACCTTTTGGATCTGGCCATCATTCCGATGGCTCGTAAATCGGATCAGACGGTTTCGACGCACGACAGTGTTGATGCACGCTTTAGGCTACCTACCGAGTGGGAGGGTGCCATTGGTATAGTGCTTATGGGTACAATCAGCTCCACAGGCCCCGACCCCGTCGCTTTGACTTGCACGAGACGCACCACATGTTCCAAGGAGGGTGCAACGACTGGAGGCTTTGGTTGCAAAAGAGGCAAGCTTCGCAGGAACCCATTAAGAAAGAATAATGCGATATGGATGGACAAGGGCAGATCTTTGAAAGATGCTGCGTTTTAGGCCTTGTTCATTTCATGTTCTGCAAGTTGTGTGCAATGTTCTCTTTAATGCAGGAGGCCCTGACGGTGGCCATGTCCAGCAGGAATCTCAAGAGGCATACTCTGCTGGTGAGTCGAGCTTTCTGAGCTGCTCCCTGCTGTGGCAGATGTTCGTTGTTGACTCTCAGCATTCATGTTCTTTGCGTATGATGCGATGGCCTTTGCTCACAAACACGTTTATTCCCAACACCAAACTCTACCAGCCTGGGTTTGTGCAATGGGGTGAGGCTAGAGAAATGAAACTGTTTCATGCTTCTTAGAGGTTTTTTTTGCTGGTACAGTATAGACCACTTACAACGTAACCGCTTATAGTGCAGGACCGGGTATAACGCGGTTTTTTTAAACCACCGGTTTGCCTCCCATAGAACTCCATGTATTTACATACCGCTTAAAATGCAGGCGCGCGAAGGGAAATATCGGTTATGGTGCGGTTTTTGGCACAGCCCGCCGACCGCGCCGACGACCGGAGCAGCGAGCACGCTTCCCTGTGCGACACTAGATAACGGCGCTGACGGCGCGGGGCGAGGTTGTTGCTCGAAGAAGTGGGGAGAAGCGAAGAGAGAGGCTTCAGTAGGGACGCACGCACGTGTCGTTCACGTGCGTGCGTCCCTCCGCCCCTCCGCTGCGTGGAAACAAAGAAACAAACAACCGCACCGACAGACCAATCGCAGATCGAGGAGAAGTGTTCGCGCGCGTTGCATGCCGGTCGCGGGCCGGCTGCTTCTATCGCTTCTATCCACAAACATGGCGTCGGTTGTGATTGTCGTCGTAGACTGCGTTCATCTCATCGTTCTGCGTAAAAGCGCTATCCTTGACTGTGAATTTTCGTTGTGTGTCGCTATGATAACCCAGCACGTACTAAAAGGGAAGATCCACCTACTCGTGCGGCGATGTCGTGGCGGCGCTCTCAAGACTGCAGAAACGCCCGTGTCGTCGTGTTTGTTTACTTCGACTACAGCGGTGATTTCTAAGCATTTGTGTCCTCGAACATCGCCCGGATTTCTTATTTGGCGCATTTCATGCGTGTGCTCAAGTTCGAGGTATTACTGGCGCGTACCGTATGAAGGATGCGAATTTTCACGCGTTTTCATCTCCGGAGAAAAGTGATTAGGGTTAGCAATCCTGACCGCTCGCAACGTCCGTCCGCAACCCGCGACGCCGTTAAAAGGCTGCGCCAGGCAAAAGCCGCTCATTTCTTTCAAAACGTGTGACACACTTGAGACAGAACTGTACTAGTCTGGTGAAATAAAGACTTTCCTCAAACTAAGCTTTATTTTTCATCTAACATAAAATAAATTCTTTTACGAAGGTAAGTTGTCTCATGAAATGTATTTTGGGCTGAAAAATTGATGTTTTGGTTATAGCGCGGTACCGCTTATAGTGCGGATTTTCGCGACTCCCGCGACATACGTTATATGCGGTCTACACTGTAGTGTTTGGAACAGTTGATTTCGATTTCGAGATTGCTCGCACTCGCATCGACCTCGAAAGAATAGTGATAATTTTTCTCTTGATTGTACATGTATCGATGCGGCTCACAATTTAAACTAGCACAATTTTGGAAAAATGTGTGCTAGTTTAAATTAAATATTTATTGAAGCTGTACAGTTGAGTTAACATGAACTTATCTGCGCGCCATATTTTTCCTTTGTTTCACAAACCAGGTGACGTTTAACCTATATTTTAACATTCTTAAAACTTGTAGGCTGCTCCCAACGTGCGCCAAGATTTTTCTGCTCCCATCTTGCTCCAAACTGCAGTTTTCTTCTGCTCCCAAAATTGTTCCAAAGCTGCTTTGCCTAGTTTCATCCCTGCTATTAGAAAGCATGAGTGTGCACTACACCCTTGCCCGTGTCCGGCCTGACCCCATAACAACGTCTGCCACGCGGCCCGAATCCGGCTGCGCATTAGGAAAAGGTTTTCCGAATACAGTAAAACCTCGTTATAACAAAGTTGAAGGAGCGGTCATAATTATTTTGTTATAGCCATTAGTTTGTTATAGCCAATGTCCATTTCTTCCCACTATAGCAACAAGGGGAATTATGATTGCTTTGTTATATCCATTAGTTTGTTATATCCCATTTTGTTATAACGAGGTTTTACTGTACACGACTTGGCCCGTGGGTCCTTTCGGGTTGGCAGGTCTCGCGTTCTAGCCCAGGCGCCTCATAAAGGTGCCATTAACGGGACTCCACGAGTTGATGGTGCGTGTGGCGGGGTTGTCCCAGGGCGTCGGGCAGCGCTACCTAGAGCAGCTGGTGGAGGAGCAGCGCTACGCCCGGGCAGCCGAGGTGTGCCTGGCAGTGCTGGGCACGGAGCGGCAGCTGTGGGAGGCGGAGGTGTTCCGTTTCGCCCAGCTGCACCAGCTGCGAGCCCTGGCTCCCGTGCTGCCCCGGGGCCCGCACCGACTGGGCCCCACCGCCTACGAGATGGTGCTCAACGAGTTCCTTCAGCTGGACCCCCAGGTGCGCCCTTTGGCCACGCTGATCGCATTCGTCGGCGGTCCTAGGAAGCTCTCATCGAAAAACCTTGCAGAAGTGAATTGAGCGATACGGCACGTCGGACTCATTTTAAAGACCTTTCTTTAAGGAGAAGCCGCGACGAGGTGAAGGAGCGAAAGACGTTGCGAGTGCCGACGGAAGTCCCGGAAACGGGAGTCTGCCCTAAGAGGTGAGCGGTCGCAACTCTTCTCTCGCAGGGCTTTCTGTCGCTGGTGTCGGAGTGGGAGCCAGACCTGTATAGCGTGCCCACGGTAGTGAATGCCCTGCGGGACCGGCTGTCCCACGAGCCTACGAGTGAGCCCTTGCTACGCGCCCTGGCAAAGCTGTACACCCACGAGGCCAAGTACGACCTGGCCATCTCCATCTACCTCGAGTGAGTGCCCTCCCTCCCCTCCCTTGGTCGCCGCTGAAGCCTACTTGCCCCCCCCCCCCCCCCCCCCCCCCCTGCAGAATCGGGGCTTCGGACGAGGTCTTCTCCCTGGTGGGGCGGCACGGCCTGTACGGCGTGGTGCGAGAGAAGCTGCTCACCCTGATGCAGCTGGACCAGAGGCAGGCCACGGACCTGCTGGTGGCCAGCACGGCCCAGCTGCCCGTGGACGCAGTCGTGGAGAGGCTACGGGAGCGGCCGCAGCTCCTCTACCACGTGCGTGGCCGAACCGCCTCTTGGGCCTCCGCGAGCGGTGACAGATTTCAGACGGTCATCTGGGGACCATGAATCTCCTCCCTCAGCACTTTTAACCACGATCCTCGCGCGGGGTGGCCGGTTGCACTCTGGTTGGGTTAAGAACCTGTACCTTAAAGTGAAACTGTTAGTGAGGAACCAACTACAATGGTTGAAGAAGCCTCTTGAAATGTTGGCTGCCACTGTGAGGTTTTGAGAAGGTGCTTTCCCAAAGTCGCTCTTCTGTGGCGATTGATAAAAAAATCCAACATAGAGTGGCTTTGACTGCCCAAAGGGTTCTGTTGGCACTTGTCAAAATCTTACTGCATAATAGTACTTTCTTTCTAAGGCCGACCATTACAGAGTCGTTTCATTCCTGAGGATAAAATTGTGAGCGATCGCCTTCCCCGAACAGTCGCCTCACCGTTTTTCTGGATATCTAAACATTTGTGGACACTGCCGAAACATTGCCCATCAAAATTTCTCGAGTTGCCATATTAAGATTAGCGTTCTAGGTTTCCAAACTGGCTGTGCCTCCAATGTCATTGCACACTTCATTTAACTGCTACACAGTGCAGTAAAAAAAGTGGTAAACACGCATTAAACAAAACTGCAATAAGCGAGTTCTCGAGATTTATTTACCGACGCTAGTCTCATTTGTAATCAACCCAATCAAGGACTCTCAATTTTTTATATATTTATCAGAAAGACTTATGAGCAGAAACACCGCAAAATAAATGGCTAGACCATTGCAATTGGTCTAGCTATTGCAATTGCAATGGCTATCGCTAGACCATAGCAATTGCTGGCACGCATACGTACTGCTGACCTGAGCATTGACTGTCACATGGGCCACCCCGCCTGCATCTCAAGTTTTTCTTATATGCGTGGAAACTGACTTTCCGCTTGGATGAATAAACCTGCTCGCAATAGTACCTCGAAAGCGGGGAAAGGGCCGTGCAGAAGGAGAGCGTGGTGTGAGGGTGCCTGCCTGCTTGGGTGCAGTACCTGGACGCGCTGTTCGACAAGAGCCCCTCGCTGTGCCAGCAGCACCATCTAGACCTGGCGGAGCTGTACGCCGAGTTTGCACCCAAGAAGCTGCTGCCGCTGCTTAGGGCCTCCAACAGCTACCACCTGGAGAAGGCCCTGGCTCTGTGCCGCCGCAAAAACCTTGTGCCGGAGGTGGTCTTCCTGCTCAGTGAGTGGCACGTTGGCCGTCCGCCTCTGTACGTGCCTCCGGCGACCAAACTTGAGTCCCATCTGCACACGAGAGTAACGACATCTGTCGGAGGGCGCTGCTCGCCATGTCGGGATAATTGTTCGGCAGGCGAGTTGCGAGAGATTGCACGTTAAGACTTTTAAAAAATGTGCTTGGTTGAGGAGGAGGAGAACGAATGCAAAACGCTAGACGTACGGGAACAGTAAATTTTGAGTTTGAATTCGGAGCGAATATTAATTTTCGCCAGAATATTAATTTTCGCCAGATAGTATTTTCGAATTGAATACCAAATGGTTTTTCTGGGCCTCTCACCACTGGATTGTGCTTAAACAAAAATTCAGCTGAACTTGTGAAGGTTTTTCCCGAGCTTTCACTTGTCGATTTCTAAGCTAATTTTAATCTAAAGATATTTATGAACCGTGGCTGGAGAAAGTCCAATGCCTGCATTAGTCTTTTCATTTTACATAAAATTAAGCCTTATTTTATACGTAGTTGGGGGATGTATGAATCTTTTCTTAAATCTCAAATTTGGGAAAAGAAAAAGACAATCATGAATGATGAATGCAAGTTGCGAGGACATCTCTGCCTAACCAATATTTTCACATAATAGCCACAGTTTTAATTTTGAAGATGTTAGTGTATCATTGACATCAACATTCACAAAGTTTCCGTCTCTTTTTAAATACACCAGACACACATACGTACCATCTTGCTTTGAAAGTGTGTTTTCCTTCCAAGCTCGCGCCTGCAATATTTGTACTTGTTGAAGTGTCGATTGCGACGAGTCAGTCCCGTTAAGCGCACTTCTTACCGAGCACCGGTGCACTACATAGAAGCAGCAGCCGCAGAAGTGATTCCTGAGGATGTTGCTTCTCCACGGTGCACCGGTGCTCGGTAAGAACACGCTCAAAGAGGCTAGCTCTTTGTGATCAACGCTTAGAAAATATGCATATTGTGGTTTATCTGGAAACGATTATCAATAGTCTATTATTCGAAACTACAATTGGACAATTTAAATATTCGCACATCCCTACAAATTGCCTTCAAAGCAGAGGGGAGGCTACGAGCTGATGGCCCCAGGCAAGAAATGCCAGTAGCACGTCACGGCGCTCGGCATCTTTTTCGGATGTGTTCTTTGCATATTTTCACGTGCATTATCTGCCCCTGCACATATAACCTGCAGCCCCAACTTACTACTCAGAAAAAACAAGGAAATACCTTGCACTTGACCTAAGCACGCAAAGCAATGTCCAGATCTCGCGAGGAACCTTGAATACACTCATTGCTGCAATCACTGCAGCTATCTCAGGTGCTGCTTCGTAATCCATTCCGTCGAGGCAATTGCCGACGCAGCACTTTTTGAAACTGTTATGCACCATCTCGTCTGGAAAGGTTGCAGTCACGCCGGATCAGTGTGGATACGGCATGACTGCAACCTCTTCTCTTCTCAATGAACTTTGCAAGCACTTTTTCAAGCTCGGGGTAAGCACCAGTCTTTCGTCACGGCTTCCTGTTTGCATGCTCATATTCTCTTTCTATTCTCGCACGTACGACTCGTCAGTGTCTTACGGCCACGGTTCCATCCTGCCGCTTGGTCTCTGATCTCTTCGGCAACGAATCTGACAATAGTCAGATTGTTTCCTTCGACGGCAATGTGCATTCGACGCACCGCGCGTTGCTGTCATATCGACGGCTCGGCTCGGCTCGGCTGCTTAGCCCGCAAAAACAATGCAAAGATGGCTACCCAAAAAAAGGAAGAGAAGGTGGAGAGAAGTCTCTAGAAAAGACAGAAGAAGAACTTGGGGGAATCTGTTCCGACGACTTTGCGCGCATTGCGCGCATTCGAATATCTTTCTTTCGAACCAGCATGGATTTCGAAAATCCCTCTCCACTGTGACCCAGCTTACAGAAACATTGCATGACTTCACCACGTCTATGAACAACAGAGGGCAGATCGATGCCTTATGCCTAGACCTATCGAAAGCTTTCGACCGAGTACCCCATCCTGAACTTATAAATAAATTACTGAAACTGGGTATAAACCATAAAGTTATCCTGTCGATCAAGGCCTACCTTACAAATAGAAAACAATTTGTAGAAATAAGTAAAACAAACTCTTGTTATGTCCGCGTTCCCTCGGGCGTTCCGCAGGGATCCGTTTTGGGACCTGTTTTATTCTTGTGCTATATAAACGATATAGTGGAAAATATAGGACCCTCTATTGCGGTGCGCCTGTTTGCAGATGACTGCTTGTTGTATTCAGTTATCTCTTGCCACGATGATCAGGTCCGGCTTAATTCGGCACTGCAGACAGTAGAAAAATGGTGTAAGGAGTCAAAAATGAAAATTAACTTAACTAAAACTATACATTGTACTATAACTAACAAAAAACAAAATATTCTACCATTCGTATACAAGCTTGGAAACGAACCTTTAGTACAGGTGAACGAGTTTAAATATCTTGGCCTTACCATATCATCAAACTTAAGCTGGAAAACTCACGTTGACAATGTGTGCTCAGCTGCTAGGAAAAAACTCTGGTATCTCAAGCGCAATCTCAAGCTCGCTCCCCCTGAGACAAGACTAACTGCATATAAAGCACTAATACGGCCTACTCTAGAGTACGCTTCTATAATTTGGGATCCTTTTAGAGCCTATCAGATAAATAAACTAGAAAAAATACAAAGGATGGCAGCCAGATTTATATTGTCGAGATATCAGAGAACAGAATCAGTACAGGAAATGCTTAACTATCTCAACCTTCCAACGCTCTGTGACCGTAGAAAAATAGCACGCCTTAAATTCTTTTATATGCTACAAAATGGCCAATTTAATTTTAATACGGACCCTTACATAGTTGCTCGGCAGATCAGGCCTCTCAGAGGCAACCACTTAAACCACTACCAAATAGATACGGCAAATATTGATGCATATAAATACTCCTTTTTTCCAAGAACGATAACTGATTGGAACAGCCTACCACAAGAATTAACAACAGCAAATACACTAACCTTGTTTGAAAAAAGCATTCTGAACCTTTTTCAATGATATCTATCGAATCCTTAGTATTTCCTATTCACGTATAATCATGAGAAAATTGTGATGTTATTGTGTGATGTCTTTGCTTCGTCGCTGTTTGACGATTTATAAATTCAATGTCAAGCGCTATTTTTGTATGTTTGAATTGTTGTTGATACAGTGTCCTTGTTTCTTTTTGTATTTGGTCATATGTATTCTCGTGCCTTGTGCACCCCTGTAACAACCCTAACGGGTTAACAGTATACCTAAATAAAAAAAATAAAATAAAATAAAATAAAAATTGCCATGAAGCCGCACTGCCTGCCGAAATTCACGTATAATGTGCGCCCCCTAATTTGCTTTTGATTTTATATCAATTTTTATGCGGGTTGCACACGAGTCGGTATAGATTGGTGCGTCTCGGAAGGGCGTTGTTGGTGCACGCCTCGAGAGGGGTGCTTCGGAGCGCCCTGAGTGGACGGGTGCCCCTGCCCAGAGCACATGGGCAACAGCAAGGAGGCCCTGGAGCAGATCATGGGCCAGCTGGGGGACGTGCACGAGGCAATTGCCTTCTGCAAGGAGCAGGACGACCGGGGCCTCTGGCAGGACCTCATCGCACACTCTCTCGACAAGCCAGGTGGGGACCCTTCTACCACGCCAATGCCCTGTTGCGTTACCCACGCGCCAAGGGATTGGTGCGTGGGTAATGAACAGGAGATTCTTCGCCTATCGGATGCATTGATGTCAACAAACACACTGTCATCTGTGGTCTGCTTTTGGACAGTGTGAAATCGCCTAAGAATGGTCGCGTCGCTCTCCATGCTGAGTGAGCTTCGTAGGGCGCTTTTCCTTGGGCAAAAGGCACGCCAAAAGTGCCTGTAAAGGTTCGCAATTCATAAAGAATGGTTACTGTGGCGCGCCCACGACCAGCTGTGGGTGCGCGTCCATCAATGGAGACGTGCCACAGTACCTTGCTGTGGCACCTAATATGACATTTACACGAAGTGTGTAAATGCAAAAATTTTACCCCGCGTAATGAACGCACCCCTCAAACATGTGTCAATTTTTCAGGAAAATAAGTGTGTTTATTACGCGAGTAAATATGGCATTTTATTTTGTTTTAATTTGAAGTCCTCATTGAGAAGAAACTAAGTTTTCGAAAATTGTTGTAGGACAGATATGCATCTCATATTTTGAGGTATATCCCCCACTTTCCCCCACATCCCCCACTTTATATTCGCACAGTCAAAATGACGCTTAATAGCTTCGTTTGCATATCATAGATTTCTTAACGAAAAGTGACGCATCTTCTTATGCAGGTACATTAAATTGTCCTAGAAAGCTGAAAGTTTGCAGAATACACATACATCTGATGCTAAATCTCCCCTGCAAATTTCATTCCAATTACCTGAGTAGTTCAGAAGTTCTAGTCAGTGCCCCTTCAAGACGACTAAGGAAATTTGGGAACCTGGTTTGAGAACCCGTGCCACGAACAAAGTGCTTGAGCCTCTGGATTTGATCTCCCGTCGGGTGGTTGCAGCTTTCATCACGACCCTGCTGCACAAGATCGGCACGCACGTGGACCCGATCCTGCTCATCCATCGCATCCCCGAACAGCTGGCCATCCCCCAGCTGAGGGACTCCCTGGTCAAGATCATGAGGGACTACAAGCTGCAGGTGGGTCCCCCGGGGTGGCTTCTTTGCGTGCCCCGAGCGGGAGCACGACGGAGCAGTGTGTGTCATAACGGCGCATGACAAAACAGTACGCGGTCAAAACAGCACGCGACAAAATAGCACATTCCAAACCGCACGCGTCAAAACAGCATGCATCAAAATAGCTCACGACAAAACGGCTCTGCATCAAAATGGCACAGCGCCGAAACAGCCAGCAGGTATGTACTGTATGTTTTCTTAAGTATTCTGAGCTTGCATTTATGGCATGTCAAGAGAGCTTGTGTGATAATATTTCATATAGCCACCACTGTCTACGCACAAATAATTTGTAACCCCGTGAATATTTTAATTTTTACTGAGAGATGCGTTGGTACCTTCCAAGTTAATCATAATTACTTTCAGTGCCATTTTAAATGAACTATATTATGTAGGCCATTATTTTTTTATTAAGATACTACTTTGTGTCTTGAAATTTCCAAGCATCATAGAAGGCAACAATAAAGTGTTAAAGAGTATTGTTTATTTAATGTGGGCACTCTTTTCACATTGAGTTTGCATAGCGTAGGAAAAGCGGCAGCTCAACAGGTTGTCAATGAGGGGCTGTGTGTCAGACTTTGATGCTACATTTCGTAGCTTTTCAGATATCGCTGCATAGTGCTTTGAGCCTGACGCAACACTCCCTCTCTGACAGTCTATCTGCTTCTGTTGGGTGAGGCTTTGCTCTGTCTTCAGAGCCTCCACAAGACGGGATGAATGTTGAAACCCGAGGGAAGATTGAAAACTTACTTACGTCGAACCAGTTTACTCGAAACATAGCCTTCTCTGTTAGATTTGCATCTCTCATTGGCAGTATATCACTACACGTACTGTTATTGCGAGTCAAATATGCACAAGAAAAACAATTGGTATAAAACCAATACATATAATTTTAGTGAATGTGAGCGAATTCAATGGTTGCGAACATGATTGTACGGCCATACTATTAGGAAAAAATGAGAATCGCAAAAATAAAAAGTTTGACAGTATGAGGCCACCATTTACAACCATTGCTTATAATTGTCATTTGTAATTGCAGTATTTTGTTATCCCTATCAGCCTTCCTCTCTCCAGAGCCGGTAGGACTTGTGTATTTTTAATGCCACACAGCACGTTGTCGATGTGCTGTTTTCATGCCGTGCTGTTTTCATGCTGCGCTGTTTTGGCAGGCGCTCTTTTGTCAGTGTGTGGCATTTTGACGCACCACTTTTTTGTTGCAAGCTATTTTGACGTGCGCTGTTCCGTTGCTACGCTAATTAGAAGCTGTGCTGATGAGCGCGGTTTCGATGGTGCCGTTTTCTCGTGTGCTATTCTGCCGTGCGTCGTTTTGTCACGGCACCGCCCCGAGTGGCCGGCCCAGACGAGATTTTCGCGTTAGTATGGGTCGCGAAATGTGACACAATCTCCCTCGTTGCCCCAAGAATGCGGCCAGCATGCAAGTTGCTCCCGTTTGGCACTTGGAGCATCTAGGCTGTCTCAAAGCGCAGCCGGATTTGGCGGTCGGAGTGTTTGGTAGTGGTGGCGGGGAACTCCGATTGGTGCGTTTAGCGTCCATGGATGAAAAATAGTCCCCAAGTGGCAACATATTAGGCCACAGGAGCAGGTGAGTCGTGCCGTGCCATCGGATGTCGCAATCCCGGCGGTTCGTTGTACGACTAGGGGCGAACGCCAGTGTCACTGCCGTCCCGACTCCCAGCTGCCAAAGCTTGCGTCGACCGTCCGGCCGTGGAAGTCCGTTGCCGCCGTCGGGATTGTGGCAACCAATGGTGTTACGACGTCGGGTGGTGGAGGTGGAGGGAAGGGGACGTCGGAGACAGTCTTGGTCAGTAACTAGTTACTAGTAACGCGTTACCGGTAACTAGTTACTTTTTCTAGTAACTTTTACCTATAACGCATTACTCTTTAATACTGGTAACTTGTAACTGTAGCACTGCTACTTTTTTTATTGGGTAACTGTAACTGTATAGGCTGTTACAGCTACTTTTTTTTTCTACTATATAAATTAGAACCCACTGCCGCGGACATAGAGAAACTGCCATCTTGAAGTATTTTTTTTCCTAACTCCTCGCTGACAAAAAAAGAAGAAGAACAAGCATGGTTACGCATTAAAGAAATAAAAAATTGCCTGCTTTAGCCCACGACGGACAATGGATGACGGACAACCAGCACGAAACCGGGAGATAAAGGAAGCGGCGCCCGCGGTGGTTAGGGGCGCAAACAATGTCTGTTTTACCGACCATCTGTGGGTGTCGGTGGTAGTGCGATGTCTTTGAGTATTCCGTCTGGGCTAGCTGTGTCTGGGATATTTCCATGCTGCCGTTTGTACAACCAATTGTTCGCCGTTTCCTCATCCCTATTAGTTTTCAAGGAAGCCTTCCCCATATCGTGCAGAAAGCCGGTGGTTTTTCGGGTGAACACGACTTCCACAGGTGGCGTTTCGGACATAGACGCCGCGGTGGTTGTCATACACTAGTAAAGCACCAGAAGCTAATATTGTCCTTTTCCTCTTTATTTCTTGGAAGCTGCTTGATGCGCTATGTTTAGGCTTGCTTCCAAGAATATCCCATAAGGTCATTAAATGACCATCTCTGTCCTCATTTGTTTCGGAGTGAAAAATAAAGCAAAACGTTCATTGACGCGGGCCGATGACAATTTTGAAAAACGGTTGATTCTAAGTTATAACAATTATTGCAAATAAACTATGCACATCAAAATGCTGAAACGGCGGATGACGCAAAAAAGAAACACTCTTCGGGTTTAAATTTGTCTAATTTGTCAGTTTACCTTTCTTCTCACTATAGTGTAACAAACAAAATAGTATTATTTTGGTTTGTGATTCATTGTATCCAATTTTTGTACTGTAACAAGAAAGTAACGGCGTTACTGTTTTTGCAGTAACTGTAACTGTAACACACCACTTTTTGAAATTGGTAACTGTAACTGTAACAGAGTTAGTTTTCCCCCTGGTTAACTGTAACTGTAACACTGTTACTTTTTACTGGTAACGTGCCCACGACTGGTCAGAGATGAGCCGTCGTTTTGAGAAGTGCAGCCATGTCCCTCCCCCAGATCTCTCTGCGGGACGGCTGCAAGAAGATCCTGGTGTCGGACTGCATTGGCCTGCTGCACAAGCTTCACCGGCAGCAAAGCAGGGGCATCTCCCTCACCCGTGAGTGCCTTCCGCAACGCTCCCCATCATCCGGAACTGTGCCCGCCACTGTGCGGGATTGGATGTCGATTTCCCGTTCCTAGCATCGCCTCTCGTGTTTCTTAGCACTGTTTTCACACGTTAGTGTCATGTATGGTCACGCTTTACTGGAGCTTGGGAGTGAGTTTTAATGCGGAAAAAAGCCGAAACATTACGGCGCTCGGGCATACTTATGTTAACTGAAGATATGGTGTTGGAGCAATGGTACGTAAAGAAGAGAAACAACTCCATGCCGGCGTAAAAGCACGTACGAGCGCGCCAAAAAAATGCAAATATGCCAAGGTTGAATTTAGCATTTGCTCCACTTAGGTGTGAATATACCTGCGCATTTGCGGTAAAAAGGTCTTTGAGCTGGTTGGCACAGTACAATGTGGGCTGCCCTCTGAAGTGGATCTCATTCTCCTCTGCCATTTCTTACGCTTTCGAGAAAGTGGTTGCGACTAAAAGCGACGATGTTGCGCGCATAAAAAGCAACCGGCGAAGTTAGTATTGCAGCAGATTCCTGACAAAATTAATGCTAATAAAAGAGGGGTAAGTATAGTGCAAAGAAAGGGGAAGAAAGACAGTGAAGGACAAAAAGGGACGAGACGCTCTTCGAACTTGCAACAGATTGAGAGTGCATTAAACTTGCTGTGGGTGATGGTGCAACCAACGAGAAAGTGACATTCTAGTGACCGGCTTCTTCGTCCCGAAAACTCTGCTTAACTCCGCTTTCACTGTGGAAGGGCTTAAAGCAGGTTCCACAGTGAAAGGTCATACATTGTGAAATGCAGCTTTGTCCATGGTGCTTCAGTGGTGGTACCATTTATTGTATTATAGGTCAAAAGGTGTTCTATAGGACGCTGAGAAAGAACTGTCCTGTGGCCTCGTTTCAGACGACCAGCTGTGCCCGGCGTGTAACCGGAGGCTCCTCTTCAAAGGTGCGTCCCCAGAATGCAGGTGGCAGCCTGGCGACGGGGGCGTTGCAGTCCCGTCGCTGGAGGGCTTCTTTGCACAAAGCTTGCCCTCCAGTCGTGTTGCCAAAGGGCATTTGACTACGGTGAAGCGCAAGTTACAGCCACGCTTCACGGGGGAATTAGCTAGAGAGCCGTTGGCAATTTTTCTGCTTCTCTCTTACAATTGGAACGCCGAGATAAAAAGCACGAGTGCAATACCAGATTACACTTTTTTGCGCCTTCGACGTACTGTAATATCACGAGAGATAGCCCGCCTAAAATCGAGAGAAAATTGAGTGAAAATAAGGAGTGGGCTAACTTCTGCTTTACAACCGAGAAAAGTTTAAAAGAATGCTATTTTTAGGTTATGTTTTCCTGCCAAACTTGTTATTGCAGCGAGGGGCAACAAAGCAAAGATGGCTGTACTTCCAAGTCAGCAATGTTTGCTTATATCCCGCCATAGCTAACTAGACACATTTTCGCCGAGGTCATCATTGGTCCGAACACTATGATTAGCAGGAGTGGGCTATCTTTCGGTTTTTAAAAGAAAATAGCCAATCAAGCTAAAAATAGGGGGCAGTTTATCTTTCAAGGGTGGGGCATCTCTGGGCATATTACGGTAGGCGTTAGAGTTTGTAATTCTTCTATACTTCGTCCGGGCAAAGTACAAAAAGGCACCAACGTCACGTTTGCACCAAGGAGCAGTTGCCGGGTCCAATTTTCTTTTGTGGCCGGATGGCTGCAACAGTGACTACTGGCGTGGTAGAATTTGCTTGTGTGTAGCTACCATTGTGAGTGGCAGAATTTTGTGCCTGGTTGAGATGCTGCATCTGCGCTCAGCCGAGCAGTGTACGGCTGCGGACAATACGAGTGGGAACGGCCCACTGGGGTTTTGTGGCATACCTGCCAGAATCTGAAAAAGCTGCGGTCCATACTAAAGCGGGGCTGCAAAGCGTCTTTGAGGTCTACAAACGGAGGAGCTTACGAGGGCCGACGGAGCCATCCCTGTCGTGTTGTTCGGCTCCGTAAGGGTGGCACTATTTCAAGCGCAAATATTTTCCCAGAGTTCGGCCTGTGGCTGGATCATTTGTTAGCGCACGTGCACAGACACCTGGTACAATGCAGATGTGCGGTATGTGGAAGACGTGGTGGTGTTCTTCTGCAAGCACGCTTTCCACGGCACCTGCCTGCCCACCAGTGGACCTCCCGTAAGTCGCTTCTGCCAGTCTCGCTGCACGCCGGCAGCGTGAGGCCCAACGAGGAGGTGGCCCTTGGGTCAACCGGAACCTATGTTGCCCGGCACTTGTTCTGAGCTACCCACACTGCGAGGAAGCGGGCCATTCTGTGCATCGTGTTCATGTAGCATGTGTGTTAGCTACTAGGCTGGAGTACACTAGTACTTTGTATATGGCATCAAGTTGTATGGCCAGATGAACTTGGCTCGAAGTAAGTGCGGTGAAACAAGGGCATAAATGAGAGGAGGAACTTGACCTTATGCGCCTGGATAGGCAGTTTATAAAAGAGATTGATGTGCTGCATTGTTGAGCTGGAGGCCACACACACCCGACAGTCACATAACTTCAACCGCAGTCCTTAGATTACCTGTTCTGGAACCGTCACGCCAAGGGGAACGTTTTCCCTACTGACAAATTGAAGCACCAGAGGCGTGCTGCTTTTGTTAGAAGTAAACCAATCGGATCACTCGGGAAACCTAAAGGACGGGTTCGAATAAAGCCCCTTTGTACTGAAAGTAGCGCCACTGATTGATTCACCGACACGCTCTCACCCTCTAGAAAAATCCTCTTCAAAGTTTCCCTTTCCACTACTACTGGTTGGCCGAGCATTCGTCCGGTTTCGATTCGCCACTTCCGTCCGCCATTTGTGCCCTCCCTTATCGATGGAGCATATGTCGCGCGTTCTGCTTTTAGAAACGTCATTGAACTGCCGCTATGACATGGCGTTACTGAATCACGTGCGCGTGTTTACAAAACGCTCATTCGAGTTTTTTCATCTCCTCGGCACTTCGGCTTGTAAAGCCGGAAACAAAAAGGCATAAGTGACGATATTTGCTGTTGACCGTTTCGGAAACGAGTGCAAGATCACGGCTTCTCATTCCATAACAGAAACGTGCGCATGTTTATTGCCTTGGCTCCCCCCCATCTGCTGAAGAGGAAATGAGACTAGGACAATCTGTCTCACAGTTCAATTTTATTGTATGAAGCGGAAGATTGCATCCAATCTCGAACCGAATGACCCGAGCAGACATACAGCCGAAGCCTCAACAAAACTCGCATGCCTGCTCCAGACGTGAAGCAGTGGAAAGACATACGCAGTAGCAGACGTCAAGGACACCGGCAACTTGTATCCTTGCGAAAATACGAAAAGAAAGTTGAGTCGAAATTGTGCAGAAAACATGGAAAGCACCAAGATACTTTATCTAGCGAAGGTTTGCCAGCAGTCGCCCGTCGCGGCGCTCTACGGAAGAGCAGCCTAGGAGCTGCTAGCATCGAAATGAGAGTTAGGCTCGCGGAGAGGAGGAGAGATTCTCAAGCGAAAGAGGGCTTGGCACTACTTTCAGTAGAGAGGGGCATTAGGTCTGAACTTGGGAAAAGCCACTGCAGAGGAAGTTGCAAATGCATCTACTCCATGGACCAGTGGGGAGGGGGCACAATTGCAAACACTGTCTGTACTTGAGATATTATTTTGGAAGAACTGAAAGGTGCTAAGTCTACTTTAATAGGTAGCTGCAAAGAAAAAAAAAAAAATTTTTTTAACAGCCTTTTTAGGACAAGCATGAAACAAAACAAATCTTCCGCAAAAAAAAAAAAAAAATACACATTTTTTCTAGCAATATTTACGCCACTGGACGTAATTTAGTCGGGTGTCACAACTTTTCCACATTTAAAAATCCCGCTCTTCCAACGCGCACGGAGTGGCTGCTTTATGTCACTCCGTGACGTACGTAAAATACCAACTTTGTGGTGCGCGATTCAAAACGGACGGAATAGCAGCAAACTAAAATGAGTCTCTCGCAATAAATATTGCTGTAAAAAAATATCAATTTTTGGCAGAAATTTTGTTTTGTAACATGCTTGTCCCAATTAGGTTGTTTAAAAATACTTTTTTTTTCTTTGCAGTTACCCTTTAAGAGCATTGTCGAAGAAATCCTTTTAGGCTTTTTTTTTTACTGCTACCTGCATCAGCACAGTTTGTGGTGATAGAGTTTACTAGGGCAGAAAATATCAGTTTTTGAACCAATAAGTAGTTTATTTATGGGCTGTGGTGCAACATCAGTGGGAGTAAGGTGAGGCAGCTGCTAGACATTGAGTGTGTAGTCTCGACCACTGCTCCTGCATGCAGAGTTGCTGAATGGGATTTTCTTGCAGGCCTGCAGCCTCTGCAGCGTCAAGAAGCAAGTCCGTGGCTTTGGAACATGAAGCTGCCCAAACTTCTAGGTGTACCTTCGCTTTACTCGCAGCATCTTCATGATGTACAGAATATTCTAGGAACTGTGTGTACATATGTTTGGAAAAAATAAAAACAAAACCACTGCTCCCATCTTTTATTTCTTTTTTTTATCAAAAGCAGGTTGCAGCATGCGTTTGTTGCCAACACGACGGTGCCCCGCACCCTTCGGAATATGACGATGGAGTGATTACAAAACTCTGGTGTAAGCTATAACAGTGACTACGAGAGGCCGGCACCTGACGACTCCGGCCATGGCCCAGCCGGTTCCCTCAGTCGCTCCACTTGCCAAGGACGTCGCTGTCCCGGAAGATGTAGAATTCCTGCAGGATGGAGCATTCATTTTAAGAGCTGGGAGTGCATGCGGACATACAAAAAAGTCTACAAGCGAGCTGCCATGTCTGCAAGTAGGATGGACTGATGCTAATGGCTGTGCCCATTATAGCAGGCAATAGCTTGTGCCACCTAGCCTAGAAACCAAAAGTATGAATTTTCCTCTCTGCAAATTTCCTTCCCCTTAGTCTTTTTGTAACCATCACCAGGTGGTGTGGGATAGTGCCAAAATAACCTTTAGGCAGAATCGGGCAAAAAAAACATCACCCCCCCTTCCCCCAGAAGGCATCCAATTTTCCTCTGGCCAAACCTTGCTGTCACCACCCTAACACCGGGGCCACTGGGTTGAGCCTTTGGGCTGGAGCCACATGGGAGGTGGTCCCAATTTCCCTGTTCCCAGCTGTGCTAGTTATTCATAAGTCCTTCAATTCTCTTTAGATAATTTCTGCCAGTCTTTTAATATTCGTTATTGTAATGCCCTTTCCATCCATTACTCCATTCTCCTTTGCAAAGCGCAGCACTCCAGCCATATCAGTCATCCCGTGGTATACCATCCATCCATTTCTTCATACTTTACCCTAAATGTCCTGCTGTTCTAGCCTCAAACAACCATTTGTGAATTATCATACCCTTTCCTCATTGCGTCTCCTATACATGGTTAGTCTAATTTCCCTGCATTCTTTACTCCCACATTTTTGTCTCTGCCTCCTTCACTTCCTTTCCTACAGAGGTAGTCTGCTCTGCCCCAGCACTTTACTGTTGGTATTGAAATTTCAGCTTTCGGGTTTGGTTTGTCCATTTAGTGTTCTAACTCTTCATATATAAATGTTGATATGTGAATCGCAAGTTTGTCTGCTTCTTTTGCAGGGGCTGTGGTGGCATCAAAACGCCGAGCGCCGACTGAAGGTTAGTGGGTAGACCTCAAGGCAGCTTGCTTTGAGGTCTACCCACTATCCTTCAGTCGGATCTCGGCGTTCGGACGCCACCACAACCTCTGCAAAAGCATATGCGCTCCACTTGCGCTCCACATACCTTGCGCTCCACATACCTTTCTCACCCATCGTGCATTCTCCATTGTGTCTAGTCTGTTCAAAGTTCAATTTACTGATCACCTCCCTAACCTCTAAAGATATCCAGCCCATGCCTCGCTGCACTCCATGTGGTGTATTCACATGTGCTAGTCTGTCTACCTCGCCTAGCCTGGAGTGTAAGATGAATGTAACTAGCAAATAGTTCCCCTTTTGGTTACATTACCCAAGCACATGCATATGTGGAGACCTGAAAGTGTTGGGTCCCTGCAATAGCAACTTTTCTAAAGCAAAAACGAAATGGCACTCTACATATGCATTCGTCAATACCACAGCTTAGTAATTTATTTTGAATCTCGTAGATTAGTAAAGCGCGCATGGCATAATGTCTACCTCCGTTCCCAGGATTATTCTTGGCATTTGGGTAAGTTAGCACAAGGTCTACTGGACGTTACTCTTCGTACAGCGGGAGGCTGGCCCGCCATTTGAGAAACACCGGCTTGAAGGTAAGAATTCAGCCCGTGCAGCACGACTGCTGACCCCGGGGTCCCAAGGTACACGACCGTAGGCCGGTACCATGAACAAAAAACTGCATTTTGGTTGGTTAGGGGGAGTTAAGTAGCGAATTCATTCCGAAGGCCGGGGCAGTTCCCCCCGCGGATCACTGATTACCTTGTTGTCGATCTCGACCTTGGTTCCCCCGTACTCAGGCAGCAGCACCTTGTCCCCCGCTTTGACGGCCGGTGGAATGGTCTGCCCCGCCTGCGGGAAAGGACGGATTGAGGCTCCTCCGAGAGCACGTGCAGACGGCGGACCGAGCGGGCAGCTCACCTCCGTGCGCGCCCCGGTGCCGACGGCGATTACGGTGGCGCTCTGAACCTTGGCCTGGGCCTTCTCGGGGATCATAATGCCCCCCCTGGTCTTGGCCTCCGGCACGAACCTCTCGACCAGGATGCGGTCCAGCAGCGGCACTAGCCTCTTGCCCAGTCCAGCCTGCGCGATGGGGACCCCGTTAATTAATGACCGCGGTGGCGACGCCCGACTCGACGTGCGCCTCGCGCCTCGGAGATCGGGCTTGCCACGTGAAAACGCTCCCGTCTCAGAGCCTCGCCAGCCTCGCTCGTACGCAGGACGACCCCCGAGCACGCGGGCACGTTGGACCGGCGCGAGGGGCACCCACATTCCGGGCGCCGCATTTGTAGACCGAGACCGATGCCCGTGCACCGAGTGCCAAAAGCTGGGTGCCGGCTGGGAAGCTGCTTACCATGGATCCGTGAATTGAGGGCGAACGACCGCGGAGAAAGTTCGAGAAGCGACAAACGTAACGCTGGCTGGCGCCGGACTGATCACCTGCTGCCTCTTCGGCCTCTCTGCCTCTCCCCGCTGCTCAACATCGGGCACATGGTCCGAGGAGCGCCACTGGGCATGCGCAAGATAGCAGACTACACAATCACTTTTGAATAACTCGCATAAATCCACTATGTAAGAGTTTATTCGAATTATTTTTAGTAAATATCAATTTTTTATATAAATTTAGGTAAAACTTTTATATCTGAAATTACAAAAAGTACCCGCAGAAACTTCTAGAAAAGCTGGGCCCCAAAAGAGGATAATATGGCGCTTAGATCTTAAACATCTTAAATACAGCAAAGAAAAACAACCCTCGAACATTTAAAAGCTGATTCATGAGTATAGCGACATTTAAAGTGTATATAAATTAGCTTATTTAATTTATTAAATCGTAAATGCATCGGAACTCTTTTATGTACCCGTGACTGTGGTTGCGCAATGCTCTCTCAGGGGCCGCCCTTATTAGCTCGGTGGAGCTCTCGCAACTCTCGCTGTTGCGTCCAGTCCCGTTCATCGGTCGAGCACGCGAAAGACAGGCGAGGTGCGCTGAACTTCGGAGCGGTCGCCCCCCTCATCCAAGAGAGCCCCAATCAGAGTGCGCAAGTAAGTGGTCCCCGCGTGAACCGACGCCTCGCTGCTGTCGACGGAACGTCGTTTGGAAGCGGGCAGTTCCCGAGATTAGCCCTAAACCCACGTGTAGCGACGACCGGAGGGCGAGTGCAGACTTGCTCGTCCGGCGACCCGGCGCCGAAATCTCACGCGCGGCACGTGCCGCGACGGACCCCGCGCGAGAGCCTTCTCTCTGCTTTTCTTCGACGTGGGCCCGTAGCTTTTGGCTAGTCAAAGAGAACCGGTTTGTACAGTGCAAAGCCTGACCGCGCGCTCGTGTGAGAAACTTCTCGATCGCGACGAGTACTTCGGACTTGTAATCTCCAACTTGTCCTTCGCTGTCGTACGTAAAAAAGTAGTGACGACAACGGCCGCGTTTGCGCCCGCCGAAGCCAAACTGAATGCAAAAAGCACTCGCGGACCCTCGGTCCTCCGCCCAGTCTCTGCGCGAATTCCTCCGAGTAACCGAGCTTCGCTGGGTGCGTACGAACGCGAGGCCCGCCTGCCCTCGCGAAGGGCGCTGCACCGGCGAGGCCACGTGCGGGCGCTTTCCCCTCGGGCTCGCGCCTAGTCTAGCGTAGTGCGGTGTCCGCATGACCCCGATCGTGGATGGATACGTCGCTGGCGAAATCGTCCGCTGGATGTCCGGAAATGAGAGTCTGGAGTATGTGGAGAGGAAACTGATTTCACATGCTTCACCCTGCAGCTGGCGTGATGATCTGGCAAATGCACTGGGGTTCATGAACACTGATGGAAAAACGGACGTTGGGAGGCTGAGCTAACCCAGTAAAGGTTATCAGAATGGAGGGATAAGTTGAAGAAAGGATGAATATATTTTCCTTTTTCGTTCGGCTATCCCCATGGCCAAAAGCGCAAACTCGATTGCGTCACACAAATTGGAGCTAAGAAAAAAAAAAAAACATTAAATGGTTTGAACATCTGTATTAGCAGCTGAAATGAAAAAGACTGACCAGATTGAGCTGATGCAAATGACCTAGATCAAACCGATTCAAAGGGTTTAGCTCTATCATATACATTCATGCTACTGCCTGTGGGCTGATAAAGTTCCATGGACCACGCAAAAAGTAGTTGCCCACCGTTCTATAGTTTCACGTCTCTAAGGTACTTTACAGCTTTTCTGGGGGCTATTGTAATTTGTTGAGATAAAGCTGAAACAAGCATTTCTAACGTCCGCCCATGTACCTAATCCAACAGCTCGCACTTAGTAGTGGGCTTCGTGCTCGTGCCAATGGAGGGTGCTTGCCAGAGAGTCGGTCGTTGACTAATGCGAACCTCGCAGAGCAATGGAGGGGGTAACGAGGCAGCTAATGATTGCAACCGCAGCAGTGCTCATTTCGACTGGCCGAGTATGCAGATATGCAGCGTGCTTTTCTGGTTGGCAAGCCCTCCGAAGACGTCTTGGCAACCTTTTTTGTGGCTGAATCTGTTCATTATCATTTCCAAGAGACATTGTTGACCACGCTGCACTATTTTAAAGGGTCCACTCTGTTTTCTTGCATTAGTTTTCACATTCCCTGGCATGCAAGATAATGTTGCCATATTATAAAAAGTTAAAGCCTCTCATTTTGTTGCTTTCACCACATGTAATGAGTACCACCCTGCCTTTTTGGGAAGGGGGAGAGGAGGAGGAGAGGGGAGGGAAACAAACAGGTAGGGGATGGTGTCAAGCTGGGGGTAGGTTTCACCCTTGTCTGCTTTACCCGTGTCAAGTGGATCGGAAACTGCTTGGCTGCCGTGTGCTTGCAAGGCCCTTGAGCCGTGCAGTGACAGACTGCAATCGTTTATGCAGGTATGCATCGTCTTCCAAGTGCCCTGCGCAGTACAGCTGGCCGTAGCGTAAGCCACGCTTTACGGCGCCACTATGCCAAGGACATCAGGTTTGGGGCAGACGTCAGGGCCCTCATGCTGCAAGGGGTGGATGTGCTGGCCGACGCAGTGGCCGTCACCATGGGACCAAAGGTAGCATTTCCATCAGGTTGTGTCCTAAGGAACTGTTGGGGGCATATATCGTCTGCAATCAACTGCGCCAGATCGCAGGTCAGGGTGGAATATGCTGGAGCTCGTAGGTATGTCATAGAGTTCTCGAAACTGCGATGGAGAGGGTGGTTGCAGAGGCCGAGGCGGAATGTTGGACACTTGCTCAGCAATATTTTATTGCGCAGCTTGCGTCTCGAAAATACAGTCCATCGACACTATCTCTGTGCTTTCTTTGAGTCGTGTTTTGCAGACCTTTCCAGCTATTACTAATGTATGCGTAAGCTTCCAAGAAGGTACAATGGGCTACTTTACGTCGCCTGCAGGGCCGCAACGTGATCCTAGAGCAGTCGTGGGGCTCTCCCAAGATCACCAAGGACGGCGTGACAGTGGCCAAGGGCATAGAGCTCAAGGACAAGTTCCAAAATATTGGGGCCAAGTTGGTGCAGGACGTGGCCAACAACACCAACGAGGAGGCCGGCGACGGAACCACAACCGCCACCGTCCTGGCCAGGGCCATCGCCCGGGAGGGATTTGAGAAGATCTCCAAGGGTGCCAACCCTATCGAGATCCGCAAGGGGGTCATGATGGCTGTGGAGACTGTGGTGGAGCACCTCAAGAAGATCTCCAAGCCGGTCACCACACCGGAGGAGATTGCCCAAGTGGCCACTATTTCGGCCAACGGGGACACCAGCATTGGGGGCCTCATCTCGGACGCCATGAAGCGGGTGGGCCGGGACGGGGTTATCACGGTCAAGGACGGCAAGACCCTCAGCGACGAGCTGGAGGTTATCGAGGGCATGAAGTTCGACCGGGGCTACATCTCTCCCTACTTCATCAATACCAGCAAAGGGGCGAAGGTGGAGTTCCAGGATGCTCTGCTGCTTTTCAGCGAGAAGAAGATCTCCAACGTGCAGACACTAATTCCGGCCCTGGAGTTGGCCAACACCCAGCGCAGGCCGCTGGTGATCATCGCCGAGGACGTTGACGGGGAGGCCCTCAGCACGCTGGTGCTGAACCGGCTGAAGGTGGGGCTGCAGGTGGCAGCAGTCAAGGCGCCCGGCTTTGGGGACAACCGCAAGGCGACGCTGCAGGACATGGCCATTGCTTCCGGGGGCCTGGTCTTCGGGGACGAGGCAAACTTGGTGAAGCTGGAGGACGTCCAAATCGGGGACCTGGGCCAGGTGGGCGAGGTGGTCATCACCAAGGATGACACCCTGCTGCTCAAGGGCAAGGGGAACAAGGAGGACATTGATCGGAGGGTGGCCCAGATCCGAGACGAGATTGACCTAAGCAACTCGGAGTATGAGAAGGAGAAGCTTGGAGAGCGGCTGGCACGCCTGGCCAGCGGTGTGGCCCTGCTCAAGGTGGGCGGCTCGAGCGAGGTGGAGGTCAACGAGAAGAAGGATCGGGTCAACGACGCCCTCAACGCCACGCGGGCGGCCGTCGAGGAGGGCATTGTGCCCGGGGGTGGCACTGCTCTGCTGCGCTGCATCCCGGCTCTGGACGCCGTGTCTGGGGACAACGAGGACCAGAAGACCGGTGTGGCCATCGTCAAGAAGGCCCTCAAGATGCCCTGCATGCAGATTGCCATGAATGCTGGCGTGGATGCCGCTGTGGTGGTGCAGAAGGTGGTCGAAGGCAGCGACGACTTCGGCTACGACGCACTGCGCAACACCTACGTCAACATGATTTCGGCTGGCATCATCGACCCTACCAAGGTGAGGGCGTCTGCCGTGCCGCATCGATTTGTCCTGGTTTAAAATCGCAGGAGTATGGGGGCATGCTAAGATTTCCTCGGCGACATTGAATTTGCCAAACCTGCGCTCGGGTCCTAGCACTGGCTCGTTTCACACTTCGCGATTGGCTTGTGCCTCGTGTTGCAAGCTGTGTCGAGGCACTGTGGGTTAGTATGAAACGGGAATGGTGTCTCCCGTCTCTCCAATGTACAAGACATGTTGGGAAATGGGAGCGAGGACCCTTGCCGACTCTTTCGAAGGACAGGTTCTCTTTTGGGCATTTGAAAGTTTGTAACTTGGCTATTGCTGCATGTGTGACTAGCGTTTTCACAATGCCAAAGTGGGCAGCAACCTCGACCGAAACTTGGCACAGCGGTTCAAAGGAGGTTGGTTCTGCCTCGTTTCAGGTGGTGAAGACTGCGCTCCTAGATGCGTCCGGAGTGGCTTCCCTGCTGACGACTGCCGAGGCCGTGGTGGTGGAGCTTCCCAAGGAGGAGAAGGATGCCATGGGCGGCATGGGGGGGATGGGGGGGATGGGGGGTATGGGCGGCATGGGGGGCATGGGCATGTGAACACGCTCGGTGGGGGACCATCTTGTAGAAGACTGGAGGGCATCCCTGCACGGTCGGGACTGTGCGGGCTCCACCTCCCTGTGCATAGCCTCAGTCCGGCCCGGACCGTTACGCGTCTGGTGGCAGTGGTGCGGTGCGGGGCTGTTCATTTATCATATGTCCTATAGATTGAATAAAAATTATCATGTTCCTAAGAGTCGCTTTTGTGTTCATCAGGTCGTCCTTCCTTTTATGCAAACGATACTCTGGTTCTCTACTTACCGTATTTACTCGCATATTGGTCGATACGTCGTATAGGTCGACCCCCTAACTTCGGGACCCCCGAAAAAAAAAAGAAAAAGTTGAAAAATATAATACCGGGATTCGCGTATTGGTCGACCCCCCAGTTTTGATGAGGCGATTTTTGAAAAACAGGTCGACCTATACGCGAGTAAATACGGTAATGTGGTGGGGCAGTGCATTTTTTTTTAGTAAGCCTCAGTAACGTGTTCAGAAAAAGGTCTAAGAAAAGACACCATTCTAGTAGAACTACTCGGTGAGGGAGACCTAGCATCTTCGAGTGAAGTTCTCTTCAGTTGCCCGAGGGAAGACATGATAACACTTTTCCAACAGTGAATTCCTCCAGAGGAAATTATTTTGTCTCCTATATGTAGCCCCAATTTCCAACATGTACACGAGCGTCGTGTCATTTGCCAGGTGCAGCAATCTATCAAAATTAATAAGGGCTGCACATGTGGCAGTCTGCTCATAACGCTCTGCTAGCATTGTAGGTTGGTCGTAGCGTACTTGGATCCCCGTTTGTCTCGGGGCTCCACTGGCAACACTTTGGCACAGGCCCTCGGTGAAATATGAGCCTGCATGACACTTTGGCGAATAGCCGGACGCCGCGAAGTGGCGTTTCCGGGTGGGCCAAATGGGTTCACATTTTTGTAATGAGCTGCCGCAGACTTTTGCCGCGAAGCGGCGTAAAGCGCAGCGCGGCCGAATGGGTTGACGCGCGCCCCCGTTATTCGCTAAAACGTCGATTCGCTCAAATGTCGCTGTTCGCTAAAACGTCATTCGCTCATGTGATATCAACCCCGAGTTAAGCAGACAAATTGGGGCTTAATTCCCGTGGACTAGAATTTGCTCCAGAATACTGTATGTTACCGCATATAACTCTACCTTTCCAAAATCGGTATCTAAAAATCATTTTTAATGCGAAAGCATTAACTATCCCATGGAGTGGGCCGACGTTATCAGCCACGCCAAACGGCAGATAAGCTCCCAAAGCCGCAATCCGAGGCATCCCAGCTTTGAAACCACGTAGAGAGCCACGCAAAATGGCAGCGATTTGAAGCCGCCGCACGTCAGTTTCAATCAGTGCCACCCCAAGGCGGTGCGTGTCTGCGAGGCAGCGGCTCCACTGCTCCATGCCCAAGGTCGGCGTGGCGAAGAGGCACACTCAATTGTCGACTCAAGTACGCCGCAGACAAAATAAGGGATTGGAGGAATGGGATGCATGCTTTCGCATTCACAACTCGTAAGAAGGGCTTAGGTGTAGCTCAAACTTTTTTCAACGAAAAAATTTTTTTTTTATTCGTCAGTATTTGAGGGAGGGGCCTGGACTCGGAGTCGACCTTTGCACAGCAATATATGGTAGACTCTATGCACCCAGAGGGCAACTTACAAATGTCACGGGTACAGAATGTTTTGACCACTGCACTTGCTCGTGCAGTTTAACTATCGTTCACAAAAAACAGGAATGCTGCTTCCATGAGACCACGTAGAGCGGAGGGCAACGATTTCTGTCGATAGGAGACCAGCAAATTAGCAAATTCACGCGAGATTGTTTAAAATCAGAAACAAGATACAGAGTGGGATTCTGGACGTGCAAGTGCTGTACTCGATTGCTCTGGGTGTACATCTTTCTTTGGTGCTTCTTCCCTGCTTGGCAGTCGTGCAAAACTATCAATAGTCGTACGACTGATAGTAGACTATTCTAAAACTCATGAGAAACCTTGGAATCCATGTAAAAAATCTGTCGAAATGTGCAGAGATCAATAAAATGCGATTGAGACTGAACCAAAACACTCGCATAAATACTCTCAAGCATTCTTGCGACTAGATATTCGAGAACCAAACAAAGACATTATCGATAATAAACTCAAAAAATCAATGCGTGGACTACATGTATGTTAAATGTGTTCTCACACTGCCAACACTTAAAAAAAAAAAAATGGTTTTAAACAAGTATTTAGTCATTTCCTAAAAATGGAATGATGGAGTCTTTTGTGGGCCTCTTTTGTAAGCAGGTTCAGCCATTTTCAAGAGGCTGCATTAAACCCTCGAATCAAGAATAATGTTCACCACTTGGAAGCACAGCGGTCATTGCATGGTATGCAAATGGAACCTAGACGAGCCGCCTCTTCCACGGCACTTGTAAGAATGCACAAGTTAAGTTTTCAGCATCGCTCATTTGAAAGACCACACTGACATTAAAGTCTCTCCAGGCCAGTGAGCTTAGCTTGGCACGCACTGCATATCCTCACCCAGGATTGGCAATAACTTGCACTAATGCACTTGGGATTGAGCAGCAAACTTTACTGCCCAAGGTCACTCTTCAAATATGCACATGCTACATAACAGTAGCTTTTTAGTAGTTTTCTACTGCGAGAGCAATAAGCGAGTGCACGTTCAGACCGATTGCCCCCCACATTGAATCTTTGGGCAACTGCCACACAGAAAAGACCCAAAGCATGACCTTTTCAAGACCAAGTCTGTCGACATGAATGGCAGACTTGAGAGTAGCTTGTATCGCCTACGCACCGAATGTTCGACGAAGTCAGATCTAAGAGTGGCAGTGGCAATGTTTCACCAACTGAAACTGACCTGTTCAGGACTGCACTGCAAAGCTTTACATATGATCGACTTGCAAGATGTGGTTGTTTAACATATTTATTCTTTCTTCAATCCTGACCCACACCAACACATTTTTTTTCCATAAAGTTAATAGAGTGTCGGGTACTTTTGAAGTTCCAATGTTCACAAAAGACTAGAACCACCATGTCAAAAGGGCCAATGCTCACATACAATAGTTCTACATCACTGAGCTGGGACTAGAATTGACTAGGAGTGGTCTGCATCAACACATCTGGGCACTCACCCCGGTTTTCTGGAGCCCCACTGAAGATATGTATGGCCATTCGTAGCCAATATTACCAATCGTGGCTACAAAGCATTTGATACAACGGGTGGAGGAGCCACATTCTTTCTCCATTCAGTGGCTAAGTCACTTCATTGTGTAGAAGTAATAGAAAAAACTTGCATACTGTACACCAGACAACAAGTGTGAACAACTAAATGACTGAACAAAATGGCAGAATTGTTCCTTCCTGTGCTGCTCAGTCACACCATGTTTCAACTTTTACATTTCAGCATGCTCACTACGAATTGCACTCGCCGGCGACTAGTGCGAATGTCCCGCGCTTCTCGCTGCGGTCGACGGAAAAGCCACCCGCGGGTCGGGGGACTTTCCCGTTGTTCGAACAAACTTTTTGACTGCGGGTGTCGGGCGTATAGTGCACAGCCACGAACTGAGAAAACCAGAATGCACAATTCGCCTCTTTGCTGAACCAAGTCCTACGAGCACTTTGGAATGCGGAAGAGATCCCAAAAAGAACCCTCCAATCGACCATATCGCCTTTGGTTACAGTCGAGGGCCGGCGATACCACGCTGCCAAACATTTTTTTGTCCTGCGCAGTAATCCAAGCGCACCACCACGATAGCACAGGAGAGTGTTGAACTTTCGCCGAAACGCGTAGAAGAAGCAAACGATGCGGCCAACGTGTCAAGGTGAACTAGGACACGCAGCCTGGCACCGTCTGCAAACGATGCAGCCGCTCGGCAAGAGCTCGTCTCAGTGAGGGTGACTCCGGCAAGCCGTGGCCCCGCTTCTTTCAGGCCCAACTGGATGCTTGTCGACGAGCACGAGCGAGGACAGGAGGCGGGTCGCTGCGTGGCGCTTCCGGCGTGCGGGTCTCAAAGCGGCCAGATCAGCAGCTGGGCTGGGTCTCCTCGGGGGGCGAACCCGGGCGGCTGCTGCCCAGCTCCTTCATGGCCGCCGACAGCATGCGCCGCAGGTCAGCCGGGAGGTCCTCGTCCTCCGGCACGTCATTGGCCGACGGCTCGGGGCCATCCCGACACACCACGGTCCTCGGTGCTTCCGCCACTCCTGCATGGGGCACCCGGCGTGAGCATGCTGCACCCTTAACTCCACTTCTGCATGGGGTACCCGACGTGAGCATGCTGCACCCTTAACTCTTCGAGTGCTGCACTTTTTTCTCCCCACATACCAAACACAAATTTAGCTCTCTGTAACACTGTAGCATGCCCTGTAAAAAATATTTATTTATAAAACACGCATTATTTCATGGCCAAAAAGTTAATTGATATCTGTGTGCCTCCAACCTATCATGAATTTCTGATATTGTACTTTTCGAGCCACGATGCTATGCAGTGGTACCTTGACCTCACAACCTGAGGTCACTCTTTGGAGCGGTCTCATTCTGCCCTTGTTTATTTGGAACTGTAACTTCCTTGTTTTCACAATCGTGGAATACCGTGTTCGTTAGTAATTTCTAGATCTCAGTGTTCACCAGGAAGCGGGACATTGAACGACATAGGTTGAACGACGGAGCATACCAAAACGGGAGTCGCCTAAAGAAACAAAAATATGATGTGCCATCAGAGCAAAGCAGACTCCAAGAGTGGCAAACTAAACAGGCTAGAACAGAATAACAGGTTGAAGTTGAGCTAGTTGGTACATAATTTAAGTATATGGTCAGCTAGAACGAAAGGGACAAACACAGACAGAGAGAAACAGAGACATACACACCGCTGACTATCAACTAAGACTATATTTCTTCTTCATCACTCTGACCCACAGATTCACACTTAAAGTAATGCCAATAAATGACCCTAAATCCTTACAGTACACTACTAAATCAAAATACTGATTAAATAAAATTAAATTAAAACTGAAACTAATTAATTACATTAAATTACATTAAATATTAATTTTGGTCCATCCCACAGACCACCGCCGAAACATATCCCTCCTAGTCCCTGGCACGGCGCCGTGAAAGGGACTAGGAGGGATATGTTTCGGCGGTGGTCTGTGGGATGGACCAAAATTAATAATTAATAATTTAATGTAATTTAATGTAATTAATTAGTTTCAGTTTTAATTTAATTTTATTTAATCAGTATTTTGATTTAGTAGTGTACTGTAAGGATTTAGGGTCATTTATTGGCATTACTTTAAGTGTGAATCTGTGGGTCAGAGTGATGAAGAAGAAATATAGTCTTAGTTGATAGTCAGCGGTGTGTATGTCTCTGTTTCTCTCTGTCTGTGTTTGTCCCTTTCGTTCTAGATGACCATATACTTAAAAAATAAGGCTAGAACAGGTGCAAACTCTAAAATCTCGAGGACACCTAAGCCCTTCTTATGAGTTGTGAACGCAAAAACATGAATGTCGTTCTTCCGCTTTCTTAGTTCGTCAGCGGTGTACAGAAGTGGACGGCCACGTTTCGGTATTGCCGAGGTTGCGGCTGCCGACGATATAGATGCTTCAGGCGTTGCAATGTTCCTCAGCGCCGAAAGAAGAAGCAGAAGCAGCCACAGCCACAAGTTGGGGAAGGGGGATTTGGCTCAAGGGGAAGGGGGGGGCTCTGCAACAAACTGTAATGCCATAAATAAATACAAAAAAAAAACCAAAAAAACCTACCCCTTTAAAAAAAATATTTTTGCAAAAAAGTTGTTTGAAAAATGCCTTATTGCAATACAAAAAAAACCACCAAGATCTAGAGAGTATTCCCAGAAAGTTTTAATTCTTTATACTGCATTGTTTCTTTATACACTATCTTCGGTCGATCAATGTTAAAGAAAAGGTAGAGGTTTGAGCACTTTGAACGTGTTTTTGTCCATTCCACTTTTTGGCATAGATTTCACTTTAGGAAAACTACTGTTTGGTAACGGTCCAGGAAGAAAGGTTCACTCATTGTTTTTCGTTAACTGGAATTTAATGGCCAATGCAACTGTGGCATTGTCTTTTTACTTTATAAATGTTTTTTATAAAAGAGGTTAAAATTTTGTCGACGAGATAAACATAAAAAGATTTGTTTGATTTTCCAGCAAGGTGTTAGCATAATATAGATTACTTCTTTGGAAATTTTGTCTTCACAGTTGCACTTGCATCTAGTATAGAAAAATGTTGGGTATTACATTAGTTTTCCAACTATAGCTTTCCTAAACAATGTCAGTGTGTTCTTCATAAAAACAATTATATTTTCTTTCTCATTTTATGTACCCAGATAAAACTTTGCACTGCATTCTGCCTCACAACTGCGAGTATATACTGCAAATTCAATTAAAATTAAGCCAAAGGTTTAAAAGTTGACCCTTTTGTGTAGCGTACAGACGAAAGCAATTAAATTGCCAATTAATAAAAGATGATGACACATCTTTTTTGTAAAAAAATGAATATGTTTTTTCCCCCATACATTTATTTTTACCTTGGCAGCTATAGGGGAAACAGCTGCTGCCCTCCTTAGATAGGGTGCTATGTGCAACAGATATGACTGTCGACATTTTTTAGTCTAAAATACGTTCCCTCTTCTGCCAGTTTTGTATATATGTTGTTTCTACGTCAGTGCACAGGCTTTCACTGCATGCCAGCATACACCCACGCATCGAACGGCGTGCAGACGGGCATGTGCAGTACCTGAGCCAGCTGCGCCGTTGAGCGAAGGCAGCCTGCCGTTGGACAGCTGCTCTTCCCCGTTCAGGTGGCTTGAGTCCGACAGGGCTGCAACGACACGCGCCTTGCTGGAGCCACAAAAAAAGAGAGCGGCAAACTCGGCACTTCCGGCGGCGTGCTTCTTTGGAAAGCTCACAATGGCTACAGCAAAGTCTTCCATTCTTATGAGCCTCACAAATAGAAATAAAAAAAAGTGGAAGCAGAAATTTTGATTTTAAATATGATGTTTGGAAAAGCGACAACTGACGAGTATCCAGAGACATTTTTAAAAACTGTCCTTTCCATTTCTCATTTTCTAGGGAACTGTCTTTTTCAGAATTTTTGGCTGATAGCAGATAGCAACTCTTGTTGAAAGCATAAACAAAGAAAGAGGTGGAGAAGCTTGATTTGATGAGCCGCCTAACGTGAGGGGAGTGTCCCCGTCTTCTAGGGCCAAACGGGGTGCCACCATTGGCTCATTTTTTGTTCTTCTGCAGGCAAAGGAGTGTACGGATGACGGCTTGCTCGGCACTGTCTGCTATATGCTGAGTTACAAACGCTTAAGCAAGCTATGGAAATCACTCCAGAATGCCTCCGTGGTAATTCTCAAACATACCAAGACGGTGCTTCATTGCTGAACTGTTACAAAAAGGCAAAAGAAACATGTCAATAGTATTAAGGAACACAAAAACAAATGGGACAGCATACCTGCCTAGGATCGGCAAATGTCATTTTCTAGACAAAATGAAAAACGTGGTATTTTACGATAATCACGAGTGACATACACTTAGCTACTTTGAGCTCTAAAGTACCGAGTTATTTCTTAGAACATTCACCAAATGGCGAGTACCGTCAACTGCAGAGATCTGGCATTGCTATTTTTCATTCGGCACAAGGTCAGCTCGTCGGTGCAAAAGGCACTCGAGGCAATATGGTAACTGTCTTTATCTATGCCGAGCTCATTCGCACAATTCGGGCTCGTCTGATTTAACCGGAGGCTGCAGCCTCTGGCACGCTTTCGTGCCACGAGCCTCCCACACTTCTCCGAACTCGGTCGGCGCTCATTTGGAACTTCTGCTAAATTGAAAGAACCCGGCGTCTACCTTTCGCTTGCAGGGGCAACGGCCGGGGCAGGGCACTGACCTCTGGTCCTTTGGGGAGCTCTCCAGGCACCATTGCCAGCCTTGAGCCTGCTTTCTAGCTCCGTGATGCGCTTTCCCAGCACCCTGCAAGAGCGTGTCAATCATCTCGTGGATGTACAGACACATCTGCACGGCTCGGAAGGCCACCCTTCAAACAGCACGGTCGAAATCCACCTTTAAGGGGTTTGTGGTTCGTGGCCTCACAAACTATGCGATAGGCAACCCAGTGAGGGACCGAGCTCAGGTATAGACCGCATCTCGTTTGGCGCCATCAGTAGAAACTCCGACCGCCATCAGAGTCGAGCTCAAAAGGTCCCCACCCACCCGCGTAAAGATGCGGGCAAAGGTGACTAACTTGTTTGCCTTCCGCTGGTGGTTCAGGGCCAAGGTGCGGTCGTTGAGGGACTCCAGCAGAAGCGCCACCAGGCTCCGGACGTCCGCAGTGGCAGACGACACGTCCGTGGAGCACCCTTGCAGCAACTGCTGCACTGCGAGGACAACCGGGCACCCTCAGGGCACTCCCAAAAGCGCTCTTGGTCGAGGCGCGAGCAAAGCATGTTGCAATCTCCATGCACCACCTTGGCTATGCGAGCGAGCCCGACCCATATGGCATCATGCTACCCGCGACGGAAGCGGCAATGTGCCCCTGCTGGCCGTACGCCTTGCGTCCGCACGCTTCCTGAGCCGTCTTTGTGCGGGCCAGGGACGGTGAACGGCGCCTCTGACCTTATTTCTCGGGAATAAAACAGCAGCGTAACAAAATGCTCCACCAGAACCGGCCTTTGTCAGTCACCTCTTCAAATTTAGGACTTCTCGTTGCCGATTTTAATATTTTGGATAAGTTTTGTAAAATGCTACATTTTAGTTTGTGTTTGTCTAATAAATGCACACTATGTCCGTGAAAGTTATTTTTTTCGCATGTGATACTTTGAAGTTGCTGTAGTAGCCCGTGTTGCAAGTCTCTCGAAAGTAGATATACTAGTTATATCTCAAAATAAATAAATAACTCGATTGTGGGCAGAACACCGGTGTCTGCCGACCTGTATGTCTCTGGTTTCCCTCTTTTCGTTTTGCGCCTTTGCATTCACCGCTCATAATCTGCACGAGGCTTCACGAGGCTGTTTGCTCATTCTCGAAAGCATCTTGTGAAGTAGCGGAAGCTGCACCGACAGCTCGTGTCGGACGGAGGACGAAACGAGGCATAGCGTGTGCTATCGTCGACCCACTAGTTCCCGACGGACCTGCATGCGCAATGGAGCAGTTTGCTAGGAGTTGGACCTGCGATTCAGTGTCCTTCGCATAACAGGTTTCACGATCCAAAAAGAAGACCCGTGTTATTCGTCAAGTGCTTCCATTGGGCAGGCACACCTTGTGCAACCACTGCGGTAGTACTCCTTCGTCGCAATCGTTGTGCAGCAAAGCCAAGCTCGACTCGTGCCCCAGGCGGTTGAGCATCGTACCTGTTGCCCCGCAAAGTTCCTTTCAAACAACAAAGACTTCGGCTAAGCCAAACACTCCGACCGCTGGATCGAAAGTTTGTCGCGAGCAGGCTGCCGAGGTTCGAAAGGACACCTACTCTGCTTGTTTGAGATCCCAGTTGCGATGCCACCTGCCGCGCCACGGCCCCTGTTCTTCTCGGCCAGGCTCTGTGAAAGTGGTGCACGAGGACGGAATGTAGACCAGTGTCCCCAACCTACTCCCAACCATCGTCAAAGGCACCCTTCTTGCAACACCCCACAAGTCCCGCAAATTCCTCAACACTAAATGTACAAGCTTCCGACCACCAAGAATGGACCACTCTCAGTACACAATCTATCTGGTCGTGTGCTGCATGACTAAATATCCACGAAATGTACGGGCAGAGGGCCCTGCTGGGATTAGAGCTCGAAGCTCCAGTTACTTGTGTCTATGATAAGAAATAAATCGAGAACCCATGCCCAAAGTTGTGTAAAAGAAGAATTACGAAGTGGACACCGCCAAATGAGTGTCACCCGTCCAAAAGTTAGCCCACAACTGATGTACTACACAAGGCTCTTCCACCAGTGTGAGGTAGGTCAGCTAAAACTGGCTCACATAGTGCCAAGGCCTGCCTTAGACTGCATAGCCTACTGTCCAATGCACAACCCACCTGAAATAAGGCAAACAATCAAGACGAAAGGAGGGGGTAGGACGCTTGCAAGAGTTGGTATACGCTCCACATATGCTAGCCAATTTTAAGATGTGCCGAGACAACTCATTTTCATAAATAAGGGTGCATTTTTGCTACTTTGCCAGGTATCTTAGACAGACAAATATCACTGAAGATTGGAAGGCCAGAAAAATGTTATTTCAATTCTCAGCGGACTTCTACAGATAAAAGTATACGAGTTTTTCGAATATCCCAATATTATGAGTAACATTTTCAGATTTTTCGAGTTATTTGCATCAAGCTACTTCGCAATGCATGCTTGTCAAGCTTCACCACTTTGGGGAACGAGGATGCCAAGCTTGACTGCTACGTACCTGCACGCTAGGAAAAATGGCTGACGTTCAGAGCAACTCGATTAGCTGTATGGCCTAGGAAATTTTGCTCACTATGTAGTTTGGCCTTCTTCGGTTATAATTATAGTTCAACCCCCGAGTTTAAAGGAGAGTGCTGAAATAGAAAGCCTCAAACTATATTCAAACAAATAAGGTAGTTCTTGGTTTTCTTGTTACGCTATGCCATCTTTTTACTCATGGAGGTAGGAAACTTCTGGTGCAACATGACATCACCACAGGTGAAGCCGGGGAAACATCCAGTTTGGAGGGACACGCCCCCAACAATAACCAAAAACGAAAAAAAAAAAAAAAAATCAAAAGATGCCATTGGACGAAAAGGACATCCTTACGCACCCTTAGGGGCGTTCCCACCGGCCTCTACTTTCGGCTTCACGTGGGATCGTTGGGCTGGCTTGTACGTCGCCTCTTCTTCCTAACTCTATGATTTTATCCAAATCATTTTATCGGGGCCTTTTTCCTTTATATTATAAGTATGTCAAATGGTTCTCGCATAAGAGAGCCTTCTCATGATCATGATTTCTAGAAAATATTTCCAATCACATGCACATCAAAACTGGAAGGAGTCCAGCTGACACACCTTGTATTTGTTGAGGGATGTGAGCAGCAAGGACTTCTCTTCCTGAAGCAGCTGAATCCTCTCCTGCATATACCTGGAGCCACGAAACGTCAGTCGTGTTAATTGCACAGGTAAGCAACACTTCGGAGAGCTCTCTGCAGAGCACCGATGCTCGATAAGAAGCGCGCTTAATTAATGTGGCTAACCGCAATGATCAACTCTTTAAAAAGTATATAGAATATCACGGTCGCATGCTTAGGAGGAAAGAACTTTCAAAGCTTGGTGCTGCATGTGTGTGCCTGGTATATATTAAACAAAATGACCGTATCCCCATGTGGTGAATGATGTTGATTGGGGAGAAGCTCTGGTGGTGCCGATGATACTAATTTTATTGTTCATAGGCAGTGCTGAGTTTTTTTTATTGCTCATAGGTAGTAGTGCTGAGTTCCAGGATGTGTTTCGACTTCATTATTACCGCTTTATGGTCGGTGAAATGCAGAGCCAGAGGTTCTTCTAGCGGATCAGCTTAGATCCGCTAGAAGTTGTGGGAACGCATCTCCACCGCTGAAGCCAACGGTCTATGTCAGGAAGAGAATGTGTGGTATGGGACGTGGTTATATACGCATTTGAGCAGTTGACCGCAGTGCCCTCTCGTCTATAAACGTCGAGCCAATGCATGCAAAGTTTAACGCGATTATATACGCATTTGACCGCAGTGCCCTCTCCTGTATAGACGTTGAGCGGCTACATGCAACGTTTCATCCATGACATCCCCAGCTCTTGAGTTACTACCACATCTCAGAGCCCCCTACTCGTCCCGCAGTCTTGGCCGAGTGGTTAAGGCAATGGACTAGAACTCCATTGGGGTCTCCCCGCACAGGTTTGAATCCTGTCGACTGCGCAAACATTTTTTATTTTTTTAAGAAGACAGATGGGATGGCAATCGATGTGAGCACGGACGCCGGACGGACAAGGCAACACCCTAAGGAGCTTCGCCCTAAAAAAAAGCAAAAGCTTTGTGAATGTACTATTGGGTTTGAACGAAATGCGAACAGTGACGGAACTTCCAGTGCGCAACCGGAGCAGCGTCGAAGCTCGGGTAGTGCTGGGCGAGATTCGAACACATCAGAGTAGGACGCACACTCTCGCAGCACCCTACTCTCCACCCCGTAGTAGTATAAGCCTCCAGAAGGCCTCCAGAAGGTGTGTCGACGGCCACGTGTTGCAGCGTTCGCATTTAATTCGAACCTGACAGTACAATTACGTGTACAAAAAAGCTTTGCGAATGGACATCTACATTGCAGTAAAATATTCAATTTAAACTGTTGCTACGGTGATAGGTCTCGATGATATGAGCACCCTGCTATACATTAGACAGAAATGTTCAGGTACCAACCTTTTTCCCACGCAATTCTGCCTCATTAATACCTGCAGTTTGTACAATGAAGAGCTAGCTTCGGAATGAACTGGGTAAATACATGCGCTTTTGCCTCGTTATTGGGAACAAAAGCCTCTAAAAACGGTTCTCAGCCCTCTGCCCTGCTCAAAAGACAATTAAGGAGTAACAGTGTTTACACAGAACTTCACTACGTACTGTCTTGACCTTTCTGAGATAAACCTGAGCAACAGACAATGGTTAAATTTTGTGGGGGGAGACTTTCCAACCAAAACGGTCATGCTTTCCTGCCTACTGGTGTCACGGCCGCGGATGAGAAATCTGGAGAACATTCGGCACTTGATCTGTGTACTTGCGTGTTCTTGTGAGCTGTTCTGTTATCACGAAGCAACTCAGCCATGTGAAATTTGGAACATTTGTAAGTAATGACAGCAGGAAAGTAAGGGCGGGACACTTGACTGAGGAGGTGGTAAGACCAGGCATGAAACGGAAGCAGCAAGAGGCAAGTGTAAAACATAAGCCATTGCTCTTGTGGAGCAGGAGGAAAACTGAGTCTTTGACGTCTCAAAATACTATCTTGCACTATTGGGTATAATTAGGGCTCCGTGTTTCCGGATAAATCCGAAAAACTCCGAAAAACACCCGCCGGTAAAATTTTTGTCAATTCGGATTTATCCGATAAACTCTGAATTGTTATGTGCCCATGCCCCCCCCCCCCCCCCCTTTTTTCTACCAAAAAAAGAAAAATTTTTTTTACAATTTCAGCAGCGCAGGATCAATGGTCCCGGGAAAAAAAGACCATAATTATCTTTCAAGCCTCGGACCGTTGTTAAAAGGGGGTCTTACGGCTTGTCTCGTCAAGGTTGGTCCAGGGGAACAGGTCATCGTACCATTCGTGTCACGACAAAAGCCACTCTTTTGGTTTCCAGTTTGGGCCATGGGGTTTGGGATTTAGGGAAAGGAGTGGGTATGTGTCTGTAGATAACAGTGAAAGCCATGGACCATAGAGATTGTATTAAATAGAGAAAAGGGACAGTTGAAACTTCTTTATTACATCCTTAACCACTCCACCTCGCGCGGCCGCGGGATAGATTGATGGGATGACTACGAGCTTCCTTGCGGCTACCTCCGGCAGTTTATTGATTTTAAGGTATCGATGTTTATTGAAGCCACACTTGTGTGCAACTTTTTTCGTGGGACAAATTAGTATTGCCAATGACACCGACGCCAAATTCAACTGAAGAGATCTTAATTGATACTAGCGCGTTTTATTTTTTATCTGGCATACGTTTACATCCGGTTATTATTTTTTTAATAAGAAACTGCGAAATTAATCTCCGAATTTCGGAGAATTGGGGATTTACGAAAAATAAACTCCGATAAACACCGAATTTTCGCTAAAAAATAAACTCCGAAAAACACCCTCAGAATTTCACGAAAAATAAACTCCGAAAACACGGAGCCCTAGGTATAATGCAGGCACCAAAGCATCTGTGCATACAAAAACCTTAGCACTAAATAAATAGTGTTTTTTGTGGCCACACATACTGTTTATTTTTTGTGATTTTGACTGATGGACAACTATTATGGACAACTCACATTATAGACAAGTTATCTGGGAACGGAGACGTGCATATTAATCTGACATCGCTGTGTTATGCAAAAGTTAGACAGACATGCCTAAACAATGTCTACATTTATCATTCGTGATAGTCTTTTTTTTTTAATTCGAGGTTGAAGAAAGGATATCTGCATATAGCAAGATTTATAAATCACCTCGATTAGGTACAGCTGGGCATCCCTATAGGTTTAATTTTATGTCACATCTGTCATTTACTTTCCATCCCAAAGTAGACATTGGATTTTCTGAAGCCACAGTCTATAAATATACTTACTATACATTAAAATTAACTTAGAAACAAAAAATGTTCAATATTCGATTTGCAAATATTCGCCGACCAAAACAACTACTGTATTCGAATTCACATCACACTCAAAATAAATGCACATGCCGAGTCAGTTACACTTAAAATCACTAGAGTAACCCAGTTGGGAGACTGCCATAGAGCCTGCTATGAAAAAGTGGCTCCCCCAACCCGTACTCGAGAACCGAACTAAAGGCGATTGCAACGCCGCCATTTCTCCCACAGTGGCCACTTCTGGAACTGCATGGCCGCACGTATTGGTTCGGGTAGAGTCGTGCAAAGGAAGGTGGCACCATCTTGCGGTGCCATTTTGCAGTAGCTACATAAATCAACTTTCACGCTTTGACTCGTCACTAAAGGGGAGCGCTGCTATCATATTTTGTTTGGTCTCGGTAGACGCAAGCGGTTCGGGTTTCAAGGGTGAGTTTCCCAACTGAGTGTTTTAGTAACGTTGATTACACTCAACTAGCAGCAGTTTTGTTGCACCTAAAAGCACCGGGCATGGCAACAAGAATGTAAAACGCTTTTATAAAGCCCCATTGCTGCAATTCCAAAGACGATTAACGAATGAGCATCACTGAATAGTAATTCCATGTAGGGAACTAAACGTCCACTCAAGTTATTTTAGAATAAAATAATTTTCAGTGAGAAACTGACTGTATTGTTTGAGTCCTAGAGGATGAAATAAAAAGATTTTGTCGCTCACTCATCAACATCATCAATGGCATTTTGCACACAGACATTTTATGACACTTCAAAATTACTCAAGAAAGCAAGCATAAGTATGCTTTCTTCAATAAAAAAAAAAGTCAGCTTAGCTCCTTTCAGTCATTCACCGCTCAACTTGGTTTCATTTGAAATGACACTACTAATTACTATTTCACTACATCCTAGAAAAGTCCAAGACCTAAAGAAATACTAACAAGTAAACTTATCAATAGCAAAGAACCAAACAATATTGCATACTGAAACTTGACAAAAAAGGAAGCAAACAAGCAGTAGTACAAAATAAGAAGCATGCAGTGCAGAAGGCTGAACCTCCGTCCGACGGTAAGCTTCGAAGCAGTGATCAGATGGGAGAAGTTAACGCTAGTTTACACGCTCGTCCAGCGGAGCCACAGACACGAGGAGCACCCGCTACCGACATCATCTTTTCGCCGAAGTAATCCGCCCTTTCAACCCCTCTGCTGGTGTAAGTGAGGGTGTACTACCTGTTCTCCGTGATGAGGGCGTCAACGTCGACCGGAACGTGGCCTTCCCCCCGCAGCACCAGGTTCAGCTGCAGGTTCAGGCGGTCCACCTTGTGCCGGTAGGCATCCGACGAGCGCACCAGCTCCTCCTTCTCATCCAGCACCGCCTGCAGGTCTCGCTCCAGCAGCTGGCACTGAGGGGCAGTTGACACATCCCTGGCACACCTTCAATGCAACCAAAGCTCCCGGACCCTTGGATACAAAACGCATTAGATCGGTCTGGATAGAAAATCTTTATTTGGGCGGCTTAATAATGTTAACTGCGCATCTGTCGCTGAGGCACGGCTGTGCACCAGCTCTTCTCTCGAGCCAACAATCTCATCTGACCAAGATCTGTGTCCACTGACTTCAGCAGATGGTTCTCTCCGAGTAGAGCAATTAATTCTGGTGCAGCGCACGCGGACAGTTGTGGCACCGTGCAACTTGTTTTGCGTGTGACCAATTAGAAGGAAATCGCCCCGGAAAGGCCACATAATTTCCGCTGCCTCGCAAAATTGGTGCCAAATTACTTTTGAATGTTTGGGCTAGACTCACGGGTTAGAACCATGCATGTACTATCATCAGCGGTATGAAAGGAGACACAGAAGCACGTGGCAAATAGCCCTAAACACTACTTGTGGCGATACGCGGCGGTGGCTTTTGGACACGAGGTGCAGAAAGTGGCACGATCCCACGTGCTGCGGCACTCTTGCCACTGGCAGCTTCCTTCTCGTGCGTGACATTTAATCACTGGCTACTAACGACACTAACGGCTTGGATACCGCCGTGACTAAAAATGTGCTTGGCGATAGCGATACTAACTATTCAGATCATCTTTTCGCTCTATTTTTTCCTGCAAGCATCCGTCAAATGAGGCAAGTATCGCCGAGCATCGGACATATCTGTTTTTTTTGTTTTTCTTCAAACTCTGCCAGGCCGCAAGCCAGTGCATCATTATTAGGTGCCGCACAAAAAGCAAGCTGCCAGTGGCAGGGGTGCCGCAGCCCCCCCCAAATGGGACTGCGCCGCTCTCTCCAACTTGTTTCCAAAAGCCGTCACTGCCTGTCATACAAACAGGGTTCCAGGCTATTCGCCACCCGTGCTCCCTTTCATACTGCTCACGCATGTACAGTCCTGAACGAGACACAAACGACGAAGCCTCTCGCCCTCATCGTGCTATTCAACAGCCGCCAGCAGAAGATCTTGCGCAGTTGTGCACTTTGAGAGTATAGTATCAAATACCTTGAACACTAATAACGGAAACTCTAGAGTGAAATAGGAGAAGGAAGCAGAAAGCAATCCTGGCGTCAGGTAGCGCACAACTAACTATTTTCACCGGAAATGTGGCAAGTGGGTCTGACTCTGTAGAGAAATTGAAAATCTATGAAATATTAATTTTTTTAATGGAGCATAGGGAGCGTAAGCTCGTGATATTAGACGCCTCAGTCTTTTTATGCCAAAATGCACTGCGTGCTGTATAACAGACCTGTCAGGATTTGTATAGCAATTTTGTACAATCTAAATAATTAATTACCTATTCTGACCTTGTTGACTTTATTAGTTTTATTTCTATCGAGACATGTTTATTTCTATCAAGATGTCACTGGCTTTAATTGACCATAATTGGCAATAAGCATAAATGCTTTATGCGATCGACTTGGAATGGCTCAAAATGACTAGAAGTGATTGTTTTTTATCATTACCCAACTTTTTTGTTTGTTTACAGATATGAATGGCTTCAGGTAGCTTTCGTTGGCTATTAGCATCTTCTTTGACCACATTGACCTTAAATTATGGTACCTGGATCGCGTCTCTGACTGGTGTGTTTAGCGTCCTAGCCACCCATACATCAAAAGGGGTCCTGAAGTGGCAACAAATGACGTCAAAGAAGCCTGAGTGTCATGCTGTTGCATGTCACAATCCTGGCATATGGTCGTAGAAATGCTCGCAAAAAGCACGAGCAAATGCGAGTGTCACTGTCGTCATGGCGTCCCAACTTCTGGCTGCCGAAGCTTCCGTGGACTGCCACACTAAAGAGCGACGTGCAGCAGCACAAGCGTCTGGCACATACACCACAGCTGTTGGGATGCCGCCAGGATCGCGACCGGCGACAGCATGACACTTCAAGAACGTCATCAGGCGAAAATCGAGGGACCACTTTTTAGGACGCCGTAAACAGACCAGTCGGAGACACGCATTCCAGACACCACACGTAAAGGTGCGCTAAAGACGTTTCTGCGATCGTCTGTTCTTGGTGATAACTCATTCTATGGGGTCTTGGCACCCCAGAAATCGGAAAATTATGCCCGTGCGACGTCTATTTTCCTACTAAAAACATGATCGAAGTTTGCGCCACGCCCCTTTCTGAGCGGAAAAATCTGGAACACGGAATCCAGCGGAGGCGCCGGCGGCGTGACGACAGGCGCGCATCAGCCAAACGCAAGCCGCCTTTCCGAGAGAGGTGGACTTTGACTGGCTGAGTTTGACTGGCTGACAATCTCAGAAACATCTTTAGTGCACCTTGCTATTGATGAGAAAAATTGACAACTATCTCTTTCGAAGTTGGTGAATGAGTATCGCTTCAACTGGTTATTATTGGCTATCAGCCTCCAGTTTTATGTATGCTTGCCTGATATGGCTACAAATGGCTATTACCAATAACTACAGGGTGTCTCAAATAGTGACCAGGTTCTTAAAACCAACCGCAAAAATCAGTTTCTTAACCTATCGCACTAAGATTTTCTGTAGTGTTGTCCACAGGTGGTGCATTTCTTTTTATAAAATTTGCAAAAAGCGAATTTACGTTAGGAAAAAGTAAAAAAATAAAAAGGCTTAGCTCCTATGGAAATCCAACAAAGCCACCAGTTTCCAAATAAGAGGGTGCCGCAAGGGGTTGCGACACCAACTGCCGTTTACAGACAAGCATACGGCACCGAGAGCCGGCGTCAAGTAGCAGACAATATTTTCGACTCAAAAGCGGTGAGAGTTTTTCTTTTGCAATGTCAGTTGCCAATGCATGATTTGATCATCCTTACTAATAAAACAGATTGAATGGACATATAATCGATTAAAAAAATGGTTTGTCGGGTTATTTTGACTTATTTTTTTTAGGGTACTTATGTCGTCTGCTTTGCAGTTCCTTCTAGTTATCAAGCCTGCTATTGGTTCTTCAATTGTCGCCGCCAACTGTCGTCGAAACGATCGTCTGCTAATGACGCCGGCTCTCGGCGTCGTATGCTTGTTCATTGGCGGCAGTTGACGTCGCGATTGCTCGCGCCATCTCTTGTCTCCCATGCCAAACGGCACCCTATTGTTCGAAAACCAATGGCTTCGCTGCGTTTCCATAGGAGTTAAACCTTTTTCTTTTTTTACTTTTTTCTCACGTAAGTTTGCTCTTTGCAAGTTTTATAGAAAAATGCACCACCTGTGGGCAACGCTGCACTGAATCATAGCGCAATAGGTTAAAAAACTGATTTTTGCAACCGATTTAAAAAGCCTGGCCGCTATTTGAGACGCCCTGCATATATTTTTTAACGGTAGTGTAAGGGGGAAAATATACAACACGTGACTGATATCAATCTAATTTTCGGCACTGAGTTGACCACTCTTTGCCAAGAGATGGCACCACTTCTGTGCTTCTTGCCAACCCCATGCATTTTAACTCAGTTTCCTGTATTAGTCTGAACGGTATCCGGTAGTATAGTAATCCTCAATTCGTGACCATTTTTAAAATTTTTCACTTTATGTAGCAATAATCACCGTGCTTTTGCCAAGTTCACAATACAGCATACACAATTTGAATACCTGCGGTAACGCGCGGAAACAGTTTTTATCAATCCCCCCAGTACTGCATGAATCCTCGTATCACGGTAATATATCGATCTAAGGTCGCTCTTGTTTTCTTTCTAGGCGTCAATGTCAAGCATTTGAAATGCACGTGCTGCACCGTCAACTTGGCGATTAGCACCGAACATGGTGGAAGACTGAGACAAACCTCGGCGCATATCCCATTTACCGGTAGGGTCGGCGACTTAGCACCGCTGCTACTCTCGAAGCGCACCACAGGCTCCATCGTTGGCGTCAATCGAGACCGCACGGCATGTTTCCCCATGCACGCGTCTAGGAGTTGACAATCTTGGGGATGCGGGAAGGAGGCCGCACCTTTGAGCGCACGGCCTCCAGCTGTGTGACAAGGGCGATCCGGTCCCCAGGCCCCAGGCAGGGCTCCTCCTCCCCTGCGGCCAGGCTCTGCCGGTCCCGGAGTTGCTCGCGCAGCAGCTGCAGGCAAGAGAATTTTGAGGGTCAGGCCAGGAGACAAGCCCTATTCCAGCGTTGACCGTGGAAAAAGAATCTCGACACGGCCCCAAGCAACAATGCCTGGAATGTAGCAAGTGTGTTCGCCGACTTGCACTGTCCACACGTCAGAGTGACCACAAAATGGCAACAAATTATCTCGCGGATACTGCTAAGCAGCACTAAAAACGTTCCAGGCACCGACGTCAGACACCTCAAATCTTCGCCAGCTTGCACCAGTGTTTTACGTGGATCTTATGCCATGCTTCTATTTTTTTTTTTTCTAGAGCACAGCTCTTAGGCGCTTGTTTCTGCATATAGCGCCGTCGGCGTAACCACCCCGCTAAATTTAGTGGAAATTGATATTGGTGTCAAGGTCATGGGACGTCAATTTTCCCGCTAAATCTAGCAGAGAAACTGAATTTGTTCATGGATAATGTGATACAAAGTCATGTGACGTCATTCTGCTCGCTAAATTTAGCAGGGAAACTGCATTGGAGTTGAGGTGACGTGTCGTTTTTCCAGCTAAATTTAGAGGGGAATCTGTGGGAGAAGAGGAGGGTGTGGAGGAGGGGAGGGTATGAAGGAGGGGAGAAAAAGGGGAGAGGAGGAGGAGGGGAGACCTCTGTACCCTCCCTTCCTCCTCCTCAAAAGCTGCGCTCTAATTTCGCATTACAGAGATTTTTAAATGTGTTTCATTTTTTCTCAGAACCTGCATACTTTTTTTGGCTTGTATTATCTGGAAAGGGAGTTTGCGGGGCCTCTTCTGTGAATACGGATGTGTTTGAAAGTTTACAGCATTTTTCTGGAGATATGCACGTTCAACCTAAAACCATATGGTTTTTGCTTTGCTTTTCTTTCTGCGAGCACCGAGCAATCACTATAGTTGTAGCCAACTAACAAATGGTGGTACTTAGGGCAATGTCGTCACGGGGAGCGTGCAACCACCGTTACAAAGGATGACAACCAAACAACTACTGACTGAGCCTAAAATGTTCAGTAGTATGGTTTGTTAGCTGTTCCTTATTTGAAAAAAAATTTTTTGACATATTTAACACATATATTATTTGGTTTAGGCCACCAAATCATACCCATATCCAAATAAAAATCAACATTTTTTAAAAAGTATATACTTTGATATGGGAGATGTATAAATGTCAATGATATATGAGAGGGGTGGCCAAACTGTGGCTCCTCGCTTGTCCAAGTGCGGCTCGTGGTTAATACGCCTACTTCACCCCCTTCCCTCCTTCTTCAGCAAAATTCAGAATCCTTTTATGGTTGGTGCATTGAATGGTGGCTGTGTAACCACAGAAACTATTGTGCGAGATTTAGGAGCGTGCAAAGTCCTTCAACTCCAAGCAGACGAAGGGCTGAAATGATCTTGCAGTATGAAGAGTGTGGGATTCTGGCAGTAGGTGCCAGAAGCAAAGTAATCCCAAGTCAGGCTTATGGGTCAAACACCTCCGTCAATATTCGGACCAACGTATTGCTGGGTGTCTCTAATCTCAACAATGAAGGATTTAATATGAAAAGAGAATGCAACCCTGAAAACAAACACTTAACCGAGCTGCTCGTGACCGCATATCATTTTAGCCAAATTTCAAAATGCCCGTTTCACAAATGGAGATGCGCAATAAAAAAACAATCAGCAATTGCTTTATATATGTAGAAATCTCTGTAACCACCAAGTGATGTATAAATTAAAAAAAAGAACAAAAAGTCTGTTCATCACTTCTGATATACGAGTTTATTATTTTTTTAAAGTAAGTTGTTCACTTTCATTGCAAATAAATCATTGTTACAGGGGCCAAATTAGACTGAAAAGTATATTTTTAAATAAACAGCATGTACTTCTTAATATATCATATAACAACATCTTGAATGCAACAAATGCTACAAGTTGATTTTTCCTAGAGGAGGTTGTCAGGTCTGGGGATTTAGACATCAGTTCATTGCCCTGTCCAATGCCCTAATACAGCAGTCTGACTCCCAGATTGGAATGTTTCCTTCGTACCAACCACTAGCAAGAAGCAGAGCCATCCGTTAATGCACACAATATTCAGTATGATTCTGTAAAGTAAAACATGCCTAGTCCTCAAACTATAGTTCAGAAATAGTCGTATCAATTCGAAAAAATGTTTGCACGGTGTAAGTTGTTCGCCTTCTTCCAAGCTTCCCTTCCCCTTCTTTCAATGTAGAGCATTTTTTCAACATCCAACCAATTGAATCGGTCCAGTCTGCCGCTCTCGTCGGCCAAGCAGTAGCACCAAGAACCTGCTCTCGAAGTTGGCCCTCCGTCACCGCCTATATGCAGGCGCAGTCGTGCGGTTGCGTAGTGAGGGAAGGCCAACTTCCGGAACGGTCTGCTGGACTCCAAGGTTCGACCGATCCGAGAAACCGTATTTACGCGACTGCACCAGCATAGACCCACCTTGCCGTCTTCCCGCGCCTCCTGCAGCTTCTGCCTGACGTCTGTCAGCTCAGTCTGCAGGGCCCGGTTCTGCTCCTTCATCTCGCACAACAGCTGTGCCAGGCTCTGTTAACAAAGAGCAATTCCGTCAGAGGTTGGTGCTGTCAGGCAAAAATGAGCACTGGGTGCTCCCGGAAGGGAAGGCTCCGAATGCCAATGCCGCCCTGCTCCCAACCACGTCCCATCTGCAGCTGCTCGTGCCATTGGTCGCTAGAAGAGAGTACAATCTGGGCAGGTGCTTCCTAGATTTCCGCTCGTGAAATACAATGGGACTTCTGAGTCACTGAAAGCTGTCAGAATACTGTGTTTCACGGTACCTGCTCGAGCTTTTTTTAGTTTTTCAATGTTGACCATCTCAACCCCGGAGTAAATGGAGTTCTTTCAAGGTTTAATGAGGCTCCAAACAGTCAGAGAGTTAGGGCCAGTCAAAAAGTGGTTGGCACAAGTTTCCACTACTGATTTCTACCTTGTCCAAAAAAGAGGGATTTTCCACACACTGGCGAATGGAACACCTCCCTAATTATTGCGACTTGAATTTGAATTGATTTGAGCACAGCATGGTGGTTCTGAAACAAGGTCTGGGAGTTTCGGCGTTACTCTCCTTCCTCCTCGACCGAGTCGCAGCTCCTGCTTCCACGATAGCCCAAGGGCTAAGTTTGCAGTCTGGGAATGCACATCAAAGTTAAAACAATGCGAAAAGAAAGACTCACTTTCTCCGCTTGACCCTTGAGGTTCCTGACGTCGTAGACACCAGCTATGGTAGGGCCCTGCGTACAAAGAAACCCGTGAGTTACGGCAAGTTGTCGACCTCTGCCCGCCTCATGATAGTAGACACCGCCCTCCCAATCTAGGTGTTGGAAGGCTCAAACGGGAGACAACTTGGTGGAGAGTTGGTGGGCACACTCAAAGGCACCCAAGAGAGGTTGGGAGCATAGGCTTTGTCCTGACACGTGCAGTACGATGTAGAGAGACCCGAAGAGGCAGGAGGAGAATTTGGCAGCACTGCCGAGAAGCAACGACCCAAGAGCGCAGCTCGCGGACCTAGCTGTAGCGCTGGCCCAGCTGCTGTCTTCAGCCTTTGTCCTACAGCCACCGAGTCTGGTCTCGACAACCAAGTGTGGGCGCATCGCGAGCCCACATGCCGAAAGGAGCACGGAGCAAGGGACGAGACTATGGTCACAGCTACAATATTCGACTACCCAACATGGAACAATTCAGCAAAGTACTCTCATAGTTTTACAAGGCCAGAGTTCACCGATTACACGCTGTCCTCACCCCCTAACCATGTGCCCCATCGCTTGCAAGTTGGCCCTTTTCCCCGACTGGCCCATACGCAGCCAACGGGAGGTGGGTTCAAAGGGGTCATGCGCACTGAGTCTGGCCCTCAGATGGCGCCATTCTGCCACCAGTGCGGGTCCCGTCGCTTTATCCTGCATTCAGCGGGCAAATGGAAGTGTGGCTAAGTTTGCAAACACATACGAAGGAAATCATGCGCACTGGCAAACCAGACGACAAAACGACAGATAGAATATAGTGCTAAGACGAGACCGGCATCCACTGCTACGCAGGTGGTGCGGTGAACCTTGGCTAGCTCGCCTGCGTGTCGGTGCACGTTCAGGGAGCCACCAGCTACACACAAGGGCGATCCGGCGGCCTCGGAGGTGCCGACCGGGCTGCCCAAGCGACAGAAAATGGGTGTGGCCACCCACCCAGCCCTGGACGCGCCGCTTGAGCTCGGCGTGGCGCTCTCGTAGCTGGTCGGCCATAAGCTTGTACTGGTCTCGCTCGCTCTGGCATTGCTCCAGGTCCCGAGTGAGGATTAGCAAGGCTTCCCCCTTGCTCTCCAGGCGGCAGCGCAGCACCCCCATCTGGCAGGAGAGAGCAAGGGGAGCCTTCCTTGCACTCACGCAGCAGTCTTACCATGCGCAAGCTTCGAGACATCTCAAAAACACAAATTTAATATTTTCGCAAGAGACACAGAGATTTGAAAGAAGCTGAAGTTAGAGCGTACACCATGCAATCTCTCAGTTTGTCATAATGGTGGGTGGGCCAACAGTCAAAGACATAACTGGCGAAACTGCAATGAAGGAAGTGTGCGAAAGAGCACAGAAAGGCTGCAGCTGAAAGTACACCAATTTTTGGGTGCATGCACAAACCCTGGCCTTGCAGCACCTCAGGTGAAACTTGGATGGATTGTGTACGAGAACTGGAATAGAAAATGATGATGGGCAGCAGAAAGCACTGGGGAGGACCCTAAAACCAGGGCTGCTCACCTCGCCACAAGCCAAATCTAGTGGCATACGTGGTGAGCCGACCTGGTGACAAGATGAATTTGTGCATGTTTGTCGCAAGTCCTACAGGGAACTCTACAAGGGAGGGGGGAGGGGGGGGGGGGGGGGGGGGGGGACCCATCCGTCGCGCTGCGCTTTACGCCGCTTCGCGGCGACAGTCTGCGGCAACTCATTACAAAAATATGAACTCACTTGGCCCACCCGAAAACGCCGCTTCGCGGCGTCCGACTATTCGCTAAAGTGTCATTCGATGAAACATGGGCGTTCGCTAAAACGTCATTCGATCAAGTGAGTGCCTCCCTTCAGATAGGGAGACTCAAAATGATGTCTATGGGGCGATCAAGAGAACAAATCAATTTCAACCAATTATTTCCCTACCTTTTGATTTCGATTTAGTTTATTTTGAATAGGGAGTTTTAGTAGATCGTTTTCAAAGCCCGCTACCGCTACGGGAGCGCGCGCTTCAGAGCATGGATCAGTGGCATGCATCAAGTGGCAGCGCGAGCTCCTGCTACACAAATGGCGTGGCCGAAAACACACCTACTAAAACTCTCTAATATGTCGTTCTTTTACCCCGAAAATAGAGGAGAATTTCCATTACTAGTTTATGAACATCACCATGGTTCCACAAGCCCATGTGAAGTCCGATTTTATCGTTTTCAGCACGACGCGCGCACCTGCCGCGCGAACGCTCGCGCACCAACCAAACCCGGTGCAAAGCTTCAAGGGCCGAGAGAGATTTCTTTTCTGGTTTCCCCCTTTCGCTGAAAGCTTTGTCTCGTGGAAAAAACTGACAAGTGATTTGACGACAGAGAAGGTAGCGCCCAACGTTGGACAACGTATGGTTGCAACCAGTGGCACCTTCGGCCTTTCGGCCACAGACTGACGTCAACTAAACAGCTCTCATCCCACCGCAGACTTCGGCAGGGCGCAGGCAGTACAGGGGACGGAATTTCTCTGCCGCACCAACGACCCCAGTACCGTTCGGTCATAACTGGTCATAACCTTACCCTACAATCTGGTAAAGCGGTAAATGCCGACTGCTTGCAGCCCCCGCCGGGAACAGCCGCTGGCACCGACCCAAACGGTCGTCCACTTACCTCGCCCACGAGTCTCTGGTAGTCTTGATCGAGCTTGGCGTACTTCGACGACATTATAGACTGGCCGGAGAGACCGCCAGCACTACGACTGCTGACATCGAAGAACGCACAACAACCGCACTGAAGGCCGCTCCGTGTGCTCCTGCTCCAGCTCAGTCCAGCTGCTCTACGTCGGCCACCATCTTGGCCGCCGACCGACCGGAGTCGATGTCCGCAGTCCGCGCATGTGTGCCAACTCGGACAAACGACTCGGACGGCGCTCTCGTCGAGAATGGTTTCAACTAGAAATGTTTTCTGAAAGAGCGCAAGAATGTGAGCCTGCAACTGCAAGTAAAGTTCGCCAAAACTTTTCAAATAATTTTAATTATAGGAATACGATAAAACCGAAACCGAAACCGAAACCAACCCGCAACTGTGACGTCAGCAGCGCCTGTTTCGCCACGGATCACCTTGGTTCGAAATCGAAGAGTTCGAAATTTTCGACCTGAACTAAGGTTCGAAATCGAAAGATATCGATATTTTTGAAACGTATTAAAGTTCGAAATCGAAAAGTTCGCAATTTTCAAACACCGTCGACTTTCCAAATCGAAAAGTTCGAAGCTTTAAGGTTTCTAAAAGTTCTGGGTTTGAACATTTCGAATGACCGACTGTCCACCCCAGGAGAAGGAGGACCTTAAAGCCTGGTGCAAGGAGGCATCGGACTTCCTTCAGCAGTGATCTTCCATGGAAAAAAAACCTTGCATGCTTCATTGTCATATTTATTTATTTATTTGTTTCTTTTTCACAATATGTAGTAGTGCGGCACCACAGGCCTCAGGTATGGGCCAATGGCCTTTCTGTGGTGCCGCAACCCTCCAGGGTTGAATAAAAGATATTATATTATTATATTATATTACCTGAGGTTCAAGATATTTGAGGATTTCGAACTTTCCTAACTTGAAATTGAGATTCGGAAATTTTGAAGTTCACAAAGTATGAAATCCGGTTTTCATGTTCCTCTACCGTTTGTTTTGGATAACGTTTTCACATCTCACTCGAAATCAGGCTTAATAAAAGTTCAGGCACGATATTTACACTGCACAAAGTTGGTGAGGCAATTAAATGAGACGACGAGTGTCCCGGATGTGCTGCATTATTTGCCAGTGCAGAGTGGTGTGTGACCATTGACCAGTAATTGTGACCGCCAGCTCGCCAGGGACTGGCGGTCACAATTACAATTACGTGCATCATGCAGTAGTGGTCAAACGAACGCACTGTTTTACGATACTCATCCAGTTCGAAACGGCCAGGGGCGGGCAGGTGGTCGAGGCTCAGAAAAACACTGAAGCGATCTGGCAAACTACCTCCCCACCCCGTCGCACGATGGCAGTAATTTGATCGAACGCCGCCCGAGTGACACTGGCATATAGTAAGTTTAGTTTGTAATTGCTCTGGAGATTTATTTTTCGGGACGGAGGAAACGCCGAGCAAAAAGCTAAGAGAGGCCTACAGAACTCGAGGTCGAGGAGTGTTTTACCATACCTGTGGTATGGTAGAACCACAGGTATGATTTTACCGTACCACAGGTATCAATTTCCCCCACAGGCAGTGTGTATTGAACATTCCACCGGTCCTGCTGCTTCTGTCCATCGGGTGGGTCGATATAAAGCCCCTTGATGCATTTCTGTTCACAAGTGGCGTCATATCCGCCACTTCACGAGGCGCATACCTTGGCCCTTGGAAGCAAGGTAGCGATGCACCGAAATGAGCGGCCCTTTGGAAGCACAATGGAGCACTCGCTCGTGACACGCATCTTGCGCTTTCCTGCTACAATGGTCGGCGATATTTGTAAGAAACGCCAAGCGTGGATTTCATCGAGGTGTTAGGCAGATAGCGTGGTGAGCGCCACCAAGCGAATGCGCCACGAGATGGCACTAGGCATCTCGAGGCGCATCCGCGAGGCGCATCCCTAACAGACAAAAGCTGCGGTCGAAAGTAGGCAGAAGATAGCTTTCAGCATTTATTTTCGGCAAAGCCGCTTGGCATCACGCTTCCAACAACACTGTCTTAACTTACTTTCAGCATCATTCGCACGCAGACAATAATAGTATAATACATGGGGAGAAAGGAATGTGGATATAAAAGCACGCACTCCCGAACAGTTTCCGCCCACCCAGGAGTGCACAGGGACGCAGTGGCGTAGCAACGGGGAGAGTGGGGGCGGGGGTTTTCATGGGTGCAAAACATCCCAGTCACGTGGGGGAGGGGGGGATGACGGGGCATAGCTAGGCCATCCGGCACCGAGTTGCTTGTCTTTCCTAGTCCCCCCCCTCTTCGTTGGTTGGTTGCGATCTTGAAGAGGGGAAGGGGAGCTACGAAAGACATAAGCGACCCGAGTGCCGGATGGCCTAGCTACACCACTGCAGGGACAGCTTAATCCTGGTATCCGCATAAAGAAAGCCTAGAGAAAGAAGCTCGCGCTTGCCCCTGTCCAGGTACAGGCGCGACGGAAGCAAAATTAAAACCTTTCTAGACATTGCACATGGATGCGACGAGCGAGGTCTGAACCCGAGGAATACCGCTCTTTGGTTCGGTAGCATCATCCACGCATCACGGAACCCGTCCTGCACGTTAAGACGTGGCTCTTGCGTCTTTCCGTTGGATGCAGCGTCGAGTCCGTTGCAGACGCAGCCAGCTCTCCCCGAGCGTGATGTTGCAACTCGGGTTTTGTCGACGGCACTTTCATGTGCCCGAATGTGTCAATAAAACAGGTCGTCTAGAAATTTAGCCCCGGAACGGGCGCAATGTCTCGCAGTGGTCGCGGGAGAGACGCCTCGCACTCCCGACCGTCCACGACGTCTCGCCGCGCAGCAGGCTCGGAGGCACAGTCTCACGTGTGTCCTGACGGGCCTCCTCGCCGCAGTCATATTGTACAGTCTTCAAATGATATTAGCACCATCCAGTTAAAATTAAGAAGTTGCCCGGTGTGACACGACGGCCCCACCGGACGAGCCGCGGCACCCGTCGGTCGAACCGTTGAGGGCAGCTGGTCGTCCCTGAGCACGTGGCAGCCCCGAGAGCGGTCGAGGTCCGCTTCCCAGCAGCACGCACCAGAGGACGCCCCGGAGGACGGCCTGGTCGCTGGCGGTCACCCTCGCCTGGAAGCCGCCCTCGGAGGCCCTACACTCGCTCCGGAGTTCCGTTACAGCTGCACTGTTGTCTGTCTGGAAACGGGGATAAAGAAAGGATCAGAACGCACCAAATCGCAAGTGCCAACGTCAAAGGTTGCAAAAAAAAAAGAGAAAGAGAGCGACAGAAAAGTGGAAAAAGAAACGTAAGCCTTTCCACTCTCGTGAAGAAGGAAGACCAGCGGAGCTGTACTCGATACACTGCCGCAACAAGCACACGCCCGATTCTTCGTCGTCGTCTGTTTTTCGCGCTGTTTGCTACGATGAATTCCCACGAACGCGCCCAACTATTCATTCTTCTATTATAGCTGGAAAGGTTGCCGCCATCTAGGAGCATCGATGGAAACCATACTGCTTGTGTGCTTGCTGCCGTCACTTATAGATGGCGGTAGCTGTCCAGGTAGGTTTGTGTTGGCATACACAGACACGATCCTATGGAACCTATCCTTAACAGCTCCGCTGTAAAAGCGGACGAAGGTTATTCGTATTTGTCTTGCAGCAGCGAGTCGAAGTTGTTCGAGTGCTTGTCATATTTATTTTGAAATGAGTGATGCCAGTGTTTTTCTGCCATGTAAGCTAGAAAAAAATTAGGCACAGACCTTACGGGTGGTGATTGTTGCTGTTTTGTGAAGTTGACACCAGCGATAGGGGCCCATCGATGTGTGCCTCTATGTCCCGCCATTTCCTATTAACTCCATGGTGCAGACACCGGAGATTGTAGAGAAACAGCACCGTTATCTCGTAGGTAGGGTACAGTGTTTCCGGACAAATCCGAAAAAAATCCGAACAGCACTTGCCAGTGAATTTTCCGTCAATTTGGATTTATCGAAATAACTCAAAACTTTAAGTATGTCACAAAAAAAAAAAGGTGTTTGATGAATATATTTTACAAGAACACAGGGTTTGTGGTCCTGAATAGATGTCAATATAGTCTCCTTTTAAATATCGTAGCACTGACAAAAAGGGTTTGCCTTTTAGCTCATCAGGGTTCCCTCAGGACAACGGGTCATGGTGCGCGGAATTTATTTACCTAGTTGTTGAATGTTCTAAAATTGGGATTGCCCTAAGATAAATTCAGAACTTTGGAAAATTGTGGATCTAAAAAAAAAAAAAAAACTTCGATAAACCCCGAATTTTCAGCGAAAAAGTAAACTCCGAAAGCTTCCTCCGAATTTCACGAGATATAAACTCCAAAAACATGGAATCTTACTCGTAGGGAATGTCTTTCTTTCTCCCGCATTCTCCACTAATAATGTAATATTTTAATCCACCTGCGAGCGCTACATTTTGGTGGAGCGAGCCGCAGTGTGTGTGGCATGGTGGGAAAAACATGGTGTCTGTCAAATGCCCCATAATTATAGGTTACCGAGAGGTAACCCTGGTATAACGCTATTTTTATAGCTGCGTTAGGAGCGTGACTTCATTTAACGGTTATGCATGCTGGCTCCTGTGCTCCTGACCCTGGAAGTTTAGCGTTCAAATAGCATGAAGACAAAAGATTTTCAAAATGATTTTTAAAGTTTTTGAAGTGACCCAAACGGTGCAAATAGTGTCGATGCCTAGAAATGGCTGCACCGTTCACTCCGGGGGGGTAGTTCACAGAAAGGGACACTTCAAATCCACAAGGAAGAGCATACCTCGAAAAGGCGGATGCTCAATTTGGGAAATCAACCTGCAGAGTTGGAAAGAACAGCTCGAAAATCACGCAGCCTTCTAGAACGCAGTTGGGGTCACGAAAAGACATCCTTAGGAGTGGCTATCACTTCTGGGCCATTATCAAAATCTTTTTCGCGTTTGGGAGATTTTAATGCCGCTAGATGTCGAGATTTTGCGTTGCCCGTCACTTAACACGAGCCGAACTTGCCGACCTCCGGACGACTCGGCTAGACCCGCGGCCGAAGGCTCGAAAGGAGTGCGGGACGAGCGGTGACTGACCAGGGACCGGTGGTGGGGGGGAGGAGCGGGCGCCCCTCGTCCCCCTCCTGGGGAGACTCCGGGATGTGGGGCAGGTCCCCCGGCGGTCGCTGCTGCCACACCAGGCGCGACTGGGCCTCCTCCGGGCAGGCGGACCGCTTTAGCTGCCGCTGGTGCAGCTGAAACATGTCGGAGCAAGGCTCAGACCCCGTCGGACCGGGGCGGCAGGCTTACCTCGTGCATGTACAGGGTGCTGAAGCTCATGTGGGTTACGGTCGACTCCAGGGAGGCCTCCCCGTTGGACCCCGGGGCACCGCACGGGTCGTTCAGGGCGTGAAGGCTGCGAGTACCAGGACACCTTACAGCCACTGTATGTGGCAGCTGTCCGAATAGCGCTTTTCCCCGTGCCACCTCTCGCCACGATTGGTCTAGCGCAGTACCACAGCAACCGGCCTGGCTGGCTCAGTTACCACAGCAACCGACAAAGCCGAAAAGAAGGACAATTGCCCAAGAAGCGTTCGAATATTTCGGAGCGCCGCCCATGTACAGTCTAAGCTCATTACAACAGACCTGTTTACAACAGAGATTTGGATACACTAACATACCAATTTGTGAAGTTCGGTTGGTTTTCCTCAGCATAACATTGACTCAACCTCCATATCTGCATACTACATACTCTTTTTACAACAAATCGAAATCTTGGTCAAAATCAAGGTCTGTTATAACGAGCTTAGACTGTATTTGTTGCCTGCTTCTTTCGCTTCTTGAGTAGCACAAAGTTCAAATTGTCAGTGCGCATCTCTGCGCGAGTTGAACATACGGTGAGTGAGGCACTCGAAACTTACGTGCGGATAAAAACTTTGCAGTCGTCAGCTAATTGTCCCAGGTGCCTCTAGCGGCTTGGGTACCATGGTAATCTTCGGGCCCAAAAAAAAGAGATTGCTATTGGTGCTTGTAACGTTGATTTGTGCATCTAAGCCTTTTTTGTGTCGTGTCGCTGCCCTGACAGCTAAAGCTGCCATATACGGTGCCATAAGGAGAGCCTCCATGCCACGAGCCGACTGACGAACCCTTTGGTCTCGTGGCGCGAGAGGAAGCGGTCTCTTGCGTCCTCTGCTTCGGCTGCGCTTTCGAAACCGTTGAAGCGAACGTACGAGCGAGCGAGGAAAGTGACCTACAAGCGGTAGACTTTTTCCTTTGGGAGTGCAGCTATTTCGGGAATAATCGCTTCAAGACTGTCACCTCCAGCGTGTCCCCCCCCCTCCACCACTCGCTTGGCTCGAATCCTAGTCAAACTGCAGTCGAGGCCTGGCCTCGCATCCTCCATGCCACAGGGCGCGAGAGGCGGAAGGAATCAAACAGTTTAGAAACATACTTCGTGAATGCGGTACTTAAAAACGTAATACATCATCCGGAATGTCGCAAACATCTCGAGCGTGTGACAGGGATCATACCCCCAGTTTATAGAGAACAATGCATCCGGCTGCACCGAGCAACAAATAAAAATATCCCCGGACAAGTGAGAAAAAAATGCTCGGTGGCAGATAGAGTGAGTGTCCAGATGTCGTTTTCGAGCTGGTCAAGGAGCTGCATGCTCGAAGATGGCGTTCTACCGTTTAGAATTCTCAGCTGTGTTCCCTCGACAAGTGGCCGGAAAGGAAGGAGGCCCTCACCTGGCCAGCAGCCCCCCCTGGCTGGGCAGGACCCCCAGGGGCCCCTCAGTGTGCGAGAGGCCGCCCCGCACGGGCTCCGCAGCAAGACCCCCGGCCTGGCTGTGCGACAGAGCGTCTCCGGGCGGCCGCAGGATGCTCGCCGCCAGACTAGAGTACTGCGTGGGAAAGCGTCCAGTCAGGGCACCTGCACTCCACACTCCTTTCGAGCAATCCCAAAACGAGCTTGTCCTTTCGCACAGAGTCGGCAAACAGAAGCATTATAGTATAGTGCTATTGAGGTGAAAAAATGCGGGCTAGCTGGGGAACTAGCTTCGTAACTCTATTTCACACAGTGTGTGTGTGCTCGTCCGCTTTTCTGTCTATTCCCAGTCTCGGGTTTTTCACTATAGAATTATATAGAACCACATTGCGATGCTCAAAAGAGTCGCGCAGTTTAAATATACAGTTAAACTTGTTTATAACGAACAGCAGGAAACGCCACGATCAGTTCGATATGGCAAGTAATTCGATATAGCAAAAACTATTTATAATGAACTTCCACGATGCGTTCGTTGTTAAGGCGAGAACTTCTTTTTTCTTCCTCATCTTTTCGCTTCCCCCTTGTAACAACGCGCTAAAAAGATTTTTTCTTTTTTTTTTTTACGTGCAGAGTTTGTGTCTTTAGCTTATCTCCCCTTCTGAATCGCTTCTTTTTGTGGGTAATAGTTATGTGATGAAAAGCTTTTTTTTGTTGTGCGTGCGTGCAGAGTATTTTTTAGCTTTCTCCCCCTTCCGATTCCCTTCTCTTCGCTCAATTTTGTTCGCAACTTGAGCCTTTAGAATTTTCTTTCTTTCCTACTTTTTTTTGTGAAAGTGACAGGCTAGAAGACGAATATTTGCGCATTTTTGGAAGCCTTCCCGGGGGGGAAAAAGTTCAATATAGCCAATAGGTTGTTTGTTATACTAAGTACTCTTTACATGCATTTTTATTAAAATTTCTTTTGTGAGTTTGATATCGACAATAATTAGCGGTACGTGGGTTCGTTCTAAACGGGTTTCACTGTATTGCACAAAATATTTCTTTTTTCTGTGAAAACTTTAATTTTGTGGCCTATGTGTTCTATTAGGCGCTTGAATAAAAACTTTCATTTAGTTGAGTGTCTCTCTAAACTAATCCCAAGCGGGGAAAGTGCTTAATGTTGTGCGAGGGTGGGACTCCCCCAGGGTGCCAGGCACGGACATCAATGTTCCAATGCAACGAGTTCCATTGGGGGGAAGAAAGACGGTCAAAGACAAACTGGACGCATTAAAGGGATTGCCTCACCCCTACGCCGAGGGACGACAGGGAGTTGAGGGAGTAGTAGAGCGGGTTGTCCTCCCGGAAGGTGGGCAGCCGGGCAGCGTCCTTGTTCACTGCAGGGAAAGCAGCCCCTTGGCACTCCCAGCCGCCCAAGCAAGGCGCATCGCACCGATACCCGAGGTCCAGCCAAAAGCGCAAATCCACCCCACACGTTACTTTACCGCAGAGGGGCTCGAGTCGCTGTGAGCCACTTGGGGCAAAACGTCGAAGCCCCTACACCACCTGGGCTAGACGACGCAAACTCGGGTCGCATTCCGAGAAACTTATCAATCAAACTGTACAGTCCCCTTCGCGTAAAATTAAGCCTATTTTAAATCTTCCGTTAGACTCTCCTCACTGCGAGGGAAGTGCGCATGCTCGGGTTCTTGGCGCCAGCAGTCACGATTGCAATATGGTACGCTAAAACAAACCTATTTTTTACCTTCCCATACCTGCTGTAGCCAGCACGTGCGAGCCGCGGTACCCTTTCAATTTATCTCGGGTAGCCGATACGTCGTCTCCGGGGACGACTCGCAGAGGCGAGGGACTCACCCTGCTCCTTGAGCTGGCTGAGGAAGGCCGTAGACTCCCCGGGGGGCACCCAGTTAGGGTTGGTCAGCTGCAGGAGGCGCCACGGTCAGCACTCTGGCATCTTCCTGCCTCCCCTCTCCCACCACTCCACTCGTCACACGCACTCCGATCGAATTCGGTTCCACAAGGTACGGACGGCCGAGTTAAATTTTACGAACGCGCCAATATAAAATATTTCGTCACAAATCCAATACAAATATGGGTCTCTGAAATGCTGAGGCTCTATCTAAAATGGGCCGTACAAATTGGCACCTGCAAGTAGCAATCTAAACTTTTTGTCAAAGGTGTATTTCACAGGTTGGTTTCATGCCGTAAAAGTACGAAGCGTAGCTCCCTTTCTGTACAAGATAGGGCCAAAAATCTTGCCAGGTTCAATGACGGACGGCGATGCAGACGACCGCCACTCGACTCGGCCGTCTGCGTCGCCGTCTGCCGTTGACCCTGGCAAGTTTCTTGGCCCAAGTTCTTAGAGAAAGGGAGCTACGCCTGGTAATTTTACGAGGTAAAACCATCCCGTGAAATACACCTTTGATGAGAAGAGTAGATTGGTACGTGCAGGCGCCGACTTGTACTGCCCATACTAGATAGAGCCTCGGCATTTCAGACACCCTATATTTTCAAATGCAAGTATTGTGCTTGTAATGTCCATTGAGCATGCATACTTTTATAAATAACAGTTTGAACTTTATTCACATTAACATACACGTGACAAGAAACTGTTTTATTGCGCGAGAAACCTTTTGCATGTACTTGCGTTTAATAAAAAGAAAGTCTCTGATAAGACAATTTGGGTAAAACATATATAAAATGGCGAGCAAAGCAATGACCACCTTCCTCACGCAAATATAGGTGACAAACTTTTTCAAGCACTGTCATTCAAAATCGATGGTCGATCATAATCGAACCAAAGAGTATTGGTTGAACGAACCAAGGAGGATTGGTTGAATGAACCAAAGAACAAAGTTTGACGAGAAAAGTCAGGAAAGTCCGAAGGCATTATTCATAATTTTAGAATATTCAAAAAACTTCGATAGTTTGTACGGTAAAAGTGTGCTACGAATCGAATGGCATGCACAATCCACAAAGTAATCCAAGATAGGAATATTCGCAGGTCTCCATAAGCCCGAAATGCAAGTTGGGAAGGTTTCGTCTCAGCACGGGATACTCTGCACATTCGAATCGGAGAACCAGTGCCGAGAGGAAACGTCGACATTAAAGTATGGTGTACAGGGGCGATTCCCAGTGTCAGACGTCCGAGTGAAATTTCGACTGCACACCACCTCGACCACCTTGAAGAGTTTGTTCCCCCACCGAGGAAGAAAAGATTGCGGCTATTTGACGAGCCACTTTCGACGGAGCTCGTTAGAGAGAGGTGCGTTTGATCCTTTTCTGGAGCTCCTTTTCAGAAAAATACCCGCGAGAATTGCGAGTGAAGAGGAGATTAAAATGAGGATAGCAAACTAGCGCAAAAAGGGCAAAGGAGAAAACGCACGGTGAAGTGCATGAGTGACAGCTCCGTCTTGCCGTGCTGGGCCTGCTGCTGCGGGCTGGCGTCTCCGGCCTCCTGCACGGCGTCCGGGGCCGTCCACTGCAACCAGGGAAGCGGAGAGCCACGCCTCAGGCACCTGTTGCAGTTCCCACAAATAGCTCTGGCACTAGAGTGACGCAGTGAGCTTGGCACTTTGTCCTTTCCTGTTCAAAGCGGAACCGTGGGGTGAGCACATTTCTGCTCCAATCTCGCCAACGGCGTTGCGCAAGTAGCCATTTGCACGCCGTTTCGGGATAAGTCAGAAATAGGGAAATGCTTTCGTTGCACGAACGATGCAAACCAGTATCCCCAAGAATCGTACAGAGCGAGTTCTCAAATCTGGTTCCAGGAATCTAGATGGCCCCTAAAACCTGCAGTTCCAGTCGTCACTCCAGATCTTCCAATTCTGCAGACACCAAACAAAACAAAAAGGGTTTGCTGCGTTTCTCTTTTGCCACGTGAGGCTTCTCCACTACCTTCACCCAACAAACAAAAGCTAAGGGGGAAAAACGGGGCACCAACAAACAAAGCAGGTTGACTATTTACAATAGCTTTTTTGTCAGAGGCAACTTTTGGACTCGGGACACCATGCGGCGCAACTTTCGACAGGCACGCAGTGGGCCTCTCTTTTTCGAGTCAACGCTTCCTCGACGTTTAGCGGAACGTAAGTGTTGCACCCGCTTTCGTAACCGACCGTAGGTCGTCCTCGGGGGCAGAGGAACGAAGCGCACGTGGCCGGAATCCCACCTGCGGGCAGCCGTGCCTGCGGATGTCCATCTGGGCGAAGGAGCAGACGTCCCCGACCCCGACCACCTCCACGGTGAAGTTGCGCAGGAAGTCGACGATCTCGGGGGCGCGGTGGCGCAGCACGCAGCACAGCACCAAGGGGGTCACCAGGGGACTCAGCAGCTCCTCCAGCAGGTGCACCTGCACCAGCAAAAACCTCCTGTTGTGTCCGGTCCACCAAAAAAAGGGTGAGCAACCCTCTTCCTACCGGCCTTCGTAACGGTAGGGTGCCTGGAATGCGTCTCTGACCAGCACGTTTACGGCCCCATGCTGCCCACGCGTTCAAAGAGGTCCCAAAGTACCAAAAAAACTGCGTCACAATCCGGCTCTGTCATGTAAAAAGATGCACAGACGCAAGTGTCGTCGTCGTCGCAGCATCCCAAACCCAGCTGCCTAAGCTCTCCTAGACCGTCAAGCCAAAGAACGGCCAAACGGGCATTTGCCCCCTCCGAGCAGTGCCAGGGTCGCGGCGCGACCCTTCCACGATGTCGTCAGGCAAAAGTCGACTGGCTACAAATCAGGATGCAGTAAAGGTGCTCTTCAGGCACCACAGTAACGGTAGTTGTCGCACGTGGTCAAACATTCCTCAACCGAACCCTTGCTGGCCAGTTCCAAGAGGAGAGGAGGAGCGCCACATACCGCCTTGTACTGGAACAGGTGTGCAAACTCGTCCCTGACAGCGTAGGTGTGGCACTGGCCCTTCCAGTGGTCCGGCATGTAGTGCACTTGGGCCAGGATGTTGGTCATCAGGCGCTCGGGGCACCACACCAGGTGCTGCGAGAAGAAGGCACCAAAATCGGCAAACCGGTCGGCCGGCCGCTTCGGGAACTTTCTTTCCCCATGGAAATGAACCCAGAGTTCTCATGCTTTAGTTCAAATTTCAATCCGAATGTTCGTTCTCTCCTGGCTCCTCGGTCGAAGATGCAGCGAGCTACGAGGTCCCGTGGAGGGGTTCAGGTTGTTTGACCTGACACCTGGGACCGATTAGAGGCAGTATTTCTCAGCCCCTACAAGGCCCCGCAAAGGGGTCAGAGCACACATTGCAAAATCGGGCGCATGAGCAGCGGCACACACCACGAGTGGCGTCGCGGGATTTTCTCGTGGCAACCATAAGCCGCCACGAGGGGAAGTAAGATGGAAGTGACTAATTCCTAGACACAAAGACCGAGAGAGATGCCAAAGAAAAAAGACGGCCGAGCTGCTTCCGTCGCAGAGCTCGAGTTAGAAGGACCGAGAGGAGGGGAAGCAAACCTCGTCCGGGATGATGGCGCGGCACACGGCGACGATCATGCCCAGCACCGTGATGATGCTCAGCACGTGCTCGACGGTGAGTACATCCTCGTCGTACACCGTGAGCGCCAACAGCACCGCCAGGATGGAGCCCGCGAAGAATGCCGCGTTCCTGCAGAAGATGATGTGCGATAGGTGCACAATCTGAGAACCATGCAACATTCACCACTCTCCAAGGGGCCTGCGCAACAGACCGCACTACAAGCACCTCCGGCCACGTCCCAGAAGTACAGTAGGTAATCTCTCGTTATAACAAAATCACTTTTTTCGAATTATCACTTTTATCCAAGTTCAACATACTCACGACCGAAATGCATGCATTTTGAACAGAATTATCCAAAGTATATCGGCAGCCGACCACGCTTCTTACAAAGGCCGAGGTGTCGCCAAAGAATTCGACATTCCGGCATCGGCTGTTCGACACTGTCCACCATTTCACAGAACAAGCGAGGCATACTGGACGGGTTCGACAAGTTTCTCATGCAAGAAAAAGCGCGCTCTCGACCCGAAGGTGAAAGATCACCAACTGCTTTGCGCGTGTCAGATTTTCTCTTGTGAGCATGCTTGCCGAGCCAGCGCACGATTCTCAGAGCTGCAACGACCTCTACAGGAATGTGTGAAAACATGTTGGCAAAATCACCGAGGAAAACTTTGATTCATTCGCGCTTGTGGATGCGGACGTTTCCATTGTTGCTCCTGCCACGGATGCTGTGATCGTAGACCTTGTGTGCGGCCAGGGTAAACACGAAGCGACATCAGAAAGGCACTTCGGGAAACGCCGACAACAGCGGAGACACGAAACATCCTACGGAACAAAGTGGAGTGCAGCGGCGGTGACAGTGTTCTCGAGATCCCTGGAGCAGTTCGAGGAGAACTGATGCTCGGATGAAATTATCAGCACACACAACTTAATTAATTATTTTTTTACTCAGTAAAGCTGCCACTTGTTCATAACCATTGTTTGATTAAATATAAGGTCAGTGTTCCTCAGTGCTCCCGTCCACAACGAAGGCTGCTGGCACTGTTCTTTATGGCTCTATCACTTTTATAGAATTACCGATTAGTATATTGAATTTTTTTCCATCCCGTTGACTTCGTTGGCGATCTTTCATCTTCGGGTCACGGGCACGCTTTCTCTTGCATGAGAAACTTCTTAAACCCGTTATAACGAGGGTTTACTGTATAACTGGACAAATTAACGAATCTGGCCTCAGATAGTACCGCTCGTGACAAAGCCCCTGTTGTAGCGGACATATGTAAGGAACATAAAAAATTCTACCGAGACTCGCCACATGTGAATGCTAGTTTACGGGTGGCCAGCAATGGGTCTCAATTCCCGTGGTGCCACCCCTAGTTTTCAAACCCCTGCCGGCGGCGCTGCTGGCCAGAAAGACGTCTTTACTCACTTGGCAAGCACGTTCATCAGGTGGGAGGTGAAGATGCCCATGTACTGCGAGGCTGGCCTGTAGCCCCGGCACAACCTGCACACAAACCCCACGTTTCAGCCGTGCCTCAGAGTGGCAGCACATTTCTGTGTGGTGCCAGAAAGAGCTCGTCCGGCATGTCCTCGAGAGTCTTTGCCCTGACAGTGATGTTGGAATATACCGAGCAGCTCACTGAATGAATGGATGCACAGATATTAACGGCTGTACCATTTATATAGTCGCTTGCGCCACCTAGCCTAAAAATTAAAAAAAAACAAATTGTCTTAAAAGCTGATGCATTTCTGAAACTATCCCCCGGGCATTGGGGGTGATTGCCAGGATAAACTTTAGGGTACATGCACCATGTGCCTCTTCCCGCCGGTGAGGGAGTAACCAATTTTCCTAGAAGTGCACCTCAATCAGGTTGCCAGCAACCTAGATTTTGCCCGAATTGCCTCGAAGCCCAGCTACAAGGATGGCCAATGCAACTTCCAACGGAGCTCTAACTGGCCTCACGTTATGCGGAAAGTCGCTTGCCAATGGGGCAACAACTCATCAGCCGTGCTGGCGCTCTCGGGTACACCTGACCTCCGTCCCCGTATCGAGGTCAGCCACGGGGGTACAGGCCCAACATTGCAGACGTCTCTTTTTGCTTAGAACTGCTGGTTCTTCACATGGACTGTACGACACCGACGGGTGTCAAGTATAGTTTTGTCCGATCGGTGGAATAGTATGAAAAATTGACTGTTTGGCATTAATTTTTTGTAGAATGGCCTTCGTGTCGCGTTCAATTTTACATGGAGGGCAATGCTGCCTGAATGAGGTGCATTTTCCACGAGTGTGCTAGGGTGTCGAGGCCAAGATAGCGGATCCGGGACTGTACAGGCGCTCCCATACTCGACCAAAATAATGCGGGCATTAACGGGACTTTGTCGCGTAATCGAGGTCGGCCCGCCGGCATCTTTCTCGCACCTTGGACTTCATTATAAAATGAATACCGTCATGCCCAGTCTAAGCTGATATTTTAAGCTCCATTTTCATTGCTCTCTGTATCCCGAGTTTTGTAACAATTGTGCGTAACAAAACCTCGCCTGAGCGATGCAGGCAAACGCAAAGCAGCTTCTTGACAAAATGAGCGGGGAGGAAGGGAAGCGGCCCCTGCCTGGTGTTGAGCTCGTGGTCCAGCTCGTTGAAGTGTCGGAGGTAGAGGCGGCCGTAGAGGGACCACATGCGGGAGCCCAGGAAGCCCGGCTCTCGCTTGATGATGTCTGCGTAGCTGAAGAAGGAGTACAGCACCTGCCAGACCAGGATCACTGGCAGGAACACAAGGTTGGCCAGGCCCACCCAGAGGATGTGCTTGGAGAGCCTGCAAGGGGGGGCATCTACGTCACTTCGTCGCCCTCCGCAAAAAGGTCCCAAACCGAGGAACACTTCCCCAAAAGCTCAGGACAGCTTGTCGGCAGTCCCTTTAGCTGCATGCATCAACGTGTATTGGAGAGGAGATTGTGCCCTTAGTGGCTAACTTCCCAACTATTACACCCATGGAGACGACGACAGCACAGTATTTGACCGACTTAGTCAACTGCAACGTACGGCTGGGGCTCGCATTCTCCGTCGCCCGAGGGGGGCTCTTTCTCTTGCGGCCACTCCGTCCGCGTTAACTGTGCAGCATGCACCGTCCGGCACTACCTCGGCACAAACGCCGAGGTGGGTCAAGCTTGCATCCTCAGATGACTGCCTTCCAAATTATTGAAATGCGTCACATTGATTGTTCGTAGAACTCTGACGCTGCACGATTTCTTAAAATTTTCATCACGACCGCGCTCCCCAGATTTGCTACACAAGCACACGAAGGCGGAAGCATGAGCGGCACAATCCCTAAACCGCTTTCGGAAGGCAGAATGGTGGCAAAGATGCAAAAGATTCGGTTCACTGCGCCGTCTAAATAAGAATTAGAAGCAACTTCAATTTTTGATGACAACTGCGCAGGACTCGAGAGTACACAAATACCGACGGTGGTTGCTTTCACCGAGCGATGCACCCTCTCACGGATAATTTCAGGAAACTGCCGCCACCTCTGTGACTGGCTGAAGTCACGGGCCACCTCTCTCGCATCCTACCACTGCCGTCAGGGCTGCCGCGAGACGACACAGAATGGGTGCACCACAATAGGCAATACCGGGGTACTCACTCATTGGCCAGGGTCTCCCGGTGAGTGCCCCGCTTGTACTCCTCCTTCAGGTGCCAGTTGTTCTCGAAGGGAGCCCACGGTCCCCCTGAAACCAGACGAGGGAACGACAAACATCGGGTCGGGCGTCTGGGGATGCTGTCAAATTTCAGGCAAGCCCACACGAGATTCTCTCGCAACAAACCACTAGTCAGACCAACCCGCAAAGACTCCTTTGCAACCTTGGAGGGAGAGATAATGATGCAATTTTCTGAACCTATCCTATTCATAGATACACCCTGTCAGGAGCCACTGCCTCGTGTGTAGACTGTATCAAATCCATGCAATTTGATATGAGAAAACAATTCAGATGTGCGAGTTTCTACCTGCTCGAGTAAACAGTCAAGCACCTTCGCTTGCCTAAGATAGGCACCGACTGTTGCGGCACGCAGCCTGGCAGTTGGAAGGAAACATGCTGCCCCAAAAACATACGCAAAAAAACAGCTCTATCCAGAGTTGTCGAGGACCCAAAAGCACTAATATCTGAGCTCCCATGTACCCAAGTGCTCGAGAATAGCTCAAAATATGCGTGGGATCAAATCAAACTAATCCTGTCGGTCGATTGTCCCAGTTTAGCGAGAATAAAAGTGCTCGGGCTCTTGCCAGGTTCCCACGAATGAAGAATTTGCCTCCGTTGAGCTCTGGGATTAAATGAGACTCTAACGGAAATGCTGCCCTCTTTATTCGGCAGAAAAACAGTGTATTCTCTATGTGTGACGTTGAATCTGCTCGTGACATTGCGTCTCTTTTCAAAATCGCCCCCCAGTTAAAAAAAAGATTGATCCTCCATTAAAAGCAGTTCCCTCCGAAGAAAGGGACATAAAAACCTATGAACTTGCGAGGGGGTGCTACGACTTACAGAAAAGGATGACTTGCAGGTTGAACTTGAGGCCGTGCGTCAGGAAAATCCTACGAGAAGAGAGCAGACCGGTTCAGAGAGTTGGTCGGAAAAGAGCTAACTTAGGCTTCGTAGCGTCAACGCTCCAATGGAACGGCAAGAACCGAGACGTCTCAAGAGGAACACCCCCCCTCCCTTTCTTCCGAGGTGCAGAGGGGTCACTCACACTTCTCCCAGCAGGGGCAAGGTGAAGCGCAACGGCAGTACCTCCTTGTTCACCATGGCCACCATGTAGTTCTTGTAGCGCAGGATGCGATGGTATATGTCTGTGCACAACAAGAGACACCCTCAGTGATTTGTGGCAACATTCTTCCTATCTGGCACTTTCTCAGAACAAAACATCTCTCTTGGCACACGTCACTTGTGCAAGAGAAACCAACGAGAAGACTCGTGCCCACCACCTTATGGAGTCCTCGAGCAGTCCCAGTACAGCAATCCTCGGCTGTCTCTGGTTTGGGGAGTAACTCACCTTGTTTTTCTATAACTGTCATTCTTGGGGAAATATTGGAGCTGCTTTGACAGCCACTAGATGAATGTACTTTTAAAAAGTGCCTATTACTGGGTCTTGGAAAACGCCTAAAATACAAAGAAGACTGCAGCATTCTGCGTCAAAAGGACAAACGGCACTTGTGGGACCAAATCCAGCCCCGGGCTCCTGAAGGGCGGCTCGCCTCAGACCCCTCACCGAGTTCGGTGAGCTCCGTCTTGTGAATGCACATCTGCTGGTCCTTCTGCACGTCCAACAGTCGCCGCTGCACCTCGTGCCATGTCATGTTGTCCAGGTCGTTCTGGATGCAGGGAACCAGAAACCACTCTGATGCTTTCCCACGCGACACAAAACCCTCACCGCCGCTTTCCAACCCCCCCCCCCCCCCCAAAACGAGTTTTATTTGTTGTGACACGTAACTCGGCCAAAGTGCTTACTTCCCAAATGCTTCGTTTGCCTCCGGTGTTGGCCTGCAGTTTGTGGTAACATTAACGATGCACATTATGGGTCAGCAGAAATATCAACTCACTATGGCCGAAAATCTAGTTCCTAGCAAAACACAAAATGCCAAACACCCATTTCAATTCCCGATAGTTCTCGAACACGTGTTCACAGGATGGTCCAGTGAAGGCCGACAAACACTCGACGCTCTTCAGTTAGGCTGGCTTGCACCTCCCAAATCCTCTTCCCCTTTTTACAAATGCAAGCTCAAAATCTTTGCATTTTAATTTAAGTAAAGACTGCAACCCAGCCTTGATTTCAGTGGTCAGATCCATATGCTGAGATTCTATTTGTAAATATATTGATGCATTCACCAAATTTCCTGCACAGTTGAATGGACCACTAAAATTAACTCCTGCATTGCGTCATTGGAAGCGTGCAAGAAAACTTTTTTCCGCTTGTAAGAGGAAAAGTGGACATCACGAGCAAATGAACAGAGCGAAAGGGCACGGCGGGAACAGCGCTGCAGCCTTACAAAACCAGCCCGGTCCAGTTCAAGCCGAAGACGGCTGCGTGCATCGGGGCAATAAATGCTAACGCACCAAAAAATGTTTCCAAACAAGACTGGTTTTACGGCACAAGAATTGTCCATGGCAACCTATATCGGTACAAATTTGGGGAGAGCAAGAGATGGGAGCGTGCGGGGATGTCGGAACATGACTCGTGGGTAGATGCAAAGCTTGCTGCCTTTTGTTTTTGCTCACTGTTCAAACGCGCGCAAAGAGTGCATCTACCCACAAATCATTCCGACTGGAGTTCGGCGTTATGATGTCCATGCGTGCTCTCCCTCCATTTCTCGCCGTACGTGCACCCGACAAAGCCCGTGGCGCCGCGCGTTCAGTGCCCCCGGCCGAGCCACCTACCGAGGAGATGTGCAGGGCGTTGAGGTAGAAGGCCCGGATCTCGACGAACTGTAGCAGCTGGAAGGCCACCTTGACCGCACGCAGGGTCCAGAACACAAAGGCCACCACCAGGAAGAGGACCACCGAGGGACTTAGCCTGCAATACCAAGGGGCGTTGGGGTGCCGCATTTGGGGCTCTTGCGGGCCGTGGGAGAAGACCCTAGGGGCCGCGTTTCGCCGGCTCCCCAATAAACCATACTCGAAATAAAAGGGTACCTCCTATTGTCTCTTCGGCACACTACGGCAATCCAATGTACAGCGCATGAAGGAGCATGCATGTGTAGAAGGAGTGGCTCATGTATGTTTACCTTTTGCGATTTCAAAAAGCAAAGAAAGCGGGATGATAAGGAGACAGGATCCAGGGTACACGGAGCGTACAAACCGGCCCGTGTGTATGTTGGAACTTCCCCACAATTCCCTGCACAGTGCAATCTGGGATTGACGAAAGGCCTTGTGGTCTATAGACTGCCAAACACGGGACACAAACATGTTTCTAGAGCCCAGGAACAATGCAGTAGCCTTGTAGCGAGAACATCCGACTTGTTCCAAGGGTTGCTGCCGGGATCATTTTCAACACTCCGCGACGGCTGGGGCAATGCATGAGGGGCATCGCTACAGGAACGCATCTCCCACTGGTGTCTTTAGAGTAGTGGTGCAAAACTATCCATATTACTATACATAGTGGAAGCCAAATCTAACTATAGATTAAAAAAAAACAATTGATAGTAGACTATCGTAAAACTATCTATATTATACTAGCAGCGGTCGACTATTGTGAAACCATCAATAGTCGACTATTACGAAACTATTGGAACAATCTCTATTGGAACAAGGGAACAATCTCAAACCTACTAAAAAAAACAATTGTAAAATGGTAGAAATCCTTTTTAGAAACTATTGACAATAAACTACCAAAAAACTAATGATTGTATACTATCGAAAAACTATAAATAAAAGATATTGATACTGAAATATTAACTTTTTTCTTCATAGGTTGTTCAAGTTTTTTTTTGCCGTTCTAGATTGTTTGTGGGAGTTTGTTTTTTCTACGCAGAGCTCAATAAGCAATACAAAATCCCCTTCGTCATACCTGATAAGTGAACTATGCGTCGCAGAAACCTGAAACCCTGCTTGAATATCACGGTAGCGAGCAATGGTGATCCAATGCGAAAGCATGAAGACACGACTTTACCCGGATGAAAAGATAAGTGTGGCATCTTTTTCGAACAAAGAGGTTCTGAGAATTATTTGAGAATGCAACTTTACGTTTAGTTTCCTTCGATTTCATGTTTTTCCCAGAACCCCGCACTGTCTGCCTGTACATATCCGTCGTCATCTCCTTTCTGGGTCACACTTTCATTTTTGTAACACTCCAAAGTTTTCTTGAAAGTTGACGTTCAAAAGTATCAATATTGAACCGAGAGCCAACTGTTGATAATACTATCGATAGTCCACTATCAATAGTTTTCGAAACGATCGATAGTTTCGGAAAAACTATATGGATAGTATCGATAGTTTTGCACCACTAGTTTAGAGTCCTACTCCACCCATGCATCGAAGCTGGTCCCGAAAGGGCAAGAAATGAAGTCAACAGAGCCGAAGAGTTACACTGTCAGATCTCTGGGTCACTGAAGTTGTGACAAAAAGTATGAACAAACGCGAGTGTGGCCATCATAACAGTATCCCAACTCCTGGCAGCAGCAGGCACCCCCCCCCCCCCGACCGGCCCTCGAGGCGGCAGTCTAACGCGGAACCCCCTGAGCGGCGCACCTGGAAGTGCAGCGTCCCAGGGGCACGAGGACGTCCCCCAGGGTGACCTTGGTGGAGTTGTGGGCGGGCAGCCGGTCCTTGAAGAGCACGGGGTAGTCCACGCACTGCACCAGGTACGTCGTGAACAGCACCACAAACAGGAACTGCCTGCACAACGCCGCAAGGGTGGCTTTCACGTCTCCAAGCAATGGCGATCTAGGGGCACCGGTTGTAAAAACGCCTCGAAACTTGGCTAGTTCCAACTGGCCGGAGAATTTGCGAAATCTGGTTTCAGACTTGTTGGTGAGGGACAATCTCGCTAGAATCAGAAAGCATGTACGGTGGCGCGGCATGTACGGAAAGCTACGTAAAATAAATATTTTGTGGAACTAAATGAAAATCCTATCCTACACTGTAGATAACCAGTACACTTTGCATCGAGTGGTCTACGTTGTGGCCCTCCCTAACATTTGCTGGACGCAGGGAAGCATTACATTTGTTGGCGAAGTCATTGCCGACAAGTGCAGTGTTACCAGCTTTGCTGCCAGCATATCCTCCGCTAGACAGTGGAATTTTGCAACATGCAGATTACAGTAAACAGCATTATTTTCACTCACTCAATCTTTTGTGAAGTGTGGCTTTCGGGAATATCTTGGGGCTACCTGATTTTGGTGCTACGGAGCGATATGCTATGTATTCGTTACCATGGGTCATAACTTTTGCACACTATTTTTTCAGTCACGAAATTTTAAAAGTTAGGTCCTCGCCAAAATCAGGTAGTTTACATTATATAGACCAGTGTCTGCTCTGTTCCATGGGTGCCACCATGTTTGTCCATGCTGACGCCACGACACAGTAATGGGGCTGCGCTTTTTTGTGACTGTTTTTTTTAGAAACCTTCGCACATGTCGTAGTGCAAGAACGTCAGAAATGCATAGTTATGAAGCTCCAAGAACAACACCGGTGCCAAGAGTGCTGTAAAAAGCAAAAATCTTGTTTTATCCGCAGATCCTCTCTTCCCAAGAGCCTGGGACTGATTATTATTTACAATTTTTATCGCTGGGGCCTCAGATTTCTGAGTGTGATCGATTGCCTCCTGAACAGGGGCGGACACATATTTCCAGAGGGGGGGTAAGGCGTAGGTCAGCGTATCACATATTTAAGACCCCCCCCCCCCCCCACTTCCACACCCTAAATTTTTACACATGCAGAATTTGGGAGGGGGGTCAGGATATCCGGACCTCCCCTCTCAATACGCCACTGCTCGTGAATATACTCGATATGACAAGAATGTATACAATGCTAGGGATGCGTTACACATTGGTGAGGTTGGGCAACAAATATCGAGACCAGAAATTATACTTCATTGTACCATGAATGCTCATGCAAAACCTTCCTGGAGCTGACAAACCAAGAAGCGCTACAGATGTCAAATTTAAAGAAAAGATAACAGCTGCATTTTGTTACAACCAAGCTGGATTTATGGCCCGAGGAAAGGAAACTCGCAGCGTCGCCAAACGCTACCTGCCTCCAAGCTGACACAAACATGAATGCAAAGTTGCAGCAAAATGCTGGTGGGCAAGGCCATGTTTGGAATACGGGCAGAAGACACCACCGCAAGCAGAGTGTGCTTGACAGCAGCCTGACTGTAGCCAGATCAGTTTGTTTCCTTTCGTATCTTGGGCATAAAGGATGGTAGCAATGCCATCCTTCAGGTTCCAGTTTTTTGTCACCCGTCATGGGAATGCACCCTTTCAAAAAAGGAAACAGACCCCCCCCCCCCCCCAACTCCAACCTGTGACATGGCACACACTTTGTTTTTGCTTACTGCACTCAGTCTCGGCTCATGTACAGGATACAATGCCACGGGAAGACATTAGAAACCTGAAAGACGATAGTGCTTCTAGGCCTTTAAAACCTTAAACGGATACTACAACGAAATTTTGGCGCTCATTTTTTGGTCTATATGTGTTCAAAAAAGCACGATCAAATCGAACATACCAATATCTTGTTAAAAAAGTCACGAAAAGGAATTTTAAAACAAATTAAACGATTAGCAAAGAGCACCTGGTGGATGTCGCTAACGCCTCGCTTGTAATTCCCGTCTAGCAACCTTGGCAGCTAGTGACGGAGGTTGTCTCGCCTCCGGCCACGACGAGAGAAGAGGGGCAGGAGGAACTCCCCTCTTCCCGAGAATGCCTTTTGTGCATCGCAGAAGTCGCTATTGTCCCCCTACAAGATTATAGAAGATTATCCCGTCACTCAAAATTTGTACAAAAGCAGCCGCTTCGGTGGCTGGAACGACTAGGCCATCCTCTCGACGTCAGCCTCGCCGTAGCTTTGCTCGTCTTGAGACGACCTACGTCACGACTGCGTTGGATGTCACGTGGTCTCCGCTGGGCCTTCTCCGAGCGCTTGCCAGAGTGGGCTGTTCATAACTAAAAATACAGCCAACAGGCTCAAAATACAAACGTGCGATTGCCATTTACGGATATTGTGGATCATATTCAACGTATTTTTGAACACGACGGGAATATTTCAAATTTCGTTGAAGTATCCCTTTAATGGAAGGAACATCTAGATACAGCCTTTGAACCTCCCAGCATGACTCTCCTCCCTTCTGGTGACAGCCTCAAAGGCAGGTGAGGCCAATGCCCAGGGCAGCAAGCATTCCCAGGCGAGTGAGAACTTACAGCAGCTCCAGGACCTCGTACAGCACCATACAGGTGAGGCCATGCTTCTGGTGGTACTGGTAGACGTAAGGCCAGGGTTAAGGTCACACCACACGCTGCTCACACCAGTGGTCAAAGGTACAACCAGAACGGTGAAACTTCTTCCAGAAATGCTATCGTGATGCGACAGGATTTCACAAATACATTCTGTAATCATGTATTGCGATACAATTTTTCAATCACTATCTGTATTTCAATATCGAAATACATTTTCCAGCGTATTCCTGGCATTGCAGGGAGGCTTTGTCATCGAGCACTCCGAGGCTCGTTCAGAACGTTGAGTCCCCGACATCGGTGACCCTTTGTCCTATCTGCAAACATAACCTGTATGCCCTGCTGGATGCTTCGGGTAGCCGATTATGCTTGCAAATTCCCAATGTTGATACACCATTAGTACAACCTTTACAAGCATACATTGCCCTTTGTGTCCCATTTACTAGACAGGGGTAATGTTGCTGCGTCAAGATCATCAGATAAAAGAACACCAGTTTATGACAGAATGATGACGCAAAATCACGGCCGAAAGAAGCACCTGGATTCGACAAGTGGATATTGACGTACCAAGACAATTTGGGAGGGTGTGAAATAGATTTAGAGGTTCACGTCATTTTGCTTCAAAGTCGCGCAAGATGTCTGAAGGAAAACAGCGCTGACTGTGCTCCTTTCTGTATGAAAATATTTTTAGGGGCATGACAAGAATTATCTGAATCGAAGAGCGCCATATCACTCGTAGCCTTCAGAGTTCTTAAAAAGCCCACAAAATGCCAGCTCCCTTTGCAGTGTTGCAGCTACAAATGATGCTGCTCTATTCAATCTGAAACAGTATTCACACACCCCTAAAAAGTTTCCCAACCTATGGAACTTGATTTGTACAGCTCTACCCTAAAAACCAAATGCCAATTCTTAGGCTCCATGATCTGTCTGGACCTTCCCAAAACATAACCAAGTGCAGATGTTCAGTCATTTTTTTGTCTTGTATTGTTTGCATGTAAAAAAATATAACATACAGCATCCCATTTCTATTTCATTAATAGCTTGTCCCTAGTAATACATGAAGCCGTGACATGTTTTTGGCCCAGCAAGTTTCCGCAAGGTGTGCAGCGAGCCGTTGCGCTTGACCTTTGACCATCCCCGCTAAATCTAGCGGAAAGTAAATAGCACTGAAGTGGAGGTCACACAGGATGGCAGTGAAGTGAAACCAAACATAAATGCCTTCTAGGATTGACTGCCTTTAACCGGCACAGACAAAGAAGACAGTTTTTCTCAATCAACTAGAACAGTTTTATGTTGTTCCTTCGCTGGAAATAGTTTTTCGAGCGAAGGAGTTGCAAATGCCCTTTTGAGAACCTCCAGCATAGATAAAAAAAAACTGAAATGTGCACGAAAAAAACACCAGCAACACCGAAGACCGCTAAAAAGGATATTCTTGTGAAGAAGGAGTCCAGGTCTTCAACGTGGTTCCATCGTGCTGCAAAGAGAGAAGGAGCTCAACTTCATCGCAGTTCGCCACGCACAACTGTCGGTCATTGGGCTTTGTCCCATTTTTGTGCGCAGTAGTGTCAATGTACTGTACAATTCACGGGTACGGACACAGCCGTCTCCAACCCCCTGGGTGGCTGGACTAATTTGGTGGTCATTCAATATTTGTCTTTTTTTAATGAATAAAAGAAGAAAAAGAAGTCATGACTCTGGGGTAAGGGAATGGGGGGTTTAACCCCCCCCCCCCCCCCCCCCCCAAACAACCCCCCTGCCTACGCTGCTGAAGCATTGCTTATTTTTGTCTACCGACTCCGCGATACGAAGTGGGTTGCTATTGGTCTGGAGTGGCTGCTACAGTTTGCAACAAACACTAGTCTAAAGCGTTCAATAGCCTCTTCCCTCTAAAAAAGCTTTGTGAAAGTGTGGCGGAGCAAGGACCTCAAGCGACGCTCCCAAGCTGCCTTTTGAGTCAGGGTAAAGGGTGCTGAACGACGGCTTTTTCTGTCGAATGCTTTTGTTGCCACACGATCAAATCAGGGTGCTGCAAGGCTGATGAAAATCCCCTAAGTGACTCTAGCTCAGTTTCGCCATGGTGTAATACGCCAAAACAACAAGGGCGAAAACGAAGGGAGAACTGGACAGGACGCAGCGTAACTTTCAACTGAATGGTTTATTTCCATCACATATTTTTAAAAACAATAAAAGCAGGCACACTTGGCAGAACACAACGATGTGGTCTACAAACACATACCCCTCAAATGCCAGCGTCATTGGTTCTTCAAATAGCAGAATTCTTTATCAGACAAGGACAAAAAGGGTGTGCCTACACAAAAATTGTCGTGGTGGGACCTAATCAAGGAAGCCTTCCTGAATTTCACTGGTCGTTTTGGTTTTGTAGCGCAGCCTCTTTGTCTTTGTTTGATAAAGAATTCTACTATTTGAAAGACCAATGATGCTAAATTTTAGGGGTGTGTGTTTTTAGACCATATCGTTGTGTTCTGCCAAGTGTGCTTGCTTTTATATTTTTAAAATTGTGTCATTGAATTGAAAGTTACACCACGTCCTGTCCAGTTCTCCCTTTGTTTTCATCCTTGTTTTGGCGTATTACACCATGATGCAAAACCAACTAGCCCAATTAACCATCCTCAGTTTCACCCCGAGCCATTCCTAGATTGAAACCCACAGTAGGTGTGCTAACTGCAAGCACATTTGCGCTTCATGCACAGTCCACTAACAGAATGTTTAAAAAGAGACACGGTCAAAACAAGCCTCTCCTCTTCTCTTTCACCAATGTTAACGAATTTAACTCTGGTCTAACTGTGACGCCCACATAAAGACTCTGCAAGAGTGGGCAATCTCCAGAACCAAAGCAGAGAGCGCCCCAAACTTTCAGCCCTTATCGGAGTCCCCTACCGAGGCAGGAGAAGAAGGCCAGGCTATGCTAGGGCGGCTGCAGACAGGTTGGACTTGCTGGACAAGAGACACTTTTCAATGCTGCGAGCAATATGGGTGATTCCCACGTCCTAGTAGTCGCTTCCAGCACATAGCATTTGAATCCAATCCGAAAGCATGTCCAGTAGACCCCTCCCAGAATTTTTGTTCCATCTAGTGGCTCAAATTATATTTTGCCATATTAATGAAGGTACTAAAAATGTAGTAGGTATATTGCGAGCGACTTTATTTTCCTAGCCTCAATATTTTATAAATTTTGCGAAGGGTGTTTTTTTTTTTAATATTTTGCAAGCATCAAATTTTGCATCTGAGAGTGGTGTACCATATATCCGTTACCATAAGGTAATATTTGCGCCATATATTTTCACGTCGCGAGATGTGAAAAAACTATGTCTCACAAAAATTAAGCAGTTTATTTCAGATATTTTGTCAAGCAGTGTATCTTTCTCGCAACAACGGCAGACAAGAATGTGTTCTTCAATGCTGTCCTCTCTCAATTCCTTCCAGTTTTGATTGCAACAAAGAAACAAGTGGCCCATACAAAGCACTACTGGCTCATGCCACTCCATAAGGGGCCTTTAGAGCGTCAACAGACTGAGTGCGGACATCTGCCCGGGTCCTCTTCCCTGACCAGAAGGTCCTGGAAGAGGACGGCACCGTTTCAACACTTGAGGTGGCTACTAGAGGACACATATCCTTGCACGGGGTCCACCCCAGAAGACCTCCGACCCCACGATGTGGTGGGGAGGCCACTCACTGCGGGAGCTGTCCGGCACTGTGTGGATGAGGAAGCTGCTCTCCTGAGGCGGGGTGTCCACCTCCTGGTCGTAGGCCGGCAGGGCCCGGTACGCCGTCTGCAGGCCGGCCATGGCTCTGCACATGACCCACAGGTGAGCGCGGGAATGCTCGCCAAAGACACGGAGGGCCTAACTCCCACGGGAACCGCATGCTGCCAAAAGACCCGACATTCCGCCTCGACAATCTATTTGCTGCGTTAGTCAAATAAGAAGATGTGAATATAGCGCGGAGGCGGCTGCTTTTATGCGGATGACCCTGCGCCAATGCTGGAATGTGCGTAACTTCTGAGTGCGCTGCCCACACGGCTGCCAGGCCTCCGAACCCCGACGTTCGGGCAAGGGCGGGCCTCGTAGGCAAAACGGAGAGGTGACACTATGAAATTCTAAAAAACAATCGCATCTAACAGTTTTGTGCATGTTGCAGAGACACAACACCTCATGGTGTGCGCAGAGTCTAGCTACTTGTTCTCAGGCGGGTACACACAAATGTAGTTAGAACCTGCCATAACTACTTGCTCTAAAAAAAGGAGCAACAATGTCAATCGCGGGGATATTTTTGTTGCATCAAGGATGTATCGTCAGTCCCAGCTAAAATAGGTACGGACAACAGAGTTGCAACCAAACGATGCGTTACAGCGGCAGGTGGTGGCGTGAGCATCAAGCGAGGGACTCCAGCATTTCCACACATCCGTCTCCACAGTGATGGCTTTGAGCTACATTCAAACATGGCACTGTATAAACCTTAAACCAAATCAGACGTGAAGAGCCTCTAAGCCGCCAATGACTGATCCTCGAGCCCTTATTCTTTGATCAACTGCTGCCCTTTGCTCCAATTCAATGGGTATGCCATCCAGCAATTAGCTGCAAGTGGTATGCCCGGTGGGCAATGCCAAGCACAACCAGGGGGGGGAGGCCAATCTTCAATGCGATATGCAACTCCGCCAGAAAAGGAGCTTTCGCTAAACGGCTGTGCAGGACAGAGAGCTGCTTCCTTGTTTTAACTGTGGCTACACCGAGTCCCACAGAGAAACCATCAACCTCCAGCGTGCACTAGCTGACTCAGTGAAAACCCCGTGTGACCGTGCCCCCGAGCAAATGTGTAGGCGGAGTGTGCGACCCAGTGCTGCTGGAGGTGAGAAGACCCGTGATGCTCGCGATCCTAATCATGAGAACACCTAAACACGACGTGTCAAATACAAGGGCCGACCCCTCCACAACCCGTCGCGGCCTCATCGAGCGTTAGTTTGTCCAGTGGAGGTCCCCGGGGGGTCTCGGCGCTCAAAAAGTGGATCTGGGTTCGTTGTTGCACGGGGACCTGGGGTACAGCAGCCCACGAGCGCGGCGGTAACCAGGCGACGTCTGGAGCAACAACGCGCGCGTGCCAGCACGTCGCAACGAACCCAGGCGACAGTGGCCCTCCGCATCACGATCTATAAATAAACCGCGCGCCTTTGGCCCATGGTCCTCTGGGGACGCGCTGTCCGTCGAGAACGGGGGCCACCTCTCCAGCGCCACACTGTGCGGGGGGGCCCCCCGCAGGCCGGAACGCATCTCGTGCTCCGCCCAAGTATCGAGGGGCCCCGCGACATGTTAGGATAGCAGCCCGAGGCTGGACGGGAATCACCTCACGTCCAAGGCTGCCGATCAGCTGACGAGCTCTTCAGCCTCTTCAGCGTCGCTGGCACGGCTCCTGCTCGGTGCCATAACACGGGGCAACGGGTCAGCCCACTAATCACGCTGCCACTCGCTCTTCCGGGCTGTACGACTGCGTCGAGAAAAATCGGAACGCGCAAGAGAGCGTGCACCGTGAACCAGTCAAAATTTGATAGAGCTGCGAGCGACCACAACCACACAGCAGTCGCAAAATAACACTGCTTTTTGTTTGGTGTTGCTACCCCGCAACAAGTAACATAAATAACAACATTTAACCTAATTTTATTTAAATTGTGCTCATATTAATATTTTCTGATAATAATTTAATTTTATTTGAAATATCTAAAATTGTTTAATATTTTCACTGGTGTTATTCGCTCCGAGACCACCGCTCTCTCCACAAGTATGGCTGCTCCGGGGGTTTTGCGCTGTTCTAAAATATGTGTCGCAGGAATTGAGCGAATTAGGTACGGTCATTTCATTGCTTGTCAGTCACAATATGCGCTGAACCGCGTACTAGCGCCGTCCTCTTTGGCCGTCCGTTCGCGTATGTATTTGGCCGCTGTAAAGCACGATCTTTCGGAGCCCTTGAAGCCCTTGAAGCAGACTGCTCGGCCAAGGCGTAGAATGAATGGTGCAGTGAAACAGTCCGCACCGCCGGTCGTGTCCGAATGTCAGCGAACCTGACGTGGAGGCTCGCCCTCGCAGGATGCCGGCGCGCTTCCTGGTCGGCCTCGGTGCCCCTTCTGGACAGCATGTCTGGGTCCGGACCTTCTTCAGACTCGTGAAACCCTCGGGCAGCGACCGGACACTCCAATACGCCGAGAGAAAACTGATCGGGTGAGTGCGCGCCGTCGCCAGGCTGGCCGTCTTCGCCGTCCATCTAGTCCGATCTCGCGACTCCCAGCTCACTGCTGCCAGGCTCGGGGCCTGGCAACAGGATCGATGCGCAGAAATGAATCCACATATGTGGTACAAAAGGCGACGGGTTGGGCCATCGTTGGAAGTAATGCCGTGTCCCGTCAACTGCTGGTTCATATGTTTCTGGCGTTTGGATCATCAAGTTCCAGGGTCGTCGGTACTAGCACCATCTGTTCCGAGTTCCACGCGGATCAGGTAGTGTCTTGCAGACAAGTAATGCAGTGCCAGGCCATGGCCTACCTGCATCTGGAAGGTATTGGCAGAACCCGAAATTGGTGGTAGTACCAACTAAGAGCGACGGCCTCTCAGAATATGAATCAGAATATGGAGTAAATCTTAAAGTGTTCTGTGCACCAGCAAGTGCACATTAGCTTTATATTTCACATCATAATATGTTTTGTGGAAACCGGAGAAAAATAGTGTGGCAGCTTACATCTCTAACTTCTCCTCGAGTGGAAGGTTGTGCAATGCGCGTGAATCCAGTGGCACCCGGGAAAGCGAACGAAAAGTGCACTTTTTTTGGGAGCCATCCTTCCGTCATTGGCGAGTATGAAGTATCCATTGTTCTCGGAGTCTGTTGCCTCACTGGGGATTAAACTGGTGCCATGCAGCATCATGAAAGATGCTGCATCTTCTGAGCTCCTTTATTCCCTGAATTCTTCTATCCTTGCCAGCAAAACCCTGGACACGCATCAAATCTGTTGCCACTTCGAGGAGGGCAGGAAGAAGTCCCTTAGTATATGAAAACCAGATGTTTGGGCGTCTCATTCAGCTTTGGCGTGCGGCACGTGATGCGTCCATCTCTCGAAATTTAGACCAGAGGAAGCCTGCAATGCTCAGACATGCAATGGGGCCACGGGCCGGGAAGTCGGGTGGGTCGCAAGGGTGGACCCCTAGGGACGCAGCTTACAGCAGGCCCCCCCGTTTCCGTCCGCCACAGCAGCGTGCAGGGGCTTGCTGGGAGTGCCTCAAACGTGTCTCCGACCGCTCTGTTTACCGCGTCCTAAAAGGTGGTCCCTTAATTTCTGCCCAGTGACGTCATAAAAGTTTCGTGCTGTCGCCAGCCACGATGGAGGATGTGGTAGGCGCCTGTTCTGCTGCAGGTTGCTCTCTTGCTTGACAATCAACGGAAGCTTAGGCAGCCAGAAGTTAAAATGCTGCGACAACAGCAACGCTCACGTGTTTAGTTTTTTCAGAACTTGTATGCCCGACCGTCGGGATTGTGACAGCACGACACTAGGGATTTTGTGAGGTCATTTGTTGGCACTTTGGGAGCACTGTGGATGGCAGACGCTTTACACACCAGTTGGAGACGCTCCACGGTGACCTTAGGCGCGCTTGCCCACAGGTACTCGGCAGAGCAGATGTATGAGGTGGTCTCCCGGGTGGAGTTCTACCGGGACTTCGTGCCCTGGTGCACCCGGTCGCAGGTGGTGGCTCGCAGTGAGCAGGCCCTCACGGCCCACATGCAGGTGGGCTTTCCCCCCGTGCTCGAGTCCTACACCTCCCAAGTGGAGCTGCGCAGGCCCAGCCTAGTCAGGGTGAGTGCGGAACTTTCCTAGGGGTAAGCAGGCGTCCGTCTCTTTTCCGTCGCTCGTGGCTGCCTAACTCCGCTTCGTGCTTAGCGTACGGTGCTGTCAATGCTTCCTTTATAAGCGCTTCATCTAGCTTCTCATTTGCACAAGTGCACGTGGAAATAAACCGCAAGACCAAACTAGCTTCGACTGTGTCGTATACCAAATAAGAAACAAACCGTAGACGGGGAGTTTTTCTCGACCCACGACTTTCAAGTGTGTCTATTAACGGGTGTTGTTATCATCGCAGTCCTATCGATAACTGTAAAAAATAAAAGCGTGTTGCGGTTTAATCTAGTCCAACTCAATCCCGGTTCATTCTGACATCAACAGAGCATACGCACGACGATAACCAGCCAGTTTAAAATAAATTTGCTTTTTTAGTAGAGGTGGTTAAGAAAATTTTAATGGCCAGGGTTTTGTCCCGTTTCTTGGAGTCTGGAATGTGTTTGTCCATCAAAGAATATGTGTCAGGTAATTGTGTCCGTGGACGTTGCCGGTGTGTCGGGGAAGTGCCGGGCAGCCCTAGGGTGTGATGCGGCTGCCCCATCTGCCCAGGCGGTGTGCAGGGACGGCCGCCTGTTCAACCACCTGGAGACCACCTGGCGCTTTGAACCTGGCCTCCAGCACATCCCCAAGTCCTGCACCCTGGACTTCAAGGCAAGCACGAAGGGCAGCCGGACACCTGACTAGCTTGTGCTATGGCCTCCAAACTCTCTAACTGCCGGCCATGCTTTGCCTAAGACGGGCGACGATTTGTCGGTTATAAAGGCGACCTACGACCAGCCTTCAGACACTGGAAGTCACAAACAGACCATCCCCGACATACCTTTTTCCATTCACAACATTGAAAGACACCAACCTGGCCGACAGATCAGCTCATCCTAATCCCCACTTCTTGGTCATCTCCTCACTCCCAGCCCGACAAGCCACATCTGTCATTCTTTTGCCCCTTACTGGGTATCGCACCCCGTCCGCTTAAGCCTGGGTTTCCTCGTTGCCAGTCCCACAGGAGCATTGATGTGCCCATTTATGAGACTGGTGTCTTCGACGGATTTCACCTTGTGCTGAGGTGCTCGGTCAAAAGTGTTGCGAACCTGTTCTAACTACCCTAAAATACTGAACAAGCGTCTGCTTGAAATTTTGAGAAAATCTCGAAAATTAGGGGATGAGTGCTCGTTTGGTTCGAGAGCAAAAATGCAGAAGGGGCACGTGGTAGGGTGGGCTTCGCTGCTTCACACCAAGGCGCTTGGAGAAGTGCCTGATGTGGAGAAGCATTCCGGTCAGCTGAGGGGGCTTGCCAGTCTTTGTCTGCTTAGTTTTTGGGTGTTTCAAAAGTAGCGAGTGAGTGCTTATGGCGTCGTGGGCACAAGCTCGACATTTGAATCGGAATGTCTCGTGCAGTCCAAACAAAAAAAATGAAAGACGTTCACAATTCTTTGTAATACCGAATTAGAGCGCAGCTCTTGAGGTGGAGGAAAAGAGGAGGGTATGCCCCTCCTCTCTCTTTGTACCCTCCCCTTCTCTCGTGCTCCCCTCCCCTTTAGCGGGAAATTTTCGCTGAATTTAGCGGAAAAATTTTTCCGCTAATTTTAGCAGAGAAATTTTTCCGCTAAATTTAGCAGGGAAATTATTCCGCTAAGTTTAGCGGGGAAAGTTTTCCATAATGCAACGCTTGGTTACGCCCGCTTGCATTATTCCCATAATGCAATGCGCACTATTAGGCCAACGCCGCTCAGGCCGGAAATGGGCGCCTAAGAGCTACGCTCTAAAAGTGTTTGCGAGTTCTGTGCAGTTCTTTCTGGAGTCGCTACGCAAGTTTCCAGAGTATCGCATTCTTTCACAGTTGGCAGACATATCACCATTTTGGGTTGTCGGATTATTTAATCCGCTCCGAATATGCCATACCTACCGGGTGATTCAAGGAGACGGCAGGCTCTTTAAATCGACCAGAAAATTCGGTTTCTTAACCTATCGCGCTACGACTTTGTGCAGCGTTGCCCACTGATGGTGCATTTTTTTTTGTAAAATTTGCGAAGAGCGAACTTGACTGAAAAAAAAAGTAAAGAAAGAAAAAGGCTTAGCTTTTATGGAAATGCAGCGACGCCACCGGTCTTCAAACAACACGGTGCCGTTTCGCACGGGAGACAAGAGATGGCGCAAGCGGTCGCGACGCCAACTGCCACCAACGAACAAGCAGACGACGTCGAGAGCCGGCGTATATAGCAGACAAGGAACTGCAGTTCCTTGTTGTTACCGCGCCTGTTTTTGTTTCTGCGACTGTCGTCGCCTGCCGAATGCGTACCGCTTTTCAGTCGAAAAGATGGCATTCTAAAGACGCTGGCTCTCGGCGCCGTATGCTCGTTCGTTGGCGGCGTTTGTTGCGCCATCTCTTGTCTCCCGTGCGAAACAGCGCCGTGTTGTTTGAAGACCAGTGGTGTCGCTGCGTTTCCATAGGAGCTAAGCCTTTTTCTTTCTTTACTTTTTCCTCAGGTAAGTTCGCTCTTTGCAAATTTAACAAAAAAAAATGCACCATCTGTGGGCAACGCTGCACAAAGTCGTAGCACGATAGGTTAGGAAACCGAATTTTCCGGTTGATTTAAAGAGCCTGCCGTCTCCTTGAATCACCCGGTACATTGCGGTGACGCATCGTCTCGCTAAAAGTGTTTCTCGTTAATTTCACCATCTTTGGATCTCTACGTGCGTACCCAGCCTTTCTTATCAACACAGATCTCCTAAAATGCAGTTTTCTTTTATTCCTTTTTCTTGTCTCAGAAATGGTTTCAATGTTGCCACCACTGCCGAAAATTCAACACCTCAAGTGGTTGCATTTAGTGAAGGCAGTGCGAACCCATGCGCTCGTTTGACTACCGTAATATCTTGGGAGTAAGCTCACTTAAAATCGAAAGCAAATTGGGTGAAAATAAGGAGTAAGCTAACTTTCAAGGTGCGATCAAAGAAAGTTGAAAAAATGCTAGTTATAGGTTTCGTGACCTGCGAAGCGTTTAATCGCAGTGAGGGTGGCTGCAGGAGCCAATGTCTGAAAACGTTGATCGAATGCAGCCGTGTCGGTGCAGGGTACTCTCCCCTATCCCGTTAAGCAGCCGGCGGTGCACGTCATGGCGGTTCCCTCCCCCCCGGTGCAGGTGTCGTTCGAGTTCCGGTCGCGGCTACACTCCCAGTTGGCACAGCTGTTCCTCGACGAGGTGGTGCGCCAGATGACGCGAGCCTTCCTGAGCCGGGCGGTTGTGCTGTACGGCAAGCAGTCGCCGCTCACCGCAAAGCGGGACAAGGTGTTGCCCAGCACCCCCTGACCCCACCGAGTCAAGTAGACGTCCTCGGTGGGCTGCCCGCCCGGAGAGTTCCCCAGGGAACGCCCTCGCCTCCCAGCTCACGAGCCTCGCCGCCTTGTGGTCCTTGCGTCGAGGGGCGGGCTCTCGGACGGAGGCATCGCTCACGATCGGGCCTCCGTGGTGGCGGCCGACGCCCACCCACTAACAGAGCTCTGCCGGGCTCTGCGGCACAAGAGAGTGGACATCTTCGTAGGAGATGCCAAATTTAGGAATGTGTTTTAATGCAAATTAGTAGGGTGTTCATGCTTAGAAAACTTAAAGACGAGAGCTAGGTAGCTCTCGTCTCTGAAAGTTTCCTACCGAAGAAACTGGATTATGGAACAGAAATCTAACTGGATTTCTTGCTGGAAACCTGACATCCAGTTTGTAGACGATTGTCTGCTAACTGGATTTCAGGTTTCCAGCAAGAAATCCAGTTAGATTTTCTGTTCCATAATCTAGTTTATACTGATTTTTTTTTCTATAGGAAGTGTGTTTCACTCTCATCCCTGAAGGGGATGTTTCATTTTGATTTCGGTGAAATTGTTGCGTGCTAGACATCCCTCTTCTTTCTCTCTCGTTCCTAGGCTTTTATGACGATTTTGCACCTATAAACGGTTGAAAATGTTGCATTCTTTTCTGGAGATGCGCCCCGCAGCTCTTGCCCTTTGATGGGGAGCTGCCTGGTTGAGCGCTTCCCTCACCGTCCTGGCCGGTGGAACGGTACAGTTACGCCACGGTGCGAGTGTGACTTGGTGCGAGTACCGAGGTGGACCTTCTAGTATAAAAACTGAAGTCTCTTCGACGGGATGGGTGAAAGAAATTAAACGGCTGACGCCGCAATCGTTTCGTCACCGAGTTGCGTTCAAAAAGGTGCTCATAGTATGTCCTTTCAAAGTTTCTAACCTTCAAGTATAGAGAAGATGCGGGCCATTCGAAATTTTACGACGTGTGGTGGCATTTGGCAAGGTTAATTGGAACTTCCAAAACCTTCGCAGCAGTTGCCCCGCCAAATTACTGACCAGCGTAAGTTTATGGTTTATGCCTGTTGGCTTCATAATTTATGTCTTTGTATTAAGTTTGCCAGTGAGACAGTGATATCTAAGGATAACTCGAACTGAGCATGTGGCAGCAAACTACTTTTAAGGTAGCATCATTAAGTGCCTGCGTACAACTTGCACGTGTCTGAGGAAGGGCTCCCATTTGTGCAAGATGGTTCTAGATGGTGGAATCGTACCGGTACGTTTGGACATTGATTGGTGCGAGTGTTTTGCCCCAAGTGAGATTGAGATGAACGGTCAAGATGGCACCGGTGTGAAATGGCCGCGTCATCCTCGCACAATGCATCTGGAGGAAAGGGGACCACCCGAAGACATTGGGCCGATTCTGCCGACCAGGACGGCAATTCTCAACCGCATTTGTTATCTTAGACTGTGTCTTCTCTGGCGCTGTTTCTAGTGCTGCCGTATGCTCTTTCCAAAGGTGTCATGTACCCCATTCACACGACCAGCATTAAGGTGCTTTTAACATAGGTCCTTTTTCAATCGGCAAATCAGCCTGCGCTGATAGATCGCGGGCACATGCCTCGCGCGATTAGCCACTGGCCATAAAGGTCCCTTAGCTGAAAGTACCTTTATGATCGTGTGAATGGTGTTTTACTCTTGCTAAACTTTAGTCAGAATCAATTCCAGATGTTTATTGCATATGAAATCTGCGTTAGTTTTTCTTTCCACGTTGCCAGAGCACAGGACCATATGATACAATTTTTACCGCTAGCAATCGTAACTAGAACCAGTAAATGAGCTTTGGTGGGCGTCTGCGGGACCTTTTTTGAGGGGGAATACGGGGCAGAAGCAGCGCTGCAGCAAGCCACGCTTGGCCAAGCCAGCACTGTAATGTGCTTATTCTGCTTTGGCTAGCCATGCCGTCACTATATAAAGCAGCAGTCACGCTACTCGTGTATCGTACAAAAGGCTCGGTATTCACTGCAGACATGCACATCTTCAAAGCGTCTTTGCATTGAACCTGTCTGCAGAGAGGTGGCCATTGTACAAAGACCGTCTTTTGCGCGATGTATTGGCAGTGTGATGACGGCCCAAGAGTATGCCACCGAAAGGTCTTGTCGTCACTGCCCCGGGAACCCTTGCAATATGCCATACCGCATCGTCGAGGGACCGTATAAGACCGTTCAACTTGGCCAGGGGGCACGCTGGAGCGATACCAGTGACTCAATGCCACGGCGAAAATTCGCCCTAATGCAACGTTTGCTTATTCCGTCGTGCTGCCAGTTGCAATGGCGACCACTGCATTGCAATAATATTGTGACTTTGTGCCTGTTGAAAAATGGTGATTACTTTTTAGGGAGGTGAACCTCTGCAAAGAAAGGTTGCCTGTGTGCCAGGTTTCCTGGGTGGAGGATATAATCGAGGCGTGAAAACAGTTGTCGACAGCGCAGTGCGTCTTGCAAGTGCAAGACAGCGTCGCCTATGACGTCCACCTCATCATAAATGCTATTTTTCTTTTATGCTTTCGCTCGCTCTTGAAAGTCGAAGCTATTTGGACAAAGATAATAATAATCATTTTTATTTCCATCAACGATGCATTATCGATGGAGGAGGCCGAGGAAAAAAAGCTATTCACAGATAGCTTGACTAGCCATCGGCCCCCTTCAGACACAAGGAAGTATTTAAAAAAGGCAAAAAGATATTATACAGTCCTATTATAAACCCACAGCAATAAGCACGAACAGCATACACACATACTATCGTTATAGAAACATAACAAAAAAACGACAAAGTTCAGAATGTAGAATTGTTTCAATATTATTATATTTTTTTTTTTCAATCAGTCAAAAGCTTAGGGAACATAAACTTTAGCATTTGATAGCCATAGTTATTTTTAGATCTAGGGACTTTCCAGCATTTGGCTTGACGAGTGGAGTAAACAGGCACAGAACCCTGTAAGGAGGCTAAAGGCCCGTTCACACTCTTGCAACCGAGTACGACCGAGAGGCACGAGACCTGTTGAAACCTCTTAAAATTTCTTGGGACGAGAGAACACACTGGCAGTCTAGCACTATCTATGGGGTGACCCTGGAACTGCGTTTCACAATAGCTAAGGTTTTGCGGAATTTTCGAGGTCAAATGTACGTAATGCCTATAAGAAAGGCTCGTTTATAACGTTGACAAAAGATTTTTGAGCCAAGAAAGGAAGGATAATGCGCAAGAGAAAGAGAAAACATGCCGGACCGCCAAGTTTACACTGCTACCCAATAGATGGCGCCAGTGTGTCCTCTTGTTGTTAGAGATGTTAAGAGGTTCCAAGGCACTTGGTTCTAAGACGTCACACGTGTGTGAACGGTCCTTCATTCAATCAGTAACATTGATTTTATTAGGTGTTTAGATTAAAAATGACGGCTACCGTAAAATCCTGAGAGATGCTCCACCCCCGGTAGGTAACCCACCCCTATTGTTGGCTTGATTTGCTATTTTCTTTTAAATATCGAAGGGGAGCCCACTCCTAGTAATTGCAGTGTTGAGGTCAATAATGACTTTGGCATAAATGCATCTAGTTGTCTATGGCGGGTTATAAGCGAACATTGCTGACTGGTAACTATGGTCGTATTTGCTTTATTGCCCCGCCATGATACCAAGTTTGGCAGGGGCACATGTTAAGACTTTTCTTGATTGCACACCGAAAGTTAACCCACTCCTTATTTTCATCTAATTTTCTTTTGATTTTAGGCGGGCTATCTCAGAATATTATGGTGAGTGTTTGAAGATCAAGCACTTGAAAGTGTTCAAATAGTTGTTCGGTACGACAATAATATAAAACACCTGAAATGATTCTTAACCTTTTTTTCTGTAATAGATATAGTTTTTCTAAGTTTGTGAAAGTTGTAGTGCCCCATACCAGATGGCAATAGGTTAAGAGAGAATAAATAAGAATAAAACAACAAATTGTAAATAAATACTTTCACAGTGGTTAGGAGCACAGACTGATGGCAATGTGTTAACCCTATAACGTGTGATAACACTGAGCCAACATGATGTTTATGATCATCCCGTAACATGTTTTCTGAAGAAATAATGCCAAAAGTCTTAAAAGAATCAACAATTTCTACTGGACATGAATTTAATACAATGCCTTTGGTCAAAACCAGTTTTGTTCTTCGGCCGAAAAAGTATGGCTTTAGTTTTTCTAGTATCTATCTTCAAGCAACTGCACTGTGCCCAATTTTTCGTACCTGAAAAGAAAACGCTAGTTTCATCTGCATAGATTGCAAATTTTGACCCGGAGTTTATCTTGATTATGTCTTTCACATAAATGTTGAAAAGAAATGTGATACTCATTTGTTGTGCCTTTTAAAAAGTCACAAATACATTGATTGAAGAGAAGAAAAAATAAGTTGCTCAGCCACATGACTTCGGCCAACTCTCTCACCTATATTTCTTCCTCGCCGTTTCGATTTCGAGCAGTTGCGTTTTTCATTTTATTCAAAATATACATGACGCCGTAGCAAAATAATGATTGGGTAGTCTTCTGACACATATTAATTGCCTGGCAAAAAATAAAACCAAAAATCTTTCAGCCTTTCCACTTTGGTGAAGAAGGAAGACCAGCAAAGCTGTACTATGATGGGACGATTTCTTGGACGACCTTGAGGACGATCTTCTTGGACAACCTCAAGGAAGACCTTATCGACGTCGTTTAGGATGACCTCAAGGGCGACTTCTAGGACGACCTTAAGGACATTGTCTAGGACGACTTCTAGGAGGACCTCTAAGACGACCTCAAGGATGAACTCGAGGACAACCTCAAGGACGACGTCTTAGACGACCTCAAGGACGACATATGGGACGACGCCTAGAGAAATTCAGCCTTTCCATTCTGGTGAAAACTAGAGTGGAAAGGCTGGAAAGGTTGCCACCAGCTATGAGCGAGGCCGGAAAGCTGGTTGTCTGGTTGCCGCCGTCACTCGCAGATGGCGGTAGTTGTCCAGAGTTTTGTGTCGACATTGGTTTGGTACCAGACACGATCTTGGGGAAGCTAGCCCTTAACAGCCCCGCTGTAAAATTTTGGGGAATGTCGGTGTCCCTTTAACATAAAGCACAGATGTCCCAGTGACTTGCGGCGTAAGCAGACATAAGCTTTTGTAACCTAATGTTAGAAAATGGGGCTGTGTGAACCAGCCTCAAGCGTAGTTGTACTACTGAATCTTGGACATGACAGGGAAATAATAATTAACCCCGTCCGCACAGCCTGCGATTCGTGTTTCTGGCAGTCTTGAATCGCCTCCCAGGAAACAAAATTTTTCAGGAGACACATATTTACCTGATGCTGTGGTATTTGACTACACAAGAATACCTGGTGCCCTGTACTTTTGCCTTCGATACATTACGAAGCGCGAGGCCAGCACGACAAGCGCTCCATTCTCTCCCGTCGTCTGCTCCACGTACGCCTTGCAAGGATGGATGTGCCTCGCCAGGGGGAGGAGTGGCGCTGCATATGCACATAAAAATAGCGGCCAAGTATATCTACATTGAACAACACAATATATTTATGTTGATTAGTCAAGCTGCATTTTTTGTTTTTTACGCTGTGGTGTGTAATTAGTAACGATCAATAGACCTATTGCTATATTACCCAAGCATCAAGGGGAATGCAGGGATTGGTGTTCCACGTGCCGCACGTGCTGGCCTCGGCAGTAGTAAATTTTCTAAAGCAAAAACCTAAAAGAAAAATATCTTGCACACGCGTTCGTCAACGCTTTATTTTGGTTATTTACTTCGAATCTTTTATACGGGGAAGGCGTGCGCGTGTGGCGCGTGGAATACAAATCCCTGCATTCACCTTGATATGGTCTATTCATCAAACTTTCTTCTTTCTTTTTCAGGGTAGGAAAGGGGGGACATTTTTGCCACAAATGCCGGAGATTCCTCGGCGTATGTGCTTAGCTCAACTTACTTGGTCACTATTCACCCTGAAGTCAACCAATACAATTTTTGTGATGATTCTAGGTCACCAAGAACATACTCTGGTTTCGGTTTTGAAGCCCTCATTTCAGCAGAACTTCGGTCTTGCCGCTGGCTGCATTGGAAAGCCCAAGTTCGTAGTTTCAAGCCAAGCCCAAACTCATTGCGGCCATGTTGGCTCTATGACGCTTGCACGGCTTGCGTCGTGCACGTGGTTGGGGACGTCGAATTTCAAGAACCTCGTGAGAGGCGAGACTCTTGAGATGGCCCCTGTCGCCTAGTCGGATGGTCAACGTCTGGAAGCCGTGCCGACGGTAAGCGATGGACGGCCATACGACACAGAACAGCGTGGAGCACGTCGCTGCTGCTACTGACAGCCCGCAGCAAGAGACCGCGCCACGCTTACAGCAAGATAATGGTGTCGACGTTGTCGTGGGCGCCGTCGATGACAAAGTCGCGGACGCCGTCGACGACGGAGTCGCAGATGCCGTTGACGACGTGGTCGCGGACACCGTCGACAACAGAGTCGCGGACGCCCTCGACGACGGAGTCGCATATGCCGTCGACGACGCGGTAGCGGACGCCGTCGACAACAGAGTCGCGGATGCCCTCAACGACGGAGTCGCAGATGCCGTCGACGACGCGGTCGCGGACACCGTCGACGAAATCGCGGACGCCGTCGACGGAATCGCGGATGCCGTCGACGTGGTTAACTTCCTGGTGGACCAAGTGGTGAATGGTGACGGCCAGTGGGGACCCGAAGGCGGCAGGGCCCAGCAGGCCGTGGTGTCGTCGTGCAGGCCCCGGTCGCTCTCCAGGGTGAGCCTCGTGCCGTACCGCAACCACAGCGACTCTTCGAGCTCGTCGAGCTCGTCCGAAGACGAAGCGGCCGGCAATGCAGATTCCAGCGACGATTCGGACGACGCGGTGAGTGAGCCTCGGCCCTCGGCGAAGCGCAAGGGACCCCCCGGGAGGCTGCAGGGACGCCCGAGAACTGTCGGCCTGAAGACGCCGGGTGAGCTGGACATCGACGAGTTGCCGCCTATCGAAGAGCTCCACATCACGGTACCGCAGGCTGAGCTCCGTCAGGCCGGCATCGTGCACAGTGTCGTGGACAGGCTCCTGGTGATCGAGAGCTGCGCGGGGCAGCCTGTGCTCGACCTCGACTCTGTGCTATTCGTGTCCGGCGGCGCGCCGCTCGGCCAGATCTTCGACGTCTTCGGGCCCGTATCGCGGCCCTTCTACGTGGTGCGCTTCAACAGCGCGGAGGAGCTCGCCGGCCAAGGCCTGGCCCCAGGCACGGCCGTCTTCTACGCGCCGCTGCACGCCGACGTCACCCTGTACGTGCTCGAGTCCGAAGTGCGCAAGCTCCGCGGCTCGGACGCCTCGTGGGAGAACAACAACGAGCCGCCGCCGGAGTGCGTCGACTTCTCAGACGACGAGCAGGAGCGCCAAGTGCGGCGCAACCGCAAGCTCCGAGGCGACGGCCAGCTCGACCAGGGCGGCAGGCGGCCCCGAGAGCCCACCAAGCAGGCTGGCACCGACGGCAGGAGCCCGCAGCCGTGCCTGCCGGCCCGTGTGGCGAGGACCCAGCACCGCTTCCCGGCCGCCTGGCCCCCGTTCCCGCCGCCCCGCTGGCCCCCCGCGAGGCCTGCCTGGAGCATGCCCCCGCCGCCGTACCCGAACATCTGGGGGCCTCCTCCTCCCCCGGGGGCCTGGCCGGGGCCCTGGAATAGCCCCCACGTCCCCCCGCCAGACCTGAGTAGTCCCCCGCCGCGCTTCCACGCCCCCCCGGAGGCGATGGCCGTGCAGCGAACTCAGATGTACGACCCTGTGCCAGACCTGCACCGCATCCTGACGACGCCGCCACCGCCCCTGCTCTAAAGGTCTCGAAACCTACGCAATATGTTCCTGGCCCTGGCGAGAGTGTTTTCGGATTGCGGCTTACGGAAGTGTCGCGTTCGTCGATGCCATGCAAGCAAGTTGCGAGCTCTCATTTTCTGCTAGGACACTCAACGTGCTGTGGCTTCCGGATCGACAGTCGATGGAACATGGGCATTCAATGGCTAAAGTGCCTGCATGCACCACCACGATCGGTATGACTCGAAATGTCACTTCATGTGCCAGTACTATTGGTGCGCTCCGTCGGATGCTCGGTGAAGATTAAACGTGCACCGCCATCCGTTTCCGTTCATCCTGTGCTCCGAGCAGCTGAGCGACGCCTTTACCCTTGAGATATCATTGCGACGATTTCAAGATCGAAGGGGCACGTTTGCGTTACTTGTGCCTCGTGCTGCTCCTGCTCCTTCGGCAACAGTTGCCATCACTAAAGCGCCGGATGTTTTATCTTGGTGGCAGTGGCGTCACAAGGGGGTTGCAGGGGGGTGGACCACCCCGGGTGCAGCACTCCAGGGGGTGTTGCGGCGGGCAGTGGCGTAGCCAGGATTTTATTTCGGGAGGGGTTCAACGGCATCTCCCCCCCCCCCCCCCCGTCAATGACGGAGGGTGAGCTCGCCGACACGGACGCTCAGGCAAAGCGCAAAGCTTAGGGAGACGCTGTTAAGATAAAACGGGTAACGCTGCCTTGTCATTTTTAAAAACGGAGCAGCCTTCATTTACAGGAATGCGGGCGGGGTGGCTCACTGTTCTACTGTCGTCGTGATTGCGGCCCACCAACTTTAAACGCTTTCTCACAACACAAAACTCCCTTCGCTTTTCGGAGTAGCACCGCAATACCAACGCGTGAAGGCCAGAGAAAACAAAAAATATCCATACTTTCACAAAAAAAAAAAAAAAATTAAACAGCAAAAAAAAATCTTTTTTCGACAATGAAAATTTGGAGCAACCGGCCACGCACAAACACCAGGGGCCCATATTTAGGGCGAAGGTAATTCTGAGCAATCACTCAACCAAAATCTATTATCTATTAAAGGTTTAACAAACTCGTGCTACAGAACAAGATGCCGAAAGAAAGAGAGTGTTGTCTTTGCTAGGCCGTTTTATCTTGCAGCGTGGTCCAAAGGCAGCAGCAGCATATCCTCGGGGTAAGAAGAAGTCATCAGTCCGAACTCGTCGTTCCGTCACTCGGAGAAATGACTTGACGCACCACAAAGAAACTACACGCCGAACGTGGAAAGGAACTTGACTAGCCTTGCGCCTGTGCGTAGTGAGGATATGAAGGCTTGTCTCTTCAAGTTTCTGATGTTCCGTGCAGCGAAGAGATTGAGCTAATAGTAATAAGGAATTGCATCGGATGCCACCTTGGCATACAAAGCAGAAAGCAAGACAAACTTCGTCGCATCCGTGGGCGACGATTTTCGCAAAGTGAGGGAAACTTCGCCAAAAATAGGGAAATTTTAGGCGTCCAATGCAAGAGGGAGAAACGTGAAGCACCCGTCACATCTGCGGTATACAGGTGGGCGCCCTCTGTCCGGAGGCACTATTTCAGAACGTCCATCGTCTCCTCAAGACTCTAGTTGCTCTGCCCTTAACAACGGCGGAAGCTGAGCTCTCGTTCTCTTCACTACGACGGTTGAAAACATACCTGAGAGCGTCCACTTCGAGTGAGCGACTGCTCGGCCTATGTTTTGTTTCAGCTTAATTCCAGACGCAGCCGATGCTACAGGCGTGAACATGTGGCCCTGAACAGTGCTTGCACTGCACGAGCGCGCGTGCTTGGCAGGGACGCTAAAAGCCCGGAGCTCGCACTTGTAGCATCGGCTACGTCTGGACCTAAGCTGAAACGAAGTACAGTGTTTGTGAATGTTCACCGCGACATTAAAGTTCAAGCGGAGGACGTCCAGGATATTTTTTTCCGTGAACGCAGGCGGCTTCATTTCATTCTGTAAGCACTTGGCATAAATGAGATGATAAAGAGAACCTGTAAATTGCATTCTAATATCACTAGTCACAGTTACCTATTTATTTGCGGTAATTTCTAGTCGAAAGCACGTAATTCTGATCACAAAAGGTGTGCGTGAGCGCAGCGCCACCCGTTGCTTAGAATGCGATTGTTTTTTTTTACAATTAATTTATTATTCCTTACATTACTGACATTGTTTTATATTATCACCGTGTGTTCGTTTTATTATGTTCACATTGGTTTGATTGAACTGTGTATTTCAGTGAGGATATTTTGTCAAATTTTGCGTTGAAATTGCCATCGTTCACCCCACAAATGTTTCGAAATATCCGTTGTCTATATATCTGAGATCAAGTTCCGCATCCCATCGAATTAACATGAATTAAGCAATATTGCATATTTTATTAATTTGAGCATTTTCCACCCCACAAACAATTTTCACGAAAGCCTGTACGTTAGAGATGGTCCGTGCTCCCCCGTTGCTCCGTGCCTCGTGCAAACCCGACTGCGTGAGCAGGGCAGCGAGCGGGCCCCGTTGGGGAGGGAAGGGGGGGGGGGGGGGGGGGTAGCTTTGGCATTTCGGGAGGGGTTTCGACCCCCCAAACCCCCCCCTCTGCCTACGCCACTGGCGGCGGGTGTCAGGGGTGGGGGGGGGGGGGGGGGGGGGGGTGTAGCCTCGGGCCACTGCCCTGGGTGCCGCTAACCCTAGTGACGCCACTGCTTGATGGTTCTCAACCATTGATGTTTCATGGACCCCTTGTGGAACGGCGGAGATGATGGAGGACTTCTTTCGTGACAAGGGGAAGGAACAGTGTATGTTTATTATGTTACCGTAGAATACCGTGGATCCGCCCATGCCACACTAAGTGCCCATACCCAAATTTGTCAGTTCTGAGAAAATACGCACAGTACATCGATATGTAAAATTGATGACCGGACAAGTGCCCATCACCCCCATTTTTTCGCGATTATCTCTAAATTTTGAGTGGGCGCTTGCTCGGTATTTTACGGTAGTGATTTAATAAATGGATATAAAAAAGGGCTAGTGTGAGGAAGACTTCTCTCATTGACATACACACGAGAAAACTCGCCCAAAAATTGGGATGTTTCTTCTCAACTGAAAAAAAGACTAATTTTATTGTTGGGCTTGACTGATGAGGCAGGGCTTCGAGGACCCCTAAGGATGCCTTTGATGATCCCCATTTGAGAACTTGTTCTATCCTATGAGATTCATTATCTGCAGTTTTACTATTGCTGCTGGTAAGTGCAACTAAGCTCAGTTCGCGACTCCAATACACTACAGGTGGCACCACTCGTTTTCCAAAAAGTGAGGGTCGGAGATGCGTGCCGCTGCTGAGCCTGTCTAGTGTGCTAGCTTCACTGAGTGACACAAATTTTTTCTGGTGATATGAGGAAGCTAGGGTGTTATGAGCGCAGGTCACCTCTTTATCCTGAAAACAAAAACGGTATTTAGCGTAATATTTAGGCCAGGAGATATGTTTTGTTTTCGAAG